TCGCACGAGCAAGCCTATAACGTGGCTGAAAATCTTCACTAGAGCTTGGTTTGATGAACCAGTTTTTTTTTTTTTTTTTTTCTGAGCGGCCCCTCCTCCAAAACTAGGCACGCGCCAGTTGTTGTTTAGCCCCTCCACCCACTCGGACCGGCCCGGCGCCAGCTGGGATTCTTCTTCCATCAGGCAGAGAATGGCGCAAGAGCTTAGAGGTTCAGTTAGCAATACCACCTATAGACTATAGACTATACAAGCACGAGTATCATCAGCTTGGGCTTGTGAAATCTTGATCATATAGTACATGTACTTACCAGCCTCTACTGTTTTATTAGCATGGAGGCTGTCAACACAGATGGTACGGAGTAGTACCTAGTCGAGATCGCCGTCCTCTCCACTCCACTCCGGCGAAATGGCGTCCCGGGCCTCTGCAGAACAACGGAACGCCCCTCTTCAGCGCCGTAGCTCTGCTCCATCCAAACGGACAGGCAACAGTCGACGTTTCGGATGCAACGAGGCACTTCCCCGGAGAGGGCCCGTTGGCATGTAGATTCGCCTGAGCCAACGATGCGTTTCTTCATCGCCATCCCCAATAGAAGGCAATTCCGGCGCTTCGTCCAGCAAGAAAGACACAAAACGCGCAGATGCGGACGCAGCCCTGTATCTGATTTGCTACCGGTGCGTCAAAAGGCGGGTAGCTCAAGGGTCTGCTTTGAGACCGGGCAAAAGCAAAATCGAGGCTCGACAGTGTGCCCTTGCCGCTTTATGATGCAACCGTGGAGAGGCTCTCAGCAGATCCATCTGAATTGGGAGACACTTTGGCAATAACTGCATGCCTTCGCATACCTTTGCATACGCATGCAACCAGCTTTTCGCTTGCCCTTGCCATCCACGTCTGGCGTCGGTCTCTTTGCCTCTTAAAGATTGCATTGCATGGTGTTGCGTTTGCTTTCGCCAACCACAGCTAGAAGGCAACGCCTTGGCCATGGTGATGTTGCACCGTGTTGGAGCCCTTGACACGCCCTCCTGCAAGTCGAACAATGCACCCTCCATGTTTTTGTTAACGCCCCCTCTTCTCACTGGCGAAACTTGAACATGAGCTCACTTTCTTCAGAGCCTGGTGCCATCACCACCACGAGGCATTTATCTTCTTCCTGATAACAGCCTGTCTTCTAACTGGTGAATCTGAGGCATGTGATCATTTCCCCCCTCACGGCGGCTTCTCTTCTGACCGAGAGAGTTTGAAAGGAGGAGGGGAACGTACAAGTACCTACGTAGTAGGCAATGCATATTCCAAGGAGGTCGCTGCTCCTCTTCCAGCTCGAAAAAGCTGGTGAAAGTGGCAGAGGGATTTCTCTCCAACTTCGTTCTCTACAAAATTTCTTTCTTAGAAGATGAGTCCTCGTGGGCCCAGGAGGATTGTCTGTGCGTGCTTTTGTATCTTCATGAATAAGCAACTTCTCTAACTTGGCAATTATATAGCATAACCAACTCGCTCTTTCATCCAACAGAAAGGGGCAAACAAAGAGGGAGAGATGTGCCGAGTTGGCAAGACAACAGTTGCCTACTAATAACGGTACAGTAGCAACTACAAAAGCTTCTGTAGTCTCACGAGGACTCATCTTTTGACGGAATAAAATTGCAGACAATCCGTCTGTTCTTTCTTTCTGTAATTTTCTGTATTCTACTGCAACTTTATTCTCTGTTCGTTTTCTTCACAAGGGGAATCTTTATGATGCTGACGGAGCTAAGGTACGCCCTTAATGCCCTCGCTAGAAGTCAACTTCCTCTTCGATTCATCAGACATCCCTGTCTCATCCTGCTTCTCCCTTTATCTAGAGGGGGAAAGAGGTAGAAATGTCCGATGCCTCGTTGAAGATGTTCAATATTGATGAGGGCACGGAAGCGCGCACTTTAGCTGTGTCATCATCTTGAAGATTGCAATTCGGAAGGAATTTAACTGGCTGCACACAATATCCCTGTTCTCCTCTTCAACCTGTGCGCGCTAGAAAAGGAAATCGTCATAGGGCAAGGTGAATTTGTCTGGGAACTCAGTCTTGGTTAGTTATTGGATACAGGTATCGGTGAGCTGAGTGTATGCGGAGGCCGTGAGATTTGGCGATGATGGAAAGGAAATCTCACGGCCTCGGCATACTCTCAGCTCACCGACGCGTTGGTGCAAGTTGATGGCAGTTGATAGCAGTAATTCACAATTAATTCATGCAGAGGTTTTTCATGACTGTGACATGCAGGCCATTGTAAAATATTGGTGCCTCTGCCAAGCGTTAATTCTGCTTCAAAACATGCTGTGGCACATCGTCACTGGTTCAACGGTGCGGACAGATACTCTGCTCTGGTGTCAATGCCTTTAACAGGCGAACTGGATAGGTACCATACAACGACTCATCTCCTTGCCTAGGACGGCATGTGGCAGGCACTCCGAATCCTAATATAATATATTATGGTATGACCACCGCAGCTAGCAAAACACACCCGTTACACAATGTTTTACACTGGCCGTGATTCTCCTGACTACTGCAGGCGTCCATTTACACCCCAACGCCTAGACTAGGTCTTAGGCCACACACACAATTTCCGTATCTACCTATCAGCCATACATTAGTACATACGCTTTATTCGCAAACCATTTAGCCGAGCGTTGGCGTGAGAGGATATTTTTGTTTTATTACGCGGCAAATCACCCGGTTTTGTTTCGTAGTCGGGCCGCACAAGGTGATGCTGTGTAAGCGCCATAGGTAGCCATCATGCCAAGCGCTGGCACTCAATGAGGCTTCAGACACATGGTGTACTCCCACATCGTGTGCTAATAGCTAAACAACAATCCAAGCCCAATGGGCATCGTCGTATTCTCAACAAACTCTCCAGTAGCTGTCTAGCATCTTACCTTAAGAGTTGAACCAAGCCTACTACTGCTGGAAAGCTAGGCGCCGCCGCCGCGGGTGGATTCCGCAGAGATTGTTGGTTCTGCTTCCGAGATGTGGCGTGAAGAAATGGGCATGATTAGCGTCGATAGCTGGTGTGGATAACGTGGGGAAAAAGCTCCGAATCTGGCTGAGCACCAATCGATGGGGTTGACCTTGTCAGAAACAGACCGTGAATAGGATTTGTACCTGTCTTCGCTTCACATGCACACTGTCGTCGAGATGGACAACTTTTTGAAAAGGAGGAGAAGGATAATGATAATGATAATGATAACACGCCAAATATTGAGAGTGTGGTATTAACTATATGGCCTCTCATCTGTCGCTGGGAATGGCAGTATCATCTATAAGAACCCCCAACTCCCCCGCTAGTGCCAGCGCCAGTGGCAATGCTTTCCGAGTGCCATCCTCTCAACTGCACATCACGCCACTTGAAAACATTCTAAAGCACACCCAATAACAATTTTTTTTTTTTGTCCCTGCTGGTTGCTTAGCAGCGTAACCAATGGGCACGAAGAGTAGCAGAAAGCTACTCAGACTTTGAAAACCAATTCCAAAAAAGAAAAGAAAAAGAGAAAAAAGAAAAACCCATAGTCCAACCCCAACACCAAGCTAAAAGAAAGCAGCGCAAATGGAATGTGTCAGAAGTCTAGGTATTAGTCGTTGAACAGATCACTGGTATACCTATCCCTCATTTGTTGTTGGTAATTGGAGAAAATCGCCGTCATCTTCTGCACAAGAAAGCCGGTGATTGGTTCCAAGTTGTATCGGGGCGAAAAGACGCCCATTTGCTCCAAGTCGACAATGACTATCTTGTCACCCACAAGATGAAAGTTGTCCAGTCTCATGTCGTTCTGGTAGTAGCCCAAGGAAGCCACCGTAGAGATTGTGTGGCGAAACAGCTTCTCGACAGCGGGAGCAATCGACGCGTCGTCTCCATCAATGTCGGCCATGCAGATACCGCCAACATCTGACAACACATGGCTTTTAACGCCGTTGAACTCGGTGGCTCCGAGGTACTGTGGGATATAGATGCCTTGTAGTGGCTCCAGGGCTCGATAGAACTTGATTTCAGCGTGGAATTCATTCACCCAATTGGGCTTTTGCGTCTTCAGCACGATATTGCGAGGGAGGTACCACTCCGGAAACCATTTCTGTAGACGGGGCTGTGCGAACTTGGGACAGATGGACAAAGCTGCGGTGACGACTTTGTCGAACCACTTGGGTTGGATCGTCAAACGGCGAACATTGCGATGTTTGGAGTTGTAGACTTCCCCAACGCCTGTGATCGAACGCGTGCGAAGCCGGAAAGTCTGTTTCCAACACGCAGCATCGTTAGCAGAGTATAAAGCACATGCTTGCTTATACAGGCTCAGATGAACCTACGACAGTTTCCACAGGCCTGGGAGGCGAGGCTGCTCGCTCCCGATACAGTCCGGGTGGGATATCAGACATTGGGCTGGCAGCCTCCAAGATGCAGACACGCAACGAGATGGCCAGATATAGGGGATGGAAAGCGAACAAGGTGAGAAGAGAATTGATAGCCAAACACCAAATTGTTAAGATGAAGAAAAGGATTGAAAGTAAGTAGGAGGAGAGGAAGAAAGCAGAGGAGGCAAGATTTAAAATTAACCTTCGGGTTTGTGTGACGGTAGGCGGGCAAGTTTATACTTGAGGAGGTGCAGGCGGCTTGCCAAGCCAATCACCCGCAACATCAGACGCTGGAGACTGTGACGGAACAACCAGCTTATCGATATGCAAGCTGCAGGAACAAGCAACTTAAATGCGCGGCCCAGAGCTTAGTGGTTCGCATCGTCATGGCTCTAAATATATGTTTGCTCGTTAGCCGTCCAGGAGTGCGCTAGCAGAAAAGTCAAAAAAGCCAGACGGCACAAGCCGAGCGAGCCAGGGCGTGATATCATAGATAGAGATAGAGTGTGTGCAATATGCAATATGCTGGTTGTTGATATCGCATGAGCTTTGAGTGATACGAGTCTCTACAATCTGCTTGATGTGATGTCGTTGAACTCTTTTTGGCTGCGTGGACGGCAGATCGAAGCCACAATAGAGAGAGATGTGGCGAGGCGAGGCTCGGGCCGAGATTGACGATTAGATATTCTCAAGGTTCGTCAAGCCCCCAAAAAAGCCCCGTAAGAAGGGTCGTATTTATGGTCGGGTCGGGCCGTAGAAGAGAAAACCGTGTCCATACAATCCAAACGCTTCGTGTTTTTTTTTTTTTTTTTGCCGAGCACCTATTAATTGCCTCTAAGGTCACGCTGATATGAGGTGGTCGATCTGTTGATTCGTTGAACGATCCGATGGGGCATGTATCGTCGATTGGTATCGTCTCGTCTCGCCTCGCCTCGTCTCGTCTTGTCTTACCGACGGTTGGCTATTTCGTTTTGAATATCCACCTTGGAAAGTTTCCAGCTTGTTTCGAAATTTTTAGCATAACCATGTACTCCTAGAAGCCACTGGAATCTATTAAAGGGATGGATCTCGATGGACAAAATCTCGTTAACAATATCAGGCGTTTCTGTCAAACAACCTACTATTATTTGGACAATCTTGATCATCAATGACAAGTGTACAAGAGCAGGCCGAGATGGGGCAAAGGAAGAGACGCATGTATTTTTCACAGAATCAAGATTAACATACTGTCATCCAGCACCCTCTCTCCCAGACGGATTGTGATGTGAAAAGCAATACTTACATTGGAACACAATTTCAAAACGTGATATTCAAATACTCAGTGAGCTTGTGGAATAGATTAACACAGATATGGTGCACTCATGCAATTCCAAATGTAGTTAGAAGTAGACTCGCAACGTCTTCAGCACTGATGGCAGCTAGACTGCAAGGTGCATGTCTCCCGCAACATGGGCCGCCGTGTTGAGTCCAATAGCTGCGACTGTCGTTTGTGCGTGCCTCATTCAGCAAGAAGGATAGGACTGAGACATCTGAGAATACAAGTATGCTCGAGCCGCGCGATACATTTCCAAGATTGTTTCGGCTTTGACGTTGCTGGCAACTTGTCACATTCTAGATAGATATCACGTGCTCTAGGCAGCTGCTCCTTCTCTGCCTCACAGCCTGCCACCTAAGCCTTCGTCCCTTTTAGTGGTGTTGAAGTTATACGTGAATTTAGGGAAAAAATGTCTAGAAACTGAAAGAAGCAAGTGGAAGGGGAGAGAGAGAAAGGAAAAGAAGAAGAAAAAAGAAGCCTCGTAAAATATTCATAAAATAAAAATAACCACTGATCAAAAGTCGCCATAACCAGAGACGGCAAACAGACAAGATGGCGAAGAAAGGAAACAGGCAGACAGATAAAAGAAGAAACAAAAATAATCACACAAAGAAAAGAAACCACTTGGAGCCGGCAAGACTGGAGCATCATTTTCAAATCTATCCAAGTTTGCACGCTCTATATATCCAGAACCCCAAAAACAAGGTCAGGTAAATAGTTGTAGCAGTATTTGTCATAACCATCGGTCTCTAAATGGCCGATTCGATCTCTCCAGCGAGACCCTATGTACATACATGAGAAAAAATAGGTAAGCGGCGTGCAATGTTTTTTTTATGTCTATGCTTTCGCTCGCTCTTTCAAACAGTACTCCTTCAAGTAGCCCAGACAACGACAAAGGTCAGCCTTCTTAATAAACGCCTTTACACGCATCGCATCGCATCGCATCGCCGAAAACAGAGCCAGTCCGTCGCTCTCCTACCACATATGACGAATGATTCAGGATATTGAGGACAGCCGGCACTCATATACACACTAGGCTGTTTGTGATATGCACGCGCATCAGGTGATGGCAATTGTCCCTCATGGGATTCGCGCGCGACTGATTATAAATAAAAAAAAAAACAAGACTAAAGAAATGAGAGAGAAAAAAAAGAGATGTGCGTCATTGTAGGTCTATAGAACGGTCAAGGTCGGACTTGTTTAGTCGTAACCGGCACCACGCTGCCAGGGGCTATACACATTAGTCTATTAGTATTGCATATTCTTGTTGCGCGTAAGATGGCTGATATCAGGAGAGAAACAAACGTACCTTGCGTTGTTTTGTGCTCGGTAGCCACCGGGGCTCGTGTTGTGGTTGCTGCCATACGAAGGAACGCGCCCAATTGGCGCTGGTGATGAGCCGTGACCGTATGATGAATGGGACTGCTGGTCGTTGGCTGGGAAGAGTGGCACAGATGGGTTGACGGGGGATACCGAACGAGTCGGCTGGTAGAAGCCAGCTTGAGGGTTCATGGTCTGAGGAGCATAAGCCATGCTGGTAGTGGTTTCCGTAGGGTGGCGCATTTCGTCAGATGCAATCGATTCTTCGTCTCCGAGCTTGTAAGATGCCTTGTCGCCTCTAGCGGTAGCTGCCAATGCGTCTAATTCAGTGGCAGCGCCATTGTTGAGCTGGGTTTGTGACTTCATAAACGACGCCCGGTCATCTGCCATGAACTGGTACCGGGCATCGGGGTTCTTGCGCACGATGGAATAAATAGTTGAGGCGACAACCATGAGCAGAAGGACCGTGGAGAAGATGGCATTGAGGACGAATAAAATGACGCCAACAACACCAATAGCCAACAAAGGCGCGCCGAAAACGTTGGTAAAGATGAGCAAGAAGATGGAGTTCAAGAAGTTGATGACGTAAATGGCAATGTTGAACGAGTTGGTCTTCTTATCCATCCACGGGCGCAACACCGACGCGGCAATGAGCATGCCAATCTCGAGGATGATGAAGCCGACAGCTTGGGCGACGCCAGTCTTCTGCGCAAAAGCCACAAACATGGCTTTGACAAGGGTGTACAGCAGGATGGGTCCGATGAAGTAGTAGGCAGAGGCACGAAACTGCACGTACAAAAAGCCCCATTTGTTAAGAGCCTGGGGGTCTGAGAAGAGGATGTAGGCTGCGTTTCCGTGCATGTTGATGGATCGACGGGCAATCTGAATCACCTTGCTAGCTCCCCAGGCAAGGGCAATAAGTGGACAAAAGAAATAGAAGACGGCAAGCACAACTTCGGCAGGGGAGTCGCGTTGCGTGAATTCCCAGAGACATAGGATAGAAAGCTGCGGGAAACCGATGAGGGCGATACGGTAGAGGATACCCTTGAGAACGGTACGCCAACCGTTGCGGAACTCGAGGAACTTGTCTGATTTCATGACGCCCTGCTTGGCCAAGCCTTCCAAAGCAAACTTGAACAAGGTGATGCCAAGCATGGTCAAGATGGCAAAGAGCCAAAAGAAAGTCAGACCTGTGAGAAAGAGGTTGGTGGTTTCAACCTTGGCCTTGAAAGCCACACGCTGAATTCCGTAGACAACATAGCCTCCAGCCGGGGACAAGATGTTGCCGCTTCGTTTCAGAATATGCATGGCAGACGCAGGCATGAGAGCGAGACCGCGCCTCATCAGTTCCTTGCCAGCACCGAGACCAGCATCCAGACCACGCTTCTGGACAGAGACGGAAACAGATCCGAGCGAGCTAAAGAGAGTGGCCGGGGTGCCGCCCGTAGCACGCTGATACCAGGTGAAGATGGTCTGCATGAAGCCGACGTGGATGATGCCCATAGACCACTGGAAGTTTTGAGTCCAAGCCTGAGCGATGGGAGGCAGCTCTACGCCAGTCAAACCGAGCATGGCCTGGGCCTGGAAATAGCCAAAGAGGGAGAGCGAGAGGGCAGCAACGTGGGCAGCGGTGTTGGAGTGGCCGAGTCCGTTGAAGACGGCGGATGAAACCAAAGCAATACCGGCAATAATGGCTGTAGCCCATTTCACACCAACCAGATCAACTGTCAAGCCGTTGGAGATGTTGGCTTCGACGCAAGCAATACTTTCGTGGGTGCTTGTGAGGTTAACGCGTACCCTGACCATAGCATCCAGATCAGGAATGGTGTAGGCGATGGAGGGAATCGATTTGGCTGCATCTGCGGGGACATTGAGGCTGAACGGAAGATTCAACTTGGCAGCAGCCGTCATGGGACACATGCCAGCTAGCTTGATCTTGCACGGGTCGATAGTGGTCTTGAGAAAGGTGTATCCGTAAGCCGAAGCTTCGATATCGAACATGACGTAGCCTGTAACAGAGGAGGTGGCTACCAGATTGATGGTGGCCGAGTTGTTATTCGGGGTGTAGACGGCGTTGAAGAAACTGGCCTGAAGACCTGAGTTGTCCTGGCAGGTATTGAGAGAGGTGGAGGCAAGCATCTTTTCAGCAGCAGAGACTGGCGATAGCAGAGTAGCCATTGCGGCCAAGAAGAGCGGACCGCTCCTCGACGAGAACCACATGTTGCCGGTGATTTGTCGTTGTTGCTAGCTATTCTTCAATGACGTGATTTGTCTATGTTTGTTGGTAAATATTGGAGATGTAGCAGGAAGACACGAATTGTTGTCGGAAGAGGCAAGAAATGGTAGCGCAATTGAGGAGCCGTTATCGTCCTGCGGAACGTCTCTTTTGCTTTAGAAATTAAGTGAGATTGTACAACGAGTTGACATCCAACGACGAGGTCGGAAGATGATGGTCCGGCCAAAGGGGTTCTTTTCGGTGTCGCGGGGGGGGGGGGGGGGGGAATCAGTTCACGGTGCAGTGACTGGTGCGATTGTCTGGGTCGGGAACGATTGTAGGACCTTTTTGGTTTGTTTGCGGGAGTATCGTCGTCGATGTTGTCGTCGTCGTCGGGGTATGGCGATTTGGGGAAGCGATCGGAAGCACCGTTGTTTGTGTGGTAACACGGCAGCGAAAAAAGGAGATACGAAGAGAAAATAAAAAGGGTTAAAAAAAGAAGTTCGAGATAAGAATTGCGAGATTTAGAATAAGAGATCAAAGCGAGCGAACATGTTTATCATGAAGGTAAACCAATGGTTGGATCTGTCGCCAAATCGTCCACCCACACACAATGGAAAAGTCTGGGGGAAGGAGGAAGAACGGGACAGCGACAGAAATCCGGCGTAGGGTGGGAAAATGAGCGACTAGAGCGGAGAGAGAGCGTGCAGAGTGGAAAACGAGCGTCGAGCGTTGTGGTTGATGCAGATTGTGACGAGTACGCGTCCATGGGTGGTGGCTGAGTCCCCCGAAAGCGCCGTTTCAGGGCCGTATGAAAGTGGTATCCGCTCGCAGATCGAGCAAAGTGGACGGTCTTGACGGCATCGCACGCATAAACCGTCGAGGATACGAGGCCGCCGAGCACTGCTGGCGCGCCGCTCTCCGTGCTAGTAGATTAAAATAAAATACGGGGCGCTGGCTTCTCCTGAAAAGAGTAGGAAATGGCACGCTCATTCGACGAGGCGAAACGAGAACGGGGGACCCCTGGCCAGGCCAGTGCTTCGCTGCTGCTCGTAACTGGTCGCTGCCAGTAAGCGTTGTTTAGTTTCCCGGTTCAGGGGGGCAGCAGATCCATACCGTGTGTGTGCCGTGGCCGTCTCACATTTCAAAGGCGGATCTTGCACCACTTTTTTTTCTTTTGCTGTATAAATAGCGCGGAGGATACGATGGAAAGACGAGATGGCCGGGGAGGGAATGCCGTGATGGGCATCTCCTAGTCGCATCCCCAGAGTGAGATGGAACGGGAGGAGAAGAAAGGCTTGAAGCTTGTTTGCCCTCTCTTCCATTCCTCTAGCCTGCCAAGCCTGCGTGCGCACATAAATTAGAAGAACGGACACTCACGCTCTGCGGTACACCTGCCTCTACCGTCCTAATTTCCCTTGCCAGAAACGCGCCAGGTACTGCCCTGACAGGCCCAGCTGTGGCCAATCATACGCCGGGATTTTCGTACTAATTACCCGCGCTTGCACCATTTATGCACTGCCGCAACTCCGTGACGTGCATCGCCTCGTTATTGATACTGTAGAGATGGAAGGTGCAGTCCCGGCAGCCCTTGGCAGCCCTTGGCAGGTGGCAGTGGAGGACTAGGGAAATACGGAAAGCAGTTCGTATCTGCACGTGCTGATTCGAATCCGCACACTACTGGGTACCTAGGTACTTCGTATCTACACACTGCTAAGCCTACAGTATGTACACCTCTTGAAGAAGTGAGGGGGGGATAGTTATAAGAAAAAATAATGATAATAAGAGCAGGTTGATGAATGCTTATTTTATAATACCTATCGATAATCTATTGTTGGAGGGGCAGTAATATCCAAGTATTAGGTACCTGTTCTGCTGCTAGACAACCCTCCGCAATACTCCAAAGGTACCCGTTGATTTAATGTGCAGCCTTACAGTACTTAGTATCTACATAATCACTTTGCAATACTTGAGTGAGAGAGTTCGTTAGAGAAATATTTCATATACAGGAACATCTGCTACCCTGTATTCGCTGTCAAATAATATATGCATAGTAAAAAAAATTCCGGGCTTCACATTGTATGATGGTTGGGCTTCTCAGCATCACCTTAATTAATAGCCTCTCGGGTAAGCATGCGACTGAGCGTTTTCCACGATATACTCGAAAAGAGANAAAAAAAAAAAAAAAAAAAAAAAAAAAAAAAAAAAAAAAAATAGAGACGACACATGATACATACCAAAGCGATCATGTATCAAGCCTGTTGCTCCCGAAAGTTCACATCCTTCCAATGGTTTAATACCAGTAGTCTCCATATTGACAAAGGCTTTCAGCCTCTCACTTACGACATGGCGTCTTGAGGATCAGACACTGCCATGACAAGGCGACACCATGTCTCAAAAATTGGTCATGCCTTGCGCCCGAAAATTTGCGGCCTTCCAATCATTTAGCCACCAGACTCCATAAGGGCAGAGATGAGTGAAAGGTGGCACTGAGACATGCGTCCGAAAAATCACGGCCTTCCAATCATTTAGCCATCTGACTCAAGCCTGATCAGCCTCGCTTGCGATGAGGCTCGAAAGAAGGAAAAAGAAGAGGAGATCGGTTACGGAATTTCCTATTGTGCTCGATAGGATACCTGCATGTCTGGGAGAATGATCTCCCTTGCGCCCGAAAGTTCTCGGGCTTCCTATCATTTTGATACATGGGTTCTACATCTACTAGAATTTTTGAGCTATGAATGAGACCTTGCCTTAGCAAGCCAGGCAGCTGACCAGCCCGACATTTGTGCTGGCGCTTAATGCAATGCCTTGGAAAAGGAAGATTAGGTACAGATAGGCGCTTGGCTGCCTTAGTCCCACCGAGCGAGATTAATCTCACTCCAGTATCTTCCTTCATATAGCATCAAAGCATGTACCCCTCGGGCTCCCTTATCTTCGTTTTCAGGACCAGCAGCAGAGGTATACGCCCTTGGGATGCCTCTGTTCAAGCAGAGCTGAAGATGTAACACCTCCTCGTACGATCTTCTCTGATCTCGATATTCCGTTGCGCACATCGCCACATTGTCTCTTCTTACCAGTGCGGTTATCGTGACTAAATCTTGTGGACTATAGACCGTTTATAATCTACCATCATGACGTAGCTAGTTCCTGTTTATAGGGCATGTTGCGAGTCTCGGCATCATAGTGCAGAATCTCAAGCTCTCGAATCTCTTGAAACACATTGGAGGCTTTCGCGATGAGGGTTTCCTTGGGCGGCGTCTGCGCACACTCATGTAAAGGATCGCCTCCACAGTTCATAAGCAAGGAGCAGTGATAGTCGCGACTACTATAGTGTACCGCTTGATCCAGGCGCAGGTAACCAGGGCATACAGGGAGGGATATGCGTGCCCTGAATTGAGTCGAGGCGGCGGTACACTCTGGGCTCACGCTTAGCCTTCTTGTAGTTTTATCTCCTATGGTTTTTACTACAAGTGTGTAGCCATGGACTGGCAGGGCATTGGTTGATGATGGACAGGTATCTTTTTGCAGTTTGGATGCTGTGACAGAACGAGTCCGAATTAGCCCGCGAGCGAAACAATACCGTTTGCGGAGGCATTAAGGAATAACTTTACCAATATTCGAAGACATGGTGAAGGAGAAGTGTTGCTCTGTGTCTTGTTTTGTCTCGAGTATAAGTTGTAAGTTATAAGCGATGATGCAAAGTAAGTAGAGTCTATTAAGACCTTATGTTTTGATGGCCGAGCTCACTGCCATAAAAGATAGCAAACACTTACCTGCTCCTTCCTCCCTAGTAATTAATTCAGCATAACGAAACATTATAACTGATATTTCTTCACATTACACATCTTGTGAAGCTCATCCCATCGGCAGGTAAAGACCAGAGGCGTAGCGACAAAGCAGCCATATCGGAACCAAGCAAACAAACATAGATGGGCTGCATAAATGCCAAATTTTCTGTAAAATCCCACCATAATAATGAAATTGTGAGAGGATACTTGACTGCACTCTGAAATTGACTGACTGATCGATTCATGGGGTTGGCCTCAATATCTCCCTGGCCTTTGCTGCTGCAATTTTAGGGCTTAACCCAATCGATCGCGGATCAGGATTCTTACAATAAACGCGTCTGGTCAAGGCCTACGCTGGAATAACGGGCTCTCCTTTGCATCTTGCCCACTTCTCGCCACTTGGTATCGGCACCGGCATCAGTACCAGTATCAAGTCTTGTACCTATACCTGTACTATCAGCAACTTCTATGTCAACTTGCTTCAAGCTGTGCCCATAAGAGACGAGAGACCCCCTTCGCTTTCCCCTTGCAAACGCTAACCTGTTTTGCGACATGCATCGCCTAGCTGCATGATTCCTCCACCGGGTACTCCACCAGGACCTGCAGTAGCCCAATGGAAGCGGAGCACTATGGGCGGCAACGTGGGAGGGGCAGCCTCGTCTGTGTTGAAGGCGTGGCTGCTTGATAGCAGTAGCTGTATAAGATGCTTGAAACCGTAGGAATCGTCCGGGGCATGGATAGAATGGAGGGGGCGTGTACGCCGTTGGAAAGTGTCTAGTATATGTTTGGACGAGTTAGTTGGTAATAGGAAGCAAAATAGACCCCTTGTCCTGGCAGAGTGGCATCGAGTAGTAGGTAGAGAGCACATAATCCTACCCTCGAAGTAAGCACATAAAAATTTAAAAAGGAAAGGGTAGGACTCGGAGACATTCTCTTGGACGCACGTCTCTGCTTCAGCCTCCAGTCGGGCATCAACTGCTCCGTACCAAGATAGGCAGGCAATGGCAAGCAGCGACGAGTACTGTAAGTAGTACTACTCCACAGTAGAAAACAATAATCCTTTCTTTTGCTTCAGGGTGGGCAGATTTGCGTCTCAGCCACTTGACCAGTACTTACTCGTATTATATGTACTTCCACACACGGCTCAACCTCCAAGTTGCCCCCAAATCAACAATCTGGCAACACTGAGTCTATCTCAAATGTCACGACTCTCGGCAGCCGATTCCGCTCCCCCACGATCCATCATGTGTCGTATGTGCTAGTGAAAGTGGCTACATGATTCAGCCGGCATATAGAGTGCTGATAGTAATACTACTTGAAGCAGTGTGATTGCCGCAAGTTGTAGTATCTGCGAGTTGACGTGTACAACCGTGTGCTTCTGCTTGTGATTAGCACCTACATCTATATGATACCTGCCTACATATGTGCTCTGCATGCGTGACCGAATTGCAGCTGCGGCTATAGCGAAATAAGGATTAGTCCTTGGCCCCCAAGACTGGCAGCAAGCATCAGCATGACAACCATATCCAAGCCGGGAAATAATGGGCTAACCGACTCCTCTCGGATCTCCCATGTTAGCAGCCGGAATACTAATATTAATACCTATTGCCCAGGTATACTCAATACTTGCTGCACAATGCATGTCGTCTTGCTTTGCGTTCACTCTCCAATATTCGTCATGATACTGTTCTGGCTCGCACGTAGTAGGCAGGCAGGTGGGTAGGTAGGTATTGTTGCGTGCCTATGGCCTATACCTCTTACAAGTAAGCAATATACACAACCAAGTAATATACCAAGCACGCCGCAAACACACATAACTCACCTCCTTTCTATGCATATTTCATAACAGCTTCTCATGCCCACATCTGCCCTAATGCAAAAGCCTGCAATCCATCGTAGCCATCGTGATTTCGTGATAAAAAGCCACAGCGCAGCGTGCAGCCATGTTTCGGCCAAGGAAAGCTACACGGCGCCAGCTCCTATCCTGCCATTGGCCATGCAATTAAGTCCTGCATCGCTTCAGCCATACAGGCATCATGCCACTTCAATGGTGATAAGTCATCTTTGCTCATAATACTACTAGAATAGTAGTAGCAGTTAGTACGGGGAATTATCAGTAGGATAGCATGCTCTCGCCTTGTCTCGACATGCGTTTTCTCTCCCTCGCATACGGACCCCTCCACTCTCGCATCATACTCGTTTCTTTTTCTCTCTTTCAGCTCTTGGCCACTGCTGCTATTGCCATGCCACTTTGATGCAGCCGGTGAGGGAATGCCAATAGGAACCCGTCCGACAATGGGCCCTTGGTCCAATAGTGCTGAGACAAGAATCTCATCTCCCCTATTTCCGGCATCACCAAATTGCATTTCCTAGCTTAACAAGGCTTTGTAGATGTCATGTAGGTCGGTGACTTACGCTAGATTCCACATATCATGCCTTGATTCGGCATTCAGTTGCCCATCTCTCATCCCATTGGGTTCTATGGCTTTCCATCCATGGGTGGGAATGAGTGCGGCGTTTCTAGTTCCAGAGAGAGAGAGAGAAAACGTCTATATAAGCGCGCCTCTTCTTTCCACTTGATTCAATTCTTCGTTCTCTTCATCTCCATCCTCAGCCCTGACTGGCATACTTTGTCGAGATTTTGACTTCCCCCCAAGTGATCTCTATCCCTGGGGGGCACCTCAAAGGTAAGTAGCAATGTGATCTGCTTCTCATGGGATGTTGCTAAAAATATCATGACAGGTTGCCTCCCAGGGGAAACATGCCCATATTGAGCCATTTTTGGCGTTTCCTTTTCGTTATCACAACATAGAATGCGAGTAAGTGAACAAGCCGCCATTTTTATGCTTTCAAAAGCAAGAGTTAACAATTCCATCATTGACAGACGGTCCATCTGATCGCAAAAACTCCCCCACTATCAGCATGATCATGGTAAAAAAGACTAAAAAAAATGACGCTCGAATTGTGAAAAGTTATGGTCGTGCTGAAAGGGGGGAGGACCGCAAAAAAATAGTAGCTCCAATGAGAGAAAAAAAAAAAAACCCCCCACAAAACCTCTCCTTAAAAAAATATGAAAAGGAAAAACCCTTCCAAAAAAAGCAGCTCCGACTAAAGAAGAGGGTATTCCCTCTTGAAATACCTCGGTTGTATCTATCTGTAATGATAGACGGCCCCCAAGAGGTAAATGTTAGCCATGGCATCAATTTCCATGCTTTCTTGGGGGCTGGATTCCCGGCAAGTAATTATCTTGCCAATTATGCCTCGTCGAATGCTGGTCCAGATCATCAGGCTTTCAGCATTCTCACAATTCAAATCAGGCATCTCTGGTTTCATCTACCTGAAAAGGTAGACAGTCTTTCAAGAGGCAAGTACTTACCATGGCATGGCTCTTGGAAGGCCTGGGGGATTGTTTTATGTCCAAAGAATTGCTCCTATTGGGTCTTTTTCTTTTGATATGAATCTCTTCCGACTCTTGCCTGCTTCACCTTTTTATGAAGCAGTTTGTTTCAGGTTTCATCTATCGAAGACACCGGTTCAAAGTGGCCAGAAAGAGCAAAACTGTCTTCTGGTGATAAATATCTTCGATTCATACGTTTCCCTTTCATTGCTAGGTGGCTCTGCACAAGATTCTTTGTCATCTCTGCTACTCACTAGCTAATCTCATTAATTCTTATGAGTACCTGTAGGGCGAGGGGTATGCATGGAAATTGCTGTACAATCAGTTGGAGAGAGAAATCCGATTTCTCTTTTCCCTCTTGATCTGCCTTTCTTTCCGTACGACGTACCTCGGCTGCGTATCAATTACGATAGGCGACACAACCCAGCAATGAAAGAGAAATATTTTGCGTAACAACTGCTGCTCTAGCAACTGTACTTTTCTCTGGTACGCTTGTCTTTTGCTTTATGCGCGGTGTCGCGTAAATTGGGTATTTCATGATGGTTCTTCAGCGTCTTGGAGAGAAAGACTAGAGCACTTCTGATAGTCAAGGGGAACAGAGGTTGTTGAAACACCATGATAATGCCTTGTGGAGGGGAGGAAAGTCTCTTTCTTGGCCCCGAGGAAAAGGATAGCGACATAGGGGAGGGATATTGCCAAAGATCAATCTGCTATGTCAGCTATATTCATTCATTTTTATCAGTAGTGGGGTCTTCTGGAAGATCCTGATGACGGAAATTGGGTTAGATGATTGGAACTGGATGGTCGGACGGGCACTGGGATAGGGTATTGGGACAGAGTATTGGGATGGAAAATTGGGGTGGACAATGGGATGAATGTGACTGTTTGGGGATGGATGATCTCTGGTATAAAGGGACTCTAGCAGGGTTCGGAATGCTGGAATAGGAGCGCTCTCTTTCGTAGATAGATAGGTAACTAGAAAATAGGAATGAAAATTTCGTTCCGTCCACCTTCCTCCCCCCTGTACCGTCACAATGGGCAGCTTGAGAGGAATCAACAACACAACACATTGTCTTCAGATTGAGGAGCCCCTTCCGTGTCATTTTTCGTAGTTAAGAAGCATAAGCCAGTATGATAATCCAAGCCCTCGACAAAAGATGAGCCGAAACACAAGGCTGCTCAACATATTGAAGATGAATCTCATTTTCATAAGCCCACAAAGAGAAATTTATGCAATGTTCTCTCTTATAAACACCAAACGCGAGCTATCACAAGGTTCTGCTGGACACGTGCCTTCTTCTCCGCCTCTTCATCATCTTTGCTTTCTGCAAACTGCAAGATATATAATTGTGTCTGACTGATGAGTTTGGACACATGCGCTGCGTCGTACTCATGGAGAGAGACAATGGGCCACACAGCTCTCTTACACTGCAGTTCCTGGCGCACAGCGAGTGACTGAGAGTGAACAAGTGGGTTGTCCTGTACTGACCAGTATTAGCGTCGAAGTCTACGCCTCATCGAGGCTCGTGCAGCCTTCCCTACAGCTACAACACTTGTCGTAGCAGTATCCATGATTCTGACGATTACATCAGATGAAAACATCTCATCATAGTAGATATCTCATGTCATGCGCCCAGCTACTGTAACATCTCTAGTCTCGACATAACTTTCAGCCCGTGGCGGACACACGCAAGACGCAGAGAGAGGGCCTTTAGGCCTTTAATAACAAGCGCCACCAACAGCATTTGTTAGCACCGCTAATCAGGAGGAAGCTGGATGATGCGGATGAGCTAAAGCGACGCCGGCACTAGTGGATGCTGTGCTGCTTGCGGATACAGTAACACAAGCAAAGAGTGGAAGCTTCGTCCCGTTGTGTTTAACACCCATCTTTCTTTCATGTTTTATCTGTCCACTTCCCCTATGATACTGCACCGAAAACTCAACTTTCAACTTTGCTTTCAATAATCCCTGGTCTTTGAAAGATGTTGCTTCCACCTCTCTTCTCCACAATGCCCCGCGCTCCGTGCCGCATCGGCCGGTGGTTCAAAAGGAGTAAGAAACCCTGCGGATCATGGGTCGCTCGCCGGGGCACCTTTAAAATTGGAAGCTATTGGATCGGCGCCCAACAAGAGCTGATCGTCAGCCCTATAATTAAAGTGCAACGTAGCTGTAGTCGTAGCGTGCGTGGCGATATGCGGTGTGGTTGTGGCGTGTAAGTTGGATCGTGTGAGATAATGCATGCCGGAAGCTGTAGAAGCCGGCGTCCATCCATGTGCTGTTGGTCGACATATCAATCTCTTCAACTTGGTCTAATATTAGTTTTTCGTTCGGCTTCGCCGTAGGGTCGCAAACTCCTGCACCATCTAGAGCTTTCTTGGCTCTATGTCTTTTGTACGTTGCTATTTGTTTGTTGGTTCATCTCATAGTACCATTTCCTCTAAATAGAAACATGCTAAGCTTGTTAGCACTAATTTGTGGAAATGTCTATTCCATCCCCCGCATCTCCGCTCTATCTTTGTGGAAAACGCCTCAAGTGTTGCCCTCATTAGCAAGCTCTCCTAGTAAAGTGACATCATCTCCAGCCAACAGCAGCAAATGAAGAGAGCTTGTCGTAGCAGCAGCAGCAATAGCAGTGGTGGTGTGAACAACAGTAGTAGAATGCTTGAAGCATTTGTGGCATGTATAAGGGATAGGAGGATAAGCAGGAGCTTTAAACTCCCCTAAGCTACCACCTTTTAGTAATGGCCACGTACTTTTCTCTCCTTATCCTAGTTTTCTTGATCGCTTCTCTAATACGCTTCATAAACGTCCAATGACAGCTTTTGGAAGCCGCGCTTAGAATGCTTGAGAAGGGCATTCTTTCATTCTTTACAACGAAACTGGAAGGCTTCTTCCTGGTCAGAGGTTTGGCAAAGCACGCGCCATTTTGCCCAAATACAGGTACCCTGGATACATCGTCACACATGAGGCTTCTGTTTGAATGGCTTTGTTTATGCTCTCCTCAGCACGTGGTGTTGTTGGTGGCGTCGTTTTTTTCTTGAACAAAACAAGAGGAGACATCAAACTCTCTTCATTCTTTAGATTTCGAGCTTGATAAACCTAATAGCCTTCAGCTTGTGGCTTGTCCAAACCACGTGGAAAGGGCGGCTCTCCCGAGGGCGATCTCACGATGGTATGGCAGCTACCAATACGATCCGCTTTGTCATATCTCAATCTCACCCCTCCCCCTCCAGCTTCTCCAAATTCTCTAAAGCATCTAGAAGCTAGCAGGGAAACGAGCCCAACATGTGTTGGCTTTAAGGATGGAGACCTAAACTCTGTTTCTCAGCTAGAATTAGTCCGCGGCGTTACACTTAGGCTAACAGCAAACACGCCCGCCGTTTTCGGAGTAATTGCCCTTATAATGATACCCCATGTCGTGAAAACAAAAAAATCAGGGCGGACACCGTTGATATGCTGCAGTTTTCTCAGGATTCAGTGCTTCGTTAGCAGCAAAAGGTGGCTGAAGCAGCTTCGAAATCCATTGCATACTAAGACGGATAAAGGGCGGCTGAAACAAAAAGAACATGGTAAGTCAGGCACCAATATGTCAGCTAAGAGCTCTGAAAAAGTCCGTATACGAGCGAGCAAATGACTCCACGCAACTTCGTTTCTGCAACTCATACGCCTGCAGGCAAATGTGTGCTGTCAGTATGTCCTGCTTCGACTGAGCCAAAGTTAGCCAAGAGCGACTACTCATTTGAGAGGCCATGTGAGTAAGATCTTTTCAGAGCATAGATACGAAATAATTTGTTAGCAATGGTAATCCGTCATAGCAAGTGAACATGGTTCTCAGACACGTCAATGGATTGCTGAGCTTGTAGTGATATCTAATTAATAAAGCAAAACCCGCTTCTCTCTTTTCTCTTCTCTCTTCTCTCAATGTCTCTTGTAGATGACCATTAGGCTTGTGTGTCGCCTCAGCGTCGGTCTCAGCTTCGTTAGCCTTAGCTAGACTTTGTATTTGGACTTGTACTCTGTGGTCTTCATCATCGTGACCCCTTTTCAGCCTTCACGCTCCCTTTATTGATGTCATTCGTGATCATGCCCCCTCTTCGATCAAAATTGAGCAAATGTCAGAGTCGAATTTCGAAATGGAATCAGCGCCCCAATCACCGCTGGCACGTAGTATGCAGACCGATTGATTAAATCTCCAGTCAGCAGCCCTATTGATCCGCTGTGCTGCCTCGAGTTTTCGCTGCCAAACACCTGATCGCCTGCTGGTCCCAACTCCATGCCACTGCGCACTAGCCTCGCTACTTCTTCTGGCTGGAAGAATGCTGCTGTGCGAGCCCGGCCCATCCTCTCGGACTTGGTGGTAGATTCAGCTGCTGATTCGGATTGCTTGCCCAGCACAACAACCCAGGCAAATGTTTCCATGGCATCTCCACTGTCGTCTACACCGCCCTCGATGCCAACCCAGTAGTCGGCGTCTGGCTTTGCTTCGCGGGCGTTGCGAGCTCGATTCCTGGCTCCCTGCAGGGTTTCCGCGTCCGTCATAGGCTGGTCAGCAACGCCAGACGGCACGTTCAGCCCGGTGAAGGAGAATGGCTGAGAGGGAAACATGCCGCTGAAGCCCTCCCTTGCGGCTGAGATCTTGACGGGGTTGTGCGAAGCCACAACGACTTGGGTGGCCTGCTCTGCCATTTTCTCTCGTATCTCTTGGTTTCTTGCAAGCAGTAGAGAAATAATTGCGTCGTAGACTTGCACAAGAAAAAGTCGCTCGCTAATCGCAATCTTGGGGTGCTTGTTATTGCGCAGAGTTCACGATGTAACCGTTTTTTTTTTATATAAATGTTCTAAGCACAATAGCTGCGTCGCCTTGGGGTTGTCGAGCGGGACTAACAATTGAGTGAGTCTTACGCCGCCATGTCCCCGCTATTTACCCAACTCGGGGGGAGAAGCCGGGAGTAAACCACCCCTGGCAAAGTGCATATAGCGTCTTGGCGCAAAATACTGCCGCAGAAAACGAGAGGCAAGAAAGATTGGATAGGGAGAAGAAGAGCAGTTTCTGCTTCAACACAGGGTCAAAATAGAGCGTCGGCCTTCAAAAGAAGAAAGAGTCTAAGGCGGTGGCTGTGGAGGCTGCGACAAAGCATCGGTCTCTGCAGTTGCCAGTGACAGATAATCCACTCCCATGGAACCGTCGTCGACGCTGTAGCTGCCAGCATCGTTATCCTCCTCTAGCAGAGGAATCTGCTGGCCCCAGGCTAACCCATCAACCTCCATGTTCCACGGCCAGTCTTGGTCCAGCATATCTACAATGTCCCCAGTGCTGTAACCACTTGGAAGGATGGCATCGGCTCCTTCACTGCCCCAGAATCCGCTTACTTCGCCGCTTGGCCCCCCTCTTTGAAGAGAAGGATTGTGAGGGTCAGTTCCTGATGTTGCATTGGAGATCTGAGAACTGGCTTCCAGAAGACGGCTGACGACATCTCGACTACGGCGTGCCGTAAGTGACCAATCCTGCATTGCCTCAAACAGCTCAAGGATCGACTCGATTTGAGCGCGCCAATGGACAACAGATGGATTATCAGGTTGCCACAGAATAGCAACCAGCGGGATCATAGCAGCCTGATACAGAAACCATACGGCGTTCCATCCAGACATTTGCTGGCGCGTCCACCCCTTTGACACGCTGTCAATGATCTCCCGCGCAGCGTTCAGGCAATTCTCCACGGCAACCACGTCTTGCTCTTCAATGGGTAATTGAGCTTTGCAGGCCAAGGTTAGAAGTACTGGGCGGTAAAGCAGCATGCGTAGATTCCAATACCGCCATATCATGATGCAACGCGAAAGATGGAGCGGCTCTACACAGGGCTCCGTGGAACGAAGTAGCCAGGGAAGATTGTTGAACCACTCAACAAGAAGGCCGTCCAAATGACTGCGATCTTCTGTCTTAAGAAGAGGGGTAACTGCAAGCATGTCTTGGACCTTTGTTGCGATTTTACAGAATTTGATGTTTTCAAGCAGCGGCATGATGCCGGCATACTGTGCAGAGTCGCTTTCTTCCTGTTGAATGATAATTGTTAGTCAGGATACAATATCAAATAGCGAAAGTAGGCAAAAAGTATAGGAGGCAGGCATACTTGCTCTGTGACAAGCTTAGGAGGCTGGACATTGATTGCTGGCCCCCATCGCCCAAAAGAAGGTCGGCCTAGAGTGGTTGTACCCCATGTATCGAGACAAAACAGTGTCCACCAGGTGCGTCTTCGTGTCTCAATTACCGCCGCGTCAAACTGCTCTTCTGGCGGTAGTTCTCGATGTAGACCGAGAGCGGTTGCCATTCGGAGTATGGCACCAATGATGGCATTGGCCATATTCGGACGGTTGATGTAGTGGAGATAGTAGCCCCCAAGCAGTGCTAGGGCTTGAATGGTTTCGATGTGGCTACTCCCAAATGCACTGAGATGGACGTGCTCTATGGCTTGATTGTAGTATTTAATGTGGCTCAAGTTGCTTGACGGCGTAGACATGATGCTGCTTGTGGCAAAGACCATGTTGAGCAGGGAGAGCCAAGGCGCGTCGCATCGACGACCCTCATTGTAATATTTACGGAATGAGCTTTCGTCCAGCATAGGAGTCAAAATGTGAATACGTTTAAAATAAGCGTCGACAAGAGCTTGTCCCTTGTAAGTCCATGGGATGGGAGGTTTTGCCTTGGTGGATCTGGAAGCTGCGCGGAAGAGTGGAATTTTGTTGATGCGTGCATTCTCGTCGCTTGAAGCGTCAGGAGACGACTGTGCTGCAAGCAGAATCTGTAGCTGTGGCTGAATCTGAAGCATGACTGTCAAGGCCACTTTGACGGACGATGCACCGAGATACGAGGCAGCTTGTTTGCCCATGGAGAGCGACAGAGCATTGACATCGTCAGCTTCAACCGGCATCTGGTCCTTTTCTCTGCGCTCTTCGTCCCATTCGGACTTTGGAGCGGGCATATTTTCAAGCTCTTGAGGATGTTGAGCCTCATCGGCAGAAGGGGGGGTTATCGAAACGTCATCAGTCTCTTGCTGTACGGGTTGGTCCAGGAGATCTCGCAGCTCCTGGCGAGACAGCGACAAAAGTTGTGAGACTTCATGATTAGGGTATAGGCGCCGTAGCACAGAACGGCACTCTTCAAGACTCCGTGATATTTCCTCTAGCGATCTACGTAAAGGAAGTTAACAACTGAAGAGACAGTTTTAGATGCAAAGAAGAAACAAATGGCTACCAAGTTAAGTAAGATAGAGAGATGGGGGAGAAAAGGCGACTTGAACAAGAAAGATGCGAGAGCAGATTACTGACTTTCTGGATGGAACAAGACGCTGGCGATGCTGCTCATACACGCATCTTCTCCGTGATCGACTAGTCTGGCACCGATTGCAAGGCTGCTTCCCGTCGCAGCGGATCTTGCGGCGCTGGCACTCGAGACAGGCGTGGAGACTCTTACCAGCCTTGCCGCCGGCTGCGTCTTGTGACCGATTGCCGTCCGATGACGATTGAGGGGACCGATCCACGGTCTTGCCCTTGACACCCTGGACTGTATCATTTTGCTCTTGTTAGCTAGCCAACCCGGGATGGCGAAACTAGGAAAGAAAGAGAAAGAGGAAATGCAACTGACAGGTTAGGCATGGGAGACAAAGCGAGAGAGCAGGAAGTGTTTTCGGAATAGGGGCAGTCGTTGCATAATACTCCACTCACAAGTGTAAAACATGATGTCGGTCCCGGCTAGATATACTGGTTGGTATCCCCAATTACAGTAGCAGCAGAGGCGAATGGTAACACTGCGTCATATACAATCGATCACGTAAGGGGAACCAATAAGAGTGGGAGGCACATGGTGCTGTGCATCAAGACCATCAAGAACAGGAAACGAAAACGATCAAACTATGCGGCCTGACTGAGCGCGCGTGTGTATAAGAATTGGAAAAAAAAAAAGTATCCCGAGGAAAAAATACGAGGGGCTACGAAAAAAAGGTTCGCAAAAAATGCCCAAGTGGCAAGAGCGACGGGGGGGTAGTGAGTTTTGCTGACAGTCAATGAAGATGAGAAGGAGAGACTCACAAGCGGCTGACAAGTGGCAGGTACCGCACTCACATGTTAAGGCACAGGGATAAAAATAAAAATAGTGACAAGAATGTTTAGCTTATTCTTGGCAGTGAAACCCCGAAAAAAAAAAAAAAGCAGCTCTTTTGAACGTGCGGTATGCACGCGCTGAGAAGTGGAAACTCCTAGATAGCGTCTCTCTTCCTTCCGCCCCAGTCAAAGGGGAAGAAGACATCATACCCAAAAAAAAATCCGGGGTAAAAAGAGGTAGGGAAGTGAATCCTACAGAAGGCACCACTAGCTGCCAGTACCGTACTAATTACTAAGTACTTGCTCCAAAGGTACTAGCAGCAGTGTGAAGGCAATAAAGGCAATTCTATTCAGACGGTTGCAGTGCATATGCAGAGCATATACCCGCAAAGCACATGAAAGGGAAAAAGAAAGGGCTAGCACTAGCATAGCAGCCCAAAAAAATGGGTGGAACAAACCGGAGCATCCCACTCAAAATCGCCTACCCCGTGGGCAGGTTGGACTGTGGTCTAGCCCCCTTGCGGGGTGTTAAGCCGCTGCAGAAAAAAACGCTTCTCCGAATGGAGGAGAGTGAGACGATGAGACTACAGACAAAAAAAAAAGAAGAAAACAAAAAGATCAGGAGAGTGGGGCCGGGGAGGGGAATTCGGTTAATATCGTGATTTCTGACTGGCACGGAGTTATTGGTGCTGTGTCTGAATGGGCGCCGGAGTAATAGAACAGCTGATGCACCGGGCAATATGAAGTATATCCCCCATGTTTTTTTTTCCCTATATGGTTGCTAGTCTTAGAAGCTATTAATGTATGAGAACGTACTAAGCCTAGAAAATAAGAGTTTTGCGCAGATGGCATAAAGGGAGAGACAGTAGTAGCTTCGCGTAGGTATGGGGGCTAAGGGAAGCTTGCTGGCCTCAATACTGCTGACCTTGGATCTAAGCCCACATGATGGCTAGAGGTCTCATAATACTCCGTATATTGCCGCTGGGATATTCGGCTTGTGGGGTGCAGCAGTGGCTAGATGCTGTTCATACATACCTAGATGGGCAACCATGTCCATATTAACTGCATTCGTCCACGCGGGATACCAGCATCTAGCTGATGCACGAGACACACACACACACACACACACACAACAGCTATCCATACTAGGTAGGTAGGTAGCAGTCGGGATAAAGGCGAGATGGACCGACTGAGATTCACACTAGATAGATAGGTAGGTACGTGAACAAGCTTGGATAGCAGTTGAGATTCTGAATGCTGCAGAGTTGGGCTCCCCCCTCGATATCATTATTACGTTAAACAACGACTAATAAGATGGCAAAAAAGACGATTCTCTCCTTCTAGGAGGAAAGAGAGAGAAAAAAAAAAAGAAAGAGCGTCTCGTACAAACGCAAGCAACCTTCAACATATCCAGCCCAACAACCCGACACACAGCTGCATAATAGGTATTTTTTTTTAAATAGGCCGTAAAACAAATCAAAAAGTAATAATCCTTCGTGGCACGTATTTGTTCCGTACCCCCACGTTTAGACCTTCTCGATATTAATGATGCCACCGTGGTCGTCCACAGCAACGGCCTTCTTCGATGTCGATGCTTTGACTGGGTTGGGGGCCTCAAAGATTTCGTCGAGCTCTTCCAACTATAGCGGGGAGAGGAATGTTAGACAACAGAGAAAGATATCATCATTGAAGGTGGGGTAATTGGTACTTACAGTGCGTCCCTTAGTCTCGGGGATCAAAAAGTAGACGACAACGACTTGAACAGCATCCCAGATGGTAAAGACAATGTACGTCTTCCAGCCAATGTTCTTCATGGATACTGGCCAAGCGAACTGGTTCAGGAGACCAGCAGCGTTGGTGGCAAAACTGGAAAAGGCCATACCCTTGGCACGCTGCTCGAAGGAGAGCACCTCGACGGGGAACAAGGCCTGCAGGGGAGTGATTCCGACAGAGTAGACGGCGCCAAAGATGAAAATCATAGCCAGAGAAGCCTTGGATGCAGAGGGGTTGGTGAAGATGGGGTTGCCGCTGGAGTCGACGCCGTCCTGGGATGCTGCGAGCCGCGATGAAGCAACGGTCATGCCCAGCCAGACTACGGTACAGGCAGTGAAGGAGAAGAGCAGCAGAGGCCGACGGCCGACCTTGTCTACCAAGAAAGCACCCAGAATAGCCCATGCAAACTGCTGGCAGTTGTTGATGAGGGTAATGTTGGCTTGGGCAATGGTACTAGTGTAGCCGGCAGTATCGAGGACAGAGCCGAGGAAGTAGGACAAGACAGCGTTGCCAGCCCACTGACCGAAGATGGTCACAGCAAGGTTGCAGCAGAGACGGTAGACGGCAGGACGGTTGCGGAAAAGAGCCCGGTAATCCCACCAGCGCTTGTCAGCACCGTCCTGGTTGAGGAGCTGCTCGTACTCAAAGAGCTGAAGAGTGACCCAGGGAGAGTCGGGGTTGCCGTTGCCGTGGTACTTTGTGAGGATGGCCTTGGCCTGTTCCTTCTTGTTGTGAACGTAGAGCCATCGGGGGGATTCGGGAAGGAACATGACGAAGATGATGATGAGACCAGAGAAGAGGGCCTGGAGCCAGACAATGAGTCGCCAGGAGAAGTCGCCTCCAGTGTTGAGTCCGCCTCGAGCGGCGCCGGCAGCAAGAATGGCACCGGAGAACCAGAGGGTGTTGTACATGGCTAGCGAGAGAGAAAGAGATGACGATTAGTATATGATATCCGCCATATGCGAATTGCTTAGAGGAATAATGATGGAACGAGGAGAGAGAGTAGACAATAAAAACTTACCGCCAACACGGCCACGGTATGCAGGGTGGTTAATCTCAACCACGTACATGGGACCAGCAGCAGCAGCGAGAGAGACACCGAATCCAAGCAAGAATCGTCCGCCCATGAACTGGCCCTGCTGGTTGCCAACGCCCTGGATAATGGTGCCGACAATGATGAAAATGGCGCCAGATAGCATACCAATTCGACGACCGAAGCCATCAATGGTGGGACCGACAAAAGGAAGGGCGGCAACACCACCGATCTGGTACATGGAGGAGACGATACCAGCCCAGATGCCGTCGTTTTCGACATGGTACTTTGCCTTGAACCAGGGGTTCTGCAGGAGATTGTTGATGAGGGAACCATCGTAACCGTTCATGGTACTGCAGAAGAAGGCAATGAGGGAGAAGAAGTAGATGAAGAACTGAGCCTGGGTGTAAGCATTGGGCGGCTCCTTGATCATGGCCTCGGCAAAGGCCTCATTGCCGGTGACGACGGCGGTTCTAAGTTCGCCCTATCATACCGAAAAGCTGCGTTAGCAAAATTTTGTCTTTTTTTTTTTTTTTTTTTGGTATTTCCACTTCTCGCTGGTGACAGGGAAATGGGATGGATTATGGAATTGGGTGGTTTGTCATACATGGTCCGGCTCATCATGAACCTGAGTCTCGTTCTTTTCGCCCATTGCGACGGTTGTCTGCAGCCCTTTGGCCACACCAGCTTCTTCAGTGGGAGATTGTGGTTTTTCTTGAATTCCTCAACAACGCCCCGTTGTACGAGGGACTATCGAATAGAGATGAGAGGGATGAGGGGAAAGAAGAAGAAAAAGACTGAGGTAGCAATCAATTGTCAGGGGGGCGCTGTCGCTTTTATGTTTCTCTCTTCTCCCTTGCCACTGCGCTGTGCCGCTTCCCCAACCTTTCTTACCGTCTCCCACGAGCTTGGGTTGCCTTTGTTAGGATCAGGCAAATGGCCCCCCCTGGTCAGTAGGGCCGAACGAGAAAGAGCTGCTGCCGCGAGTGAGGTCCTGGCAGTATGAGTCTGTCACGTCCAGAGTAGGATTGAATTTCGCCGGCGGATTATCTAAAGCAGAGGACCAAGCAGCTGGGCATGCTGCACCGCTTATACGGCCATGTCCCCTTTTTGCCCACTCATACGACTGCGGTGGGACGAGGCTATTGGACAGAGGCGGCGAGGCGTGGCGTCGACATTCGGCCCTCGCAACGATGCGGGGAACGACTCCAATCCAGAAGAGGTTGCGGAGGGTTCCGCTCCGGATGAGACGGTACGTGCTTTGGGAATAGGCACAATTCGACCCCGGGTCGAGGCGACGGTTGTACGGCGACATGGATCCAATGAATAGACATTAGCCTAAGTGGTGCGGATCATCCGCTCTGGGGTATCTGGGCGTCTGCAGCCCGGCCATTGGACCGAGGCCACGCGACGCACGGAGAAATCCTGCCATTGGCGCTGCGAATTGGAAGCAAACGGCACAGATGGTGGTGATACGATGGCTATAGTGGTGGCTGCGAGCTCGTCAATATTGATTGCAGGCCAGGGCCGTGGTGGTGGTGGTGGTGGTGGTGATGTTCCTTATTTAGCACAAGCATGCACATGTCAGATGGCCATGATACCCTGTCAACAGGATGGCAAAGGTAAACAGCAATTAATAGAGGCCTGGACCGACTCGTGCAAGAACAAGTAAAGAAAATAGATTATATTGGGAGGAGAGAAGAATGTGCAAAGAGGCAAATTGTTGGTTCTTGATGCCCAAAGACCTGCAGCATCAAGCTGTTGGTTATGCCCATGCATGCACGGTTGCAATAGGCTGACCATGACATGACACGGCTGGTGTGATTGATTTGGGGAATCTCGAGATGTGAGAGCTCAACACAAGAGCCACAGGGGTTGGGCGCGCTTCATTCGTTCGTACAGTAAGTCGTACTGCCTAGTAGGTACAGTAGGATCGGCAAACAGGGCCGATGGTTAATCTATCGCTTCAATTCCTTGGGTAGCATTTACGACTGGGAGGCGGTTCTTGCCAAGACGAATAGCGTTGGCCTCATGTCGCCATATTTCCAATTTCGACTATAGAGCAATATTCTCAACAAACTTTTCACTTACGCCTTTGATATTCTGCTCTATGCACACTGTATTATTCGCAAAGAGACCAAAAATTGTAAAATAAAAAAAGAAAAAGCTAAAATTCAAAAGCCACGGCGCCAACTTAGGTTTGCGTCCGCGGCTAGAAAACGGGTCCCTGGTCAACGTATTATTACTCCGTCTCTCGTAATGGCTTAGTTCGCTGAACTCCAAGCCGCCATTATTTGTAATTTCTAGGGTAAGGAAAGCCGCACACCGAGGCAAGTGAAGAAAGCAGGATGCTATCTCGAAATAGAGAGTGGAAGTCACGGTGAGGTGAAGAGGGCTGCAATATGGCAGCAGCTGAGCCGGTGCGAGTTCGAATCGGGAAACTGGGAGTAGAGCTACTCGGTAAAGATGGCAACTGGGCACCATCCACGCGAGATAATCGCGATATCCTCGCGATATCCATATGACAGGTGCGACCAAGAACGCGGGGAAGCAGAGCAGCGGCCCATTGAGTGTGTCAGATGGCAGGGTGTGCCGCCTGTCGGTGCCTAAAATCTAATATCATCGTGATTTCTGATTGTCTCTCGCTTCATGCCGCTTCATGCCACTCCATGCCACTCCATGCTATGGTTCACTATTTGTGCGTCTACTAGTCCTAGTTACTACACCGTATGCAAGTCCTCCGCATGCATTTCCAGGGCACCTAGGTATGGATGTATGTCCTAGGCATGTGCAACTGACATCTCCACGGGTCTCGACTGAAAATCCTTGGATCTTCTCGGCACTCGCCGCCGCCAAGTTGGAACGTTAGCGAGGTCCAAGCTACGGGGTATTGTATGGAGTATGGAGAACGGCCCGCCGTTTTCTGCCAAGTGCACGAGTTGGATATTGGATCCATAGATCTTGCGTGGGGCACATCACTGTGAGCATGAACGGGATAGGGAATATCAAGTGCCCAGGTATGGAGTAGCCTGGGGGCGGCTTATTACCAGGTACCTACCCAGCAGGCAAATCAAATCTTCAAGCTATCGTTTTTTTTTTTTTTTTTTACTATAATTCGTTTCTATTTTCAGTTACCTAACCATGGACTAATCCTTTATTCATTTCTCCTACAGCCCAACAGCCTTTGCGCTCAGTGTCCACAGTTTTTCCGCCTCAATATCGCTAATGGCCGCGGGGCTAACCACATCGACATAGTAATCTGCCAGCCGAGCCCTTTGCTCCAGATACGCACCGTTGTGAGCTGAATGATGCGAGTCGTTAGTTACTACTAGTAGCCCTGCTGGCAGGTGAAAAAAAAAAAGGATTCCGAGGTTGGTCAAGGAGAAGAGGAACCAAGGAGTAGGGAAGAAGAGGGAGATTGCTGAGAGACGGCATACCCTTGAGAACTGGATCGAAAGATGCAAATACGTGAGTTGATATTCCTCGCTCTGGCGATATCAACTCTGGCGTTTGCCAGCCATATGGTGCTCCACCCATTCGAGAAATTCTCCCTGCAGAGAGAAGAGAAACGCCTCCGAGTTAGCGGTCCGATAGCTCACGGCAAGCGGCGTAAACAATGGTTCAACTTACAACACTCATCTCCATCTCCTCCAGGCGAAAAGTCCAGATGACTGCCAAGATTGGTCATAACCGCTCCCGGGTTTACACTAAACGATAGAAGTCCATGATCTCCCAACCTCTTTGCAAGCTCTCTGGAGAAGAGAATGCTGGCCGTCTTGGATTGGGCATATGCACCCCATTTTTCGTACGTCTTTCCATCCTGTGTTGTTTGTTAGCAGACCAACCCTCTTTAATTTTGGATTTATAATGACCATGTGGCGACGAGGAAGTAGGACCAACCCGCTCCCAACTTGACGGTTGACTCACTTCATAGTTGATATCCGCATGACGAATGCCGCTAATGTAATGCGCACCGCTGCTGATATTAATCACTCGACCATCCTTTGCGGCAAGGACCTTGTCCAAGATCAGGTTGGTGAAGAGGAAATGGCTGAGATAATTAACCGTAAGATGCTTTTCGAACCCATCGACGCATTTCTCGTACGGCACCGCCATGATGCCCGCGTTGTTCACCAGCACGTCAATCACGGGGACGTCATCCCAAGAATTGACCTCCTCAGCCGCTTTTCGCACCGAAGCAAACGATGTTAAATCAAGGCCCAACACTTTGGTTTTGACCTCTTGGTGCGCCTTGGTTATCAGTTCAGCCGTTTGGCTAACCTTATCCAGGCTTCTTCCCACGAGGATGATCAACTCCGGTTGGCCTCCAGCGATCGTCTCAACATATTTTGCGCCGATGCTGTTGGGAGAAACTCCTGTGCAAAGGATAGTCTTGCCCTTGATGATGGGGGCGTATTCAGCGACCAACTCGGGGCCCGTAATGGTGTCTGGAAATGGGTAAGGCATGTTGGAGCTTTGAGACTTGGCTCTTCGCTTCTCGCGACAGGTTTGAAACTAAGCAAGGCAAAAGAGTAAATAGGCCGTCACACTGACTAAAGAATCAAATAGAGAAGTTGTGTTTGAAAAGTACTGAGACGAGGGGACAAATCAGCTTCTTTATACACCTCTGACAACGCATAAAGAGCATAGCTTCTTTCAACTTCTGCTCCTTCTCCACCGGTCTCTACCTTGCATTTGCGTCTTCATTCTCTTTTGCCCCCATTCTAGCTCTTAGTCGATAACTCGCTAATTTCTCACATGTTTTTCGTATTTGTATGTCCTCTTCCATATCGGACAAGACGCGGCCTCTTTCTCATCTTGCTGTTCTTGATGTTTGGATCACAACCGCACATAGCGGGTGTTTTGGTGTTTGCTGGTTGGCTGTCTACATATTCCTGAAATGGAAATGAATGCGTCGCCCTAGGCTCGATCAAGTGGTTGGGTGGCGCTTGCAAGCGCTCATAGTGGCTGGGCCGATTCATCGTGGCTTGTTTTTTATGGAGCAAGAAAGCTGCTGGCAGCTTGACGGCCTTCTGCGAAGGGTAAAGTTTTCGTTGATTCTTAATCATACTCTCTGAAGGATTAATCATCTTGCCGCTGTGCAAGGCGGCGGTTTGACTGACTGTGGCTTTACAGGTCCTCGAATGGGCTTCCTTGAATGGGCAAGAGGTGGCTCTGAATAAGCTGCCGATGGTGCGCCATCGCGTTACACCTAGCCTCGGACGAGACTAAGGATGAATTCCGAGCCGAGACTGTCGAGCAATAGACCGATCTCGAGCGGAACGAGCCGATTCGATTCTGTTCTGCATCTGCAGAGTGCGGGTATCCCAACCCATGCCCAGTTTTGCTACTCAATAGGGTTCTTAACTAAACCTTGACCAGTACGGATACCCAAGATTCTCTCTTATTTAACGGACCTGTTGTTTATTGAAAACACTTGTTCTGTACGTCATAGTTGTTCTTTAGTTAATAAAACTTGTTCTTTATTGAATAAGCTTGTCTCTGATTTAATAGACTTGTTTATTGAAACTTGATTAGCGTTGATGCCCATGGTCATCCGTTTCCGAGTCATGGCATTATAGTAGACTGAAACTTCAAGAGTTTGTCACCATTGAGAAACAGAAGCTTACTTGAATGACCACTCCACAATTATAAGATGAGACCAAGCATCGTTGGCAAGACACCGCGTTAAACGACTCTCATCCATAATAAGCCTTGCTCTCCTCCGATGAATGAAATAGTTGATGAGATTATCTGTTCCCATGCTCACTCTGTAGAATAAATAGATACACAAGCATGCACGCACGCAACTTTCCTTCTCGAAAATCCCGAAATAGCTAGCAATCAATCAATCATGAGAAGAAAATGACACAACAATGACGATGACGATAATAAAGACAATCATAGGACCATGCAACACAATATTAAAAAACCATTTCAGAAAAAGAACAACAAAAAGAAAAAGAAAAAGAAAAAGAAAAAAAGAAAAAAAAAAGACCAAGGTGAAGAGACAGAAAAGGGAGAGCGCAAACGTCAAACATCGGCTCGCCAACAGCAGCATCCTAGCCGGACAAGATAAGACCAAACAAAACAAGACAAGACCAAAACAGTAACCGCAGCAAAAATCCCGTACAACAGATGTGGTATCCGACATGGTTACATTGTTAATATCAACTCCAATATGTGCCCCAACCTTTAAACCTCGTCTGCCCTGTTGGCAACGCGTAGCCAACTCTTCTTATTTTTTTTTCCCATGACAGTGAAATGTGTTCTAGAAATCTTCCCAATGCCACTTCCCTTTTCATCCGTTTCTTCCTTCATTCTTCCACACGCATACACGTGCCTCCTTTCCATCTTTCTCTTCCTTCCACCGTCGTCATTTTGCAAACGCAAGCGAAAATGGGTCATACTGCAAGTGCTTGCTTGTTTAATAAAGGAGGGAGAAAAAAACTTTGAAACTAAAATTCGCAGGCTTTCAATCGTGGCTCGTAGACAATTCGTATATCTTCCATATGCTTCTCTCCTTTATTCTCTGCCATTTCTCTATATCGATACTCATGTCGCCTCTATTCCTCTTCTTCTTCGATGGGGGCCGGAGTGCGACGTTCAACACGTCTCTTGGGCCGCCTGTGTCGGCTGCTGCTGATGTTGCTAGCCGAGTCATCAGGATAGAGATCATATTCCTCCATCTGCCAGTCCTCGTCGCTGGCGTTGCCAGCATCGCTCTCAGCCCACGCAGGTCGCTCGTAGGTCGAGTTTAGGGAGTTGCCCGAGCCGGGAATCGAGAGCACGTCGATGCGTTTTCGGCTCTGGAGGTTCTGCATGAGGCCGGCTCCGCGCTGTCGCAGGGCAGTTCGAACTGTCTCTGCCTGGTGGTGTAGCTTTTCAAAAGCATCCTCCAACGCTTCCATGCCCTGATAAATCTCTCGCTCAATCTCGGCAATGGCCGCCATCTCCATCTCCTCGTCGTTGGAAACCGGGGGGCGGCTCCCACCCATGCCGGAGGAAGTAAGGCTGATGAAAGACGCGGGAGTCGCACCGCGGGAATACGGAGAGAACGGGGTGCCATTTCGAGAACCCAGGGCCGAAGGACCACGGAATGGTGTCGGGCCCCTCGACTCTACACCGCCAAAGTCGTCACCGTCAGCGCCTGACCATAAGAACCCGTCAAATCGGCCTGATGTTAGAATCTCCCATTCCTGGCTATTAATGTTGGACAGAGTGATGAGAAGGTCGTGGGTATGGCGGTTCTTGATGAGATAGGTAACACTCTCCGCATCACGAGGAACCTGCTGAAGGCGGTATAGCCGCTGCAAGGAGAGACCAGTCTTGATGATGAAGTCGTTGCGTGGTCGGTTAAGCGGGGTTGGTGCACGCGTGGCAGGCCTCAGCTCCTTTGATCCGGATAGGAGGGCGTTGAAGAAGGGCCGGTCCTCGGCGTCGAGATTGGTCAGGATGGCGAAGCTCAGCGTCTCGTCATCGACCTCCTGAGGAGGCGGAACAGGCGTCTCGCCTGTGCTGTGGAGCCACTTGTCGACAGCAGACCGGACCTTCTTTGACTGTCGTAGATAGTGTTCTCTAAACTCCTCAGCGATATCAGGATCTAGCTGGATGGGAGAGTCTGGCCGCCGGGGGGTTTCTCCCGACACCTCGGCCGCCTTGGTGCCAATGTCTGCCAAGTCAAAGGGTGGCCATTGGGGGAGTTCAATACGGCCGCTGACCCATTCAAGCACATCGCCCCAGTTCAAGCCGCGGTGAGGTTCGTTGGACTTTTCGCATATGATGCAAGAGCAGCCGTGAGGTGGCAAGTCTCGAGAGAAGACGTTCTCTAGCCGGTCGAGCAGACGACGAGCGACTGATCGATGGCCGGTGGCCACGGCAACCGATCCTTGCTTTGAGAGGACGGTTTGATACTGGTCCAGGAGGCTAACAAAGGGCGTGAAAAGCGTCTCGGCACCAGTGAGGGGTGATTGTGAGGGCCTGGAGCTGCCGTTTTGAACGGGCAGAACAGACAAGAAATGCCTCGTGACGGGAGCTGAGAGACCGCCGTTTTGCAGTAGATAATCTACCCTGGGTATGTCGAGGACATCGACGGCAGGAGGTGGAGGAGGCGGCGGTGGCGGCGGAGGATGAGTGGGCGCCTTCATGGCAGGCGTGGCCGTACCCGAGGCAATGGTGGATGCATAGTCGTCGCCGTCAATGCCAGAGGCGGGAGTGCGAGATCGCTTCGAGTCGCCGTAGAGGTGGGAGGGGAATTGGTGAGCCTGGGTTGGCGTCTTGGGAGATGAGTCCTGGGCACTGGACGGGGAGGAGTCGACATGGAGCGGCTCAGGCTTGCTCTTCTTTGCGCTTCGAGTTGACGATGACCGCTTGGATGAGTGGCGTGAATGTGAGGCAGTACTGGACGAGCGAGATAGGACAGATGACCGAAGCTTGTCGTGGATCTTGTTTGTGGGTGAGCGTATTAAGGTCGCTGCGCTGGTCGACGAGCGGCGGCTAACCTTTGAGGATTTCTCTTCGGCAGCACGGGAGGCGGACCTGGAAAGCGTCGACCTGTTGCCGCGGTCCAGGAGTTCTTCGGCGCGTTTTCTGGCGGCCGAGACGTCTGTATCGGGAGGCGTGGGCGGCCGAGACCGAGACGACCTTTTAGAAGCTGATCGAGGTATGTCGTCAGGGGCGAGGGTGTTTTTGGATCGACGCTCCTGATCTCCACCACCCGAGGCAACGTCGGTAGGCTCAGGCGTCAGCGGGTTGGAAGCCTTGGCCTGAGAGGTGGAAGAGCCAATGTCTTCGCGGCTGTTGACGGCCTCTTTGCTGTGCGCCTTGTCAAAGGACGGGTAAGGCAGCGAGATGCGATCCTTTTCGATGGAGAGCTTGGACATTGCGTCGACGGTCAGGTCGGACATGGAGACTGGGCGCTGGGGCAGCAGGCGGTCCCTGTCTCTCTCTCGGTCTCGGTCTCGATCGCGATCTCTGTCTCGGTCCCGGTCAGGTTCCCTCTTGCGGTGTCGCCTGGTGGACGAGGTGAGCGAATGGGTGTCGCTGGAGCTGCGAGCGGATTTCGAGGAGCGGTGGGGGCGGTCTCGGTCAGGCTTGCGCTCTGATTTGGACCGACGGGCCTTGTCGCGCAGGCGGTCGTCGTCGACATTGACGTCGGCGTCACGTTCCTTGGACGGCATTTCGAATCACCATCGGGGCAGTTGCGCTGCGTCTATTGGGGGGACGGACTCGTGGTGGTTGGACTTTGCGGAGGCTGCAGCGATTTTGAGCAGGGGTTCCTTTTTTGGGATTGGATTTTGTGTGGTGTTTGCCGTCTCTCTCGCTCTCTCTTTTTTTTTTTTTTTTTTGCAAGTGGGAAAGGAGGAGACCAAGAAGAGTCGGGATAGGACAGAAGAAGAATGAAGATGGAGCCGACGGGCAAACGAAAGCGGCGAGCTGCAGATGAAGAGAGGAGGAAAACACGAGAGCAGGGAAATGCAATATGCAAGCCGGACAAAGAGTGAGGGGACGGTGAGGAAGGGATCAGCCGAAATCGAAATCGAAATCGAAGTCGATGCCGGAAGCTCTTTCTTGGCTCACTCAGGCAGCGACGACCCCTACTAAAGAGCTGGAGGACTGGCACTAGGGGGCAGTACCGGTACGAGACAGGGTGGTACCTGCCAGGCGATACGAGCGCTGTGACGACGGGCTTCTAGGGGCATCGCAGCAGATGGGGCTGCAAAGGGCGGTACTGGAGGGAAAGGTACCTCTACTTTGCGAGCCGCGATGGGGTGGGTCGGCGGACGCAGCACATGCCTTCTGAGGTACCTACTGAGGAACATGCAGCTGGATGTGGGCAGATTTTAGCGGTCGTGTGGCCTGGAATCTGCCCTTTATTGAGTGCTGCGCGCTGCGCTGCTGCAGTGGCACGAGTCTGTGATGCCGCGTCTGGCTGTCGCTAGAGCGCAGCTTAAGCCGCTGGCAGTGCAGGGCGGTGCATCAGACCAGCCGAGCAACGTGCCAGCAACAAGTCGGAATGACGAACTGCTACTCCATACATAGCTCGGCATTGTCGCTGTCTCCCTCTCCCGGTGCGACCCCGGATGAAATGGCGCTTTGGGGGCTGGTTGATGTCACAGGGCACCCGCTAAGAAATGTTTTGAAAGGCTATAAGAGAAAATAATGAGTACTATGTGATATGCTATTTGAATCATCATCAATGAGCTAAACTCGCAATGCTGGCGCCTGACTGTGCGTGAAAAAGATGACCTTGAACAACAAACAATGAAAGCTTCGTGGGCTGATGATGCCTTACGGCGGGTGCTCCAACGAGCCTAAAGCGCGGCCCGGCCACAACGGTGCGCCCAACCCGCGCCACTCAGGAGCCCATTCGCTGCGCTGTAGCACCTAAAATTGGCAGCCCAGCGCCTTTTCCGCACCAAAGCAGCTTCGAATGAGCGGCACATCAAACGTCGAGAGCCGGCGCCAATCACAGCCCAATGGAGGGGGGGGAAATGGCCGGAATGATTGGCTGCAGCGGGCTTTTTCTTTTTCCTCTTCTCTTTTTTCTCTGCTTGTCTTCTCTTGCGCCCCCTCCCCTGACGTGGCATCCGGCGCTTCACCCTTTTCTGATTTTGTGGCACTGGAGTTTTGGAATATTCTCATGGAACTTATGCGAGGGGTATTTTTTTTTTTTTTTTGTGTATGTTTTGGTTGCGGTTGAATGCAGAAACATTGAGTGCCAAAAGATGGCGCAAGGGCAGTCCAAGAGAAGAGAAGAGATGGAGAAGAAGAATCATCATACCAAGCAGTATTTACTATGTACTGCTCTCGTCAAAGATGCTCCAATATCGAAGCTTTGCATGACACACACACACACACACACACACACACACATGCAGCATCATCTATACTTCTATACTTTACCCCTCAGCAAGATACAGTGCAGACACTCTTCGTATAAACGATGCAGCAATCGCAGCATCTTCCGCCAATCGCATCCATGCCGCATGTTCAGTAGCGGAGACATGCCACCGTTATGCAGTTGCAAATGCCACCACCTCCAAGCAAAGCAGATAAAAGGTGCCTTATCTTCTTCATCTGCAAGTGACCTGCATCATCACATCACAGGCAAATTATCAAATGAAAAATGCCATTCCATTGTGTGCGATGCATTAAAGAAACGAGAAATTCCTTTATTCTTTGTGCTTTTTGCCTGTGCTAACTAGGTAGTACTTGCAAGTTACTCCAATGTTCTGCCTGGCCCCGGTCATGTCTTGCATCTCAATTCTTTCCTCTGCCCGCTCATCCTCTTGTCCGATCCTTCAATCCTTGTTCTATTCCTTTCAAGTCCACCTCTTTTCATCCATCCATTTCCTTTCTCTTCCCATGCTCTGTCCATTGGTGAATATTGCAAATAATACTGGCGACCAAATACAGTGAATGGTTTTTTCTCTGTGGTGGATATTTCCGTCTGCAGTTGGAGAAACTATATATATATCGGTTGGTTGGCACCATGACGTATTCTAAAATTTCATCTCTTCTTTAATGCTCTAGAGCACTCCAGATAAATATATAGCTTCCAAAACCTTAGTTGTCAGTGTTGGTTGAGAGGCTTGCAAGGTACAAGCTAACATCTCATCTGCCCCCCCCCACCCCTCCTTGGCTTGTGACCAACACTTAAAGCAATGCTTTGATCAGCAGGTTTCAAGGCATTGCTGCTTGTAATGTGTCACAAAAAAACAGAAACGTCAATGCAAATCAGCAAATGGTGGTATAATTGTTGTCATCAAGCCAGACACTTTCTTTATTGAACTAGTTCTCCTAAGCCGCCATATCTTGCTCTAATAGAGTCTTGTACGTCTTTTACTCCGTGCCACCTCTAGCTTGCAGATATTTCATCCATCGTATCTATCCATCTATGCAAAATAAGCCATTGAGCAAATGCTTTTGGGGACTTTTTTTTTCTCCTTTCCAAAGCACAAATCCATCACATATATGTATCCAAACGCCAACTCTATTGCCTCTCCTCCAAGTACATGTATATATGTCTATACTTATGCTCATGGGGAAGAAAAGCAAACAACAGTGTAAACAAAACTAAAACGATGATAAAGCAGAGACAAAAAAGCAACGCTCCTTTACAGACGATCCAAAAGGCCCCGGCTCTCGAGGAGCAGGATGATCTCATGCACAATAGAGCGGACGTTCTGCTTGGTCAGGTCAACAGTCAGATCGGCCTTCTGGGGCGTCTCATAGGGGTCGTCGACACCGGTGAAGCCCTTGATCTCGCCGGCGCGAGCTCTCTCGTAGACGCCCTTGCGATCAGTCTTCTCGCAGTGCTCGAGCGGCGTGGCAACGTGCACCAGGAAAAAGGGTCCAGACTTCTCGACAAGCTCTCGCGCGTGCTGGCGAGCATCCTCATATGGCGCAATGGGGGCAGCGATGACGGCAGCACCGGCCTTGGTCAGCTCCGAAGCAACAAAGGCGATGCGGCCAATGTTGAGGCTTCGGTCCTGGCGGCTGAAGCCCAGTTCGGATGAGAGCTCGGCACGCACCGTCTCGCCCAGTAGCATGGACACGGGTCGGCCACCACCCTGGTTCAGCGTTGCCTGGAGAGCACGCGCAATCTGGTCCTTGCCGCTGTTCTGGTAGCCCGTCAGGAAGACGGTGAAACCCTTCTCACGCGGCAGCGGGTTCTGCTCTCGCAACACCTTGACGACTTCGGGGTAGGAGAACCACTCGGGAATCTCCTTACCGGTTCTCAGGCGGTTTCGCAGCTCTGTGCCGGAGATGTTCATGGTGCGAGTGCCCTCGGGGATCTCGTTGGCAGGCATGTACTCGTCGCGGTCGGGGATGTAAATCATCTCCTGGAACTCGACCATCTTGATGCCGAGCTCCTCCTGGTGCTGCTGCACAAGGATCTGCGCATCGTAAGGGCCGTAGTGGTCCTTGCCGTTCTTGTTCTTGCCGGGGCCGGCGTGGTCACGGCCAACAATGAAGTGCGTGGAGCCGTGGTTCTTGCGGATGACGGCGTGCCACAGAGCCTCACGGGGGCCGCCCATTCGCATGGCCAGAGGCAGCAGAGCGAGGGCAGCCATGCCGTTGGGGTATCGGGGCAGCAGAGCGCGGTAGACGCGGACTCGGGTGAAGTGGTCGATGTCACCAGGCTTCGTCAGGCCGACGACGGGGTGGATGAGGACGTTGGCTTGCTGAGAGCGGGCGGCCCGGACCGTCAGCTCACGGTGAGCGCGGTGCATGGGGTTTCGGGTCTGGAAGGCGACCACCTTTTGCCAGCCGAGCTTGTTGAAGTGGGATCGCAGCTCAGCAGGGGTGACTGTGGAAAATCAAACTTGTAATTAGTTGCTTGCTCTTTGAACGTAGACATGCTTTCTGGAAACTGGAACATAACATACATCGCAGGTCGAGGAAGTCATAGTGCTCAAGGCGGCTGATGGCCTCGAGCTTTCCGCCGACGTAAAAGTCCTTTGCGACGCTGAAGAGGTGCTTGATGCCGGGATGGGTGTCGTCATCGCTGCCAAAGACCAGCTTGGCCTCCTGAACCCTGGATTGCGCGCGCCGTGTTAGTTCTGCAGGATACGCGCCAATGACCCGACCAAACGAGTCGCAAATCCCAATCGCATTGTGACGGCTTGCTTACTTGTCAGGTCTGTACACATCCTCGACGGTCAGGATGGCCAGATTCCGGTCATCTCTGAAGTCGCGCAGCGTAATCTTTGCGCCCGGCTTGATGGAGAGCTCATCAATCTGTGCCTGGTCGACGTCGAGGGTGATGGGCATGCTGAAGAGCAAGCCATTCTCGAGACGGTTCTCCTTGACGACTCTGTTGTAATCATTTTCGGTCATGAAACCTACATAGTAAAAACAGCAGCGTCAGTAATCGCGGCCGTATAAGTCGATTGCGCCTGTCCCTCTCGCCCCTCCTCTGCTTTGCTTCGCTTCGCATCGCATCACATGCGCGAACGCGGGGCAAGTCGAATCCTTGCGATCCGATCCGCATTGCGCGCGGGCTGGGCTTGGAGGGGCTTTGCGACCAGCACTAATAAGAGTGCGGCTGCACACAAGCAAATCACGACATACCTTCTAGGGGCGAGAAGCCGCCATTGAGGATGAGCTCCAAGTCGCAGAGATGGCGCTCGGACAGCACAAGCGCGGGGAGAGTCTCGGACTGCGCAAGCAGCTCGGCCTGGCGAGGCAGATCGCGGGCAAAGAGGTCCTTGAGGACGCCGCCGTGGGGAGTGTTGGCCATTATGACGATGGTGGGGTGGTCAAGCTTGGGAGGGCAAAATGGTGTCAACGGCACGACCAGTCACGCAACAGGCTCTGGTGGAAGGGAGAAGACGGCGACGACGGAAGCAAGCAAGCCCAAGGATAGCAAAAGAACAGGGAGTGAGAACGACAAGACAAGATGGAAGAGTCACAGAGAAGGAGAGACAGAGGGAGAGAGAGAGAGGAAAGAGGAAGAAGAGTATGGATGGGGGCGGGCGTCTCAACGCCAGACTATAAATGCTTTTTCTCCTCTGGGGTCGTGCCGGAGATGCTAAAACGCCAACGATCCATGGCCCAGAAAAGGTACATTTGCAGTCCCAAGGGCAATCCGTAGAGACACGCCTGGCACATTGGTGATCCCGTAAGCAGCCTCGTAGGATGATGTGCCTGTCTCGCCTCGATATACACCACCACTCCCCACTAGCCAGGCTGCCCATGGGAAAACTGGCCCGTGGAGTCGCAATTCGCAGCAGCTATTACTCGGCAATGCTCCACAGAACAGAAAAAAAAGACTGGGAGCGGCCCACCGCAGCCATCAAATGGCGGCATTTGGCTCGAGATTCTGGCGATGACGTGCTCGAGAGCGATGCTCCGGGTCCCGCATGGCTTGACGGCCAGGCCCAATCAGCGTCGCGCAGATGTCCGCAAAGGCCAGTCCGAGTATGAGGGAAGCAAAAGCAAAAGACCTTTTCCTTCGACGAACGGGGGTAATTGTCTCCATTGAATAGGTTAGCCGCAATTGCGAAATCTCGGGCCATCGGCGGTGGATGTCGATGCCTCTTTCTCTGTCTTTTGTTTTTATCCCTCCCTGGGGCTGAGGAGATCGGCCTGCATACGTAAACCTGCTGCTGATCGTCACTACAGACACAGACGGCTTTATATGTGTAAACGACGGAACCCTAGCCGAACACAGATGATCGACAGGGTGAAGATTGGAGGATACTATACGGTTCCATATGACAACTCACCAGCCATACAGACGACCGACCATCCTATGCGCTCATGTCCCCAATCCCCCAATCCCCCAGCCCAGGATGATGACAAAACAGCTTCGACGATGGAGGGAATTAAACACAGAGAGGCCCCAGTCCGCCGACTAGCCACGGGCTAAGGAGCGTCTAGTGTCTCCACGTCTTCGGGCCATCGCTGCGTCTTTGATTCTTTCTTCGCCTTCTGCAACGTTCGGCCGCCTAAGCCCTGGGTGGGAGACTTGGTTCAGATTTCACCACCGGCCGCCTCGATTTCGCCATTTTCTTTTTTTGGCAAGGCCCCCTGGCTTGGTGCCGGTTCTGGGGCGTGTTCCGTAAATGCGCTTCTCCCAGCAGCTCTCCGTGTATGCGGCTCGCCAACGGCTCTCGGGCTCCCTGCGGGCTGTGCCTGTTCTTCGGGCTGTCGGCGGTCGTTGCAGAAAGCCATGATAACTGCGACAATCCCCTGCTATCGCTATCAGCATCTTTCCGTGGCGCGGCTTCATGTTTTGATCCATCCAGAAGTGCCGTCCGCACATGAACTGTTGCAAGCATACATACATGCCTTCTGTATACTTCCCTAGCATATGTCTATCAGCAATGCGTGTCTGCGTAAACAATCCCATGATGCATAGTAGCCAAACTGAAGTTGTGACAGATTTGGAGACTTAACATTGTTGAATTTTTTTTTTGTCGCCGCTATATTCTGGATTTCTTATCAGTCATGCCAAATGGTTTATCTACAGATGCCGTCTCAAGGCAGTTGCTGCTGGAAAGTGGGGGGAGGATCCAATAGTGCTCATTTTTCACCAAGCAGTCAAGGTCAAATTATCAACAAAAAAAAAAGTCCGAGTTCTATTGTTCTCTAACCAAATCAAATAGAAGAAAGAAAGAAAATTTTAGTTTAGATCCCAAAAAAACAAAAGTAGCACCCAAAATCTGTAGAATACCTAGGTAGGCAAAATCAACAACAAAGCAACAAAGCAACAAAGTAGCAAAATCTCAGTGTCGCACGACCCGTTGGCCTTGGTTTTGAGTCATGTTTATCTTCATAAGAAAGCAACGAAACGAAACAAAACAAAAGAAAGAATCCGTGTGCACAGTTCGTGTCTCGTCTCATGGCTGACCTGTGTAAATTTCTCCAATAATAGCTGATATGGCGAGTGCCGATGCCAGGCTTGCAAATTTCACCCACATGATATGATTGCTAGTAGTTCTCTTATAGCCTCGAACGCCTCGGACCCTGAGACACGGTATCTGGTTTCTATAGCGGCCGCTGTTCAAATCCTTGCTGCAGCACATATAGTTGTTCATATATCCTGGCCATAATCGATAATCCGGGGGCAAGCCTATTTGTTGTATTAGTATCACATTCTCTCAGTAAATGTTTTAACGGGGGGGCGTCTTAAAACGTACGAATCTCTGGTTGCACGAGTCCATCGTTAATCTCTGGGTTTAACACAGCTAACTCTTCGATTGTTGCATCAATGTTAATTTCTCTCGTCGTTGATTTTGCTACAAAGCGGTCGATGGCATTCGCCAGTTTGGCTAAGGATGTCAAATTCTCTCTGGGAATGATTGTTGACAAGCGTGCAATCTGACTCTCATCGACGTCCGGTAGCTGCAACAAACAATGGCCAATAGGCGGAATTCCGTACGTATCCGAGTCACAAGTACCTCCAAAAAAGAGCACCTGTATGTGAAATCTTTCCCTCATGGCTGTACCCACCATGGCATGGTATTCCTGGGGAGCATTTACTAGGAAGACCTTTTTCCCAGCAATATAAGTTATTGCCCAGTCGAAATCATCCTCGTTTACGATTCCTTTATGTAGCGTGTAGTTGAGGTTGAAGATTGATGTAGCAAAATTAAACTCGGTGTCGTTGTTCACAATCCACCCAATGGGCCATTCCTCTGAAGAGTTCGCCATGATTAGTTTGTGGAAGTTTTGGTGGAGATTAGATCTCAGGGTTTGGCGCGTCAAGGTTCTGGGACAGCTGTGTTGGCACCTAGAGGTTTCTGCAAGAGTCTAATGGATGTCCGAGTGATTCAAAGCGTATTGGGTAGTGTTGTGGTAACTAGAAAGTTTGGTGTGTCTGGATTGCTTCGAGATGGTTACCAGAAGGGCTGGATCTGCCACTTATTATAGTTTTTCGCGGAGGTCTCAAGATGTATATTGCTATTGTGTTAACACTATCACAGCGAAAACCGATTCAAAACGGCCTTGATAGCCCTCGTGTTCAAAAAGTAAAGACAAACACCGAGTGCATGCTCTGAAAGGCGGCTCTTTGTAACACCACTTTCACAAATGTCTTTGAAGAGGCAAGGATTACATAAATTTCACATTGTAAAAGAAGCGTCTCTTTGTGCATCAGGTTGAAAAAAGACGTCAAATCATCAAGAATGATGAACGCTATGCCTTTGTCTTTGTCTGAAGCCGGTTGGACGCCGCTTGTATATAATTGTAACGAGATTGAATCCAAGAACAACGTTTGGAGAGTGTCGCAGGCATATAATGCAACCGCACAAAAGAAAAAGAAAAAGAGAAGAGATCATAGCCCGTTTTTGAACAACGATGAGGTCTCAAAGGGAACATGAGAATTCGGCTTTTGGAACTCAAAGAGACTACAAAGGATACAGGTCGAATAGAAAGCAAAACTGCCCCCTGAAGAGCAGGTGAATGCCTACCTGTACTACAATTCTATTTGGTATCTCCTCCTATTTACTGTGTCTTTAACCACCTTAACACAGTAGTGTGTAGATGATTTAATGTTTCCGGCCCTTTCACATCTATTTATAGGCATGTTCAAAGATTGGTGTTAATGACCGAGGGTAGTCTTTTAACTGGTGGTTCTCAGTAGTAAGTCAAGCATAACAATATTCTTTATTTCAAATAGCAAGGCCTTCATACCCTTTACACAATCTAGAATCCCGAAAACATTAAAAAAACGAACACTTGACTAAATAATGGTAGATACATCATCAAAAGTTTGAATGGTAAAAGGAAGGAAAGCCTCATTTAAACAAAACAGAGATCCATTAAAGAAAAACACCGATTGATCAGCGATTAGATCAACTAAAACACATCATTCCCATCTTTTCGACCTATGATAGCCGATTAATCTGTCGGATAATGCCTTTTATGACGGTTGCAGATACATCTCTCCCTAATGAAACCCATGGTTCGCCCTCCATGTAACCAGCAAAGCCGCGGACTGTCATACACGGCACCCTGGGGCCAGCTTCGGGTCCACAACACAACTCATCGGTTGAGCAGCCCACATACATTGCGTGGTACAAGATCTCCCCCTGCCCGAATTCATCTCCAGGTAAGTACAGCCCCGTAGGATAGCCATCTATGTGCTCCTGCACTGCAAGTAGTAAGAGGCTTGCGTTCCGCTCATCTATAGCCGTAATGCCATTGCCGCTAGGGTAAAAATCGACCTCCTGGGTGGTAGGAGTGTTAATGATGCAGTGCCCGATGCGTTCGTCACCTAATGCGAAATTGGACGTGTAGTCGACGCCGCCAAAGATGATCAGCCTTACGTGGCGAATATGGCTGTGCACGCATAAAATTGCCGACGACATATCCATCTCCTCAGCATAAACTACATTGACATTGTGTATTCCGATTGTACCCGGCGTAACGGTGATTGTAGTGGAATCGAGAGGGGAAACCCATTTCCCCTCGCTTTCCTTGCTATCCAGATACTGTAGAGCCTCGTCATATTCCTCTTGGAGGAAAACTATCCATGCAATGTTGCGGATGATTGATGCCATGGTGGTGACTTTGAAAGATTGGTCGTGTAATATTGATATGCAACTGACTGTTTGACTTATTTTACCATAGATACTATGAGAGCTAGGTAGCCATATATATATATCAACATACACGCCACAGAAAACGTATACTGTTTTTGCCGTTATCATTGAGCGTGTGTTGTGAAAAATCATCAGTAGACGAATCCTTTAACGGCAAGAAGCTTTCCCCTTCCCTTTCCGCGTCTTTGTTCTTTGCTTCTTTGCTAAATAAAGATGCTTTAATAACAATGATTTGGTTGTTTCCATCTCTTTCGTATTTATTCACAAGTCAAAACACCCTCTACCAATCCAAAATCCATCAACTTGAATGATAACAGTAATAAGATTTACATGATCAAACATGGTACCAAAAAATACTACCGAAAAGGAAGACGGAGAAAGGAGAGGCTGTTCAGTTTATATACAAGGGTTTTTTTGCTGAACGTGAAATGTATGATCTAAAAATAAAGGTGGTAGAAGGATACGAAAAACGGAGTTGATGAACACTGTCTTCTCTCTTTAAAAAGAAAAAGAAAAATTCCAGAACCCCCCTCCCCCCCAAAGTATCACATCTTAGGTTCCCAATGTCAACCGCGCTCTCTCTGACTTCTGGGGGTTAATGTAGCCAACACCTACGTTACGTGAAGAGAATGTTCTTTGCAAGTGTCACATTCATCCAAGGCATCTCAAGATTAAAACACCAGATCATGCCCTGCAAAAGTTTCCATAAATTAGAGAGATAGGCAGCTCTCATTTATACTATATATACACCGTCAATATCTATGCAATTTTATATAATCAATGTAGGCCTCTCAAAGGAAAATACAATGATACCTGTTTACTTAAAGTCTCATATAGCATTGTTCTGCTATAATGTTAGAAACGAAAACATCCCAATGAAACAAAAATATCGCTATTCATTTGAAATACAGCTAACAAAAAAAAAATGAAGAGAAAAAAACCAATGACTCTTAATCAACTAATCGTTCTCCTAAAATACCTGATGAAAAACAACAGAAAGTAGTAGAACAAACATTTTTAGACAAAAACCCGCTCTCTCAATACACCGATATCCGGGCTTTCCAACAAAAGGCCGTCGCTACCGTCCTCTCACCTTCTCCTTGTTTACTCTAGCTTCTCCATTTGCTCAATAATTTTCATGATGGTCAGTGCAGATGCTGTAGATGCAAGCTCAAGCTGATCCAAGTCAACCTTGCATAGGCCGACGACTGTGATATACGGCAGCCCGGGTATGACACACATGCGACTCTCAATGTCTGCCTGGTTCTGGTCGTAAAGAGCGTGAGCGTAGCACGTGCGACCGCCAATAGTGTACCCCTGCTGATTATGTAGAAGGCTGCTTACCGCATCGAGAAGGCTCTTTGCGTTCTTTCGACTCTCTTCAGGAATACTTTCTCTTATATTCTGATAGTAGGCCTCAATTTCCTCATCAAAGACGGGAGTGCTTATGGCACAATCGCCAATGTTGAAATGGCCGGGTGTGTAGTTCGCCAAGTAGTCAAGGCCGCCAATGATGTAAACACTTATGTTCTTACCTTGGGCTTTTAGCTCTTCAGCCATTATCTCGGCTGCACGATTTACGTAACGCTCCTTTTCAGCATTCACTAGGTATACATCATGTTCTTTAATCGTGCCAGTGCAATAGTAGTATTCTATGGGATCTTCAGGGGAGGCGGGTGCGTGATCTTCCCAGGCTGTTGGCAGAGCGTCTCGATTAAGAAGGTTTTTGGCCGGTCCGTATTCCGTCCAGGACGGAATGATCCAAGCAATCACAGATGACATGATGCTATCTATTAGAGGGTGTCGCGTATTAGTGTTGAGATTTTGACGTTGGATTGTCTTGTGTCAGTGGAGAAGTAGGGAAGTAGAGAGCTGGCTTGATTACTTCAAGAGGGATACCAATTGACAGTATCAGGCTTCCCCTTTATACACATGGCAAGATTTCGAGCTGCTCACTATAGATGAATTGTTGCTATATTAACAATTATACGGGAGTAGAGTGAGCTGTGAAATAAACTTGTTGAGTTCATCTCAACAGCGAGATTACACTTGATGCTAACAAGACAGTCCTTTGAAACATGGACCTTTACAAGGGACAAGTCCGGATAAACAAGGAAGCCAATTTACTGTATAAAGAATAATGGAGAAAGAAGTACCAATTAAAGAACACAATAAACCGGGTTATACAGCCAAAGAATAACGGAGAATTAATTGAACAAGGGTTGAACAAGAGCCACCACACCTGTTCACGAAGAGTGTTGACCGGATAAGCTGTTCAAGGGATGCAAGAAAAATTGAACAGTGCTAGGCGGTATGCAAATTTTGTATCATAAATACATAAATTTCTTGTCGTCCAAGTTACGTGTTCTAAACTTGTAACTTTTTAGTACTCAAAGTTGAAGAGAGAAAATATCTATCTACTACATTGAAACACAAATTCTTTGCTCTTTAGTAAAAAAAAAAAAAAAGAAACATCATTTCTTCTGCCAGACAAACAAAGCAAAGCAAAAAGCCCGATATTCCAAAGCATGGCACGACAACCATCGAATAGCGACAAGGGACAGCTCATCCTCGGCTTCGACGTACTTTACATGATTCTCATGGATTACTTGGAAAAAGATAAAGACGTTCTAAACTTCATGCTAGCAAGCAAACTCTACTACGAGCAGTTTCATAACGCTTGGCTCCTTCACAATGTGCTCCATCGCGGATGTACGGCTCTAGAGGGAGCCGTGAGAGGAGCCAACAGGGTCATGGTCGAGAGGATACTTGAAATCCCAGGTATAGAAGCGGCTGTACCTCGCGGTATGTGGCCAATGACGGTCGCGATCGCTAGAGCTTGTGGCTGCCTTGATATAATGAGATTGATACTGAAGGTCAATTGCGTCCGGACCAGTATCGACGAGGAAGCCCACGAGATTGCTATAAAGGGAACGGAGGCGTGGAAAGGGCGGGAGTTTGGTGATTCCTGGCTACAGATAATGTGGGATGCTGTCCGATCCGACCAAGCGGATGTGGTAGATCTGTTCCTTTCCCACGGCATGACGGTAGAGCTGTGCGGTCCATCCGGCATGACGGCTTTGCACATAGCGACTGGAGGCGCTGAGAAGGAGCATCTCGTAAGACTTTTGCTGGAAAAGTATAAAGCCGACCCGAACAACATGGCTGTGACATCCTTTCCCTGGTGGGACACACCTCTTCATTTGGCGGCCGCCAGAGGCAGTGCTACAGTTGTGAAGCTGCTACTCGAGCACAAGGCAGACCCTTGTTATGGCCATGAGGGGGGGCTCTGCCCGGCCTTAGGAACGGCGGCCGAGAGAGGTCATAAGGATGTTGTGGAAATCCTGTCACAAGATGAGCGAGTCGAACTCAGCGCACAGGATTGGATGGGTGTGACAGTCCTGAGCGATGCTGTCTGGGGAGGAAAAGCAGACGTAGTGCAGATGTTGCTTGAAAATGAGCGAATCGATCCAAACGCGCCGGCATCCCACGGCCGTTCCCCACTACTAATTGCCGCTCAATATGCTGCTCTCAACCCCGATGAAGACCCCGACGAAGACAAAGAGACTGACGCCAGCGGGCTAGCAATGACAAAGCTGCTTCTGTCCGACAAAAGGGTCGATATGTTCCTGCGGGATGACGGTGGGCGGAACGCCTTGTTTTGGGCCGCACGGAGCGGCAAACACAAAGTCCTAGAAATGTATCTCGCCGACGGCAGACTTGATCCTAACGAAACTGATAATGATCTAAGAACGCCAGTCTCAGCTACATCTTGTGAAAAGTGTATGGATCTCCTCATCAACGACACGAGGGTCGACCTGAATATGGCAGATAACAGAGGCATGACACCACTCATGCACAACACACTTGAGCGGAACAAAGCCAATATTGAGCGATTGATATCCTCGTGCCGTGTCGATGTGGGCAAGGTAAACATGGAGGGAAACACGGCGTTAAGATTGGCTCTTAGGACTCGCGGCTGCAACCGGATTGTAACCCTGCTGAGAATGGGCAAGCCGCGGGCTCCATTGGCAGGCCGAAGGCATTGGAGACTTATGGAACCAGGAGAAGACGTTGATTAAATACAGAATGCGATGGAGCAAGGATTGGAGTAGATTTAACTTTGGCTGATGGTATTCCGTAGATGTTGCGTAGGGTAAATGAAAACGCTTAATATCTTCATGCCTAGTATTCACTGTGAGTTAGATTGGCATCAACAGAGACGCTGACAATTACATCAACACACTGGCCAACTGCTTTACTCCATTGCCATTTTTAAAAATCCATTCTCGCCGACACATGATGAAACAAATTGACATACATCTGCGGGATGCAATAACTTTGTTTCTGCTTCATCCATATTATTAAACTGACAAAATGGCATGCGGCAATTGTGCGCAGGATCATCAGCCATTCCACATTCCACTTCATTAATTTCGCCCACCAATCTCTGACAACTTAGCAAACACACCAGGACCAAGTACACAGCTCCAGCACTCCAGCAACCAGCGTACCACGTCATCTCGTTAATTCATGATTCGAAATATACAGCACAATCCACAAACGTCGGCTCTAAGTCTTCATTAGAGACGACGAGAATGAACAGAGTAACTTCACTCCTTGTGCCGGACGGTGGGGCTGAGGCTGGTCTCTCGGGCGATGTCGATCGGTAACTGCTTCTAAAGGATATCGTTAGAAAATGATAAAGGGCTACATAAAAGTATGGAGTACTCACGACAAACAGGTCAAGCACTCTGAGACGGGAAGGGACTCTGAAATGAGCTCTCCACAGCCTGGGCAGTGAACGAGCTCACACATGCTCGAATTGTTGATGAGGATATGGCTAGAGTTGAAGGCAAAAGACCGCCAACTTCGATTTGAAACCTGGCCAAACTGAAAGCCTGCACAGTAAAGCTGATGGAAAGTCGTCTAGTAGTCCTTGATCGACAGCTTCAAATTAGTCTTTGCGTCCTAGACTACTATCCGAGCATTTGTCGTTCTGCTCTGCTTTCTTTATACTTGCTGCATGCCCACCTTCGCTTCACATTATGCCGAGCACTCTACAGGCTCCGAAGCGAAGCCTCGACAACGTTGCAGGCCTAGCATCAGCCAAAGACAAAGGACATCCGTACACATCCGTATGCTTAGAAAGGGGGGTGCCCAAAGGAAAGGAGGGAGAGAGACATTTCCAGAGAAGGAATAAGAAGGAACCTTCCAAGTCCTTCATCCTCCGACTCGTCTTCAACGGACTCGTGGCCCTAGTTCGCTTTCGACCGGCCTTGCGAGCCAACAACACTTATGAGCATGTTTCCCCTCTCCACTCGGCGCCCCCCTATATTGAGAGAGATGACACACGCTTCTCGAATCCCGTGATGGCCAAACTTTAATAGATGGCGGGAAATGTCACAGGCTGCAAGGTACAGCGGCAGGCGGCAAGGAATAGCGCCAAGATTCTCTCCAGGATCGAACTACTAGTAATAGGAGAGCATTCGAAATGGCCATCGGAAGCTAGCCGAGCGAGACATCGCAGGTTTGGTGGCGTTCTTCTTTCCACGGCTAATTTTACCCTGTTCAGAATGTCGTAAGCGACTAAAGTTGCTTTTTGATTCAACCTTCTGCGGTACGGACTTGGAACGGCATCTCCTTGTCCTCACCAACATGTACACGTTCTCGTGTGAACGTTTCGCGTGAGTCAGTTTCTGTGAATCAGGCAGGTTAGCCATCACAGTCGGATTTGAATGTGATTGTTTTCTTCACTGCCACATCACATGGATTCAATGACGAATACAGGCAGAAAATAAGGGCAAAAGCGGCTGGACACGGCATCAGACAGAGACGAGCAGAGAGCGTCTCTCGTATGCAGCTCGCTCGTCTCGAACAGAGACCAGACAGCCCAGACTCTAATCGTCACTGACGTTGCTGGCCAGTCAAAGCGCTCGATAGGCGAAGTTTAGTCACCATGGCCATGATCGCCTGTGACAGCGAGAATAAGTTGGATGGAGGGGGATGAAAAAAAAAGGGTAGGGTTGTATTAGGCTGCATCCTTTAAGGCGATGTGCGTATAGATCGGTGCTTGCCAATTTTTACGGGGGCGTGACTGCAGGTGTGATACTGGGGGAAGAAAACAATGAAATCAAGGAAGGAGCGAAGGAAGCAGATCTTGACGGCACTTCAGTCGCGCATCCGATTGGCTCGAGGTCAGATAGAGCGATAAATGGGACAAAAAAAAGGAAGAAACAAGACGTGGAAGTCCAGACGCCATGGGTTTCAAGCGCAACACCATCTCAGCATCACAGCCCCCTTGGTTGACGCCGTCGCTGCGACCCTCCTTGGCCAACACGATGCGCAGACAGGCAGCTGCAGGTAGCACGAGCCTCGCCCACAGGGCTGACCAACAGCAAAGAGCGAGCCAGGGCTATCCCGGCGTCGGTGGGCCGTGGATGAAAAATGAAAAGCAGAGATCCCGTCCCTAGTGAGACGATAGTAATGCTGTTATTCCTGACGAGGGAAGCAATATATTGATGATATTGATGCAGTAGCGCTTGTCAAGAGTCCTCGTCGGGCATACATATGCCGAAGACCACAGATAGTTGGAGATCTGCTGGCACTACCGGCACTTTTTTTTGTTAGAGCTCGGACACTTTTTTTGCTGGTGGCCTCCGTAGAAGCGCCGCAATATGAAACTACTACTACTACATGCTTAGCGAATATCATACAAAGGCGCCATCTCGAGATGCGCCGGGATCTGGAGAGAAATCAGGCCATAATTGCGTATCTGAGAACTAGTCTGAACGCTTTGGCGTTTTGATAGGCATAATGTATGTCTTTATGGAGTCGTCTTCGGTTAGGGTGTCTGACTTATGAAAACTAACAAGAATGCAAAGGCGGTCGGTCCTTGTATGAATGCATCATCTTCGATAAATGTAATATTGTGTGTATTTGATTCCCCTGTATCTCTCTATAATCCATTATCAAAAGACAGGCTTGAAGAAGAAAGAAAGAAAGAAAGAAAGAAAGTGGAAAGAAAGGATTGACTAGACAGTTGATACATGTCCCCTTTTGATGTTCCTCCCTTTCTTCTCCGTCTTTGCTACCAGAAACCATCGGCTCAATTTCCCAAAATGCAGCGCGCCGTATCAAACTCCTCTTCTCAAATACCACCCAATGTAGAGATAATCATCCGTCGTCCCATGTGTTTTAAAAAAAAAACTCCCCCCAAGCAACCCCATCCATCTATTTCCTTTGGGGTGCCGTATTCATCTTCAATGCTCATACCAAACGGTTTGATCCTTTTCTTTTTTTCCTTTTCCCCCCTCCTGCTCAAGCGGAAACGCACCAGCATAATCGCAGAAATTAAGACAACAAACGAGACAAAGACAAATTAATAACTAACAAGGTATTCATCATACAGTTTTCTAAACAGAGTTTCGCGCTTGCTGATATCCTGTTGAGAAGAAGAGAAGCAGAGAAGAAGAAAAAGAGGGGAGGAAACGATGGTAGTGCGGTCGGTATAATTAAGAGTCAAGTGAATATATCAATGATGTGTATGTGAGACCGCTAAGTCTAATAGTAGATGGCCTCGATGAGATAAAGTATGCCAAAGAATAAGAAGGCAACGGCACCGCCAACAGTCACTATATACACAGCCTTGGTTAGTGTCTTTTCTTTGTAAAAAAGATTGTGTTGTATGTGCATATAAGCAGTGAAAAAAATCTGGATTCCTCAACTTACCAACTTTCAGACTGACGCGTCCAGCAATAGCACGACCACCGATAACCGCAACACCGGTGCAAATGGAATGTCCAGCCAAAGCACCGAGCGTAACCCACCAATAGTCCTGTCCAGCAGCCATAGCAATGGTGGCAATCTGGCTTCGGTCTCCCCACTCGCCCAAGAAAGTCATGATAAAGGTCTGGACCCAGGCTGGGCTCAGGATGAGAGAGCAAAGGTTGCTGATGCCACTGCCGAAACTGCTGAGGCTGTTTGATTTGCGAGAAGGGGCACGAGAGGGAGATTCGGAGGGCGATCTCGGAGAGGGGAACCTGTTCTTGCGTGAAGACCTGCCACCGCCAAGGCCCATCTCAAGAGCGTCACCAGAGATGGAGCCACCTCTTCGCTCAAGCTCCTTCTCCTTCTCAGCCAGTTCTTGCTCAACCTCGTGCATCTCGGCTGTGACGCCTTCGTTGGGATCCATGTTCATTCCCTCTCGGAGGAGTCTGGCGCCAAAAACGAAGAACAGGCCGGCGGCGAGAAGACCAGTCAGACGCTTGGAAATCAGAGCCGGCACGGCATGTCCCAGGACGGCAGACAAGACAGTCATGACTGCAAGAGCTCCGAAAGCAGCAGAAAAGACAACCATGCGATCGTGTTTCATGGCCATGAGAGCGGCCACCAAAAAGGTCTTGTCTCCAACTTCGGAAACTAAGATCATGGTGAAGGACAGGATGAAAGAGTGGAAAGGCTGGTTGATGCCATCTTCGCCTTCAGAGGAGTCTGGTGCCGACGGTGATGAGCCTCCGGGCTTTGGCTTGGAGATGTCGAGATGGTCTTTCTTTGCGGAGTCTGGGACGGGCGGCGACAACTGTTCGCGAGGCGTGTCGGGGAGATAGCCGGGTTTCTATCCGCCAATGGGTGTTAGTGCATCGGATCATTGGATTCTCATCGCTCCATTACCGCATTGCTGCCGCATAGCTGCCGCATCGCATAGAGATGGGTACATGCATGCAGCGGCAAGGAAAAAGGGGAGGGAATAATCAAGGTCATACCTCCAGCCCGGTGTAACCAGTGTCTTCGGTATCCTTATCGGATGAAGACTTCGACTTTGACTTGTCCTTGTCCGAATCTGCTGGTTTGGTCTTGTCTTTGCCTTTGCCCTTTTCAATCTTCTTCTCCTCACTGTGAGGCAGCGGAGGGTGTTCCTTGGGCGCTTCCGGCTGGTTGACAAGCTTCTCGCCAGTCTTGCCCTCGTGGGCCTTGCGGGCCTTGTCCTTTTCGGAGACGCCGCCCTCGGTGCCCGTGGTGCCATCCTGAGGCTTCTCACGGTTCTTGTCGAACATGACGCCATCGTTGGACTCGGGAATCTTCTTGCCGTCGACCACGGTGGGATCCTTGGGGCGCCCCTTGAGCGTGGGCAGGTCGCTTTCGCCCTTTGTCTCGGTCGATACCTTGCCGTCGGTCTCGACAAAGGGTCCTAGGTGAGGCTTGCCGTCTTTGCCGTCTACGGGCGCGTCCTTGGTGGGCACGCCGAGACGGCCCTTGAGGATGGCGGCGTCGGCAACATCACCAGGGATGGTGTCTCGCTCGCTGTTGGCGACGGTGGCGGCAGCGGGATCTGTGGCAAGGGCGCTGGCGATGGAGGGCAGAAGGAGGAGGAGGAGAGGAGAATGCTTTGCTCGGAATTGCATTGCGGCGGGAGGGGCTGGAGTGGAACAGCAGCCTTGTTGACGTCGTCGAATCTCGGTAAGTCAAGGGTCAATGTTGCTCAATGCATCCGGATGCGATGCGGTCTTTGGTGAACACGAGGCCGTTTGCCACGCGCAAGGCGGAGGAGCAGGGCTACGCAGCAGGCAATTCGGGGCTGGAGAGCAGAGCGAAGAAAAAGGCGACGCTTCAATGGATGCGAGATGGGGAAAGGGGCGGGTTGCGAGATGGAATGGCCGATTGAAGACGCAAGCTCGCGTGTCTTGGCCGGTGGATGCACACAGGGCTCTCGGAGAGGATTAACTCTGACGGAATGGGTGTTCTTGGTGTCGCAGACGGACGAGCAGGATTGGCGACAGCCGACGAGAACAGTTGATAAAAAAAAAAAAAAAAAGTAATGAGGGAGCGAGACGAAGATGATAATAATAGTAAAAAAAAGAAAAAAAGTTGGAAACAGTGAAGCGAAGAAAAAGGAGACCAGAGAAAGAGACGCCTTGTTGAGGAGGCAGAAAAAAGAATCCAAGCAGGCGTTCGAGGCTCGCTGTCCTTTTTTTCCTGGCCCCTCTCAATGCCAATGCTGGAAAATGAAGTTCTGGGCTGCCGGCAGCACGGCGGGCGGTCCCTCCAGGTGCCTGGCGCTGGCTGTCGGCCGCTGCGCGAACGCTGGTTCCCCTTAAAAAGCACCTGTGCGGACTCCATCGTGTGCAATTTCGCGGCCTCTCGCTGGTCCAAAGCGGCGACCCCCTTGCAGCGAGGCGGTGGATCCTGCCCCACCTGCCGGCCACCCAGACGCCCCTTTGCGGACGAGTTTGGCGAGCAAAAGCGGGCTTTGGCTGCAAATGGAAGCGAATGAAGGCTTGCAGGTGAAAATACGATGGAGCGCACTGTAGCAGCAGTTCAGTGCTGTGCGCGTCTTCATCATCATCAGCCCAAGCCCAAGTCTAGGTACATGTATTTGGTACTCTTGAAGATGCACCAAACGACCACAAGCCGCGGGTGTATATAAATTCTGAATACTTATATTAACCGAGCAGCCGCTAGCAATAGAAGCAGTAGAAATAAAGTTATAGCAGCGAGGACTATCGAGGGTCACATGACGCACAGACCCTGGTTGGCTTGCTATATACATCCAGCCATCATCCCAAGTCTTTACATGTATTCTACAGAGAACACAAGCCTTTACGTTCCACCTCTAATACTGAATCGCATATTCGATGACATGAAACCAAATGGGCGATTACGTTTAAACCAAGTCGCCGAAGAATTGTGGTATCAAGTTTCACCAAACGGTGAGTTGGGGTTGGTGATATTCCTCTGCAGAGCTACAATCACCCATGATAATTTTCCATTGAATATATAAATAGTTTATTAATTGGTTAACTAGGTAATAGCATTTACGGGTTGTTTCTCTGAAATATCCTACAACGGACGTTAACTTTTATCATTATCTGAAAAGCAAAAAGAAGAATTCGGCCAATGTGAAATTGGCAAGAGAACTTGATGCCTACATATTTCCACTGCACACATGGAAAAAAAAAAATAAAGATTCAGTCGTTATCACGCCCTGAGCAATACCGCAATCAATTCTGTGGGAACTATCTTCCTATGGCCTCGACTCAAGCTCATAGGACTCCTATTTGCATATGGGACAACGATATTCCCTCTTACGTTGAACATCGCTGGCCAAACCCTCATGCTTCTTCTAGGCACATACCAACCAAGTATCAATCTGAATAGCGTGGGCCACGCTGTCTACACAAACTTACCTTCCTGAGTTCCGTTCTGTTACTAACGATATTCGCCCACAACCATCCTATGCGTCCGCTTTCTATACCAACAGCTACAACTTCTTGAGTCCTTTATTTGGAGTTGTCTCGTCTTACTGTGTAATAAGCTGTATGCGAATGCTACAATCACTCAAAGGTCCTAGATTTTTAACGAGATACCGAATTCCTATGCACTATAACTGTGTGATTAAAGCAATTCCTCTATAATTCTCATGCTCTTTCCCCCTCGTCTGTGCGTAGTATCGCATTATAGTCTCTATTCTTTGTCCTCTTGTTACGTGGGCTGCAAACCAATTTACATGGAACTTCATTCTACATGGACCGGCCACTTGAACAATATCTACTTCCATTATTGACCTGCTCTAGTACGCAGACTCGATCTATCTTTAGGAAAATCACATCCATCCAACACGCTTCCATAGAAAGGAGGCACCGCCAGCAATGGCAGTTATTCCAGTAAAAGCAATAACTGGGCCATAGCCGCTTCCATATCCACCAAAGGCCTGTCCTTGCCACGGGGCTCCCTTGACCAAAACCTCACTCAGAGGGCCTGATACAACATTTCCAATGCCCCGGCCGGCCGCGAGGTATCCAAAGATCATGAACGGGTCAAAAGCAGAGCCTCCGCTTGAGGTGCCTGCTTGACTTGGCTTGGAAACCACCGTGCGAATCACTGCTGTCCAAGCACTTGAATATGAACCTGCAAATATCCCGTATACGACGCAAAAGATGTAGAGGACGGCCAAGTTCGTCGCAAACCCCCACAGCAAGAAAGCACCCGCAGCCGCGCCCACCGCTGATATCATGAGGCACGTCGTAGCGTGAAACCGATCGGCAAGCATTCCCATAGCAATACACCCGAAAACGGATGCAACATTGACGGCCAAGACTGTCAATGCGGCAGGGAACGCCTCAGAGCCAAGAGCCGAGGTGGCATAGGACGGCAGATACAGGCCCGGCATGAAGAAGCCCAGCGCCTGGACTATGTTTGCCAACTGAAATACGATGAATGACCGGTCAAAGAGAAAGCCCAGCTTCGACAGCTGGAACCTGGCACCGGTCGTAACCGGCAGTCGCGGCTTGACAAAGTAGACCACGGGGATCGTCAGCACGAAGAGCGCCACCGCCCAGATGCGCAGCGTCGTCCGCAAGCCGTACCGCCCCAGCAGAAACTCGAGCAGCATTGGGATCGCGAACCCGCCGATACCTGTACCACTCCACATCAGGCCAAACGCCAGGCCTTTGCGCTTGACGAACCACTCGTCCATGTACAGGATGCAGGGTCCGTAGCAGATCGAGCCGCCCACGGCGAACAGGACGCCCTGGGTGAGGATCAGGTGCCAGACAGTCTGCGAGAAGGAGCTCAGCGCGAGGGCTATGCACATGATGAAGAGGCCGACGGTTGGGCCGTATCGGTTCTGCTTGGGATACATTCTCATGAGCGGAAAGACGAATGGGGCAGATAGGTACATGGTTCCCTATGGTGAGGACGGTTAATACGAGCGCCTGGGAGCAGAGGAGGACGGAGACGGGAGAAGAGCAGTCTACCATTGCAGTTGTGCCGATGGCAGCAATGTTCGGAGAGCCCATGAACGGTGCATGAGTGCTATAGTAGTTTTGAAAGATACCAAAGGCAAAGGGAAAGCCTGGCCGTTTGTTAGCCAACAGGGCGTTCCGTCGATAATGCCACATCTTGTTCCTCACCCCAAACTAGGCATTCGATGATGATGCAGGCTGCCAAGAACAGCATTGCATCTCGGCCTGTGTCGACAGGAGGGAGTGAGACTCCATGTTCGCTTTCCGAGCCAATATCTGGAGAGACGGAAGAGTCGCCGGGAGTGGTAGTGTCGAGCTGGATCGACTCTACTTGAGGGTAATCCTCCACGGACGCCCGCCCCATTGTGATACGCGGGGTCGATTGGACTGCTGGGCCGTATCTGAGAGCCTATTCCAAACGTCTCAGGTATGTAGTAAGAAGACCAGGATGGAAAAAAAAAAAAAAAAGAGATGGCGACAGTCCGTATTATAGAAAAGAGGAAACGGCAATTCGTATTTTTCAACAATTCGATGCTGCGACTTTCTCTTGTTTAATAATCCGAGGCCCAAGGAGGAGCTCCACAAAGCTCGAGGCGCGCCCTATAATTGATGCGTGGTGTACGGAGTACAAACCCCCACACTAGAAGCCAGTTCGTCGTCCAGATTACCGCGTCTACTTTTCAGAAAGCGCTGTTGCTGGGCGTTGAATAGCAAAATGGAAATACATCACTATTAAGGACGAGCTGGCCTAACCGAGATGACCCCAGAAGCACTGAGGATATGATTAAATCTATCTATGTTATAACTACCTATATATCATGTACCTTCAGGCCTGAAAACTGGCACTAGTTTCGGGTCTTAGCGGCTGCGTATACTGACCCCGTATTAACGGCTCCGAACTGTGGGTTTAGATGCGATGCCCACCCTTTGTCCATCTCGCTGCCCTCTGCAATGCTACTGTGTAGAGAGCTGTAGAAGTTACAGCACAGATACATACAAAGTCTAGATCAGAGACGACTTCAAGTATGGAAGCACACGGAGACAATTCACAGACACACGGGCAAAGAGTGCGAAATGTTGAATTTCTTTATTGCTTTCCACCAAATCCAAACACTTACGAATTCCTTAAAACCAAGGCTAGGTTCGATACCAATCTAAACTAGCTGCTTCCCACACCCATTATTGAAAACTTTCTCCAGACACCTACTTAATAGGCAATGAACAGTATTGCAGAATCGGCCGGTGACGAGAGGGGAGACGATGGTCAAAGGGCCGCAAAAAGAGGCTGTACTCTTGCAAATGTGCCGCGTCTAGCAAACCATTTCTACGCATTTCAGTATGGTGCTCCGGTAAGATGAGGGTGATGAATGCGGAGTTAATCCCTTAGAGGCGAAACTTCGCTCTACAGAGGATGTCGGAAACAGGATACATACGCATGGCAAGATATGTGTTGAGGCCAATCGTCTTCAACACAGTCTCGCAAGTGACATCGTCGCTTGATGGGAACTTGCACATGGAGATGTGATCACCGTAAACGGTAAAATGCTTCTCCCAGTACTCATGCCTAACATTACACATGGTATCTTCCTTTTCGACAAGCTTGAGGGGTAAAACAAACCTGTATGTTAGCTTCTGAAGCGCGAGAAGTGGTTTGTGTTGAATATAACGGCAACCGACGCGAGGGAAGGGGGCCTACAAGGTGTTTTCCGCGGTACCAGTTGCATGCATGGAAATTGATGACTAGTCGTCTGCGGTAAAGGCGTCCTCGTTGCTCAAGAGGCGCGAGACGCTCAACGTGCTCGTTGCAGGCCTTATCGAGCATATCCAAGACCTCGGGGGGAGTGGGACGCACAGCAGCACTGGCAATAGTGCGCACAGACTTGGCAACGTTATGATGGGGGGTGTTGAAGAAGACCAGTAGTCGAGTAAACTGATCGATGGAGATGATGGTGCCCGACTTATCCAAGTGAGCCTTGGCAAGCGCCTGCAACCGCCGATTCAGCCGTCCTCAAGGTTAGGCGGTCAAATTTCACAGTTGCAGCCAAACTGTCAAAAACAAATGGGGAATTGCGTGCTCACCTCCTTGACAATAAGTCCACCTACATCGTGGCAGATGAAAACAAGTGGTCTTGTTGGGTCTTCCTTTCTCTTCTCCATGAGAAGGCGGAGAAGGCGGTCGGCATGCTTTGTGAATTGCGTGTCTTCGTCATTAACAGAGAGACCGTCGTTGTAGGAGAAGAGCATGACTCGACAATGTTTGCCAAAGCAGCTAGGGAGGATATCTCTGGGCCAAACCTTGCCCTTGTAGGACCAAGTGTCTCTATGAACAAGATAGCGGGCCTCAATATTGAGGCCGTGGATGGCGACGACACTAAAGTTGAACAAAGAATGAACGAGTTAGTTGCATGTAGAGCTCTGGTACAAGAGAAAAATAAAGGACTATAGCACAGCACAAAGCTCGCGCCTAATTAAATGTGGTAGAAAGGTAGCTTCTGGGGAGAAAATGCCAAATATCGAGGCAGATTCAGACAGCATAGATAGACTTACTCAACGTCTGCGCTGTGCATCGTAGTAAAGGGTCCAGGCTGAGGAAACACGATTTCGAGATCGTACTGTTCCATGTGTTCTGAAAATATCATAGGCATGGTCAACTCTTTGCACAGACGCTGTAAATCATACGCAGGATTGGAGCAGTTTTTTTTTTTTTTTCTTCTCTTCGTTTAAGAGTGATATCAGAGGTAGGATAATAGAGAAATGAAGATGGAAAGGAAGATGAAAAGGAAGGGGAAGGGGAAAGTAGAAGAAAGTATCCAGAAGTTGCGGTTGCTGTCTTAATGTTTTGTGTTCGTTCGCACTTGCGGCTGCAGCTGCAAATGCAGCCGCGTTTGCAGCTGTTCGTATTCGCGTTGGTGATTTGCTTTGATGCCCAAGATGCAATAATTGAATTGCTATCGCCAACGGCAGTCTTGCATCTCTGTTCAAGCGGCAGAAAACCGCCGAGAATTGAGATTCTATTTGTACTCTGTCTGTAAGCGGGTTTGAGGCAACCTTGAACAACACAAGGCTAATATTATGCTATCAGCCTCACAGTTGCACACCCTCGCACACCAATTATAGCTGTGGCTGGGAGAAGAGTTACACAAGGGCTGCACTTCACTAGGGGAGAGTGGAGAAGGAAAAAGAGGAGGAGACGAGACGAGACGAGAGGATGAGCGTGAGGACGAGACGCGTGCGATCTCGAAATGCAGGCTTCCGTGAATAGATGTCACCGCAAAGTCAAGGTATTCTCAAGATGATGTGAAGAACTGCAAAATAGAGAAGAGAGAGAGAGAGAATGATGGTGCGAGTAGACGCCAAGTAAGTTTGTTCGTTTCCTGTTGGGCTGCCACAGGAGTCTCAATCTAGTAGCCAAATTGGATCGAAAAGAGGACTAATACAACCAAGCAGGATATTAGACGTAGCCGCTCAGCCAAAAAGACTGGAGGAGATCTATGCACCAGGTCCAAATACCGAGCAACAAGCAGGAAGAACGACTTAGCTTCGTCGGTGCCTGTATCTGTGGATGTTACGACGACCACACTAGCGAGCAGCAAGCGCTCAGACATGTAACGGTATATTCCTGTTACCTTCTTCCACGTTGTGTATCAGCGGAGAGGTCGTCTTGCCGCTGCCTTTCTCCTTCTCTCAACGGTATGTATCTGATATGTTTAGGATAAGGCTCTCTGAGGACTAGGCAAAGATTCATAGACAGAGCTGAAATTATCAACGCAACACAGATGCTCTATTGTCCTACCTATCCAAGCGCCCAAATGAAGCCCCAACAGATACCTAACGACGCCGGTCCATGCAGATGCTGGAAAGTTATTCCCCCCTTTCGCCCGTTCGTCTGAGCAAGAGATACAAAGGCGCGTGAGCATGTCATTGCGTTACACAACTTATGCGCCCGGGGACCAAAAGACTCCTCTCAGAGTGGCAGGGTTAGATTTGTGCTCCCACATCTGTGGGGTGCTCCCCATCTATCTTGTCCAGTCCCCGTTGTTTCTCTTGGACATGAGAACTTTGGCCGCAAATCAATCTCCTCGGCGGGAGGAGACGTCTGTGCTAGTAGTCAGGGAAAAGCATGAGCCTTGTGCCATCACCCCGAGGGGCTTTTTTTGGGGCGCCTCGCGACGACAGCAAGAATTAAGGCAACATCACGTTTGTGTCGTCTCTACCCGAGTAACGTAGTAATACATGGTGCTTGTGTGAGTATTTTGCGAGCAGGCACGGAGTGGAATGCGCCAGACAAGAGCACAATGCTACCATACTTTATTTCTCAATAGGGCTCGGGGCACAAAGCACTAGAGCCCAATTTGCTTTGGTCCACGGCACTTGAAGTTCTTGACTGGCTGGCTACTGGCTAGGTACTTGACAGATACGATTCGTATGATACTGGTACATACGTAGTAGTGCTACTGCAGTATTTGGCTTATATGGTGTCTGTGGGGCCTGAGGATAGAATCACATGTATGAGCAGTAGCACACAGTGAGACAAGGACACAGGCACCTCCCGCCGATCATGTACAAGGGGAGATGAGATCAGGAGATGCACAGAGCAAGACAAAAATCAGAATGATGGAAGTGCTGGACAGGACAGGCCCAAGGATCTGGAGCTGGAGCTAGCTGGTGGCCCCCACAAAAGCTTCTGAGCTCTAAGCTGAGTCGGCCCATTTTGACTGTCACTAAACCGGCAGTCATCCGATCGGCCCAAAATCTTGGATCCTCGGAAACTAGTTTCTTTTCAACCTCAAGTCAAGCTCTTTCCCCCTTCTGATTCCCGCCCAGTATCCCAGCTATCGCAAGGTTGTGCCTTTTAATTGAAATTCAACGACTATACCAGGTTAGCAATGGGGAGAAAGAGGCATAAAACAGGGTGGTGTGCACGACTAATGACTTGACAGGGGAGAGATACAGCTTCGGAGCACACGCGGCAGCTTCCGCCATCAATCATCACATTTGCCATTCTTTTGCTTTTTGTTTGTCTCTGGTCCTATTTTCAGCTGCTCGCGGCCCACCGCATTCTTGACGCACTATCCCTGCACCAAGTAGACTGAAAATGGACGCGCCACTGATTAGAGTCGGACATGGGCTTCGGGCTACGGCTTCAGCACCAGGACTGGCTTCAAGATCAATATTGGGTGCCTCAAGACCTGCAATCTGCCATCCGTCTAGGGCCACAGCATTGACTGCAACTGCCGCAGTTCGCCATTTCTCTGCGCTCAACCGGCCACCGCCCAAGTATCCAGGCCATGTGCCTCTGACCAAGATAGAGCAGGCTGGCATGGCCATTGGATCCGGCATCATGTCGCTGTTCAATCCCTACCGCGCCGGTACGTCATGCCTTTTGATTTTATTTGTAATTCATTCTACTTGATTCTTCTTTTTTCTCCTGTAACGCCACATGAAGACGGCGCAATGCAATGCCGGGTTCCCGGTTTTCTCATTTCCCCTTGCCTCTCCTCTGGTGCCTGTCTATATCCCACACTAGCCGAGGAGAGCAAACAATATGGGCGTTTCGCTTTTTATGGGATTGTATGACAAGATTTGACACCTTCCCTCCATAAAGAAAGACTAGTCCTAGGATTCCCATTAGGAACCAAGCTTGTGAGGAGAGGGGAGGGGGGTGGGCTGGAGTGCGGGAGCAAGTCACTTGAACAAAGCCCCAAGTGCCAGGAGAGGCACAGAGAGGGCGGCAGATGAAAATCAAACACATGATGGCTTCGAATCCTCAGCTGATGCGGAATCTTGCAGATCTCATAGCCACCCTTGGCGAAGCTACGGCAACCCCTTACTTTATCTACCGCCTTCGCGACGCCATGCTCGCACATCCCACCGGCCGCCGCATCCTTCGCCTGCGTCCTCGGATCAGCTCCAAGACTCTGTCCATCCCAGCCCTGCGCGCCCTGCCCGCCAACACTGTGGGCCGCGCCTACGTCGAGTGGCTGGACCGCGAGGGCGTGTCTCCAGATACTCGCTCGCAGGTAAAGTACATTGACGACGAGGAGTGCGCCTACGTGATGCAGCGGTACCGTGAGTGTCATGACTTTTACCACGCATTGACGGGTCTGCCCACGGTTCGAGAGGGAGAGGTGGCGCTCAAGGCCTTTGAATTCGCCAACACGCTGCTGCCCATGACGGGTCTCAGCATGCTGGCCGTGGCCACGCTGAAGCCGGCCGAGAGGCGACGCTTTTTCGGGGTGTACATGCCGTGGGCGGTTAAGAACGGCGTAAGGAGCAAGGACATAATCAATGTCTTTTGGGAGGAGGAGCTGGAGAGAGATGTAGAGGACCTGAGAAGAGAGCTGGGAATTGAGCAGCCGCCGGATCTGAGAGCGATTCGCAAGCGAGAGAAGGAGGAGAAGAGGCGGTTGAAGGAAATGAGAGCCAAGGGCTTCTGATGTTGATGGCTGATGCCACTGCCACAGGGGCTGTACAAGATTACTGCTGGCTTGTTATCTTTTTGTTTTATTATTTGGTGTGTTATACCGGCTGTCAGGGCGGCCTTCATGACACTGTGTACTTGTACTTTTTAAGTTTTTGTTAACACCATTCATCAGATCAACCCTCACGAAGCTGTATACACTTGATACCTCCTTTGTCTCCTTTGTCTCCCTCTCTCTTTCTAAATATGCATTATACAGCTCCACCCATTTGCGTGGTAGGAACTAGGAGAGAAATAGCTATTCGTGATCAACATCGTATGAGTAAAAGAAAAGACTCGAAAAAAAAAAAAGGCATGTCCGCTTATAGATCCAGCAAATCATCATCGTCATCGTCCCAACCCTTGCGCCTACTCACAACAATCTTCTCATGCTGCTCGTTGTCCGCCACCGCCGTCAACAGTTCCTTGAGCTGTTCTTCCGTCACTTTCTGCCGCAGCTGACCGGTCTGCGCCAGCGTAATCAGGCGGTTCTCGACGTCGGTTGCGCGCTGCTCCTTGACGAGGCGGATGCGTCCGAGGCGGTCCGCAGCTTCGGGGTGCAGGATCTGGTTGAGGATCTGCTGGCGGGCTTCTTCGGCTTGTCTATACGGGGAGGGAGTTGGCTGATTTAGCTTGAAATCTTCTTCTTCAACAACACGGTAATTCTTTTTTTTTTTAACACAGGTGCTATATGGAGATAAAAACTTACTGTCTCTGCCTCTCTTCTTGGCCGGAACCGCCGCCAGAGCGAGCACCTCCGCCGCCGCCACCACCTCCTCCTTGCGCCTTGAGCTGCTCAAGACGAGCTTTTCGGATCTGCAGATGATGTTTGTTTAGCAAGACAACTTTTTGGACAATTCTAGAATGCTGCTGGTGGCACAGACTGACCTGTTCCAGCTCTGATTCGTCCATGTCGAGAGAGCTGCTAGCAATTTGTTTACTTTTCAAAAAGATTGCCTGACCAAGATCGTCATACCAGGCTGCGGGGCATTGGAGCATTTGCTTGGAGCTTTGGAGGGGCAGCTTTCAGGGCACGTGATCACCGCCTCTGTTCAATACATCTTCTGGGGTGTTAGTTGATGTAGCTGAAAGGTGGAAAGACGGTGTTCCGATTTTCAATTAAATAGGACAATCATTCATCTCATCTCGAGTATATCCCAGTCGTCTTCAATGGGATACTCACGATAGTCGTGGCACCAAGCAATGGCTGCTGATTGACTTTGGGCATGAGGTCAGCAGTATACATTGGATCTGGCTCCAGGTATTCCTGGCCAGACGTGATATTGTTGCTAAGGGATTGATTGGAAACGCTTTTTGATAATTGGAGATTGGCATTATTGGATAAATGAGTTAATATGTGCTGGTAGGCATCCATAGCCAAAGCTGGCAGGGTGGTCTTGCCTTTTAAAGCATAACCTATAGATGTGGCCAAGTGCTACAACGATGCGAAACCAACAAAGAACCTCGTAGCTTCCGTCAAGGCCAACTTTCCAGCTTTTTGCATATCATTTCCTTCGCGTATAATCACAAATATATCGTTGAGTCATTGCCCCTAGGTCAAATCCAAAAGAAGAAGAGGAAAATATCTTGCAGTCCTCTGCGTAAACTGGTGGGTGGAAAAGACTTCTACTCATCAGCCAAGACTTTCTACCCACCAACCCAATCACCGACTGCGTGCAGCTTCGTTACGATCAAGAGACAGTCACACATGCAAGACAATGTCTATTGCAACCTGCTATTCATTTATGTCAAGGACAATGGTTACAAACACTCAATTCAAATCCTCCTACCCTACAAAGGAGGTGAAATCACAGCCAATTCGCACGCCATCTTGCCGCATGTCAAGATATTCGTATACTCGCCCATAAATAATTGCTAACTAATCTCCGATAATTCCTAGCATCCCCGCCTTTACCTTTTGCTATGCATACAGTTAAACAACTGTACCATCTCTATCAAGCCAAAACTCGCGTTCATCAAAGTCAAGCAAAACTAGCCGGCCACACCACCCGAGACTTTTGTTGCCGAAAGAAAGAACCACTTTGATCGATACCGGGTTAACGGTGTACTCGTATCGCTTGTTCTAGATTAGCTACCATGCCCTAACAAGAGCAAATAGTCGGAACAAACGTACCAAGAAGCTCATTAACCTCGGTGTACCAAAAAGTCTGCCAGCTCAGTCCTCGGAGCGACGATTGGGCGGACCTTCTTACGCGCTTGGGTCAGCTGCTCAAAGGCGTAAGCTATCTTAAACAACTTCTCTTCCTGAAAGCTGGTCCCGATGAAAGAAATGCCATACGGTTTATTAGGGGCCGAGTCAATCGAGCCGTCATCGCTCGGAATGATGGGTCTTTCTGGGCCCAGCTTTGAAAACGGCACGGTGACAGCACAAATGCTACCCACCCGCGAGCACAGCGTGGCAGCTATGTGCGGCCATGTGGCAAGGGCGTCAAGCTCGAATTTCTCAAAGGCAGTCAAGAGGCCTAGTTCGTCCAAGTATCCCTGCTCATGCTCAGGCGGCTCTTGGCTTGCCGGCTTCTCGTCCTTGTTCATCTTGGGGTCTTCCTTGCAAGTGTTCGTTTGACAAGAAGGGTATTGTTCCTTTGGGATTCTTCGCGCAAATTCACGCAAGTCAACCGATGAATAAATATCAGGGGGAGTCTCTTTCAAATTGCAGAGGTGCCTGGGAAAATCGAGCGAGAAATCAAGGGCACAACGACGATGATGCGTGCCATCCAGGTCCGTATTGACAGCTCCGTTAAGCACGATGCCATCGACTATTGTGGCTTTCGCTCTGCGCATCACATCCAAGGCCTGGTTGAATTTTTCTATTGGCAAGTCGTAGGTACAGACTTGAAAAAACCACGCCAGCGATCGCAAGAAGCCGATTCTCATTCCTTGCAGGCCGTCTTCCCTGCATGCCGCTACATAGTTTGGATAAATATTAAAGGGAATTCGAGCAGTGTACGGATCTTTCCTATCTCGCCCCATGATGGCTTTCAACAAATACGCCGCGTCCTTCACGGTTCGGGTCATCGTGCCAACCGACTCGAGCCTCAACGTGTCGGCTGACTCTTGTCTCAACGCCTGAGGAATCGTCAGATGCCGCGACGTTAGTCCAACTGTCGGTTTGAAGCCAACGACGTTGCTATGGCTTGCTGGCATGATGATGGAACCGTCAGTGTCAGTGGCCAAAGATGCCCACGCAAGGCCAATTGAAGTTCCCACTGCGCAGCCGCCAGAAGAGCCCTTTGGGATCTGCCCCTCGAAATATGCGCCTTTCGTTTGGCTTCCATGTAGGGTCCATTTATCTATATGGCTGCCATAGCTGTCGTCACGGAGGGTAGACCACTGAGTCCTCGTTTTCCCAAGGATAATGGCTCCAGCGTCACGCAGCTTTTCCACTACCGTGCTGTCTTCAGGAACGCGGGCTCCCATTAAGCCGTACGAACTGGCTGTCGTTTGCAGATGGTCGGCTGTTGCAATACTATTCTTGAGCAAGATTGGAATGCCGTGAAGGGGCCCGAGATCGGAGATTCGCGCACAGTTTCTTATCTGATTCCTTTCATTATTAAGTCGAATAGCAATCACACAGGCGTCAGGATTGATTTGGGTGACGGCTTCCAATAGGGGGTTGACTTGCTGGATTCGACGAATATAAGCTTGAACAAGCTGAAGGCTGGTGAAGTGGCCAGCGTCTAGCCCGGTTCGCAACTCATCAAGTGTTGCGTCTAATAACGGCGGCAACACATAATCCGCGGTGGGGGTGCTGAAATCGTTATTCATGATTTGGTTGAACTGAACTGGCCTGAAAACAAGAGCGCTAAAGACTAATAAATGTTTAGGAAATCTCAGGTCGCATTGTTCAGAAGGTAATGGACGAGAGAGTGTAAAACAACAAAGAGACAGAAGCCACGGGGTGGCAGAATATAAACATTTAGAGTGGTTTGTAATTGTGAATTCAAGACCAAAAGTCAGGCAACACAGGGGGGGAGCAAACAATGACTACTTGATAATAACAGGCGTCACAAATTTAACAGTCTCAGTTCGAGACATCAAGCAGGGTACGCACGGGCATAAGATTCGATGACACCTCCGTGTATTACGATCGAAGCTGTCGTGACTATTCACTACGCAAGTCTAGGGACATTTGACGTGGTCACATTATTACATGGCTTTTGACATACTTGATGCCATACTTCTCCAGCACTTGTTTTGAGATGAACCGATATGGCTGAGAATTTGAATAGTTACAATACTTGCAAAGATGAGTGTCACTTCACTCTCTAGTAATTCAGCTACTAACTACTTTTTTGCACCTACTTGGTTACATGAGATGACGGTAGAAAAGAGATTCCCAAAAAAAAGATCAAGGGTATTAATAATACAGTCTTGCATCAGAGAGTTCTACAGCGTGGGCTTTCTCATCGAGGTTGCTCTGGTCCACCTGGACAGGGTATCTGGTACCTTGTACTAATAAGCCTGGTAACACTGCTGCGTATATGTACCTACATGCATGCTCTCGCTGATGGCACCTACACCCACGTTCTGGGGGTGGTATTGGACGCCACAAATTTACCTCGATGCAACCGGTCAATATTTATCACACCGGTTTATGCTTCCTGAATCCTCTCCTTCAGCCGACTTAGCCGCCGAGGGGAGGAGGGGGGAGGCTCTCTACACCATCTTGAATCGAAAGAGGCCGCGTGAATCAAGGAACTGGGATAAGCAAGTTCGGCATATTTGGACGAACTTGCGGGGCGCCACCAAACTTCCACGCTATTAGCTTGTCAAGTCCATATTTGGGAGAATGCACTGATCAGCCTGGACAGGTGTGGTATACACAGCCTGATCTCCTGGTTCAGGCATTCAGCAAGTAGGAGCCGAGTCTAGCCCTTCAAGAGGATTCGTCTTGGCATACGGATGTGGTTCCCTGGATCGGGCATGACTATTGGAGCAAACAAGCAAAAGGACAGCCAAGGCGTCAGTCGCCTCACTTTTCTGCCCCATGTCTGCCTAATTATCCAAGATAGAATGGAGTTTATGCTGGAGACAGGAGAGTGAGATGTCTTTCGGACGCAATGTTGCGCACTGAATGGCTCATCACTCGCTACGACGCCAGGTTTTGCCTTGGGTAGCCGACAGGTCGCAACTGAAATGTGCTAGAAAATTATGGAGCTTCTGATAGGAAATCAGGCAACTAATCACTGCCAATGGAGAGGCGACACAGGAAGCAGGTCCTTGCGTTCCATTAAGCATGTCTTACTGCGTCTCGGCCTTGACAGGGCGTATCAGCAAGGTGGGTATATAGCTATCTGGGAAACAATGCTACCCCCTACCTCTCCGTTCAGGTAGGCAGGCCTGCTTTTCACTACGTTGGCAGTGATTCTTGGTGGGAATCAATGAGCGAAATTATATACATGATCTGGAAAGTTTTAGATGTCAAAAGAGTTACAATATGATGGATAGGGAGCACATTGCTAATATTTGATCAACTAGGTGGTAGTATGGGAAATATCTAGGATAGCTTTGAAGGAGACATCTGCCTTGTTCCCTTCTTTCTCAAGCTCCTCTGAAGCTTCCTACTGGAACCAGTGGTTCTGTCTCTGTCTCTGTCACGGTACGGATACAACTGATTGAGCTCAACTCTAAAATTCATTAACCTTACGTAGAAAGTAACTCTATGTTCATATACTGACCACTCACTTGTCCTAGGTAGTATCTATTTCAGGTTCAAAAACTGAGACATTCATAAAAAAAGAAGTGTCCTAGGGGGAGGGGTGCCAATAACAGGATAAGGATACTATGCCATTGCCCAGTCTCAAATCGATGGTTCTAATCACCCGATATAGATGGATCCTGCGCTCTGAATAATACCCGTCAGCCCAGGGAGGGATAGGCTCATAGCCCCCACGATGGCAATTGTAAGTGTTTGACTTTGTAGCCTGAATTAAGTACGAGCTAACAGGCGCCAGGTCTCAGCTGAACCCGGTATCTGGCATACAATAGCAGTCAGCCAGACTGGGGGGGGGGGGGGGGGGGGGGGGGGGGGGGGGGGGGGGGGGGGGGGGCAGGAAACTGGAATTTCTCCCTCCTCCCCTCCCTTGGTCCGATTTTCTTTTCTTTTCTTTTCTTTTTCTTTCTGTCTCCAAAACAATACTAGATTGGGGTATTACAACGGTCACAGGTCAAAGGTAGCGTGTGCCAGGACGCCCATTCTTGCTACAAGGGTTTAGCTTTGTTCACGAGGCTCTGGATGAGGGTGGTGGCCTTGGGTTTCCCATGAGGAGCACTGCCATTGGCACAGATAGCCGTTCGTCGCATTTTTGATTACGCATTATGCCAAAGCTTCCTGTATCATGCAGCAGCCGATACTTTTGCCCAAGGATATACGCATACGAGTACGAGTGGTGGCAACAGCACAGAGCCAGTGGCATGATGGAGGATACCTGCCTGACTATCCATCGATATCTGCGGATGTCTTTACTTGAAGGTGGGTTTCCACTAGAAGGGCAACTGGCACAGACACATTGGCACACCGATCGACTTCTTGCGTGATATCAATGTAGTCATGTGCAATAACTTGTAGTATATTCGTATAGACGGTCTCTCTAAATCTAGCAATGTTCATTACGCAGTCAAGTCAAAGGGAATCAGAATTTGTCCCTCACTAGATGCTCCTCAGATAGTGTTCGAGGAGGCCATGGTTCTCATAATCATCATCACCTGAGAAACCTGGTTCTATGGTATCAGATCATCCTATCCACTGGCGATGTCTCAAAAATGGTGCGCCCCAGTTAGCTCTCTTCCTATTTCTTTCTTTTTCCATCACATTAGTCCCTCATACTCCCATTTCCGTCGGTTAGAGGGTCCACGAGGCCTATCGAATCGGGCCTGTAGTTTCCCGCTGTATGCTGCAGCGCAAAACACGCAATAAGTGGATCATCGGTCTGCAGCCGCAGTTGGATCCTTCTTCCCCTGGTCCTCGGATCCAATCAAGCTCCAGTGCTGAGACTCTGGATGTATCGGCCGCGCTCGATGTTGGCGTAGGAATAGGGCTTGGATTCCGGAGGGAAAGTGCCGTCGGCCGCCCAAAGGTCAATGAGGTACTGCATGGGCTCCAGCTCTGTGGGCTGCAGCATGTCGAGCGTCGTTGCGGTTAGGAGGAAATGGCTAAAGCAGCTGTTGAGCTGCTTCTCTAGGTTGAGGTGATAGAAAGGCTCGACGAAGTGATCCCAGTAGAGGTGAGCGTAGACGCGGAAGATCTGGCGGAAGATGAGCTGGCAGGTACTGGACATTTGCTTGGGGAAACCGCTTCTGCCTCCAAACCAGTCGTCGGCGCCGCTGAGTTGCTGGATGGCGGTGCTGGTGTAGTCTGGATGGGTAGCAAACGACACTGTATCTGGGTCGGTAGGGAATAGGGCAGGGTCGTCAATCTTGCCAGACATCCACCGCTGCATGAGACTCATGTACTCGAAGGCGGGCAGCTCCACCGGCTCGTGGTTTTTGTTGAGCCAGGTATAGGAGTGGTTCCTATATCCGCATGCGCGCATGCATTAGCCAAGGCACTCCACTTCCTTCTGGGGACAGCAAAGGGTTGTTGCAGAGGTAGCGACGACACTTACTTGCCGGCAGACATCTTGGGGCATGTCATGGGATTGCAAATGCTGGTGCCGTCGTCTTCCTTTTCGTGAACGACTCGGACAAAGTTCCATAGGTTACGATAGTGCTCGACCACTGTTATTATTAGGTGTTAGAATATAGCATTGCTTCTCGCTTTTTCGCACTCTCTCTCTCTCTCTCTCTTCCTCCCCATAGGTTCTCTTTCTCTCTCTCCTGCTTCTCAAAGGTTTGATATTAAAAGCGTACCCTGGTGTGCTACCCACTCGCCATGCTCAACCGTCTTTGGCCGAGCACTCAGCGTCATGAAATTTCCCTTGACAATGTGTTTGGCGCAGGCTGTGTTGAGCCATAGCGGTAGCGGCCGGGGGATGTCGAGGGGCGTTGGAACCACAGCGTCTATTGACTTTGCAAAGGACAGGGACTCGGGAAGAGACACTTTGGGCGCTGCTGAGCTGGACACAGAGCTGATTGACGGATGGTGGTCCGCGGCGGCTGCAGACCGGGAAGAGGCAGCAGCTTGTGCTTGAGCATGGGCTTGTGCTTGTGCTTGGGCGTGAGCTGAAGCCTCCGACGCGGTCGGGCTCTTGACGGGATTCCCTGCCTTGGCAGAGGTTCCCCGAATCTGGGCCTTTCTGGTTTCGGAACACGCGAGTTAGCAAACACACAAACAATCAATGCGGCTGAGAAAAAGAGCTGCTCTGCTCTGCAAGAGCCGAGACACGCAGTAGACTGCAGCCACAACGGGGAGGATCCAATAAAAGGCAGAAGCAGCGAAGCAGCGACAATCGGCGGCGCGGGCGTTGCTTACATTCCAGAGAAGAGGTTGGACATTGCGCGTGTGTGGTGGTGGTGTGGTGGTACAGCAGCAGCGCAACAAGGCAGCTTTTGGAGTAAAGTGTGAGCTTGTGATTATTGGCGGGGAGTTTTAGATGGGCAAGGGAAGAAGAAGGGCCATAGGCTGGATTCCCCCTGAGCACAGCAGCCGCTAGGATGCAGGGGGGATAGAAGGCTCTTAGATAAGCAGCGGCCCCGGGCTTGGGGAGGACTAGATTCAGCGGGACGATCCAACAGCAGCGGGACCTAGGACTATTGCGAGGTAGCATGGCATATCCGCTTTTAGAGCACGCTGCTACTAGTAACTAGATAGTAGCTGCAGTTGGCAGCTTGGTGATGGGCAACTCAAACTGGACTGACTCTGGAGCCAGAACGAGCTGCCTCCTGCAGGAGACAATCAGTGAGACAAGTTTGAATTCAGAATCAGGAGACGGCCGGCTATACCATGGAAAACCATGCCATGGGCAAACAGTAGGTATAACGGATCGATCGTGGCATTATGCTGGCTAGCACAGCTTCTCACCGGGCGTGTGTCACAGCATCGTTTCAAGGGACTGTCATTTTCCAAACTCATCCAAGCCTGCATTCTTAGTCAGTGTACGCAGTAATACTGGTGTGATACCGCTAGGAGCTGGCACCTCTTGTCGACGCCTACGTACACACGGAATATCGTGCTGCTACCTAGCACAGAGTAGGTGTTGCGCTGTTACTCAAGGGGAGCAAAGGCTGGGAAGTCGTCATCTACAGTGCGGTACGTACAGGAGGTGGTACGTACAGGAGGTTGAGATTCCTATCGTTACGCAATTAGGGCACGCACTATGATTTCTCCAAATATAGGCAGTATTGAATTTCTTGCGGCTTTGTCGTATAATATCAACAGCAGTGAGAGGAACGGCAGAGTAAGTCGGGATTGTTAGCCAATGGATATCTCAGAGAAGCCGGGTAAACCCCACAAATGAGGCATCTGGGCTTGCTACGACCTCACTCGCATGAGCATGGGAAACTGGTCTATCGAGTTGCCAGCATGTTTCGGGCATTCTCAATACGCCCTCACATGTAGGTACCAGCGTTAATCTGCCAAAAACCGGTGAGGGCAAAAAGGTCCATGCCATTGGGCAGCAGCTACAGGTACTACTGGTAATAGTGCTGTGCCACTCCAGCCACCAACAAGCTAAATAAAGAAAATGAATGTGACGAAGAGAATGCCGAGCGCCCTCGGGTGGGGGAAAGCTGCTGGCACATTGCATTCTCATGTCTATTTCAGTCATTGCAAAAATATCAAATCCCCTCCCTCCACGGTGTCTCTCTACAGCGGGTGCCTTTGTTGCCTCTATGGGAATTGACGTTGCGATACATTTCTGCGACCACGTCCATCAAATATTCCAATCGGGATGACTCTTGTTCCACGCTGTGCACCCACCACTCGGTGGAGTGGGTGGTCGGAGGGATTGAACCGGTGAGAGACGTACATATGCAGGTGGGAGAGGATGGATGCAGGTGAGCCTTGTCTGCGTCAAAGCGCCCATTGCCACACTAGACTTATATTGCTTGCTGTGGTGGTAACATGGCCTTGATCCTACTAGTGCGTAGCAGTAGTATTTGCCCATTGGGAGCAGCAGCGTTTACTACATACAACTTGAATTTGTAATGGGAGACTTGTCTATTCACCGGGTGCATGCACTTCGGGGCTTGCAATATGCCTATCACAATACATCACACAGTATTAGGTGATGCCTACTCGAATGGCTTCTGCATATTAGGCACCCCGTCTGGACTCATCCACGTTACATGCACACGATGCCAATCGTATGTAGGGTCCGGTTTGGAGCGTGGCGCACTAAGGTAGTCTCTGAAACATAGTTGCAGATAATACTACTTCACGCTTGAAATAGAGGTCTATTGCCCTGCGTCTGTAAATGGTTGCAGCACTACCAAGCAAGGGCAGACACAGAGGGCGGAGGGAAAAAAAAAAAAAAAAAAAAAAAGTAAATTTGTCAAAACTTCCCATAAGCCCCTTTCAATTCTACCCAATGGTATCTTTCAGATCCAAATAAAACGAAAGAGAAAAAGAAAAGGAAAAAAAAAAAAAAAAAAAAAAAGTAAAAGCATGGCTCCCACGCATCCTCTTCTCGCTGCAGCATCTCTCCAGCTAGTGTCGGCCAACCCAACCCAGTCTCCCGTCTCGCATGTGCTCTCGCCTTCGTGACGTTATCCGGGCCCTCTCGTGTCCATTTCTCCTTGCGTCCGGCCTGCATCTGGGAAAGTTGGGCTGCATGGCGGGCTGCATGAGCCTGGCTGCTTGGCCCGAAGGGAATCCACTCTGGAGTCCACACCGGTCACGGACTGCATGGAACTAGGCCGCCGAGGAGGGTCAATTGGCTGGAGATGCTGGACTGGCAAGATAATGGGGTTTGAAAAAGTCTATCCGTAAACGGCACTGGATAGGGAGGAAGGGGAAGGCTGGTGGTTAGAGGAGAGGGGAAAGAGGAGAGATCTCGTCTTGTGCCTCATCGGGCTCGCTCGCTCGCACGCGGGTCTTTTTTTGGGGAGCGTTCTTGCACCGGGGGGCTTGCCTGCATGTAAGTGTGTACCTGGCTGCACAGTCTGCGAATACTGGGGCGCGGCACGGCTGATTGGTGCAAGGCAAAGCTGAGAAGTGACGAGAGGAAGAGAGCGAGATGATGCTGATGCTGATGATGCAGGCGGTGCTGGTGATGTTGGTGATGCTACTAAGAGAGAGAGGCTGATGAATGAGAGAATGCAGATCAAGGTCAGTGGCCATTTGCTACGACAGGACGCAACGAATGTCCCTTTGCTACTCATACGGCTATCAATATCAATCACTATCAAGTTATTCCACGCATCAATAGGCAGATACATGTAGATTTGAATTCATCCAAGCCACCATCTATTGCAGCACATGGCAACTTTAGTGCTACAAAACTACACGCGTATAGGTCTCAGGATAGATGGTACTAGTAGATAGTACTTATACACTCAGGTCACAGCCACGCTGCGTGTGCTATCAAGTACTAAAAACCAACTAAAACCAGACTGTTGACGGCCCCTCCCTTTTTCCCAACTTTGGCCCTTTTCGCCCTGCACAAGTTTCGAGCCAGGTACCCGCTACCAGACCCTCCCGGCCTACCTCAGATCCCTGACTAAGCGCCGCCAAGTACCGTCTACTTGCCGCTTGCCGCGTCCCACTTCACAGAAACATCGACGCGTGCAGCTTGTCACACTCCCAACTCTAAACTCAACATCATGGAATTGCATTTCACGGCACTGTGAGGATTGGCCTCTGTCCGCACGGCATACCGAGGTACAGCCCAGGGCCCAAGCCCAGCGTCCAGTCTCCCCCAACGGCCCGCATCTGGGGTTCAACAGCAGCTGTAAAACGTGCAGCTCTCACGGCCAATCCTCCGCCTCTCGATTGCATCTCGTGCTGTCCATTGCCGTCCATTGCTGTGCCTCTGTGCCTCTGTGCCTCTGTGCCTCTGTGCCTCTTTTACTTGCTGCTTTGACCGTCTGCGTCTGTGTCTGTGCTCAACATCTCGATAGTCGGCTCTTGTCCAATTGAACTCCCGGCTCAGCCAGTTTCTCTTACGCAGCTCGTGCTTCTCTCAGTCTCCAGGTCTCTCTAGCTTTTGGTGAGAGAGAGAGAGAACTGTATCGTCTATAAAAGGCGAGCCCCTGCTTCACAATCAAAAAGAAGGGAACCAAACCACATCTCTCAGGGCCGCGCTGCGAGTCCTGCTCTATCCTCTCTCCAGCAACATTATTTTGCTGTGGTAGAGACAGAAAATCTACTTCCTCTTGTACTTGCTTCACCGGTTTCACACAAACCCTCTTTCATGTCAACGTATCAGCTCAACTATCAACTCAACACCGATCCAGACGACTATCTTCTGGAGTTTCATCCTTCGGGGCCCAGCTTTAACCACTATCGCCGAGAATTTCGCCGAATTCAGAACGAGAACAAACCACCAGACGCAGAAACCGAGGACGGCATCTCAGAAGACGACTCTACTCCTGAGCCCTATTCCCCTCCCCCTTCCCCTTCTCCTCCCTCTAGCATTGTCACCATGGACCTCGAGATAATGGACATGGCCAGGGACGTGAACCAAACGCCGGTTCACACGCCGATACAGCGGCGGGCCAGGAGTCTTGAACCCTCCATCAGTCGCTTGTCCATGAACACGCCCAATGAGCGTTATCGCCAGAATCCCCATTACCCCCATTCCTCCATCAACACTCCAGCTCCTCCCACTCCTCATGCCATGGCCGCTCGCAGAGCCCTTGAAGACCGCCGCATAGCCATGTTTACGCCTGGTCGAACCCGTCGCCAGAGCCTCAGGGAGCAAAGGGAGACGCCTATGCTGATCCTGCGCAACCTTGGTCGAGCTCTGGCTCCCACCAGCAAAGTCATTGATTCTTCTTCTTCCCCTGAAAAGCCTTCTCCTAACGGCGTTGGCAATAGAGGAGCTGGCGGCAGTGGAAGAGGTGCAGGAAGACGCAATAGCGACGACGACGACGAGCTGCCCATCGATAGGCCGCGATTGTCCTTGCCCATTGACGAAGGCTCTTCAGATGATTTACAGCCTCCTCACTCTTCTATCTTGGAGGATCCTAACATGACTATTCAATCAGTCGAGCTACCTCGTCGAGCCATCAGCGAGGGTCCTCCAAGGCGCAGCTTTGGTTATCTGGGAGACAGCGATGCCACTCCGTGGGACGACATATATGGGAATGATGATACTAATCCTGATCCCTTTGCTTATCCTCTTGGCATTGCGCCTCATGCCCCCACAGACCCTGAGATTGCAGATTTACGGTAAGTACTTGATTCTTTCACTTGGTCAATCTTCCTCTTTATTGATGCATTTCTCTCTGACAATTTGATTTAGATTTCCCCCTGGTGTCGGTCGTGAAAGTGACTTCAGCCTTGACATGCCATCTGGTCTGAGCGACAATGAACAGACCACCTTTTATATGAGGTCTCCTGTCGTTGACACCGTTGAAGCTGTCCCTGAGGATGCTCCTACCCCCGGCAGTGATGACGTCCCGCTCATGGAGAGGCGGCAATCCGAAAGGGACAGGCTGCAACAGCAGGCGGATGAGGCAGATGAGCAGCAAGATGAGCAGCAAGATGAGCAGCAGGAGGAGCGGCAGGGGGGGCAGCAGGGGGGGGAGCCAAATAACTACCTAGACGATGAGTTCCCCGACATGGGCGACTTTGAGCACGTGCCAGATCTCGGCGACGCGGAGATGGACGCTCTCACTCGGTTTGACGCAGAGACTTTTGCGCAGGATCCCGTGAGGCCTGGGGACGAGTGGATTGGATACCCCCCCGGCCGACCCAGGAAGAAGAGAAGAGAGGACGATGAGGAGAGTGCCCGGGCCGAGGCAGCAGCAGAGGCTCAAGCAGAGGCTCAGGCCCAGGCCCGAGCCCGAGCCCGAGCACGAGCACAAATCAGAATCTCGGCGCACAATATCCAGTATCCTCCGGTGGCAAACACTTTTGTGCGACAGGTCGTTCAAAATGCTGCGCAGAATTCAGCCCTGGGCCACCAGAGACTGGCCGCAGATGCTCTAGAGACCTTTTCACGCGCCTCGGACTGGTTCTTCCGACAGCTCGGTGACGACCTCCGTGCGTATGCCGAACACGCCAGGCGTAGTGTGGTAGAGGAGCGTGACCTTATCGCTCTAATGCATAGGTGAGTACTTGCTTGGTTATTCTTCTTTCTTTATTTTTCATTGTACAATATCTCTATCTATATGTTGATTGGGGAATATTCCATAATGCCATTCCATGATGCTAACAATATAATGTACACTAATAGACAACGCGTCGTCAACGCTGAACAATCTCTTTTCCACCTGGCCAGCCACAACCTTCCGCGGGAGCTTCAGCAGCTGCTGAGAAGCAACAACCCCGGGTACCAGCCCGCTTATCCCGTCGCCCAACAGTCAGGCACTCATGCTCAGCAACCCCTTGCCAATGCCCAGCCAGACACCATCAATGGTCTTCGCTCGTTTGTTCCAACCCCCCCTTCTCCTTCTCACACGGGTTCGAAGCGCAAGCGAGATGAGGACGATGATGGTGAATCTGATGCCGAGTCCTTGGTGTTTCCTGAGGATGATGATTATTAGGGCCAAGACGGATGACGAAGATGACGAGTAGTAGCTCCCTTCTTCGTCCTCGTTTCCCTTTTTCCAATTTTCCCTTTCCCCTTTCTTTACACCTACATCGTCTCGCCATTACATGTGCCCGCTAGCTCGGACACGGCGTGCAACGTTGGACGGGGGCTTCTTGAGCACCATGTACAGCATGATTGACGTGGCAAAGCTCAGCCCATACCTATGAATTTTGATTGATTGAGTTAGCGGCGGAGGGCCCTGAAATTTTTTTGGCTTGCTTGCTTTTTTGGACTTTGGCTTGGGTTTTTATTTTTGCTTGCTTTATGTTGTGTTGCCTCTTTTTCAAATAGAGCACGATGGACCAAGATTATTGCGAGTCAACTTACCATGTAAAGATGTATTGGGCGTGGTTGTTCCTCAGGGTAACCTCAGCGGGTCGCCCGAAGGGGATTCCACGGGCTTCGTAGTCCATCATGCGTAAAAATTCGGGCTCTAAATGTATTTTCATTTTCATTGTTTAGCGACGGGTTATCAAGGATCTATGGATGTATGCACGGATGGATGGACTGATTGGTTACGATGAGGGATGGGAAATCTGGACAGCTTTGGGAAAAAAAAGCTTGGAGATCTTTTGGGACGTTTGCTTTTTATGGGATGAATACCTGGCATTTTGCTTTGCTTTGGAATTCCGGTGCTTTAGGGAAGGGAAATTGGTGCTGAATGTGATGGAGACGGGCACAGGATGGATCATGATGAAGATGGAGGATGGCTGGTTTGGCTCACTTACCCATAGTGGCTTCTACCCACACCGGCTGGCTGCCAGTCAAAGCAGCCATCTGGTAGACATCGGGGAAGTAGAACTCCCCCTTGTCGGGCCTATTTTCAGGAGTAAATCTGTTCTTTTTCCACGGCTCGCGCAGCAGGCCCTCTATCGTGACCTCTCCCTTGACCAAGCTGTCCGGCCTCGTCCTCTGGTCGCGATGCTTCTTGTTGATCCACCCGCGGTTGACGAGGATCGTAGAGCCGTCCTTGCGCTCCAGCGGCGTGATGACCATGTAGCCGTCCTCGCCGTTGCGCATGCGGGGGCCGACGAGCATCTCCTGGTCGTGTCGCAGCGTGCCGGTGGCGAGGACGCGGCGGAAGTCGAACTCGCTGATTACGGAAGGGTCGATGTGTGGAGGCAAGGGGAGGGGATCGCGGACGAGACGGTCTTCAGATTTGGCGATGAGGCGGGATTTCCAGCCGAGGCGCTGGACCTGCCATGTGCCGAGGATGAAGGCGGTGATGGGCATGAGGGCTGTTTATTTGGAACAAGAGACGTATCATTAGCAAATGTGCTTCTTTTGATCTATACATTCATTCACACATATACATCGACTTATACATGCGCTTCGAAGGCATCGGGGGGGGGGGGGGGGCAGGATAGGGCTGCTGCGAACCGAGAAGAATGATTCCGGCGCCATGACGCTTCCCTGCGCGCACCGTCTGCGGTTGCAGATCGACAATCGATACGAAATTGGGGTCATCGGCCGACGGCATCTTGTTGGATCGCGGGACAGTCGAGGAGATGTGTCTGCGGTGGACTGCTCGGGGCACTGATGCCGGTCTCGTTCTGAAGCACTGAGATTGTGAAGCAGATTTGGCAAAGGCGCTGCGGCCGTTTGCCCGTAGGCCACGCAGGAGAAGCTGTGCGCAGTTCATTGCTTCTGGCATTGAGTGGACTGCTGCATGCAATTGGTTTAAAAAAAAAGACGTGAGCTGGTTGAGCTCCTCGTCGTTAATAGTTGAGAAGATTGTTTTTGACTTGATAGGATGATGGCACTGGATGCTTGATTGGGCGCTGACCGCCTGCCTAGACGGGCGATTTAGCGGGGGAAGAGGCTCGTTGCTAGTTGCTTTGGCCCGATACTCCGGCAGTAGCCTATTTTCCAGGTAAATCACATGTAGTAGCACATGTAGTCTACTGTATATTTTCGGATGACAGATGCCAATAATTGGGCCCGTTTGCCTGGATCGCCATGTGGTGCTATTCGAGGTTTTATTGGGCCAGAACGTGTTGAACAAGCGGCATCTGATTTTCTCACGCTTGTTTTCAGCTGCTCCGTAGCCCTGCCATTGTTCAAAGTATTGCATGTGTCTAATGTCTAATTGCTAGAATTGCCTGCCCTGGAATCTGACTTACACGCGCTGCTGGAATGATGCCACCGCATCAACGCCCAAAAAGTCACCACCACCACCAACCACCAACCACCAAACATCCGAGCCATCAAGTGAATCTGCATACTTGTACTCCGTACAGCAACAGCAACAGCAACAGCAACCGCTTTGCTTCGCTTCTCTCGCAGTGGAGAAGTCCATCGCCATAGAAACCGCCCAAGCGCACTCTTAGCATTGATTAGCATCGTGAACTAGTGCAGGTCCCTTCCCATCCGCCCCCTCCCAACAAAAAGTCGAGCAACGCGCAAATCGCAGCAGCAGAAAAGTTCCACAGCCTTGCCACAAACAGCTACGCCGCGTTGCTCAGTGGACGGCCTCGGCGGAACTCGAGCGCTGCCGGGCCAGCGTCCATTCGTGATTAGTGGAGTTGGCCTCTGGCCTCTCTCTGTTTGGGGGTTAGTCCGCCGTGGCCCTTTTCTTGCTGCTGTCCTTTCGTCATCGCTTCAAGCACTTGGTCTGCTTCCCCAATAAAAAGAAGCCAGCTAAGTACTATGTAAGTTGTCATTGACACGATTGCCGCAAAAGACCCCCAACAGAAACACACACAAAAGAAGAAGAAGAAAAAAAAAAAACCAAAGAAAGAGAAGAACGAAGAGGAAAATAATCTACTGTTTTTGAATCTCTCTCCTTTCTTTGGAGGGCTTTTCGTCTTTTGTTTTACCCTCTTTTCACAAGCTGCGGAGAGCGGCGGAATACCAGCCAATCCCGGCCTAAACCAACCCCAAGCTTGTCACCATCGATTCTCGGCAACCCGGCCATTTGCGATTCCCCTCCTCCATTTATCATCAACGCCGAACCGCCGCCGCTCCTGTTCTATTCTGCCTCAAGAGAAGAAGAAGACCAAATCATATCGATTGGAGCAACGACAACACGGAAAGCAAAACGCAACAGCAATGTTTTACCAGGGGAGCCTGCAGGAAGGCATTTCCACCGCCGTCGGGCAACAGAAGTTGGTGCTGTGTTTCGTCACTAGTACGTTTTGCGAATGTGTCTTGTTGCCTTTGCAGCTTTGCCTGACTGTTTGGTGTGCCAGATGAAAACGACGAGAGCAAGACATGGGAGAATGAATATCTGCAAGACAGCTCGGTGAGTCTATCCCGTGCAGGCACCTGCATACAAGGAACGACAGTAGCGTTTTGTCTGCTCGTAGCGCAGTCAGTCTCTCGTATAGTCTGGTATACGTTGCTAACCTTGACATGTTCACGAATCTATAGCTGTCAAAGCTGATTGAGACGCAAGCTGTCGCCCTGCGACTCCTCGCAGACTCGGACGAAGCTGGCTACCTCTCGCAAATCTTCCCGCTGCCCAAGACACCGACCGTCGTCATCATGAAGCACGGCGAGCTGAAAGAATACATCGCCGCCGGCACTAGCAAAGAAGACTTCATCCGCCGAGTCCTCGTCGCCTTCAACGCCGCTCCGCCAGCGCCAGCGCCAGCGTCATCGCTGCCTTCGCCCGCTGCCTCGCCGACCTCTTCACCGACAAGACTGTCTGCCCCTGTACCAGCCCCCGCCCCAGCGTCGCACTCAACCTCAAATTCACCTTCGCCGTCTCCGTCGCCCTCGTCCCAGGCCCAGATCCCACCCACGACAGCACAAGCCGCCGCGCAGTCAGAAATTGTCAGCCGCATCCTCGCCGAGCGGGCCGCCAAGCTCCAGGCGCAAAAGGAAGAGGCCGAGCGGAGAGCCAAAGAGGAGCGCATCAAGGCGCAGGAAAAGGCCAAGGCTGAGGCCCAGGCGGGGGCAGACACAAGTAGCGCCAGAGTACACAAACAAGCCGAGGAGCTCAAGAAGAAGCGACAGGCAGAACAAGAGGAGCGCCGGAGAATCCTGAAGCGGATCGAAGATGACCGAGAAGAGAGACGAATGCGGGCAGAGGCAAAGGAGAAGCAGAAGATTGACAATCAAAAGATTGGCGATGTGGCTGCCTCCCTGGTCAATTCCAAGCAGAGCAAGCTGCCCTCTACAACCAAGGTGTCTGAGATGGCATCAATACAAGTGCGGTTGTTCGACGGCTCAACCATACGGTCCCGATTCAAGACGGCTTCTCCTCTAAAGGAAGTGAGGCGGTGGGTCGATCAGAACAAGGGAGAGAACAAGGCCCCTTACACATTCAAGCAAGTCTTGACGCCGGCTCCCAACAAGAACATTGATTCGACAGAGGAGCATAAATCTCTCGGCGAACTTGGTCTCGTCCCATCTTCCACAATGGTCTTGATCCCCGTCCAAAACTATTCCACCGCCTACCCCGGAGAGAAACTGCAAGATTCCGTCTTCTCGAGGTTTCTGCGGACGATTCTGGGCTTCTTTGTATGGATCTTGAGCTTGGTTGGCCTGGCTGGTGGTGAGCAGCGCGAGGAAGCCCCAAGCAACAGAGAGGGGGGGAGCGAGCGGGAACGAGGATCGGATGCGACGGCGCGAGCGGCCTCTGAAGAGAGACGTCGTCGTGTTCGGGGATTACAGAATCTGGCGGACCGACAGCGCGATCACCAGCTTTACAATGGAAATTCGGTATGTATTGCTTTTGTCTCTCTTCCAACACCATTCTCCTTTAACTGCCTTTTTGTCGTTTGTTATATAAGTGACCAAACTAATTAATCATGTACCGTCCACAGTTGAACTTTGAGCCGCGGCCAGACGAAGACGATTCATGAAGGCGTGGGTGGAAACGAGTGTACGATAAATCTACGTGTCTAAGAGCTGCATGGCATATTTCTTCCAACTGAGAGTCACTTTCTTTTGGCTTGACTGGGATCTTTGTTATTGATTTCCTTGTTCCTATTGGGGATTGTGTATTATACAACTATAAGTTTCAAGAGCCGGGCGTTTCTATAGGGATTTTTTTAACTTTCTTTCTTTCTTCCTTATTACTTTGACTTTCAAAACAGCACCCTCTTTATGCGCCTTTCCTCGCAATTGTAAAATGCTTTCCTATGCCGCCGTGATGGTATTAGGCATCCAATGCCGACGTCATCATGGCAGATATTCTGCTTTGTGTCTGTACTATGTCCCAGCCCCATATGGACACATATGCGTCTTTGTATATACAAGCGTGCTCGTCTCGATATAGTCTTACATGGGTCTTCTCATTTGCTTCTTGGCATAAATCTTTCAGGCCATGCCGCTATGCCACACTGTCGTCCGCGTCCACTTGCTTAGTACTGGCTGGCGGCAGCCTGGCAGGCCTTGAGCTGCTCGAGGTACCAGTTGCAGATCTGCATGTTGCCGCCGTTCTCGTCGAGGCACTTTGTGAAGTTCTGGGCGGCACCAGCGCAGTTGTTGTACTGCTGCTGCTGCTGGGGAGCGGCCTGGGCCTGCACGGGAGCAGCGGGCTCGGAGGAGCCGCCGCTGAAGAGGCCGCCGATGGCGTGGCCGACAGATGAGCCAATGGCGACACCGCTGTGAGTGAGAAAGAGAGGTCAGCATATCAACATCTGCGTGCGGCAGCGTTTGCGACGATTATGGTATGGGCAGTCTTTTCAACCGAGGTCAAGTCTCGGGCGAGATGGATGACAAGCGGCCAGTGCCAATAGAATAAAGGCGAGGGAACGGAAAACAACGTACGCAGCAGTGCTGGCCATCTGGCCAAACAGTCCGGGGCCCTGGGAGACCTGCTGAGGAGGCGCCATGGCAGTGGGAGCGTGCTGCTGAGGAGGAGGAGCCGCCATGGTGGTCGCAGGACGGCGCTGCTGGGGCGCGGGAGCAGAGACGGTGGGGCGCGAAGGAGCGCGGGCGGAGGAGCGTTGACGAGGCATGGCGATGGAGCTTGCGGGGTGGTTTGTGGTGTTGAGGAGAAGAAAAAAAGGATGTGTGAGTCTTGGGATTTTGACGATGCGATGGAAGCTGGAAAAGCGAAGGCCGTAATATAAATGCTGGGGCAGGATTTATCGGGCCAATTGGAGGGGCGATGATTGCGCTCGTGGCAGGCGTTAGTGCCCCGCTACACGGATTTTCTTGGGGTGGCGGACGGAGTGCCAAGAATTTCCAGCGGCGAGAAGATTCTAAAGCCGATGCAGCGATGGAGTCAATTGACCCCTAAAGCCGAGGTCCTGATGTGGTATAAGCTGGTATTTTATCGCCGCATGTACTCCGTATTATTCTTTTCAATTGCATTTTGTTAGGTGATATTTCCCCATCTGCTGTATCATATGAGGATAGATGTAAAGACAACGATGATGGTGTATTAGTCTTGTCTTCAGACTCTCACAGACCAATCTAATAGCGCCTCAAAGCCCAGTTTGGCCCTTTTGCCAGATTATTTCCCCCATTAATCTATCATCAATAGACACTCAGATACTCTTGATGGGATGCCTCCAAGTCATGACTGTAAATAAAACCCTCCAAAAATAATAGTCCTTGCCGTAACGCCCCTATATGTGCAGTTTTGTGTCATCTAAAAACCCAATCGCTAGCAAGAGAAAGAAAGAAAGAAAGAAAGAAACTCTTCTCTGACAGAGACAAAAATACCTCCCTCAGCTCCGGTTTCTGCCTTTGCCCTTTGTTTTGGGCTTCTTGTTCTTGGTTGATGATCCGCTAGCCTCAGAGCCAGTGGCTTGTGCAGTCTCATCTGCACCGCGCTTCTTGCTCTCTGCTGCTGATTTGAGAAGAGCCTTGGCGCGTTCTTCGGCAATCTTTTCGGCCAGCTTAGCGCTCAAAGTCTTGTTGTCACTCTATAAATTGGGGCATATCAGTTAGTCCCTGGTGCGAAATATCCAAGTGAAGCAGAGGAAAACATACCAAGTCAGCTTTCAGGATGCGCGCAGCAGCCTCCTGGTTGACGCTCAGCGTCCGTTTGGCATCAGGCTCTTCGGCGGCCTTGATCTTTGCAAAGTACTGCTGAACTCGCTTGAGTTCGTTATAAACTGCATGGTTCTGCGCGTCGGCCCCCTGGACCTTGATGGAAGCTGGATGAGATTCAAGTTAGCTCAATGTTAAAGCCAGATAACACGCGATGGTTGATTCGTACAGAACAGCAGAGATTCAAGAGCGTATGCCGTCAGCGAGTACAGCTTTGCTCGATCCAGTAAGGGTAGCTGGGACGCCATCTCGCTGAGATTGCCCAGCAAAGGCTCAAGCGCATCCTCCAATCTATCCAACTGGGAATCCAGTTTTTCCACGAGCGGCGCGATAGTAGGAATGTCCGACATGGTTAAAGAGGTAATAAAGAGAAGCAAACAGAATAAGAATAAGATGGAATGGCAAAATAGAGGCGAAGCAATGCTTTGATGCAGCTATTATTCCGAATGAATCTCACAACGTTTCTTTTTTTTTCTGTATGGACTGATGGCCTAGTCCAGTCGCGAAAGTCTCTTATCGATAAAGCAGCGGTTATCGGAATACTATGCAGCTATCGAGGTACTTTTCATCTATCGGGTCGCGATCCCGCGGTGGAACTCCTCCGGCGAGAAAAAAGAGCATCGCATTTGGCGGGCTCACATGGTACAGGATAACGACCCAAGCTCGATACCTACGTTTTCTTTTTTTTTTTTTTAACTGTCTCTCTCACTTCTAGGCTTCCAAAGACAAAATTCGAATTTTCTACCAAGCAATCATCAAAGACCCTCCTACTCCTAGATACTCCAAGACCTACAGCGACCTACCGCTCAATTGATTCTCACTCGATACGAAGCGGCACATCGAAGGGGAATTCGGAGCTTCAGCGCGAATTAATCAGCACCGACAGCCCGGACTGAATTGAAATCGATACACCTAGTCCTTCTCTCGCCGAATTCTCTCGGCGGCCTTCAAGGTGGCCTCCTCAGTTCGACCGCGGCTATCCGCGCGGATATGTCAACGACAATCAGCATGGGCTGGCGATAGCATCTGCAGAGGCCCGGCCGCCGCAAGACGCTATGGCACCGTAGCATCAACATCGTCAACGTCTGACGGGAGCAACAGCCACGGCAAATCGCGCGATCCCTCATCCCCAGAAACTACCTCAAGATACTCGATACCTCGACCGTGGTCAGAAGCTCTGCGCCCTGAAACTGCGGCCGCCAAGCAATCCTCGTCCTCTACGCCGAAATTCTACGTGCCTTCGGTTCTGCTACCTCCCGACGCTGCCAAATCGCCATCGGTACACAAGATACACATACTGGGAGATGACGAGCGATCAAGATTCATTGCCCATGCCCTGTCTGGCGTCTACGACTCGGTTGAGATGCTTGGGTGGAAGAGAAGCTCATCGTCTTCGACACCTTCATTCTCATCAAAGTACCGCAACATTTACAAGTCCCGTCATGGTGACCAGCGCAAAATGAAACTGGAGCATGTATCAGTGACGCCCAGGGCCATCACCAGAGAAGACAATTCACACATCGACCAGCTGCTCGTAGCTGGACCAGGACACGGGGCGGTTGAGGCATTGCGGGCAGTCAAGCATCGTATCAACAAAGACACAACTGTGTGTCTAATGACGGATGGCTTGGGCGTCCTCGAGGAGGTGAGGGCACGGATTTTTCAAGGCACTGACGAGTCATCGAAGCCGAGCTTCCTCCTCGGCCACATGAGCCACCGATTGGCGTTCAACCGGCGCCATGACTCGGTCAAAGAGCTGCGGCACGGCGAGACGCAGCTGACATGGATGAATTCCTCTCGAATGACTCAAGAGGTGGAAAAGACGGAAACACGTATGAATTTTGTCCAGGCCCTGCAAGCAGTCGAGGATCTTCGCTCATCCCTTACGCCATTTGACAAGTGGCTCCATTTCAAACTCCCATCAGTTATCCTAGACTCCGTGGTGGAGCCTGTCTGCGTCCTATTGGAGATACCATATGCAGGACTCCTGCAGAATCCCGCTGCCCAGCGGATGATGCACCGGCTACTCACAGAGATTGTCTCGGTCGTAGACAACATGCCGGAAGTCGAGGGATCGGCCGCTATCCGGGACTTTATTCGTGGCAATCGTATCAGACAGCACATCTATAGCCGCATCATGGCGAGACGTGGCGCCTCGAGCAGCGAGCTAGCAAGACAGATTCGGAACGGCCTGCCGACCGATATTGATTATCTGAATGGCTTCTTCATCCGGCGTGGCCATCAACTAGGCCTGGACCTGCCCACCAATGCTTTGATAAGAGACATGGTGAAAGCGAAGCACTCACTAGCCATTGAGAAGCTCAACTCGTATATCCCTATCGAGGAGACTTCAATACCTAGCCACTTGTCGTTGCGGTATCGGACTATGCCCAAATCAAGCAATAGGAAGCTTGTATAAAAATTAGATTTTTTTTTTTTTTCTTTTTCTTTCTTTTTGCTATGTACTCTTTACTACGTAGCCAGGGGGGGAGCGGGACCGGAAAGCCGGGAAGCCATTTGGATATTTTTTTTGTAGAAATTTTGCATTGAGCATTGGCGTGGGAGGGGCTCCTTTTTTTTTCCTTTTTTCTTGTATGATACTACGTCCGAGGTACGATGTGACGTATGGATATTAGTAGCTAGAGGTATATACTACCGTGAATGAAAATATCTCAAGGTCGACTGTATTCTGGATATATTGTATGTTAAATCGGTAGTAGAGTATTGTCTTATTACAAGGTGTATGTATATGCATTGATTATTGGTTGGCATTACAAGCTGTATCTCTATATACCATGTTGAAGTGTTTTACATACATGTAGGTACCTACCTACCACCTCCCTAACATATACATGCATAGATAGGCTTATTACTTTGCACTCCTCAATTTATATTTAGAATTGCTCTTTTCTACTTCCTCCAACGGACTTGTAACTCGTTTGGGGTCCGGATATAAAAAAACCGACTGAGCCAATCGCACTTAGCCCGGACGGAGCTATTCCTATACGGCGTGTCATCGTGATTGCGGGAGCGGGCGCGAGCTCCAGCTCAGAGACGACGCAACAAACAAAGCCTGCCCCGCGTTTTTGCCCAAAGCTTCATGACCTCATGTCTCTCGGTCATTTCAAAGGGTTGCATGGGCTGCGGACCAGGGTTTCGCGCAACATGGAACACACGACCGGGCACGCAAAGTCCGCCACGCCCCCTCCCGGGTGCCAGTTGATAGTAGCAGCAGTAGCACCGCAGCTTGCGCATTCTATTCCCAAAACCTGTTGCGCCCACCTGCGCCTTGCATATGGCTTGCATGCTGTATAGGCCTCTGGTCACTATTGCATGGATAAGAGCAAGCGGGGTCGCTGTCGTGATAGGTTGAGAAAGGGCTGGGCTGAGCTGGTGGCCCCTTATACAAGTCAGGCGTTGGTGTTCCGGTCCCCTTTTCGCCCGCTGTGGTTGGTTTAAGACAGCGCGGTTCTCGTTCTCGTGGTTTTGTTACATTTCCCTTTTTTCTTCTTCCTCTTTTTTTTTCAACTTTTCATCAATTCTTTCTTCTAAATTTTTGAATCTGATTTACTCTTTTCGCTGCTCGTCCGTTTATACTAGCTACTGCTTCCTTGTCAGATTATGGCATATTGCTTCCTTCGGTAAGTAAGCTCACTTACACGGTCATCAATCCCCCGGATTTGGTAAAAACGCCCAATGCTAATGTTCAATTCTTCCACCTCAGGGTTCAGTAAACGCCCTGTTTTTTCATACAAAAAGAGTGCGGGAGAGCAATTACAATAGAATTACACCGCCATGGCATATTCAATACAGCACCGCGCATTCCATCTCTTCCCATGCCTTCCTGCTGAGCTGCGCCTGCAAATATGGCGTAAGACGCTGCCAGATCTCGATGGCGTCACACTGCATGGCTACAAGAAAGGATGCTGGGATCTCCGCGACCCTCTATCAGGCGAATCTGAGGGAGAGTCCGGCGCCCTTGGCAGAGCCGATAAGATACTGGACTTTCGTCACGAGAGGCTGGACGACGTTTACATCGACATGCCCATCGTCTTTGTCAATCGTGAAGCCCGAGGCACCGCTTTGTCCTGGGCTCGCGCGCAAGGCATCAAGATGGACTTCAATACCGACAAGGGCTGCCACGTCTTTGTGCTGCCCTTCAACCCATGGCAGGACGCACTCTTCATCAACTCGCACAAACTGGAGGAATTTTGCTTTGAGCCGACCGATCGGCTGGCGGGACTCCAACTCCGCGGGCAATCCGCCTACAGCAATCCCGAGGTCACCCAGGTCGCCTTGCCGCACACGGCGCTTACATCCGAAATGGCGGTCTTCTACGATCTGATCCATTGGTTCCCCCGTCTTCAGGTGATCTACATCATCGTAGACATTGAAATTGGCCCGACCCTGCCAAAGTTTTCCTCGACGGAAGAGCGCGCGAGGCACAAGGAGCGGATGAAGCACCAGCGGTGGAAGACCAGCCAGACACAGGGCCATTCGTATGTGTGGGACAACCAGGATCGCAAGTTTGTCCGCCACATCGGCACACCCATCGGCTTCAGGTCCATGTACAGGGAGATTGAAGACTACTTGGCTGTGGGGATAGCCAAGGCTTTTGCCAAGAGGGATGTTGAAAGATTTGAAATTCGACCTGTTTTGATGGTGTTGTGATGATGATGATGATGATGATGATGGAGATTTTCCCTTTTCTTTTTTTTTTTTTTTTTCTCTTCTTGTCTCTTCCTCTTTTCTGGGAGCGGGGTTCTGGAGTATTGGGTACTGTAAGGATTGATTCGGCAAAGCAAGCAACGATTTTAGGTGCCAGGATTTCGGGTTCTTCTATTTTGGGTGGATGGATGGATGGATTTTGAGTGCTTACACAAAGCGCAACTATTGGCTTTTGGATTTTATCAATGTACACCCTCTTCTCAATTCTCACTAATTTTTGGTATCGATTTCGAGTATCTTTGCTAGCACCTAACTACCGTTTGTCTTGATCCTGACGAGAAAACGCGGAGAAGCGGATGAATATCGAATCCCATCCTTGCCAGCCAACAAGGGTCAACTGACAGAATCTATGGAGCGACTAGCGCAGCGAGCTCAATTGAAGAATGAATGAGAGGAAATCTATACCGCAAACCATTAGGGTGGTGATTCAAACGCATTTGACATTGTGTTTGGCTGGCATGACCGAATATATTGAATGTTTGATTGATCTTGCCGGTTAGGCTTCAGGATCCAACACGCTGCCATTAATACCACTAATACCACCAATGTACCTAGGTATGCAAGGTATTCTCAACTCATGACTCCTATGATGCTATTAAATCAAAATAAAGTCTCTTGGATATTTAAATATGATGCTAACTTGATAATTCTAGCAGATATTCGCTTTGATGATGAATATGAGTGCAATTTGCTGAGTACTATGGAGTACAAGCGCTAACATTACTTTCACGTAGTAGGTACCAAGCTTAACCGCCGAAGCTTTCTTGAGTGGCGCCCAAATAAGAGCGTTTGTTGGACCTAGCCGTTGTGGTGGCATCCATGACTTGCACCTCCAGGCGCCTAACAGGGCAATTCTTGCTGTAATTTCCCTTATCTCCAGTCGCCATCTACCCATCTGTCTACATGCAGTACCCTCCTGTGCTAGCTATTGCTCAGTTCATTGACCTGCTCTCGCCACCGTCTTTCCCCGCCGTTGCAAGCTGCTGCTTTATGGCGTCACGCCGCTGCCTCTGAATTAGGCGGGTCGGCTTTAATCGTGTAATGCCCATACTCCATATCAGTGAATAGCTGCTGCCGTAATCAACCCTCTCCATACCTACCTAAACCCCGAATGTATCGCATCCTGACAAATATCACCTCCTGCTCCGTTACATTTTCTCTGCCGTAGTCGTCAGCCTTTTCTGCCAAGTCTCGATTGCTGCTACTCCGCCGCAGTCGTCCTTGGCTGTGCTTGCATCTGAGACTCGCTTCCGTAACTCCCGGGCGATTCTGTCGGCCGCTGTTGGCCGGTCGCCGGCTGCTCAAGCGTACATAGCCCGATATACCGGGTCGGTATCTGGTCACATCACATCACACCGTCTTTATTTTTGACAAGCAGTTACATCCGTCATGTCGTGGATACCGAGTGACGATGAGTTTAGCGGTGGAGAGCCGGTTGATTGGGATGCCCGAGACCGAGGATTCGCTCAAGGCGACGACGAGGGCCACGAGCACCATCAGGGGGACGGTGACGATGACGACGACGATGAAGACGACCCTGACTATCGTGATGAGCCTGATGAAGATGACGAGTTCCATGGTAATAACATGACTTTCCATCATACTCTGTTTGACCCCAAAAATGGTTGGCCATAGATTACTAATCCGGCTTCAGACGCATTTGATGAACAAGATGAGAATGACGGGGACGGTAAGTAGGACAGACATGGATTGCTGGGGGAGGTGGTAGACAAAAGATGTATCGATTCTCATTTCTAACATAGACGATGAGCACTACGCGTTTCTAGATGACCACTTGGAGTACGGCTTCGGAGACTTCCGATTTCAGATCGTTATTGAAGATGGAGAGGCCGAACAAGATGAGGCTGCTTTGAGGTTGATTTCATTATTAAGAGGTAACAGCATGCTTCTCTAACCAGCCGTGGCGTGCTGGCTCGCTCTACGCAGTTGCTATACGTTGTTTGCTAACCAACATGACCCGTTCCGTCATATAAGCCGGCCAAAGGTCAGGTCTCTTGACAAGGCAGCAGCTCATGACGCTCTTTCGCGGCACCGGCTTAGGGCGTGACTCGGGCGAGCCCAAGGACCCCAATCGATTTCCCAAGGTGCCCAGCGAAGAGGGCAGGAAGCTCATGCAATCCGGCGTCTTTGGCTCCAACGATTACGACATACGGCCCAAGAAGCAAATCGCCAGGCGCATTCTTGAACGAGAGATTGGCGTGGGAGACCGTATGCAGAGGAAGCGAGACAATGGCGTTTTGGCTCAGGTAAGAATGCAATCTATCAAACCTATTTTCTTTCTTTCTTTCTTTCTTTCTTTCTTTTTTTTTTTTTTTTTTTTTTTTTGTTTTGACTTTTTGGTGAAAATTGATGATGATACATATCATATTATTCTATCTTTACGCGTCATACTAATGCTAATATACCAATTCTGATAGAACTTCATTCCTGGAAGCAGGGCAGAAAAGATTATTCACTATGACCATCCCATCTATTCTGGTCAATTTTCAGACGACGGAAACTTCTTCTTCTCCTGCTGTCAAGACTTCAACGTACGCATGTACGACACTTCCAACCCTTACAACTGGAAACTCTACAAGACAGCCAACTTCCCCTTCGGCCAGTGGACATTGACGGATGCATCCCTCAGCCCAGACAACCGATGGTTGGCGTATACTTCCATCCAAAGCATTGTCTCAATAGCGCCTACAGATCCCAAGGACAAGGGTGAGCCGTATACTCTCGAGCTTGACGACGGAGATGGGCGCACCAGGCTCTCTTTTTGGCGCAGCCGCGGATCCTTTGGTATCTGGTCCGTTAGATTTTCGGGCGATGGACGAGAACTTGTCGCTGGCACCAGTGCCCACTCCCTAGTCGTCTATGACATCGAATCAAGGAGAGTTCTTCACCACATCGCCGGCCACCAAGACGATGTCAATGCGGTGTGCTTTGCGGACAAGGGATCTCCGCACATTATCTACTCTGGTTCTGACGATACAACCATCAAGGTTTGGGACAGGCGAAGCATGGGAGACAATCGAGAGGCTGGTGCCTTTGTGGGACACATTGAGGGCTTGACATACATCGATAGTAAGGGAGATGGCCGGTACATTCTTAGCAACGGCAAGGATCAGAGTATGAAACTGTGGGATATTCGCATGGCCATGTCTACAGACCGCTTCCGCGAAGTCACAAAGGACAATGACAACCGCGTCGATCGATTTGATTATAGACAGGACGAGTACGACGAAGATGACTGGGATGTACACCCTCACGACAACTCTCTCGTCACTTTCCGAGGCCACAAGGTGCTTCGTACGCTTATCCGATGTCACTTCTCACCGCCATCGTCCACCAACTCGCGATACGTCTACTCCGGGAGCGCAGATGGCAAGGTACATATCTGGAACATGGATGCCACGAAAGCAGGCGAGATTGATGTGCAGAGTGCGACCAACGCGACACGGAGACTTGATCGCCGCACCCGGGTCTATTTTGATGAGCCCGGTGGCTGGGGCACATGCGTGCGCGATGCTAGCTGGCATCCTAATGCACCAATCGTTGTTGGTGAGTATTCTATTCGTTTTCCTGTGAAGTCTCAGAGCTTTATATCTACCACTTTGCTCCATGGAACTTTTGTTTTCTTCTCCTCTTTGAAAAAGTTGTTGGATGCTAATTATCCCTTTGCAGCCTCTGCGTGGAACGGATACAGCATGGCAAGGGGCACTTGCACGGTCCATGCGTTCAACGGAACAAACGACGATGAAGGCGACCCTAAGCTGGGAGATAGCGTTAACGAGTCGCTAAGAGCAGATCCCGCGACATTCTTCCCGTCCAACTATCTTGTCAACTAAGGAGCATAGGACAAAAAAAAACGGAACAAAAAGTCAATCTCATGTTATCACTCCTAAAAGTGTGATGCGAAGAGCTCATTGGAACTTTTGCCACTATGATTAAAATTACGATGCTATGGGGCTGCAAATGTGTGTAGGTATACGTGTATCAAGAATGTTGTCATATATGTACCTGTACTAGAAGGATATGGGAGTTGGTCTTTACGCAATGCTATTTCAAGCAGCGATCCTTGATCGACAGCTGCTGTTCATTCTTTTCTTTATGATACTCTTTACAGAGTTTCAAAGTAATTAAAAGCGAGGCTTTCACTGTCCAAGTGCCATGTGCGTGCGTTCTGGTGCTTAGATGCATGTATTCCCCAACGTGTTTCTCCGATGGCAGGCTGTGACATAGGAATGGCTATAGAAAAAAAAAGGACTTGCAATACAACTGGGTTTATTCAGAATACAAAAAAGGTCTATTCATCAACAAAAGTAGCTGCTGGTCCTAGTGCTGGTTAGACTAGTATTCCCCCAAATCCTACCTGCAGTTACATCCATATATGCAGCGAGAAGGCCCTAAATATCGTTAGCAAAGGTCAGATTGATCGGCAGCGAGAATTAATATGGGGAGCTGCATCCCTGGTCCATCTCGTGACTGGCGAGGCTGCCAGCGACTTTTCGAATTGACGGCCTGTCATTGGCCAATGCTCTGGAAAATCAATGTTCCTCCTCGCCATTTCGAACCTCCAGCCTCTGGAAAGCGGTGGCGCATGGCCCGTGCACGCTGACCCAAGCCTCAGCCTCGCCCCCTTCCTTTCATTCTGCCCACCCGTAACGGGAACTTTTTTTGTTGGCCTTGGGCAGACTCTCAGCAAACCCAAACCCGACTCATCATCTCGCCAATCCACCCCCGAGGCTCCATCTTTTTTTCTCCTCCTCTGCTGTCCAACCAGCATTGCTGCCACCATCCCTTTCGACTCGGCCGCGGTTCCACTCGCAGCCTCGTAGCCGAGACGGTCACTGCTGCTCGTTCGATCCTCTCCAAGCTTCAGCGACGCAGGCAACTCGATTCGCGCAACCCTCCGGTAATCAATTCCCCTTTCTATTTTGCTTGTTTTTTTTTTTTTTTTTTTTTTTTCTTGTTGTGCAATCCATCATCATATCCTCTCCCACTCTCAGCCAAGCAACTGTCGGGATTCGTTCTTCTTTCTTTGCTTTTTACGCCACTATTGTGGTTTTTCTCTTTTTCTTGTTTTTTTGGCTTTGCCCCTGTTCACTCTCCCGACCTCGGACAAAAGCTCGCAGGCTGCCGACTGGCCGCAGAGCCATCCAGCCATTGACTTGGTCCCACCAGACGGAAACGCGAACGGCTACCTGATCGTCTCTGCTGACGGCCAAGGAGGAAACGAGCTTCCTGCTGCCGAAATCGAGATTCCGAGCCGCAACCCACCGGAGCTCGCGCCAGCCCAAGCCAAGCTAGACTTGCAGATAACCGCATCCCCCAGAACATCCTCTCCCTTGCATCCTCTATCTGCCTTATCTCACCGTCACCCTGTTCCTCGACTTCGCTGCTGGCATCGCATTTTCCTCTGCCTTGGGTCCAACTTTTGCGTGTCCACGGTGCGTGATTGGTGTTGGGCCGCCGCCACCCACCGCAACCCGCTATCAGGAGCTTGCCATCGGCCGAGACACTCTGCACCACCAAGTCCCAGGAAGCTCCGGCTTGTGGAGATTCTGACGCAGCTGGGCTCTACAGGAGAGAAATAACAAGAGCGCCGGGGTTAGAGAGGAAAATCGTCTTGGCTTTCTCGCTTTCCTTTGTCTCGGAGAGTGCACGTATCAGCAAGTTGAAACGTTTTCACTTTCTACAAGGCAGTCCATTGTTCATTTTCTTTTCTGCACACGCTTGTTTATCCTCACCATACCGCCCCTCATCCTCTCTCTCTGTGTATGTATTTTCGTTGCTACTTTACCAAGCTCCTGTTCGTCCCGTGATCGTTTTTTTCTTCTCCTGGGGCGAGCACTTGGCAATCTCCAAGTTACAAAGCCCAAGTCTTTCATGCCCCAATTCGAACTGCAAACGAGCAGTGATTGTATCTTGCTTGAGCATTGTTTAATAACAACTTTTCGTTTAAATAGTGCTTTCACCGTCCGAATATAACTGCGATAACTTTCATGTAACTGTCCCCGCTAGGGATTTTGCAATAATACACGAAGATGGCCGACCCCGATTTCGATATCGACTTCTACGGCGATGCCGATGCCGATGCCAATGAACAGCCCCAGCAAGAAGAGCGGCGCCAAAGCGGCGATCATATGCGGGACGACTATGACTATCATGGCCAGGGCGAGAGACGGGGAGACAATGAACACGAAGACGATCGCCGCTATGACGGCAACCGAAGCGATAACGCCGAACACTCTTCACATCAACATGGCGTTAAGAGAAAGTCAGAGGAGCAAGAGGCAGATGACAGACCCATCGATAACGGTGCTACGGCAGCTATAATGATCTCAGAGCTTAGCTGGTGGACCACCGACGATGATATCAGAGGCTGGCTTCGAAGAGCTGGCTGCGAAAAGGAGATTAAAGAGCTCACTTTCAGCGAGCATAAAGTCAACGGAAAGAGCAAAGGGTGAGTTTTCAAATCCGCTGCTCTGCGATTTTCTATCATTCTTTGGAATCTTCATTCTAAAGCCTCTTTGGTACTGTGAATAAATCTAACCCAGTCTCTTCTCTCTCAGACAAGCCTATATCGAGTTTCAAACTCGCCAAGGATCCACCTCTGCGAAGCGCTACATCGATTCTGTCTCGGCAGACATAGTACAACCCGGCCAGAAACAAATAACTATTTCTTACTGGAACCCCGGCGTCAACCCCTTCAGAACGCTACCCAAAGATGCTCCAACCCGCGTCAAAGAGCAGCCTCGGGCCGCCCCCTCTGGATCCTACAATGATCGCGGCAGCTATGGAGGTTTCCGTGGTCGAGGTGGCATGGGCGGAAATCGAGGCGGCATGAACCCCGGTTTCAACCGCAACTACGGCGGAAACATGGGCTATAACAATAACAACATGGGAGGCAGCGGTTTTAACGGACCAATGGGCGGCGGCGGCGGCGGCGGCGGCGGCGGAGGTGGCTCTCACTACCTTTTCAGCGGTCGAGGTGGCCCTTCAGGGATGATGAGAGGCGGCCAGCCTGTAATGCGTGGCAGAGGCGGAGGAGGCGGCGGTATGATGGGTATGAACCCCATGGGAGGTATGGGCATGGGAATGCCCGGCAACATGGGCATGGGCATGATGCAAGGTATGAAAGCTGTCACTTTACGCCACCCCAATCCACAGATCACAATCCGTCAAACGGCATCGGTTACAGGCTAGGAACTGTCGCCGATGCCATTACCCACTACACAATCACCAACTCCTTCAAGCATGGTTATGGCCCGTCAAGAGTCAGAAGGGCAGTCGCTTGCACCAGTAGTGCAGCGAGAAGAACCCACACAAGAGGCAGAGGAGACATATCCAGATGCCGAGCCAGACGTGTTTTATGAAGATGGAGAAGACAGCGACAGCGATAGCTGTGCTCTAAGCTTCTGGGGAAGTGACGACTACAACGCTCAGGATACCCCGTGTACTAGCGAGTGTACTAGCGACACAAGCTCCATGGGTGACGATGATAGCAGCGACAGCGACGATAGCAGTGATGAGGATGACAGTAGCGAGGATGATAGCAGTGATGCCGACGATAGCAGCGATGACGATGAAAACGATGATGACGAAGAGGATGCCATGGATCTCGACGAGAACATGGAACTCGGAGAAGCGGACATGGATATCTCAGATGGCACGAGTATCTCAGATGTCATGGAGATAGAGCCGCGAGAAGAGAACCCTTTAATCCAGGCGGCGGGCTCAGGCCAAGCGGTAAATGCGAGTGCAACTACGCCCTCAGCGGCTCAGCTACAACAAAGCTACCACTATCCCCCCCAAGCTACTAATCGGCCACAATTTGCACCAAGCACTTGGGGCTGCCGTATTCACGGAACACAGACTCCTCGCTGCTTGATTTGTGACATTGAATTCTGGCGCGTTCAATGCCTCATTAGAGGCCAGGACTTTGGCCGCATTCCACCTCCGCCGCTACCCATCTATCCAACACCACTTCACCAGCCCGGCCCATCTTCTATTGCACATACTCGATTTGCCACTAGTAACGCTGCTAATTCACATATAGGTTTTCAGGGTATGCCTCCTAACTTCCCAGGCGGATTCGGCTTTGGGCAGCAAGGAGGAGGCGGAGGCGGCGGCGGAGGCAACAGTGGTGACTGGGGCAACCCTCATGGAGCAAAGCGACCGCGTCCCGAGTAATTGGCCAGCATCCGCCGAATCCATATCTCCTCAATTATTAGGATGAAGAATTTAAGCTAGGATTTGGAGTGCAATAATGCAAGGAATTGATTTTTAACTGTTATCAAGGGGGAAGGGAAGGAAATGCTACTCGACTTTACTTGAAAGGAGCTGCCGGAAAAATTTTTCAAATCTTCATTGCATTAAGAAGGGATTTTTTTTTTTTTACAAGCAGTGTATAATAGAACAAACGCTGGGTTTATTGTTATTGAGATGCTAGGAGTCAGAGCTTCTTTACTTTTTATTATGCGGAAGTTTTGTAACTTGTCTTTATTGGCTTTTGGCAAGGGAATTGGGCTCTTTTCATTTATCAGTGGTCTATCAGGGGAGACAACAGGCAAAATGGGCTGGATTTGTACAAGTTTCAAACAAAACAAAACAATTTGGCAATAAAGCAAACGGGAGAATGAACCGTGACTCCGTACATGCATAGAGGTGATCGTTAAGGTAGTAAATCAATAAAAAAAGAAAAAGAAAAAAATAAAGAGAGAGGAAGAGGTGTAGGAATGTCGACACATGAAGGCTAAGGAAGATTGAGGAGCGACAATAACAAGGTAGCTAGCGATTGCTAGCCTTGTAGTCGTGATATTGCTGCTGCCACCAGTTGCCTGATCTGGAGCCATCTGTCTGTGAGGCTTCCTCTCATTTCCTCCTCGCCAGCAGAGCTACTGCTCAGCAGCTCTAGAGAGTTGGTGATGTCGTTATCGTACTTTGTAAGTGCTTTTAAGAGCGCAGCATCTATAAGGTGACGATCCGTGTCTTCATCTCTTACGCCGTCCAGGACAGCTTGCCATTGTCGGAGGGGCAGACAGAGCATTCTCAATGCAACGTGCGTACGATAACATGCCGTCTGAGAGTCCAGCATATACTTCTCCCAAAAGCCCGCGTCTTCGAGATGCTCCCTCTGAGTGGGGTTTAATAAGGGGCAGATGTAAGGGTCAAGGCAAGTCTCGTCCCAAGGATTAATAGATGACGGTAGCGTGAAGCCATATTCTACGAGCAGCATGTCGTTTGCATGGGGCCCGTAGCGGATGAACACTTCCTCGCCAGGCTCGTGTGTGCGAGTGGTAGTGAAAGTGAAGAACTTGTCGTTGAAGGCAGCCATACAGTAGCCCTCGGGGGTGTGATTGAAAAGATCCGCCACGGGCTGGAGCGCCATGTGATCCTCCTTGGGTAGCTTCTCCGTCTTTCGATTTGTGTGGTAGAATGTTCGGGTATTTACCAGGAGCCAATTGTACAGATACTCATCCTTCTGAAGCTGCGGGTACGCCGCGGCCACAATCGCCCAGTCTTTGCCGAACTTTTCTTGCTGCGCTGCAAGTAAAGACTTGGATCCTGGAGGCAGTAACGCACGTAGCTTAGCTGGCCAGCATATGGGCAGACTGATGGCAATATCTCTCCGAGAAGGGAGGACGGGGCGCCATTTTTCCAAATCAGGGTTGGAATCAAGGCAGAGTGAAGCAGCAAGAATGGCGTGAACAGTGGCACCGCTGAGAGTCTTGGTGATGTCCTTGGGAGTGTTGCTGAGGGTACGCAAAGCAGATACAGGGACTTTGAGAATGACTTGGTTGGCCTAGTCATGATGTTAGCATATGATATATTTGTGTGTTTGACTCTATATAGGTCGGCTTGGTGCACTGAGAAATTGAACCAAGCTTAGTGGCTAGAGGAATATTCAAAGAGAAAGCAAAATACTGTACCTCGAGATGGCGGGTTGCAACAATACCAAGACCTCTCCCATGCAGAGCTTTTGGATGAATCCCGTTTAACTCAATACCTATGGAAGATGTCCACTCTAGAAGCTGGTCGATGGCCGCTTCCATTGCTGCGGCTTGCTCTATAAGTGAGTTGACCAGGTGAGTGGAAAAAAGTCATCCATGGACGGTAAAATTATGCGATATGGCGATACTATGGGGCGAGATGGTGAGTCATTAGCTCCTAAGCTATGGCGAAGTAGCGCTGTTGGCGTCGCCTACAGTGCCAAAGCACAGGCTGCTGGTCTACAGCGAAACGCCATGTCAGTAAACCATTTCTCCCCAGCCGTTGTTATTGAGCCACTTATCCAGTTTGCCAGTATGCTCAAGCGTGGTTTTTTATTCAGCGCCGTGGCATTTCAAGCCAAGTCATTTTCTACTGCTGGCAAAATTTAGATGTAGAGCTATTCTTGGATGGCGATAACGGCTCTATTATCGAATCGATTCTGCCGCCTTGAATGTCCACACGAGAACTGCCATGGGATAGGAATGCGAACGTTATTGCAGGCCTCAGAAACGATGGAACTAGTCATAGGTTGTTGTTAGCACCTGTGCGATAGTATTAACATTTATTGTTTTGATTTAGTCCTTGAAGCATCAATGGCTCGAGCACCAGCAATGGCTAAAAGGTATTACAAAATGGTCGCAATTCTGTTCCCAGGCTCCTGCGTCAAGTAATATGATGAAGATATATATAGGTTGAAACATGGGCCGTTGGCCTAGGATGGGGCCTTGGCAAAAGTTTTTTGCGTAGAGAGGCATTCGCATTCTATATGCCTTTTAGATGCAATACCTCAAGTACATATGAAAGAGATGATAAAGAGGCCATACCCAGTCTTGAAGCTATTATATCTCGGAACTGCTTTGAAGGAAGCACTGGGAATGATAGTAGATACCTATTAGGGAGCAGTATTAAGTTGTATGCTCCATCTTTGAGAGAAACGCAGTATCGTGTTGGCATCAACCAGTCCTCATGTCATGTTAGTACGTCAGCGGAGTGTGGGAAATATGTAGATAGAGCCGGGTTACCTTAAGTGGGCTACTATGCAGAAGGACTGTAGTTGAAGTATCTGGCATACTTATAACAACGCCACAGAATCCATAAGAGGGAAACTCTCGTGGTGTAGACCCCTTCTATTTAGCAAAGTAGGCGGAAATCTAGAAAATCCATGCCCTGATCTAACACGATTGCTTCAGATGGATTAAACTAGCTTTCAAACCCACAACACTTCGAGATTCTTAGCTGAATGCCCCAGAATATGTCCGTCACAAGTATTCCGAACTCTAATGCAGAATATTTATCTCTTGGGTGCCAGCGGCTGCGTGTTCATGGTATGCGAGGTCGCGTCTAACGATGCATGTCTCCGCTGATATACTCAAGTCTCGTAGGATTTTGGTCAGTAGGGTTCAGTAGAAAAATGCATCCAAGGAATATGAGGCTGGGAAATACTTTGCTTGATTGAATTAGAGACTCTATTGCTCCGGAATCTTTTTCATCTGGGGGGTAGAGGCAACACGATCGGGTTCCTTTGCTGGAGTTTCCAGCTTCAAAGCAACTCAAACAGCAAATGCTTCGAGAATACCTTCGCTTCCATATCCAGCTACTCGTAAGAAGTCAGATTTATACTGAAAAGAGGGTATTAGGATGAATGGCAAAAAACTATGATCGAAAAGAAAAGAATAGAGATTTCCTCTGCCCAAGAGAGGGAAGAGCAGCACCTTCCCAGAATGATTTTACGAATAGGCTATCAGACATCTTATCGAGTCACTTATCTATAGCGATATGGAGCACGTGCAGCATATTCAATCAGGAATAGACAAGCAAAAACACACACCCGAATATCATCATATTCTTTGCTCTTCTACTGCTCTTGAAGCTATCTATGCATTCATGTTATCGACCTTCTCCACCCGGGGTCGTACTACTGGCAAGCGACATGCAACTAGGATAGAAGGTTGCAATCCGAGGCAGTTATTCTGTCTATTAACTAACATTGCTCTCTTTCCAGGATTTGAAGAAGAAAGAAATTGCTCTCAACGGCAACGATAGTAAGAAGAGATTGTACAGGGTAGACTCTTGGTATACCTACTACGTCTCTAACAAGTCTTCTACCTGGGTCCTGCTATTCCACACATGTACTTTATAGTCTGATATGCTATATACTAATTGCGGCGAGATCATAGGAAGAAACTAACATAGCTCATATGTATCACGACGACGACGACGACGATGACGACGATGACATTGAGAAAGCTACAATCATCATCCCTTTCGACATTGGCGTTGATCAAGTCACGGGTCTGAGATATTGATGTTGGACTTTGTGGTAAGAGGCTTGAATAATGAAGCTTTTGCCGTCAAACAGGCCGGCATGTTCATCTGCAAAAGGACACAGCAGCTGATGCAGTCTTCCACTTAGTATGGTGGCAGCCGTTGGGAAGTTGGCCGCCGGTTTACCCGAGTTGATAGCTAGATCCACAGTGTTGAGCGTCCTGCCTCACTCAGGGTTCCAGACTACCACTCCAAAGTGCCTTTTCTTCACGCTTAATAAAAGCCGACGACATACTTTTCGCCGCACACCCTCAATATTTACAATCCGGGCCGGGCCGTGAGACAGAGATCCGCAGGCCCACAAATCCGGTGCCGTTGATACAGCCACGGTTCGATGCAGCTCTGATAAAATATGCTGGCTCTACCATTGCTCCAGTCTTCAGAACGAATCATCATCTAGCACCAAACTAACGAGGCTGGCCATCTTTACTGGTGCCACGCTGCACCAGAGCTGTAGACGTACCCAATCTAAGATTGACATCTCACAGGCTTTTGCGTCCTGAAAGCGGGTCGTTAGGAGCTTACATCTCTCTCTCTTCAGAGCCATCAGCCCGCCGTTTAGCGGCCGAGCATCTCGACGGCGCAAGGCAGGGTCCACACCTCCAACGGAAGAATATATCGCTAGTTAGGTCGTTAGAAGATTTTCTCCTTCTGAGATAGCACTAGGCCTAGTAGCCGGCGGAACGAACAGGGAAAGGGAGCACCCCTGAACGGATGCCCAACGGGCGATGAGCTCCATTTTGTGCAGCCGCCACCTCGAGCTTTTTTCTTTCTTCTATTTCTCTGCCTTGTGAAGCTCTCAGCAGCCACAGACATTTGGTCCTTTTTCTAGAGCTTCCTACACGACAAAAGGGAGAGGGGCACACAGACTGCGTCAAAATGGAGGCATATGGCCCAGGTAGTGGCCGCCCAGGAAATAATGTATGTGTCATCGGCACTGGTGTGACGGGGCTGTTGGCGGTGAAAAATCTGGTCGAGCAAGGCTTAAACGTCAGAGCTCTGGAGCAAAGCGAGAATCTCGGCGGCAATTGGTACCATTCGATGGATACGGAGCAAGTGTCGGCGTTACCAGAGACGAGGGTGAACATGTCGAAAGAAACAGTGAGTGACAGCGACCCAAGAACCATGTTTGGATGTATAGCACGTGAGACTTACCAGCAGATGAAAACCGACAGAATTGTTTTACAGATTTCCCAATGCCAGATGGTAAGCTTTGGACAAGATGAGCTCCAGTAGCTGCTGAAAGCGGCACGCATATTTGAAGAAAATTTGCTGACAGGGTTGTTGTATGCGTACAGACTATCCGTCATTTCCTTCCGCGAAACAGATAGGCGAGTACTTGGAAGCATACGCAGATAAATTCGAATTGATCAAACATATCGAGCTATCGACAACTGTGACGAGTATCCGACGAGACGAAGAAGACGGCGTTTGGATCGTATCCACGAGGCACACAAAAACCGGCGAAGAAGAAGAGCGAGAGTACGACAGAGTAGTGATGGCGACGGGAGGTCTCAATGTCAGAAACATGCCCGAGATCAAGGGTATCGAAAAATTCGCTGGAGATGCCATACACTCTCGCGATTTTAAAGACCCAGCACAATATGCCGGAAAGAATGTCCTGGTCGTGGGCCTGGGTTCTACCGGAGCCGATACATTGAGCTTTCTGAAGCAGGCCGGTGCAAATAAGTTATATCTCAGCAGCAGAAGCCGATGTTCACTGGTGAATAATCCCGAACATGCTTTCTCGCCTTAGCACCATTCAAGAAAACGCTGACAAGTATGCATCTAGATCCCTAGAACAATTGGAGGACGGCCGTGGGACCATTATTTGACCCGCCGTGCCGATTCAATGATGCGACGCTCAATAGCATGGTCCCCTCAAGTCTCGAATTATGTTGCCGGTAAAGCAATTGGCCTCATACAAAGTTATACGTTTCCGACCCTGAGGGGACATCCTTGCTTCAGCGGTGCAGTCAGCGGTCCGCTGTACCGCAGTCCGTTTGTCTGCGATGAATTGCCAAGCCTCCTAGACAGCGGTGATGTAAAAGTTTATGGAGGTATTATGGGAGTTGCGGGTCCCCGTACTGTGGTGTTCAAGGACGGCAGCGAGATTACAGATGTAGACGCAATCATTTTTTGCTGCGGCTACTATCATGATCTCTCTCTAATCAAGGGAGAGGGGAACCCTGCGGATGTGGAATACACTACAGACTCATTTGAGCAGCTGAAGCAGGCAAAACACCACATCACCAATAGCCAATATCAAAGACTCTATCACGGTATTCTATCAGAACGATATCCGGAGTCGTTGGCCGTGCTGGGTGGCCTCACAACAGTGCGACCTACATTTGTGCTCTACGACCTTGCTACTATGGCACTCGCCAGCCTTTGGTCTGGGAGTTATCCACTGCCTTCGCCACGAGCAATGAAGAGAGAGATTGACTCTCATTACAATTTCGTGGTACGAGCGCTTGAAAACGGCCCGATGTCATTCCTTGGCCTCCGCATAGATGTGCGAGGGACCTACAAATGGCTAAATGCAACTGCTGGAACTGGAGTCATTGAACGACTTGAAGGGTGGGGCTGGGAAGCGTGGAAGTTCTGGTGGAAAAACAGGACACTGTTCAAGTACATCATGAATGGACCTAACGTTCCGGCTGTATACAGGCTCTTCGATATGGGTAGGGGGAGAAAGCCATGGGATGGGGCTCGAGCAGCTATTGAGAAGGTCAACGAGGAGCCCATAAAGAAGGCTGCTGAGATGCCTAAGGAGCAGACCAAAGAAGTGGCCAACGACGAGACAAAGGACGAGGCAAGAGATGAAGCAAGATATGAAACTGGAAGCGAGACTGAAAGTGAGGCCGAAGAGGAGGTTGAGCATATCACTGGAGAAGCCACCGAAGAGGCCCACGCTGCGGATATGATGAAAGTGGAAGCAATGGATTACATGGAGCCTGAGGACGAATCAACTCTTGCGATCCATACTCCATATCAAACAGATGAGTAAAGTGAGCCAAAGAAAGGAGAGAGTAAAGGCTGCCACAATGGCAGAAACAAAAGTTCAGAGACAGGGAACAAAGGACACAGGGCAGAGAGAGGAGAGAGACGAAAGCCCAAAGGGAAATTCGTCGGGGCATGGCGATAGGACACTAGAATAAGCATCCCACACAAGGCATTCAACGCATGATAATGAGATAATGATAATGAGACATGAATATAAAAATGGACGCAAATATTGAGTGCACGGTCGTTGGTGGCGCCTTATGCAGACTGCCTATAGCAATCTATCATGGTTGACGAAGGCTTTACCCGTTGTCAAGAGTCGCAACTACGGTGGACGCTTGCTTTCATCGGACTTTACGACTATCATCGCCGATCCTTTCTTGTGCACAATTTTTACTTTCCCCAGGTCATGTCTATCCCCTTCCCTCTCCCTCGATTATCCATGATTATGGTAGCATCACGCCAACAATTTTCACCTTTCGTTTCTTTCTTTTTTTTTTTCCCTCACCGATTTTGATCCTCTAGCGAGGAGTGAACCATACAAGAGTAGGGCTACAGCACACCCCACTCAGACAATCTAATTTCTTGGGGGAAACTAGGAGAGATCCGCGGCTTACGCAGCAGCCTGCATGTTTGCTATGTAGTACTCGTATAGGTATCATGGGCTGAGCCTTATACCGGACACATATGATAGTTCTGAAGCTGAAGAGGGCGTGAACGGAGAGAATCGGCTTAGCAAAGTGCCAGGGCCTCGAAAAGTGGCTGAAAATCCTTGGAGACAGGGTACGTACGGCTGATCCCGGGGGGGGGGGGGGGGGGGGGGGACGGGGGGCGGGGGGGGGCGGCGGGCGTGGGTGGGGGGGGGGGGGGGGGGGCGTGTAAGTGATGTACTCATACTTGAAAGCTGTTCTTCAGAGAGTACAGTATCCGTAGCTGCCGGAGCAAGACCACCGCGGCGGGCAATGGACTTACAAAAGCTTCATTCTACCTAGCAAACGGTCCATGTCATGAAGTTTCAGCTTGTTTGCTATGCGTAGACGGACTGCATACGAGCAGTATGTATAGACGTTAGGCATCAAGCGAACAAAAGAAAGCTGCTGCATAAATTTCAGCAGAGCAAAAATCCTCCTTTGCATGTGTTGTGTGCAAGTACTCTAGTCAGGCAGTGAGCTCTTGAATGAGTTTCGCAACAGCGGGCTAAGAGTAAAGCACTTGGTAGTAATAACGTAGTGAGGGAGGATGAGACATTGAACTAAAGTGCTCCTCTTGGGATACCGGGTTACCGGTGCTGATTGTCGCCTCTCCCGCTGTCAGGCGGACAAAGAAATAATACATGGTTGCATAACTTAGAGACAACAGATGCAAGGGGCTCATCGACCCCACGATAGCCACCAGCTCTTGTTACTGGCTGCCGTATGAAAAAGAAGTCACGATAGAAACCCACCGTAGCAAACAAATGCAGACAGCAAACGCGGAAGGATGAAACGCTGACGGATTTCTTGGATAGGTGTCGTCTGCTCGCCTTGGCTTTTCATATTTATATCTTGGCAAATATTGTAAATTCTTTCTCTTATATATTGTGTAGACTGCTTCTTTTGCGAGTCTTATAAGTGTCTTTGTTTACTGATTTGGCAACTTCTTTCTCCATAGATCTTTCTCATTCCGATATTAAATCGTTTGCTCAATCATAGAGAAAGTTCCTGTTGGATGCCGTTTTTTCACTCCTTGTTTCTGCGTATGTGGTCGTCGAGAATGGACTGTCCAGACCGGCCACCTCCGCTTCCACCAAGGCCCACGATGTCTGAAAGTATCACGTCGACAAACAGAATGGCATCTTGCGAATTAAGCGGTACGCCAGACGCCCCTTCATATCTAGTGACAAGAGTATCTTCAAAGATCATGGTGAGCTCAGCCAAAGGGAAATCCCCAGAGGCACCGGCGAATATGTCCACGCCTTCGCCTACCTCTGAATCCAAGGTGATTTCTCCGTTGTTGCAGTCAAGTTATTAGTTTCGAGACCTAACACACCAAACAGAGCACGAAGAGAGTATCTTTTGTTCTTCCCGTCAAACCGACAGAGGAGCTTGAGCCTGAGTGTTGGCCGTTCGGTCGGAAATCCTGGGAGGTTAAAAATCGCCTCACTACGGAGGAGATTCGTCACCTCTTGCCTGCCTCGTATCGAATTGGCATAGCCTGGATTGGGATTCCAGAGAACCGTGTCGAGCAATTCTTGACGATCGATCTCAGTGTAGATCGCTTAATGAAAGCGTTCGATTGTTTTTTCATGCTTGGTAAGGAGTATATACCACCGCGCGCTCTCAGCTACCAGCAAGCTCTTGGTCTCGAAATCACCGTCATTGAGAAGATGGATATGCATTTGCTTTACTCCAAGGATAAGATCTTTATAAAGCCCTTCCCGCGGTATCTTCTTGAACCGAAATTTTGGGATGAATTTCTTGAATGCCCCAAGGAGTGTCCCTATCATAGTCCATTCACGACTCTTCGAAGAGAAGGGCGGTTGAATAGCGGCTTTGAACTCACAAAACTCAAACCATGCAATCACAGCATCATTTGGATGCGCGCCATGGGCTTCGCTTTCTCTTATGTTGGTCTTGTGCGTAATAGGAGCGACTTTGAGATTGCAAAGGGGAAAAACTTGATGCCAGATGGCCTCAACTTTGAAAACTGGAAGTACTTTGTCTCTCGGGTGCTCAGCGACAACGCCGGCGGCAAGATTCTCAGGCATATCGACAAGCGATTCACATTTGGCGAACTGAATCTGGAGCGCCTCAACCAAATTTTCATGATTCGTAGCCCTTTGATGTGGCTGTGCCAAGGGAATGAATACCGAGACTTTGTCCAGGGTCCCTTCTTTCTGCCACCCTTTTCTATTTATGTGGCTGTCGTTATGGGATACATGCTCGCTGGGACTGCGTACACAAAGTTCAAGAAAAACAAGATATTTTCATTTGCAATAGTGGTGTAAGTAGCAACTTTCTTTTCTTTGTGGCCCTCCTAATGCTAATGTTGACATAGTTTAGTTGGTTGCCTCTGGTCTGTCATTGGCTCGCTCTCTTTCGTCATAACTTGTGCTTAAGGGATCGAAGATGAGGCCAGGCCAGAGATGGACGGTCTTGAGATTAGTCTGCGCGGCTAGGGTGGGAAATGTGTGTTTCTGGAATTTGGCTTGTTTGATAGAGATGGATAACGATGCACTAAATTTGTGGATTATAACATTGATTGACCATTTGGGATATAGATAGTCTCTGCTAGGTAGTTAGCTTTAAACCATATAGAAGGAAACGGAAAAATTCATTCCTTTTTGTGCGAGAACAAGTCCATCTACTTAATATCCTTTCAATTAACACCTGGTAGATGAGCCGGCAGGTTTAAGACAAGATCTGAGAGAAGAGCGTGTGGTCCACAACGATGCCAAGCCGCGGTGCTACCCTGCGGTTCAATTTTCACCAAGGCGTAACTATAAGCAGTATCATCGTAAACCTGCCATTAGGTAGCCTTTATCTGTATTTATCATTTTCGCTATTTTTCAATTCTTTGCAGATGTAGCTAAGTGTGTTTGTCGGAAAAGAGTTGGCTATGCAGGGTATTGAAGCGCAAGGAATTGGTAGCATTAAAAGATCAAGAGACGAGTTAGCAAATGTATCTAGGCCAACACATGAGAGATACTTGGAGGATAGAGGATAATACTAAAAACGTTGACAGATAATCTATCACCGAGAAACTTGTCATGATCGAGCTTGTAATTGCGTGTTGTTTGTATTGTCGATCTGCGAAGGGCGAGGGCTAAGTGATGCCTCTTTATACAGGTTTTGCCAATCTGGAAAGAAACAAGCAGCAACAAGATTAGATCACGGTATTTTTGTTTTGAGAAATTAGAAGATGGTTAAGAATTCCCTAGAGGAACAGTATGCTTCTTTTTGCCGTTGGCGGTGTTCCAAGTGCGGCTCCGACAGCAGGTGCCATGGCCATCTTGCTGCTGCGTACTCCGTAATCCATGGCTCTCCGCCCCTAATTCAGCCTCGCTGTGCTCAGGCTCAGCCTTGCCATGTTGAGATTTGCTTTGCATCGGATTCGTTATTTTGGTATTGCAGTTCCTCGCCTTTCCCCTCCCAAGTATCGTGGCCCAGCACCCTTAGGGCCATGGCCGCTGCAAATTGACTGATTTAACGGACATGCAGCCTGCAGCAGGATGTCCTGGCAACAATTTACTGGCAGTCTCCCCGAATTGAGGAAGCCTCTACAGACATTATGTGATGTAGTATGATTCCGAGGGCTGTATTCGATATTCTGTTAAGCCTCTATCTCAATTACTAATGCTATGGATTATCAGAGGGACCGCAACTCCATGGCTCACGGCGCAATCACCCCAACTATATGTTCGTAGGAACGACCAATAACCCAAAAAGCTCAAGACATTACATTCTGGAATAACCTGGAGTCTTAAGATACTGGGCTGCCGTGATATATCATTACCGGAAAACTTAGCAAATGGTAGGCCGCCGTGGCTGATATCCACGATCATGGCCTTTCCTCGACGGAAGCTACATTGCTACTAGCAGGCGAGATTCTTTACTCTACGTTCGGCTCAAATTTAAGATTTTTTCCATGGTGAGGAAGTTGCATTTCTCAAAGAACCGTATGTCTCGTTGATGTACAACAAAAAGCTTGTTCTCTTGCCCTGACACTGGCGGCTGATGCATGGCAGGCTTTGAACCAGAATTGTTGCCCGCCATATCAACCGCCGATATATAAGAATACTGAGACCAAAGAGCAGACTGCGAAGCCTCGCGAAAGGAAAACAGTTGGGATAGAGGTTACTGCTATGGATAAGGATATCTCGGGGGAGGGCTGAGTCGATTCCCTAATGGAGGTGCTGCTGCTGGTACATATCTAGCGCAGGATCGCGCATGGAATCGCGGCACATGAGCTTGAAAGCAGCAGCCAATGCGTACGCGGTTATAAGCGCTCTCACAGTCTCGCCATACACATTCTATAATACTAATACTGCCTACTACTAGCACTATGGGTTCCATTTGGGAGAAGAGAAAAACGCGGCTACTGAGGCGGAACCGTGCAGACTTGCCCCCCTTTCGGGCGTAACGCCAAGCTACGTCAAAGTTTGGTGGGATGCGGCGATTTGTTTCAAGATGGCAACAAAGCCGTTACAGATGAGTCCTAGAGCAGCGGATGTCGCGCGAGAGTCGAAAGCTTTGCACCATGCGCTGAGTACACTGGTAAGCGCATGGGACAAGCAAGGTAGATTTTTATCTAGTGGTAGTAGAATTGAGTAAGAAACATGTTGTTGCTGCAGCTCGTGCGCAATGATCAAGGTCCGAGCATGTTTCCCTTCTCTCCCAAAGCGCCTACTAGTGGATGCTGTTTTACGACGACTCAGTAGAGGCACTTTTGTTAGTGAGCTTGTTTGTCGTTTGCCGGAACCTCATTTCCAAGGCGCCGTCAAACTCGGTGATGGGAGCAGGCTGCCGTCGTCGTCAAGCACTGTCATCCCTAAGAGGAGAAAGGGAGGACAGATGCAGCGGCTAGATGCAGCGCTGCTCTCCATCACCATGGCGGTGTCGCCACTTTGTGCACTCGCCCGCATGTTAGCAGCTACAGCACTTCGTATTGTCGGGAAGCTTGCTGCTGCTGAACCCTCCAGCAGGAGCTAGCACTGCTATGTAGCAAGCAATCAATCAATCCCATCTCCATCCGCCTATTATTAGGACCTTGAATGAGTCGAGCCGGCAAGTTGGCACAGAGCACCTTGACCAGTTTCGACACTAGGCAGACACACCGGGCTTTGTTCCAAGCTGGATGCCCGTCGCAAAGGCCAGCTACGTCTGTAATTAGCGAGTGGCAGGATCAATTGAATTCCAATCAACAATACAGAATCGTGGCAATCCTTCTAGAGCTCTTCTGCTGCCAATGACATCAATGCACAAACAAGACAAAGCCTCGAAACACTGCTGAGCCGGCCTTGGCAATCTAAACCCGATATCCATACTGTACAGCACAATACGGGGGCCCTTGCCCTTGCCAACTGCATCTCAGGTCAGGCGACTTGACCTGAATTGACTCGAGCCTGAGACTTTTGCCGTGAGGTGAGAAGTGAGCAGGGTACGTACCGTGCATGGGGTGGTGCTTTTTTCGGTCCTCGCCTCCTCCCTCGCCTTTCTCTCTCACCCCCACATCCAGCCACACACGCATGAACCTCGTCTTTTGTCACCAAAACCGAGCCAGCAAGAGTAAGCAGGCTTCCCGTCAGAGTCCCGGGAAATTCGCATCTTCCAGCCCAGTGCCCGATCCGATTCCTCAAAATCAATCAAACCGAGCTCAACCAGCTCCTGTTAGACGGTAAGCCCGTGTCGTCTCTCTTAACTCTGTTTCTCTCTATCTCTCTCCCCGTCTCTCTCAGCAATCAAAAGAAATCACTCCAAAATCTCCTTTGAACACCCAAACAAGGCGCGGGCGGTTCCTTGCGCCTCGCCTCACAGCTACACGGCTCAGGGACGCCTTGTTTCTGTTTCTCCTTCCCCTCCTCTCTTCCTTCTTCTGCTTGCTTCTTCATCTTCATCTTCCTCATTCATACTGCACTACTGCTATCTTGCACCGAATCTGCATCTACGGCCTCTGATTCGTTTCCCGCCATCCACACTCTCTCGTCCGGTTTCACAGCGCCTTACGAGCCTTCCCTTGCATCTCGTGTAGGTGCCGCCATCTGATTTGTGCTGCTTTAAAGCCCCCCAAAATTCCCTTGCAGACGAAACGCGTTCATCCATAGAGACGGGGCCTATCAACTCGTCGCCTCCCCCTCGATTCTGTCTCCACCAGCTCCAGTGGCGCTAGCAGATACAACAATCAACAGGGTACGTGTAACACAAGTGGCAGGTATCTTTTTATCTGTGCCTCCTAGCCTCTCCTAGCAAGCTCCTCCAGCACGGACTAGCACAGGATCGAGTTAGCCAGCGGGTGCTTCGTTTGCCTGCTGCGAAGCTGCTTGATATCGCCCTTTTGATTGCCCAGCCTCTTGCAGCTTCACCTCCTGCGGCTGAACCCCGTTTCCTCTGACGTTGATGCAGCCTTGAAACCCTCTCCAGACCGAGGCGCCACCATCACCATCTCCCATCTCCGATTCCCGCTTCTCATCTCTAGCCATTGATCCATCTCCCTTTCGTCGTCGTCTGATCCGTTTCTTCTCCCATCTCTCCGTCCTGTCGTTTCTACTCCCTAAATACCAAGCGCAAAGCCCCTCGTTCGATCCGTCCTCCACCGACTTGCCGCCTCTCGATTTCCAACCAACCCCTCCGCCGCATCAAACATCATACCATACCGCCGTCGCTAAACATTCAGGATTCATCAAGGACCGTTATCGAAACTACTGCTTGATCTTTGGACGCAATGGCGCAAGCTGGAGTTCAATCGTTGAAGGTAATGGCGGTTCTCCTTTTCCCCTCTGCTGTTTTTTTTTTCTGTTACTGACGTCTCCTATCTCCTTTAGTGTGTCGTGACTGGTGACGGTGCCGTTGGCAAGGTTTGTACCATCTCCGATTTCCCATTTCCCAAGCTGGGTCTTTATTAGCTAACCTTCGACTCCATAGACCTGTCTGCTCATCTCGTACACGACCAATGCGTTCCCCGGAGAGTACATCCCAACAGTGTCAGTCTCCACACCACGCGTATCAAAAAAACGATTTCTATGATGGCGACTGGTTGCTGACCTTTGGTCCTTAGGTTTGACAACTACTCTGCCAGCGTCATTGTTGATGGCAAGCCCATCAGTTTGGGACTTTGGGATACCGCAGGCCAGGAGGATTATGATAGACTCCGGCCCTTGTCCTACCCCCAGACTGATGTTTTCCTCATCTGCTTCTCCGTCGTGAGCCCGCCATCGTACGACAACGTTGCCGCAAAGGTACGAGACTCACTTTCCTCTGAATTACCCCTGCCTGGGGAAGGAAAAAAAAAAAAAAGAAAAGAAAAAAAAGCATCTGACTCTTTGAATAGTGGCTTCCCGAGATCACTCACCACTCCTCCGGAACCCCCATCATCCTGGTCGGCACCAAAATTGATCTTCGAGACGACCCTGGCACCCGCGCTGCCCTTACCAAGCAGCACATGGAGCCTGTCCGATACGAGAACGTGCTGAACTACGTCAAGGATGTCAACAAGACGAACAAGATTATCTACAAGTACATTGAGTGCTCTGCTCTGACGCAGCGGAATCTCAAGAGCGTCTTTGACGAGGCTATTCGGTAAGTCTTGCCCAACCCAGCCTTTTGTATCTTTTTTGTGTCTTTTTGGCATCCTTTTCTCTCTCTTCCGACTATTCTCTCTTTCGTTACTTTCCCACTGCATTTTTCTCTCGTCTCTTTTTGCCGGCTGCAGATTTCTGACCTCCTCTCTCGTGCAGTGCGGTCCTCAACCCCACCCCTCAAACCTCCAAGGCCAAGAAGTCCAAGTGCTCCATCCTTTGAATGAATTTGCGATGTCAGTTCGTTTGCCATCTTTAGCATCTCGTGCAGCGAAGACGTCTTAGAATTGGTTTCCAACCGACGATTTACAATCTCGAGCCGCCGCCGCCTCACGAATTTTTTTTGGGTCACCTAGAATGGTGTGCATTACAGAAGCTTCCTCACTGGGACATGTTTCGATGAATTTAGACCGAAAGTGCGATTAATGGAGGATGGAGGAGCAGATGACGAGGATGCAGAGGCCCGGGGCTCTAAAAAGAGATTTCTTTTTCTTTGTTTTTGTGTTTTTAATGAACATGGCTGTCCTGTGTCTTGAGATTCCCCCCATTTTCTCGGTACTGTTGATAGAGTTTGCAGCAAGCCAGAAAATGACATTTGTTAACAGGACGGCGACGATTCTGATGCCATCTTGATGGTCCTTGAAGCTGGAAGATGAAAACAGAAAGAAAAAAAAGCGAGAAAAAAAAGTACAAACCACATGGCGTCTGGTAATTTCAACGATTGTTTCTGTCTGCATTGCATCTGTCATTCCCTCCATAGACTTAAAAAGTGCAATCTAAGAAGCTTTGTTTTCGCCCCTTTAATTCCTTTGGCTCATTCCCACCATTTGGCCTGCTGTATCTACCATGGATAAACGACATACGGGTAAATGACGTGCATAAAATATTGTGTTGCTATGAGGAATGCCAGCATTTGAGAGTAGCCTTGGCGAATCACAAAGCACATACCTAGCTTACATAGTTAAGGAGGCATTGTGCATGTGAAGACCAAATTCCGTCCAATTCTATTATTGAGGGTATCTCTCTTCTTGCTAATTTTTGTTGTCTCCTTGCCACTCGGTAGTTATCCATCTTATATCCACATAATCGTCATATGCAAACAATTCTCATTTACCCGCTTTCTTCTCTATATGTAGGTAAACAGACAAAATTGACCAAGTAAAAGAGATTATTGACAGATAAAAAAGATTATATAAAAAAAATCCAATATCCCAAAGAAAAAGAAACAGAAAAAGGAAAAAGAAACACGTGAGAAAAAAAAAGAAAAACGCCTGGTGTAAGAACAGCGGCTTGAGGTCATGGTTAAAAATAGTTTTCCTTAATAAAAACCAGTTTTATTAATTTCGGAAACCAGGGAGACGGGCGAGACGGCTGGGATGAATGTCCATTCGGGAGTTGTTTCCATTGCCCTGGTTCTCTTCCTTGGTGACCTTCTCCTTTTCGATACGCTTGGCTCTATTCTCTTCGAGTTTCTTGTTCTTCTCCATGATCTTGCCCTGGCGGCCTTGGCTCTTTCCACCTCCTCCGGCACTATAAGTAAAAAAAACACGCTGTTAGCATTTTGTTTTGTTCTCCATTGGGTAAACAAACTGCTTCAGTAATCCGGTTTGTTCTTATTCGGTAAAAAAAACTCACGTCAACTCAACATTAATTCTTCTCGGCTCAGAGATGCCGTCCTCAAACATGGAGTGGTGGAACTTGTCCAAGCAGGTCCTCTGATGAGTGGGCGATGAAAACTCCACAAAGGCGATGCCTCGGCACATCTTGGGGTCCTCCTTCTTGGTCAAGCAGCGCACGGCAATGGGCTTCAGGGAGGCAAAGTGCGCGGTGATGGTTGCGGCGGTGGCAGTGTAGGGCAGGTTGCCGACGAAGACAATGTTGCGGCCCGGCTTGGCTGCTGTGGAGGCGTCGAGGTCGATGGCATCCTCGCCTTGTGGTACGTCCTTGGACGCAGAGGTCTCAGACTTGGGTTCCTTTTCAGCCTTTTTCTCCTTCTTATCCTTCTTCTTATCCTTCTTATCCTTCTTTTCCTTCTTGTCCTTGTTCGCATCACCGTTTGTCTTGGCTTCGGCCTGGGTCACGGAAGGCTCAGCAGCCTCAGAGCTTCCCTCGCTGTTCTCATCGACATCCATGTCCTCGGGAAGATCCTGCAGATTCTTGCGCTCATCCTTCTTCTCTTTTCGGGTCTTGCCGTTGTACTTGGACTTGTCCTTTTTAGACTTCTTCTCCTCTTTGTCTCCCTTCTCTTCTCTCTTCTTCTCCTTCTTCTTTTCTCTCTTCTCCTTGCTCTCCTCCTTGTGCTTCTTCAAGCTGCCCGAGGGCGCGGCATCATCGTCAGTGCGCTTGCGCTTCTTGTCCAGCGACACGTCGACGGGGTTGGGGTCCTCAGCTGAGGCAGCGGTGGCTCGCTTGGACTTCATTGCGATGCGGTTTCTGTTGATCCGTTTAAAATGAAGAGGGCAAATGAAACTGCGGAAAAGAATCGCGGTTTGTGATTATGCCGAATGGGTGAGAAACAGCAGCCAGAAATCTGCGTAATCTGGTAGAATGTGACGCTCAAACTGCCGCTGATAAGATTGGGAAAAAAAAAATCTCCAATGGCTCTTATCGCGCCTGGGCCAAGTTTCCTTTTTTTCCCTCTAAGGTGGGGCAAAAGGCACTTCGCGTTTGCATCGGCGCTAGCGCTAGCATCTTGTATTTTCCGCTTTGGCGTGCCGTCCGCCACAAAGGTTATTGCAAGTTTATACTGTAAAGCAGCATCGATTTGGTGAGAAGTTGGCTGTGCAGTGTAAGGTGAAGATAAGAAACGGTGGTGGCACAGGTCTTGGTTTAGATTAATGGTTACTACGGCATTTCTTGCATAGTATGTAAGTGGGAAAAGATGATTACTACCTACTAGGCAGATAGTAGCTGCCCGTTTGCTTTTTATTCGATGTACACTCCTAATAAGCGAGTCTGGTGCATTTGGTGCCTGGACATGAGCCGCATAACGCCTTCTCACCTCTCTGGTAATAACATGGACCTCACAGAAGTTCAGACCGCCCGAGATGCTATAATTAACCGCTAGCTTCGCTTCTTTGCTACGCACCATCGACTCAGCTCGCTTATATTATTCGTTTCTCTAGAAGCAGGAACAGCTTAACGCCATGCACGTTGGCTTCAGATAGCTGCTTCGAGAGTCATTGCTTGGAAAAAGGGACGAAAATATCGCGCAACTCATGATTCTCGTGGTGTCTCAGCCACTTTTCCAATTCAGCTATTCCCAGGTGCCCAGATATGGCTGTTGTTTGATTTTCTTTGGGTGTCATTGTGCTACTTTGTCCCAGCTTCAAGGCAAATCAATCAAGTCAATTCAGGCGTCCGCCTTCTGGATACGTAGTATCGGCATGTTACAGATCAACAGATAATGCCGATCGATGTCATGGAAAATACTACCTACATAGTGTACGTGGCAGAAGAAATACTACTGCAACTATCTTCTTCTCTGCAGCTGTTCTTGAGCCAGGGGCATACACTATGATGCGATTGGCACCAGACGCTTCGACAGAGGCCTATATACTTCCTGGCTCGGCAATGCGGATGAACCAGCTCCTGTATCGGCAGGAGCATCTCAGAGAAACGGTCACGCAGATACAGCCCCCATTAGCCATTGGCCGAATTGCCGAGCGTGGTCGGCATGTCATCATCGCCTTGCCCTCCACCCTTCATCAGAGAGAAGGGACGAGAACAAGACACGCTCGCTTCTTTCCGTCTTGACATGCGGGGAAATTGTCATCTTTCCACTTTTGGAGCAAGAGCAGGAGCAGGAGCTGGAGCGGAATCTAGACGGAACTTGCCATGTCAAGAGGCTGGCTGTGGCTTCCTTAGTTCTCGCTACGAGTAAGGAAGGCACGTCCAGCTCTTACCCCGCAAATTACAGGGAGGGGCGCCAAAACTTAATCCACTGCCCTGACTTGGGGGCGGCCTAGATTGAATTTAGAACCAAGATCCTCTTTGCTCACGCCATGTGATGGGCCAGCTTTCGTGTGGAGAAGATGGGGAAATGGGGAGATGGTTATCGCATTGTCTCTTCCTCTCTCCAGTCTGCGGCTATTCTGCGTTGATTCTTGTCCGTTGTACCGTCGGGTTAATTCTTGGCCATCGCTAGCATACCTTTTACTCGTCCAATCTCTCTTTGATTACGAGTCAGTTGCTGGACTAGCTAGTCATTCCATCGGTTCAATGGAGTGCCTTGATAGTCTCTTGAGGCTGTACTAACAACTAGCCTTATAGCTTCGAGCTCTCCAAACTTGGAGACATGATCGGCATCGTCGACGTTTCGCTCATTGGCCCTACAATTCCCGGTTGATAAGCTATTCCCGGCTCTCGTCGGCGCCAAAAGGAAGAGAAAGAGAGACGCTCCACTGAACAAAGAACAAACAAGAGGCTTGACGCCAGCAGATTGCAAATTGTTGAGCAATTACCGAGACGAAGTGCCAGGCAAACCAGGATTGTGTCCCTCCACGCACTCGTGGGCCAAGTAATACCTAGTACTCTGTAGGTATTACTGGCATGCCAAGTAATCTTACTTCTACATCCGTACTAACCCATCCATCTTGTGGAGAAGACTGTGAATAAAAATGCATCACCGTGGGTCTCCCCAGAGTAGCGAGATCCTCCCCCAGCTGTTGCTAGCGCAAGTATATGCGAGCCACAAGCATCGTCATTCATGGCAGAATGCAGCAAGGAGAGCCACGGCAACAACGCAACACAGGTGTCAGCTCGAAAAGCAGGGACCCTTGACCGGAAATTTCTTTTTTTCGAACCATGTACAGGTGCTACTCTGATCATTTATCATCCATCTTTCCCCTCCTCATCTGAGACAAGGTCTCGTTATCTTCCCTCGGATGTAACCCTTCTGGCCTACCACCACCATTCTACTTCTTTCTTCTTCTCCAAACTTTTTCTCAAAACGCAGCAACTGCGTTCTTGGCTAACATCCATTTGCATCCTTCAATCTTTTTTGTTCCCCTTTTGTCTTCAGGGTTATTCCTGGACGCGCAACGCGTAATGGATGCCAACAACCTTACCTCTGACAAAGTCGAGGTTGAACAGCTTCAAGATGTGGTAAAGAATAATCTTGAGGCCTCGGGAGCAGAAACAGGATCTGACCGTGCTCTCGGGTCATTTGTTGATGTTGACGAGAAGAGGGTTTTGCGCAAGGTACTCCTCATCTTCCATATGCTCAACATCAGGCACCAAGCTAAGCCAGATCTTGCTTTGTATAGATGGATATTAGACTCATCCCCATGCTCGCAGCGCTCTATCTCCTTTCATTCCTTGATCGTAAGTGTTCCTTCCCTACCAAGGTTCACATTCTCTTCTACAGTTGTGATTCAACCTGTACCATCTAACTGATTGCGCCTAAGGGGGAAACATTGGCAATGCCAAGATCGAGGGCCTTCAAGAAGATCTCAACATGACGCCGGGCCAGTACAATTGGTGTCTTACAGTCTTCTTTTTCACTTACGCAGCCTTTGAGGTTCCCAGCAATCTGCTCCTCAAAAAGCTACGCCCTAGCCGGTGGTTGCCACTGATAATGGTTTGCTGGGGAGTTGTAATGACGCTCATGGGCCTCGTTCAAAACTTTCGAGGCCTGCTTATAGCTCGTTTATTCTTAGGAGTAACAGAGGCCGGTTTGTTTCCAGGTGTCGCTGTAGGTTTCGTCCTCTCCTCTTCCGTTTTCCTCTCATTGCATACAGCATAAAGTAACATTCCCTTTTCTTCTTTCTGAGCTGACACACGTTCTCATGTAGTATTATCTTACCATGTGGTACTGTCGCCATGAGATCCAGCTTCGCCAGGCTCTCTTCTTCTCTGCTGCTTCCATTGCTGGCGCCTTCAGCGGCCTCCTCGCCTTTGGTATCAGCAAAATGGAAGGCGTTGGCGGTCTTGCCGGATGGCGCTGGATCTTTATTCTTGAAGGAATTGCAACTGTGCTTGTTGCCGCCTCGGCCTTTTTCTTACTACACGATTTCCCCGAGACAGCCAAGTTCCTCACCGAGGAAGAGCGTGCCTTTGTCATCCATCGGCTCAAGTACCAAGGCCAAGTCCAGCTATCGGCCGATGGTACGACGCATCATGGCCAAGTCGCACAGGCTGAAGAGTTTCAGTGGAAGTACGTTCGCCAGGCATTTACGGATTGGCAAATCTGGGTCAACATTTTTGTCTACTGGAGTGTAAGTCCATCCTTCCTAACCCCTCTTTCATGTCAACCCCTTATTCATCCACTGTTGAGCTTTATGGCCGCGTCTTCCCGTACCTTTACGCTGTATCCTTTCACTCTGAGTACATGCTTTATACTGACAGCTTCGATTGCACAATCTAGATCGTCTGTCCCCTCTACGGAATCTCTCTTTTCCTCCCCACTATCATTAAATCCCTCCATTATACCTCGAGCACTGCCCAGTTAATGACTGTGCCCATCTATGTCGTCGCCGCCATTCTCGCTGTCATCAGCGCCTACTACTCTGATAAGGTCGGCAAGCGCAGCCCATTCATCATTGGCTTTTTGTTTATGATGATAATCGGCTATTCTATGTAGGTCTCCGTCTCTCTAATATTCACTATGGCTATTACCAAGCTAATATCATTGATCTAGGTGCATTGGTTCATCCAATCCCAAAGTCGTTTACGGAGGCATCTTTATTGCTGCTTGTGCCATTTACCCTTCATTCCCCGGTGTTATTGCGTGGCTGTCCAACAACTTAAGCGGAAGCTACAAGCGCAGCGCCGGCATGGCAATCCAAATTGGAGTCGGAAACCTTGGAGGAGTAAGTCAACACGCGCGAGATCCTCTGTATGCAATGCTAACTATTTTTCAACTAGGCTATGGCATCTAACTTCTACCGTCAGGTCGACAGCCCTCGATATAAATTGGGGCATGGCTTGGAGCTGGGTTTTATCTCCATGGGAATCATTGCCAGCGTCATCTTAATTGTTAGCTACCACACCATCAACAAGAAGCGCGAAAAGAAGCTTGCCAATGGAGAGGCGGCTCATATTTCACCAGAAGAGCTATCGGAGATGGGAGACAGGGCCGTCACATTCCGTTACATGTTTTAGTCTTTAACCAGAACACGTAGCGACAATTAGGCAGCTTAGACGGATAGAAAGGGATTGCAATAATCTATATCAGCTTTGTATTTTCTACCATGATCACTTCGATGAGTCTATCATGAGGACTAGAACTGTAAATGGCGAGCTACCAAACATGATAATGGCCACACTATTTCAATATCCCTGCAATAAAATAACAAATTAATATAGTGGCCCCTGCAAGTAATTGCCCACCTTTTTGTAAACTGCCTAATACCATGCCCAGAATTAGCTCATCAAAGCCCAGCTGGTGAGCATGGCAAGCAAAGTCATCATGTAAAGGTACGGTGTTGGCTTGGAATCACTGCTGGTTAATGCGACTCTAGGGGGCGATGGCGCCATTGCTGTACTATTGGGCTGTATAGAAGAGGCGATTGGCTTGGAATTTGGGGTGGCAAACCCTGTATGTGACAAAACATTGCTTGATCCGACGTGGTGATGCCCTGTATCAGCTGTAGATGTCGCTGTCGGGCTACTACCAATAACAAATTGAGTGGCGGAGGCATGGTCGACCTCCTTGCTCTGCATGCTCTCCACGATTCCCCTTGACAATGTGGTAGCTGGCGGGACATTCTCCCAGAGCGCTGTGAGCATCGTTTCCGCGCTACTATCATCAGATCGAATGATTTTGACCATGATAGAACCTAATGGCTCATTCTGTTGAGTGTCACCAGCTACCAATGCATCCTTCGCAATTCCAGCAAGGAATGGCAGATTAGATCTTGGTGGATGTACTGTAGTCTGTTTTCCATCAGATTTGCATGAGGTGGTTGGTGATCCGCCCCCTCTTGCTGAACCCGTTGTGCACGAAGTCTTGTTGCTTGTGGCAGTTGGCCAGAGTGTTACCTCAGAAGGCTCAGTCGTCTTGCCAGTAGGTTTTCCATCTGCAGTCTGCGCAGCTAGAGAGTCTGTTTGGCTAGCTGGTACTGGCACTGGTGCCGATGGTTCCTGACTATCGTGCCCGTATGATGATGTCGCGTCTACTTTTGTACCGTGAGTTTCCTGTGGAAGTGGCCCTGCATTTGGCTCAGGCGGGCTAAGTTCAGAATCGGAACTTTCGCCATCAGGGGCCTGCTCGCTCAATCCCGAAGGTGCATATTCCAGAGGAATATCACCCGAATTATCGGCACTTTGGTATGACGGAGGTGAAGGCATAGGTAGGGGTAAAGGCATAGGATGAATAGTGGTTAGAGGCTCTGGTACCGTCAAACTGGTGGATGCAGGGGAAGAAGAGGAACTAGGCAGAGGCGATGCCTGAGCATCAGGCGTAGGTTCCGCAGTCTGAGGTATCTGAGATCCCGGGATTGGATCGACTGAAATAGCTGCGCCGTTTGTGGTCGAGAAAGGGCTTGATGCGGGAGCCGGCGTTGGAGGTGCAGGCACAGGCGCAGGCGAAGGCATGCCTTCAACGTTGGAGGTTACCGAGACTTCAGGCTTGTCACCCTCGTCTGGTGGATCAGAAGCCTCTTGGGTAGGGCTGGGCGATGAGCCAATCCGGCTGGGATCTTCAGTATCTTCAGGATCCAAGCCTCCAGTAGTATCAGAAGCGGTGGAGCATGGGGTTTCAGACGGCAGAGATACTGGGTCATGTCCATTTGGAGGCATTGGCGAAGGCGCCGAGGTCTCTGCAGGACCGCCATGTTGCCCAAGTTCTGTCGATTGTGGAGGAGCCTGCTCATCGCCAGGGCCTTGAACGTTTGATGGTGCCGAGTCAGGCGGGCATGAAGTTGTAGCACTTGGGTCAGCAGGATCCGGCGTGGTCAGAGTCTCTTCAGCTGGAGAGGACGAAACGGTGGGTTTTCCATTGCCATTGCCACCTCCATTGCCATTGCTGCCATTGTCACTGCCATTCTCGCTCTCGCCTTCACCAATTTCAGGATCAGGGGTAGGGGGCGATGGCGGAACAGAAGGCGGAGATGGAGCAGGAGGAGATGGAGCAGGAGGAGATGGGGAAGACGGGGGAAGAGACACGGTGACGAGACCATCAGGCCCAGAATTGCATTTCAGATCGAGGGAAATGTCAAAGGAGAGAGTCACATGCTCAGTGTTTTGCTGAGAAGCGTCACTGGGCGTGTCGTACGTAGCAGGTAGAGACGGGGTTATAAGATATGGAGGCTTCTCCAGGTTAACGTGCTGGACTTCGACGGGATGCAATGGCCCAATGCTCAAGCCCAGATCGGAGCATGCCAGGACAACGTGGGCTACGGCCGGAGCGTAGGTATCTTGAGGGCATGAGCTGATGAGGCATTGAAAGAGAGACTGCGACGGACAAATGTCAGTTGGTCACGAGGCAAATGCGTAAGCAACTGGGCATTGAAACTGGGCAAACTGACATTGGTCATGAGCTTGTCTGCACAGATGACCTTGAGATCGAGAGATCCATTCGCGTTTCTGATGCTTGAAGCACAGTCGACGGCGCACTCTGCCCACCATCTCGAGTCAGTAAAGCGAACGTGTCAGAAAAAATCGAAGCGCTACAAGCATGAAGCATCACTGACGAGGTGCTCCATCATCAGCCGCTGCGATGCCAACAGAGAGGCAAGCGGCCGAGACAACGGCAACTGAGGAAGCTCGCATGTTGACAGATGAACAAATCAAGACGGCAAGCTGCGTGGAGGAGAAGAAAAATGGTTTGTCGTAATTAACGATAGTCACCAAAAATGGGGGATCCAAAAAAAGGGCTTGAGAATGCGTTCCAAAAAAGAGTGGTGGCGATGCTTTGGTAGCGAACGATGGGAGATGATGGAAAGAAGAAGAGAAGAGAAGAGAAGAGGGAGGGGAGCAAAGAAAAAGAAAAACAAGACAAGCAAATCGCTTGCTGGGAGACGAGCAACGATTGAAGGAAAGAGCATCGCTTGTTGGTGTTTTGATGACGCAACGGGGAGGAACCCGGGGAAGGGGCAGAGATGGCGGAGCAAGTTGATATCGCCTGCTTTTTTTTCTTTTTACTGCAATCACAGCCTAGATGAATGAGCGACAGAAATGATTGACGCCTCAACAAGGAATCCAATTGGCGAATGCAAATCCATTTGTCTAGATCTCTAAGTAAACTCCATTTACACCTGAGTCCAAAAGAAAGAAAGAAACATTAGATAGAAAATAGGGCGTGGTGCAGATAAAACCGAGCCGCGCTGATGCTGTCAGCTCGTCGCATTTAGTAGAACATCAAGTCAAGGGGCTTCTTCTCGTCGCCGTATCGGTCCTTGAACTCCTTCCTCGCAAGAAACCGTGCAAGCGGCATCATCGTGTCTTTCATGTCCATGACGCCTCGCTTCTTCTGGTCAATGTGCGAGGCATCGACGACCAAGCGCTGCAGCTTATCTAGCGACAATGAACCTGCCCCCGAATTGATGTCAATAAAATATTCTTGCACAGGCCAAGTTCTTTTTCACAAGCATTGTGTGCGAACAAGGAAATGGGTTTGGACGGATGGAAATCTCACCATTGTCAATAAGCTCCATGAGACGCGCCGGTGTGCCGACACCAACCCCAATCTTTTTGTTTTTAAGCAGCGTGACTTGTTCTTCGACTTTCATGTGCTTTGCAAACTGAATGAGTAGAAAAAAGGGGGGTTCAGTAAAAAAGTATGAAGAAAGGAGAAGATATCAAGAGAGGTTGCAAAAAACTCACCAGTTTCGCAACCAAGCTATCCTTGCCTGAGAATTTTCGTAGAGCTCTAAATCATTCATGTGAGTAAAAGGAAACATTTCATTGATCAAAACAAATAGAGAGAGAATCTTTTTGACAAGGATTTCTTCCCCCTTACCTGGTAAGATCCGCGGCTCTCAATCCCGCGCCAGCAACAACGATTGTGTGAGGCATGCCATTCTTCTTCTGCGCCCTGCTCAAGCTCTCGGGGTGCTCTGAAAACTCTTCCAGGAAACTTGGCAAATTGTCCAATGATCTAGTTTGCTGCCATGAGGTGGTGTCCTTGATAGCAGCGGCTACAGCCCAGCTCGGTTAGCACTCAGAGAATAAGATATGAATGAGAAACCTCTCATTTGTTTTCTTTTTAGGGGAGTATATGATAGATGGATAAGAAATACCTGACAAAGCCAAGTCTGATAACTCGACAGGGCTCAAATCAGTGCCGAATCTCGCCAGCTTTTGCACGTGGTAATCGGCCAGCAACTGGCTATCCATCTTAGCGAAGAGCATGTTGAGGCCAAGCTCAGCGTCGAGGTTTTCATCCTCAACGGCATGTTTGGATTTTCTCTTCTTGGTCTTTTTGGCTGGGGCCGGATCTTCTGCGGCTCTTTTCTTTGAATTCGACATTTTCGCTTTCTCCTCTGACATTTGTGGTAACAACGGAGCCGATGGAGCGCTGCTGCTCGTGATGTATCTTGTCCGAAACTTATAGTGGAACTTGACCAAGGTGAGAATTTTTGCAGGGCGGTTTGTACAGTGTTTTAGATGTGGCTAACACGGTAAAACTGCTGGCGGGGCCGCAATAAAACTACAGTGTACGTACTGTGCAGCGCCATCTCAAGTATCCGGGCGCCCATTACATTCAGCTGGTATGCCATTTTTTTGTAAATCAAATGGCATATCGTACAACTTTTTTATAAGTATTGAAAGCTACTAACTGCCTCACAAACAAGGCAAAGACAATACCTCCTTTCGTGATGAAACTGGGACAATTTGACACGCAAAGCATCCCAACAGGCGGTTCAAATTTACGCATGCTCTGTTTATAAAAATTCCATTCAGTCTTCTGAAATTATATAAACTAGCTAAAGAGAAGCCATATTGACACTCTCTATCACTAGGAATAGGCGAAGAATAATTTTGCCCATCTTCAAATACAGCGTAAAACCTCAACCCCAACCCGAACGCCATACATTACCAGTTGGATAAATTGAAAAGAAGCAGATGAAAAATGGCAAATAGCAAGATGGAAAAATCAAGGACCAATCACAATCTCTTGTGTCCCCCAAGTATAATCACATGCCTCTCCCTCAGAAGATGCTGTTGACGATGTTGCTACCGATCGAAGCACCTGCACCGAAGATGGCAGCATTACCAAGCTTCTTTCCAAACTTCTTTCCGTACTCCCCGGCCTTGCTGCCGCCGCCTTCTTGCTGAGAAGGCTGGCCGCCCTCAGCTATAGCCATAGGCGGGACGCTGGCATTGTACGGGTTCTGCTGCACGGGTGGTCCTGAGGGAGCCGGGTAGCCGTAGACGGGCTGCTGAGGATAGGCTACAGGAGCGGGAGCGGGAGCCTTCTGCTCTTGTTCCACAAACACGTAGTTCTGGGGGAAGATACCCTCCATGCCGGTGCGGTGGTTGCGACCCATCCACCAGTCCTGGTTCATGTACTCGTACACGTCGATCTTGTCGTCCTTCTCCAGGCTCAGGTCGCGAGCGTCGCTGGCATCGTAGCGGTACAGGGCTCTGGCATGGGCCAGAACGGGTTTGCCTGGCGAGCGGGTGGGGACACCAGGCGCGGGAGTGTCGTCGTATGATGGAGGCGCCGGGGAGGTGCCCTTGACGTTGAGGTTCTGGAAAGCTTGAACTGGAGGCGTCACAACAGCTGCAGCCGGGGCCGGTGTCGGGTTGGCAGAATGGCCAGCACTTCCAGAAGCAGCGCCTCGAAGAGGAGTTTCGGCAGGGAGAGCGGAGTGGATGGTGTCGAAGGCGGTTTCGTTGATGACACCTTTCTCGAGAAGGCTTTCGAGCTCCTGTCTCTTGGGTTAGCTAGCCAGCACTTTCCGACAAAGAAAAGAAGAGAAGAGAAGTATTTCATCGCTGTGGGCATGCTGACATTCTTGATGTTTCGAAGAGACCGATTGGTCTCCATGATGGTTTGGCGATCCATTATCTTGGTTGGCGGGAGGACGCTTTGTTAACGAGGATCGCAGAGTTGCAGATTCGAACAGCCGCTCCAACGTAATATTGGAAAGAGAAAAAGGCCGGTAGCACCTGTTTGTATATCAGAGTTCTACGAGAAACGAAAGCGTGGGTGTCAAAGATGACAAGAAATCCCGGAGCATCAAATAGTGGCCTGAGGACATGCAGATGCGAGATCTAGAATTCGTCGGGGAGCTGGAACGGTGCTGTTCTGGAAATGGCCGAGAGTCTTGGGGGAGTTTAGTGGGCTGTGCTGGTTCTTGGCCCCGCTACATTGCGTACATTGCGCGGGTTCCAGAAGGTGAGCCAATGTCCGGATATGGATTTCGGAGTCTGGTGGTTGGCCGAAATGACGAGCCTATAATACTGTAACAGCTTGGCCACAAAGAGAGATTCAAACATTTGAGCAAGCCGCACGGATTATAGTGTTGATAGTTGTGTATTACCGAAATTCCGAAAGAGACTGACTGATTCTGTGTATTCATATTCAATTCATGCTCCAAGTCGGGCTCAATGGGAGGGCACCACATGTCGCCCCGGTACTTGCAGCGTTCCAGTACTCGAGCTCCAGTAAAACCCGTGCTACGGATTGCGCGTCTAGCCGCTGTGGCTGGCTCCTGGTTGTCTTCCAGAGGTTCGTTATAGGTCATTATAGCTTGTTCTTGGCGAGATCGCACCTAAAGTCGCCACTGTCCGGAGGCAGCCCAGTGCCACATATTTTCAGCTCAGGTATCGATACACTCTGGTACAGACGCTGCTCTGGAATCTTCATGTGCTTCCTGTACAGAGGATAAGATGGCAGCCAAGCCATGGCTCACAGTGTATCTGAGCACGTAATACTGGTGATGGTTCTCCGTATTTCAGAATACCTTTATAAGAACAGTAGGAAATATCAGCGCTGGTATATGGTACGCATGATTTGGTTTGATTTTTTTTTTTTATGTGTGTTTTATTTTGGTATCATTATTATTTTGCTAGTCTTTTATTTTTTATCTATTTGGCCCTCAAAAGCCAATTCATCAATGTTTTCATTTGTATATACCCATTTTTGGCGCCACTCCCCAGGTTTAAACAACAAACTTGCTCTCCTTGACAGCATACTTGTCAACGTACTCATCCACAGTCATGGCCTCGAGCCTCTTGCTGTCCAAGCTCAGCTCGACAAGCTCGTTGACAGTGTTCTCGGGGAAGTGAGGGCCGAGGTGGCGCTTGTACTTGGCCAGGATGACGGGCTTGGCCTCCTCACGACGGAGACGGTGGCCCAGAGGAGCCTCGACGGCGACCTCGTCGAGGACGGTGCCGTCGTTGAGCTCGACGGTCAGGGCGTTGGAGATGGTTCGGAGAGCAGGGTCGTGGTAATCCTGAGTGTACTGAGGATCCTCGACACACTTGATCTTCTTGCGCAGAGACTCAACCAGCTCGGAGGTGGCGGCCTCAGAGCCATCAACGTAGTCGGTGGCCTCAAGGCGGCCGAAGACGAGCATGACGGAGCACATGTACTGGATGCAGTGGTCACGGTCGGCGAAGTTGTCCATGGGCTTGAACTGCTTGTCAATGATGCGGATGCAGGCCTCGTGGGTTCGGCAGGTGATGGCCTTGATGTCAGCGGCAGTCTTGCCCATGGCCTTGAGCTGGTGGTGGATCTTCTCAGAAGCCTCGACGGCGGTCTGGGAGTGGAACTCGGCTAAGGCGTGTGTTAGTCGTCTGGATAATGATTCTCTTCATGATACGACGCGGGGAAGCTTAAACTCACCAGGGTAGGAGACCTTGAACAGGACGTTCTCCATCACGTAGCTGCCGTAGGGGCGCTGGAACTCAAACTTCTTGCCCTTGAACAGGACATCGTAGAAACCCCAGGTGGGGGCAGACAGGACGGTGGGAATGCCACTCTCGCCCTTCATGACCTTGAGGGCCAGGTTGACGGCGCGCTGGCAGGCATCACCGGCAGCCCAGGACTTGCGGGACATGGTGTTGGGGCTGTGGCGGTAGGTTCGCAGGCTCTGGCCATCAACCCAAGCCTGGGTGACGGCGTCGGCGATCTGCTTCTCGCTGAGGCCGAGCATCTTGGAGACGACGGCGGTGGAGGCAACCTTGACCAGCACGACGTGGTCGAGGCCGACCTTGTTGTACGAGTTGAGCAGAGCCAGGCAGCCCTGGATCTCGTGGGCCTTGATCATGCCCTCGAGCACATCTCGGATGGTGAAGATCTTGCCGCCAGCCAGGTTACCGCCGGCCTTGTTGGTGCGGTTGATCCAGTCAGCAACGGCCAGGATGGCGCCCAGGTTGTCCGAGGGGTGGCCCCATTCAGCGGCCAGCCAGCAGTCGTTGAAGTCGAGCCATCGGATCATGGCACCAATGTTGAAGGCTCCGTTGATGGGGTCCAGCACAAAGGGGGTTCCGGGAACCTTGGTGCCGTTGGGCACGACAGTGCCAGGAACGGTAGGGCCGAGCAGCTTGGCGCACTCCTTGAAGCGGAGGCCCTCAAGACCGCAGCCCAGAGTGTCTAGGAGAATCCATCGAGCGGTGTCGAACTAGGCAGCGGCAGACAGTCAGTAAGTGATTCTCGCTCGAGCTCTGGTGAATTGGATTGGATTGGATTTGGATTTGAATTCATCCTCTTTGCTCCTCTTCTCTGCGTGGTGGTGATGGTGGGGTTTTCGTGTGATTTTTGTGTTTTGGGAAATGAGGGGCACGCCGGCATCAGCAGCCACGGCACAAAACTCACAGCTAGTTCGGAGTCAATTGTCTTGTTGGCGACATAGTCGGCAATGTCCTTGATCTCAGGATCGTACTCGCGCGAAGAGGTAGGCATGACGGGCGCTCCAGACAGTTTGAACGACGAGGTTGAGAAGTTACTGCGCGTGGCAGGAGTGGCAGTGGCAGCAGCAGCAAAGCCGGATGAAGCAAGACGACTGGCGCCGACGGAGGCCGAGCAGAGACCGCGGGACGACTGGACTCGCAGCTTAGACGCTGATCTGATGCTCCGTGAGATGGCGGACATTGTACTATTTCAAACACACACAGAGTAGCTATAGATATAACTCTTCTGCAGCGGTGGAAGAAAGAGGAAATACAAAGAGAGAAGGAAGACGGGGGAGAGACGAATAAAAAGAAAAAAAAAAGCTTCAATGGCCGCTATCCCCCAGAAACTCTCAAAATCTTGGAGAGCCGAGCCAAATCTCTCCTCCCCCCTGCTAAGCTCCGCCGATTTTCTCCTCGTTCAGCCGCCGCATGCCGCCCGCGCCATCCTCGGCTAAACCAGGTGGAGCGAGTCGCTCTCCAGCAAAAGCTGCTAAAGCTGCTCGAGATGATAATAGCGACTGTAAGGAAGAAGCCCCGGCGCCGGAGCCATCGGCCGCTGTTCACCTCGGCCATGGCGCCAGCAGCCTCCGTCAGACGGAGCGCGTGTAGCTCGGATGCGGCTATCACCACCTGCGGAGATCGGCCATCTTGTCCGTTTGTTTCGGCCTGTGACAGGCGTTTGTAATACATGCAGTAGGAGGGACTACTTATTTGCCTGCATGTGGCGATATGCGTATTATTCGGTGTGCTGCAGGAGAGACATTGTACAGAACTTGATGCACATTCCCGCTGACACTCATTTTCTGGAAGAGAATCAAGATGCAACAGAGCTATCAATATAGTCCCACAAAGCATAATTTAGTAAACGAATCTTCAAAATTTCCCTCTTTTTCTATTCTCTATATTTGTATTAGATATTAGATGTATTATTACTTCTTATCCGTTGATGAACACGAATTGAACTTAATCAGCGTCCTTTCTTGCCTTTTTTTCTCAGCATCTCCAACATTTAAATGATGGCAAGTCTCACGCCTATTAGTACCATTATATCTTATATAACCCAGCAACACCAGCTTTTCAATCCATCAAATTCGCCATAGATAATAGACATACTCTCCATGCTTCCAACAATAGTATCCTTTTGCTTATAGGAATTAATGCGCCGTCCATGTTCTACCCTGGAACCACGCCGCAAAAGCCCGTCCATTCAGCAATTACATTGTATAGCAGCGACCGACCCATCCAACTCTACTCTGCTTCATAGGATTAAGTGAAGATTGAGCATTCCGCGCAAGAGAGACAATATTTTCAACAATCGCAATTCTTGTATCAATCAAATCAGACCAAGCGACGCTGATTATCTGTGTATATGTTTGTACTATGTCGGCCTCCGAACAGACCACCGTCAGACATATTGACTACAGAGAGAATCGAAAGAACAACAACTCAGGTTATTCCTATTCTAGGTTTCATCGCCATTGTGCTTACAATGTAGAGAAGATGCAGTTCCATTGTTCATTGCCCAATGCCCAATGCCCAATGCCCACCTCAAGCCCCCAATAGAGTAGTATCTAAATCTCTCATTTTCAAGGACCTCCAGTAGAACTAATCGTAGTTGGTTAGCGTTTTATGAACAGCATCATCAATATTCAGTAAAAAGAGTGGCTTTACCGTCTTTCTCGGCCCTCCCCTTCAAAGACAAATTTTCTCAGGCGAGAAAGAGTCCTCGCTCTTCGGCGAATCTGGAACTACAACGCATCTCCCGCGAATGACGATACTAAACTTCGGGCAGATAGGACATTTCCCGTCTTTCATGTGCTTTTCGAGAACGCCTTCAGGCTTTTTGACGGCCGGATGCGAGCAGACATCATTCGAATCCTCATGAAGGGGGCATCTCTTGAAGATGACACACCTCACCACGTGCGACGGGTTAGGCACACAATCTTCGTAGATTGCTTCGCCAATTGTGTAGTGGCACATGCTGGCGTTGGCAATAGCGGGAATGGGAAGTCGACAGTGAAATATCAAGTTGGGTTTTAGCCAAGGTAATGGATAGTAGACAGGTAAGAGAGAAAATGAATGAAGAAAAAAGGACCATGGACGCTATTGGGATGTCTTTATCTTTTAAATACGCAGATGAAAGAGATATACAAGCTTGACTGATGTTATTAAAGTGTGCAGATATTGTCTGCAGGCAGTACGCTGCTGCGTACTACCTTGAGAAAGAAAGATGCTAATTTCGGTACCTCTTACCCCAGACCGGTGCTCTGTTTTGGCTGACACATACCGTAATAGCAGTAGTTGTACGAGCACAAAGCCGTAGTCGAGTCCGTCTCGAGAGATTCAGAGAGAGCTTACCCCGGTAGCAGTGCCTTATGCTGACTAGCAATCAGATAATGTCTCATAAAAGACTGGTGAGAAGTGCACGTTATCTTAGTACTACTAGCAGTATAAAGCAGCATACTGGAAAATGACGAATCGTTTATTGCAATCTCAGCTTAGAACGAGGATGTCAGTTACCTCCCTTTGATTTTCAGTATCCCAGCCTGGCTGAAAGGAAGCAATCGGACATGGACACGGCAAGTGAATCCGCCCTATCAAGATCACTCCAACAGACGAGTTCTCCACACCATTCCCCTGGTATTGCTTCATGCTTGAGCACAGACAAAGATCGCCGGGGGGGTGTATGTATCCCAGACTTTCAGCAACCCATAACACGCACCACATTTGAGTAGGAAACCGGGGGCATTTACACGAGTATTCTTGCCAGCACACTCCGTAGGTTTTACGATACGGGGCGTATGCTTACATAGTCGCCGATCAGACCAGGCTCTGGCCAAAGAAACCGGGCCTTTGGCCTGTTATTGTCTTGAAAAGATCGAAATTGGCTATTATACGAGTGATAAAATAGCGTCTCGCTGTGGGATTAATTGGATCAAAGAGCTGTAATCTGGGACATCACAAGTTAGCGCTAGTATAATGGGGCACTCTGCTCTCAACTAGCCATCGCTTCGAGAGGCTTGATCGGGCCACCAGGGACAAGCCTGGTTGACTTAACTAGTTGGAAATATTGTCTGACAATTTCGCGGAAGATTCCGTGGACACATGGTTCACTTACGCTCTCCGGAACTATCCATCTACTGCTTATGCTAGGAGGACCTCATATTTTGAGATTCTAGTTTGCCAGTCTACTAGTATCTGTTGTGAAACAGCCCTGCATACGAAATGAAGTCGGAAACAAGGTGTTAGCGGATAAAGCAGGTCTCAGTCGAGTTGCTACGTGAGTGAAAATGAGAGGCGCGTGACAGCCAAGATGGCCAGTGCGGAGAGTGACAACCCGAATGAGAGAGCCTGAAAGTCTCTATAGCGGCGAATATGACTGGGAAAGTTGTAGTTGCTCGTTATGTAGGGAGAAGAAGGTGCAATATCGCATATGCGTCTTTCGGTTTGCTCTGGTGAAAGCAACGTCGGTGGTCAACAGAAAGGCTGTGTGACGTAAAATCAAGACAGGCCCTTTGACGAAGGCAGACAGTGGACTTCTCCACATAAAGAGAAAGAGTGTGTGTGTGAGAGAGATACAGCACCTTTTCTCTGCCTCTTTTTTTTTTTTTTTGATCCCTGTTTTCTTGCCAACCTTTTCCCTTCATATCTCTCCATCTACCTCCCACAACAGCATTGTGGTGCCTTGGGAAATCTGAGGCCCCGAAAAATAATAATAATAACGTATAAGTCCCAGAGGGAGGAGATGAAGGCTCTGATAAATCCTCTCAATACTGGTAGCGCTGTCTTCTGAATCCTCACCATGGCCTCAAGCTGCATTGTGCCCTTGCTTCGTGTATGCTTGTACAGCCACAACTGTCCAAGAGGCATGTTGTCCGCAGAAAGTGGAACCATTTCAGCCAGTACGTGGCATGGCTTGCGGCCTACCGCGGAGATAATGAGCAACTTCAAAAGAAGCTAGACAATTGAGAGCTGGCAGCCATAGCTGGTGTCAAAGTTCATAGGTATGGATCATTTCTTATCCTCAAATTGCGTCAACTGTAAGGTCGTGGCGAAGGATCCTTGCATGATTGCGCTACGTTGAGCAGAAAGAACCAGGACATGCCTTTGGGACAAGTCTCATAACATGAAGCTCGACTGCCGGCGTGCCACCAAGCGCTTGGCCAGCCCCACGATGGCCGGCTCCAGAAGTAAAAAGAAACGCAAAGTTCAAGCTAGCTGCGGCTGAAAAGCTACATGCGAAGAACTCCTTTATCTGTGCGTACGGTAATGTTCAGAGAACAGAAAAGACTCGGGCTTTGCCTGTTATCACGATTCTCCATAAACGGCATATACGCTTGAGGAGCAGTTTCGAGCCAACTATTCGGTAAGCTTGTAGTAGACCGTCGAGTTGGTTCACATGATGAGATCTGCCTCGGTGACTAATGTTGCACTTTGTCTTAAAGCTCGCAGATCTGTGCCCTCCCGTGCGGAGCATAGTCCACGTATGATACTGCGAGAATAATGGGCAGCGAGCAGGGGGGACAGATCAAGTTCGGTGAGGAGGAGGGGCGAGCGCTTGGAACATGATGGAGACTGGGAAGTTGGGCTGCCTTGCCTTGCCAGCTATCCATCCAATGCACGGGAGATGAGCTAATGGTGCAAGTAGCGGCATGAGTACGTACATAGAAGCAGCTGGCATAGCCTCACATCCCCCTGCCAGCCTCATTTGCTAGGGGGGAGGGTGTGAGGATGATTAGCCGAAGCATTTCGGACATTGACTATTTGGATTCTCGGGCGGTCGACTCGGATAGGACGAGAAAACAAAGCTTTCGCCTCTTATGGATTTATTGTGGTTCGGAGACCTGATAGGGAAGTAGTGTTAGCAACAGTAATATTTTACTAAGGAAGCCCGGGGAAAAGCTGCTCTATGATGTGGGGGAAACAGGCTCGCATCTCAATATTCCCTATCGGATCTTTTCCTCACTTACTTTCTTGATCATCTCCCACAAGTTCTTCCCATCTGCGAGGTCTCTAGTATTGAGAGTAAAAGAAGAGAAACCAGAGGAGAAAAGCCAAACCAGCGAGGCACAAAAATCAAAGCATTGACTTTTTCCTGATGGAAAATCTACTGGGAGAGAGAGAAAAGCGCGTTGCCTGTCTGACGTGGTGTTGAGAACAAAGCGAGCAGTATGAAGCAGGACCGACAAAACCGGCCGTAGACTGAGAATAAGCGATCTAATGCTGCAGCTCGAGGAAGGATGCATCGGCGAGGCTCTGGCTAGACTGCAGGCGCGCTGCTGGCTGGCATCAGGTACCGCTACAAGGCGCTGCGGGTGCGCTGCGGGGGAAGGGTGTGTGTCTTTGAGCCCGGCTTGGCACCGCTACCAGGTACCGGTACTCTGTACAAGTACTTTCCTGCACTCGCCTGCCTCGCGCCGGCTTGCCTCTCTTTCCCTGTCCAGCTGCACCTGCCCAGCGGCTCTGGTCTGCGCCTGCGCTAAAACGAGGGCGTGTGCTTGCCTTGGGAGTGCTGAAGTGCAAAATACATGCAAGCATGGAAGTGTCTAGCAATTGCCGAAGCGGTGAAGCTGGAGGGAGAGGCTCTGGGCGTATGATGGACGAGCTACAGCATGCCAAGTACCCCAAGCCTGATTTCCAGCACGCGTTACCCAGACCTTTTTCCATTCATGTTGACTACAGCAAGCAAATAGTGGATGTTTTTAAGCACTAAGGATGGAGTTTCTTTTTCTTTTTCTTTTTCTTCTCCCCCTTTATTGAAAATAATAGCACCACCAACAGTCCATCAGGGTGTTGCGTTAACTCTGATAGTGCTTCAGCTGAAGTACCGCCACCATCTTGCGCTAATTGCGGCAAGTGGGCGCGCCAGCCCGATCTCTCAAGGCGGGTTAGCGGGCGCTCCCGGCTGGACAGCAGGTACAAGCAAAGATTATGGTTCTTACTGCGGAGCGCAGGTACCCTCCGCTTATAGCAGAATGCTATCTATAACTGTTGGCCCTACCACACCACGTTGCAAGGAGCGCGAGATATAATGCTGTACAGCATCTGCCCAGTAACAGATAGGCGCAAAGAAGTAGCTGCTACATGCTAGTATTCCGCTCTCCACCCATCGACATCTGACGACGATCAGTTCTCGTTAGCCTTGGTAGCATTCTAGCTCGCACTACCTCGATATGGAATGCTGCTCCCTTCTGTCCACAAAGCTCGTTCCCGGTTTCCTTTTGCTGCTCCCACAACTGGTAGCTTAGTAGGCCTACACCCAAACCTACACCCTCACTCAAAGTTCGTACATATATTCCGATATTCCGAGGGAATTCCCGCCCATGCAGGAAAGAAACTGCCTAGTATGATCTAGTGAAACAGAAGCAGAAGCAGAAACACGTAAAAAAAAGTTGCTGGGCAAATCACTCTCGGGCGTGTGCGTCGAGACATCCCCCACCCATTTCCCATTTCCCGGGTTCCTAGCCAATTGGCATCTCTCGATCGAGATAACCCTCATGGGGTTTTTGAGATCGGAGCCGGGGGGACCTTCTGTGATTTGCTTGGGATATGAATATTGCTCGGCTACTTACTCACGCCTTTCGCCTTATCCTTTGAGCCGATGTTGCTTGGGCAGCCACACCGCAGCTGTGCCTTTTTTTTTCTGCCTAGTCAAAAAGACCAAAACACAGCTTTGATGCAAGGGAGAAGGCGGAGGAGAAATGTCGTAATAATCAGGCCACGCGGGGGGCAATTCACTTGGTGAAGGAAGCTTGGCCCAGTCAATTTATGATTAGCTCCTCCACTAGAGACACAAAAGCCTACTAGAGGTTTCTCTACCCGGCTACGACTAGCTAACTCTATGTAGGCGTTTTTATCTCCGTTCATCGATGATGCCCAGTGTTAGGTAAGTGGGCATTATCCTGACTGTACATGACAGAAAGTAGTAGGTGTCCTTCATATTATTACATACTCCGTATAAACACGACGAGCTGACCTTAGCCGCATGATGGCTTCGCGTTTCTGGTGTCTCGTCTCAGCTAGCGGCAAATAATTTGACACTTGAGCGCGTCCATGGCAGAGAGGACCAAGAATACCTGAAGTAATTATACTACCACAGGTCAAAAAGAGAGATAGGGAGATAAAGACGAAAAAGCACAGGGAAAGAACAAGAACAAGAAAACAAAAACAAAGACGAAGTGAGTCAAGAGAAAGAGAAACATGCGGCGCTCGAGTCTCTTAAATTGTCTGAGTAGTAGAGTAGAGGTTGGGTATCGTAAGTCTGCCTCTACCTATTACCTACTAGGTACGTAGGTAGGTACGTAAGTATACTGCATCTACTGCCTTAATGTATGTAGAAAGGATGTACTACCTGTTGGGTTTGGGCACATTTCTGGTTACACAGCAGCAACTACCTAGTACCTAGTATATCCATGCTTGTAGCTCGGCAAGATGATCATTGTCACACTCACTTGGCCTGGCTTGATATCAAACAATTGGAACTATATCAATCGCAAAGCCCTCAGAGCATTAACGATTTTGAAGCCCTGTGAATTCTGTGGACCATATGAAAGATACATTGTTGGTCATCTCTGACCCTAGTCCCCTCTTCTTCGGTTCTGACTCCTTGTTCGGAAGCCCTCACTGGTTTCAGCTCAACTGCCTGTCTGCCTGCTTACCCCATCTTATCTATATCCAAGGCTAAGGTAAAAGCATATTTACAAGCAGCTATATCCTTTTGGCTTGATTCCCTTCCTGTTGCATTTCTGGTTAGCTGGCTGCTGATAGATCTTGTAGTTATACCATCGGGAGTTAGCGGTCTCTAGCTGCTGCATCTCTGCCTTCTTCAAATAATTCCACAAGGCGATTGGATTCTATGACCACTCATCTATCATAATCTCCAGAGGCAAGCTATTGGCTTATATTTACTTTTGTCACCGGTCAGGGCATCACGTCTTTCTTCGGCTCTGTCACTCTTGTAATTGATACTGACCTCGTATTTACCACAGATATCATTGACCACACGAATTCGTTACCGAATCTTGTCCTTAGACCTCCCGAGTACTTTCTGTCAAGCTTGACGATATTCGATTATACACGATCCTAACTGCTAGACACACTTAGTCTAGACTACATCGGAACTTGACTGTACCGGGCCATAGCAGATTATATCTGATTGCCTCCAAACCATATTTGACCACGCCTGACTATACCTGATCTTGATTACTTTTGATCCGACCTACTCATCATCTTGGCTGTACCTGGTTGTACCTGACTGTCCTTTTTTCTTGCTTATAAGTAATTTTGATTGCACCCAGAATCACTGTTGTTTGAGCACTCATTGCATCACCGTCGCCATGTCTAGTGGAGCTACCCTAATTTATCTTATGAAGCGGGACCTTAGAGCCACCGACAACCCCATCTTGTACGGATTATCCACCACCGAGCATGGTTTCACCCACCTGCTGTCCGCTTATATCTTTCCATCCGATCATATCGAAGTTTCTGGTCTTGTCAAAGATGGGAACATAAGCCCATACCTACCCACTAGATATGGTCTCTCTCGGCGTTGGAGGTGCAGCCATCTCTGCGCAAAGTTCATCGCAGGGTCTCTGTGGGACCTAAAGAGAAATCTAGAGAATCTAGGCAGCGGATTTATCATCCTTGTTGGCACTTTTGACGCTGTCCTGAACGGCATGATCGGGCACTCCGTCGCCAACCAAGATGGCCCCCAGATTACGGCTGTGTGGATGATCGTGGACTATTCACCTGGTCAACAAAGGGAAGAAGAGACTATTTCTGCCATATGTGGCGCACACGGCATTAAATTCGATTGGCACTATGATGTGAAGTATTGCATGCATGAGTAAGTTTGCCAAACCACCAATAGAAAAATCGTTTGTTTTGTGATGGACGCTTCTGATTCAAGTTCATGGACATAGTCTCCACTTTTTCGAGGTCGAGTCTGGAATCGACTGCTTGCCTGTAAGTGGTAATCATCACGAGCTTCAACCCTATCTGGCTCTCGGGTGTATCACGACTTGGCAAGTCCATCAAGGGCTTCTGGAGCTCGAATGCGGCGCAGACCCTAACTTGGCTCAAACTCGAGCCTTCAGGAGAAGCTGCGGCGCCAGGACAGAAAGCATTCGATACCATATGCTAGTGGCGAACTTTATTCGCCTCAGTTTAACGAAACATGGTAGCGAGTTGTACAAGATTGAGGGCGCTGGGATGGGCAAAACCTCACTCAAGACGTGGAAATCATCCGCCATACAAGAGCTCGACAGGCCGGGTCAAGTAGTCGGCTCTGTAGTCAGCATGATCCAGCTGCTGATGGGCCTCACCGGCTTTAGCCTTGTCGATGCCAGTCAACTGTGTACTCGTGGAGAGGGGGTAGCGAGAGGTTTCTTCGCATGGTACGGCGCAGAGTACGTGTCATTACTGTCCACTGATCATGATCCTTTGTTGCACTTCTACAGGCAAAAGCGTGCGGGAGTTGGCCCCAGCTATGAGGCCCAGGGCTACAAAATCTCTCCTGCCAAAGTTTCCCGGAAGGTCAGCCTCGACGGGATCTTTTTTCGGAGGCGGATACCCGAGCTGCGAAACCTCCCCAGAAAGAAAAACGTTTTTCAAGTGAACGCCACTGCATCCTCGCAGTTACAGCAGTGTAGTCTGGCATCCAGCATCATGGTGACTCATGACGTGCCATGCACTATGGCTGTTGACCCTACAACGGAGACCACCAATGCTAATAGAGCTCAGGTGGAGGATACCGTGGCTTTAGCTCGAAGGGAAGGCGGATCTATTCATATTGCGGACATTCCCAAAGAAAGGGGAGCGGAGCTTGAAGCTTTCGGATCTGGATTTGGAATTGAAGTTCCAAGATTTCTTGAGGCGCCACTTGGGCTTCCAGAACCAACTGAACTGCCTCAGGGACCACCTCCTAGACCTCGGGGCGCATTTTTTCCCTTTCGTTCTGGCCGTGCTGAGGTTAAAGCGCAGGTGGCTTCGACGGCATGGACACCTACGCCACCAGCAGAAGCAACTGTGCTTTGGAACGGCATGATTCTTCAGCAGAGAAATACTTCAGGTCACCACCCAGGAGTAGCGTTGCCATCGCCATCTCATCAACAGACTAGTGACCCTCTCATTCGCCAATATATTAAACGTCTTTACCTACAACGTCCTCCAGCACAGCTTCCACAGCCACTCCCAGCTCAGCCTTCCATTTGTCAGATGGATATTCCGGCCTCCCAGCTGAGCAACAAGAGCTATCATGTGGCAGCATCTCTCCGTCCACAATCTCTGCCTCCTCCTCTGCCAGCCCCTGTGGATGCATATATTCCGCCACTTCAACAGCGGAACCTGAGTGGGAATCAGAATCCAACCCGTATATTACCTTATCGACCAGCAGCGCCATCGCCTCCTTCTCCTTCTCCTCCACCACCACCACCGCCGCCAACTCTATCCTCTGCAATTCCCCACCGGTTCCATGCGCCTCAGGTTTCACTTCCACGAGATGAGCCTCCGAGAGTTTCTTTGGAGGGAAATTTGCCTCCTGTAATTATGATCCCTCTTCGTCGAGGCCCTCGGAGACTTCGCCCAAGAATTGCTGTGATACCTCACCCAGCACTCGCGGGGTTTCTACCCGTTGTTGCTGAACTAGAAATTATACGCTATTATATAACACAGTTGAGACAAACAAGGTTTCGGGAGAGTTCATCCCATACGTTGATTGATCTTCCTTTTCTCGACAGCAGTCGGATGCATATTGTGCCCTGTCCTCGTGGAGTTGTGCCTCTCCGAGGCGACCCTGACTTTGACATCTTCCGCGAACCACCTCCTTCCGCTGCTCCGGAAGATGTTGACTTGGACGCCTTTGATGAGCTTATTGACGAAGTGGAAGATGATGAGGCTGCTTTTCAGGGTACCTGTATTCGGCATGGACGCAGAGACCCGAGACTTTTGCGCCCCTATCGTGGGCCACGTCACCCTTTCCGATTTAACTCTCGGTATCGTTGATTTTTGTTTGCGAATTGGGCCATTTGACTTTAAGTCGATAAAGTTCGCAAATTCGTCTAACTTCACAAGCCTTGGAGCCACTCTTGTCTCTGGATCTTTATAAACCTCTTCGGTCTCCTCTCGGAGTCTTCAATCTTCTCAGATTTCTCAACTTCTTCAGATTCTTCGGCTCCCTTTGATGCGTTCAAAGCCAGTGCTTTCTCGCTCTAACGCATCGCCACAAAATCCCATCCGACTACATAATTCGCTCTCTCATAATTCGCCCGAGACCCTCAACAACTATGCGGACTCCCAAGGTTTCTGGAGCTTCTCCTAGCTTACTAGGCTCTCAGACTACTAGCACTTATAGATCGCCTAGCCTTCCTAGCCGTCCTATATCCTCTAGACCCCTTACTCCTGCTAGCATTTCTGTGACTTCTCTAGCTACCTCAGAGAGACTAAGCACGCCTCAAATTGACGTTGCTGCTACTTCTTCTCTGTATTGGGAGCTAACAATACCGCCTCCATTCCGTGTCCCCCCAATCCGTCGGTCTGATAGACGAAGTTTAGCCCTGAGCGGTGATACATATTCTGAAATCCGCTACGACGGCCCTCTTCGGCTGACAGACGAGATGACGTACTATCTCGCCCTATAACACTACCACCAATGGCGCAACGCGCAAGACATATGTTCTTGGCTTCTTGGTACACGTCCGGCCACCCAAGAGGTAGTGAAATACGGCCTCATGCATAGATTCCTCGACAGCCTGAGTCCACCTCCGCCACGTTGGGTTTGTCCACCTCCTACCGCGACTACTCGTTGCCGTCGCTGTCGCCATAATGGTAAGGGAGAACTACCATCATAACGCCCAGACAATGAAACAGATACACCATCGACTTCATCGGATCGGTCAAACGAAAGCAGTTACCTGGCATACGCTAAAGGTAAAAAACTCATTTAACGATCACCAAGAACGCCTATGCATGGTCAAATGGGCAAAGCAGATGTCAGCTGAGATGAGTCTTGAAGACTGGTACCCGGACAATATTCGAGAGTTGATTATATTCGAGTTCCAGCGAGCTTATTTTCATCAACCCTTTAATAAGTATGCCTGGGTCCTTTTGCGAGACCGAGACCCAAGTGGGTTTAAATACTACGGAGCTCAGACCTTACGCCTTGGCTATGCCCTGACCTGTGTTGCGAAACTCTGCCTATCGGCAGATATAGAAAACCGAACATTCTAGCAGGATGCATCGGAAGACTTAGCCGAGGCCCTTGTTACCTTTTCTAGCACACATAGTGTGGATGATCTAGTCCAACTAACTATAAAGCCTGTTGAAGATCTTTATGATGCTTTAATTGATATTAAAGATCATGTTGAGAAGGCAAAAGAAAAAGCAAAGTCAGACCCAGATGTGAAGGAGAAGAAGAAGCGTGTGAAAGCTGGGGTAAAAAGCCGGAAGAAGGAAGATAAGTATAAGAGTGAAGAGCTTGTTTATGACTCGGACAGCGATTCCGATGAGGTTGTTAATGCAGTAAATGAAGACTGGTACCCTGACAACATACGAGAGCTTGTTATATTTGAGTTCCAGCAAGCCTACTTTCACTAGCCCTTCAACAGGTATGCTTGGATTCTTTTAAGAGACCGAGACCCAAGTGGGTTCCAATACTACGGCGCTCAGACCCTTCCGCTTGGCTATGCTCTCACCTGCGTCGCGAAGCTCTTGTTAGCGGGTTGAAAAATCTTCACGCATGGGTGTATTATAGTTACATTTAGCTAAAGAATTATAAATTTTTAAATTACTAACCGGATTTTGCTTTGGTCTACTGCCTCTACTGCCTCTACTGCCTCTACTGCCTCTGCTGTAATGTTCTATTGTATAGACTACTTTACAAGATGGTGGATACAATTTTAGCAGGAGATTTAGCCCTTTATATAGAAGAATTAAGCCTCTTACTGATACCTCTGTATTATTTCTCTTTCTTAAATTGGGCTGTGGTTAAATCATCCCAGACTCTACTATAAGCATTCTGGCGATTTAGGAGAATGAGGACGCGCTTAGAATGAAGTCAACCGAGCCGTATGTTGAATCAGATATGCCGCTCCTGAATGTTGATTGTTTTTAAGAAGCTTTCTTCTCTTGTCCAATCATACATCCATTCGATATTACCTGTACCCATGGTGATATAAACGCTGTAATAAATAACGTGGGGAAGCACCTCTTTCTCTATAACCGCCTGCTACTCCTGCTACCTACAAAGTACACAACCAGCCAAAATGACCCAGAGAACTCTCATAGCTCTGATAAATTTGCCTCCCTTCCAAAACAGTATTCCATATGTTCTTCAAACGATATGATCGAGATGGTATCATCAAAACAGCTTTTCCCCCATCTTGTATGCGACGGCATGGAAACTGGCTGGATCCGCAGCCTGGTCCTTTCTGCCGCTATCTTTTACAAGGCCCTTGTCCCACGGAAAGCTAAAACAAACAAAAAAATAATAATTAGATAAATAATTAAGCGAGAGAGCAGCTGAACGCAGGCTTGTCACGGCGACTTTTTTTCCCCTCCCTTTTCTATCGCATCAAGGTACATAATATGATATATCACATACCTAGGTATACAAGCTGAGTGAGCTCTAGTAGTACTACTCTGGGGGAGCTTTAGAAACACGCCCCCTCCTCTACGTCAAGACTTGGGCGTCTTTCGGCTGCAGAGACACTGGCAAAGTACCGATACTTCCATCGGATACGACATGGCCGAGGCAAGCATTTTAGACAAGCCATGGATGGGGTGTGAGAGCTTGTCTATGTCGTGTCTCATGCCGGCGTATCCATCATGGCTGCACAAGCATGATTATGCTTGCTTTTTGCTGGCAGCTTCGCGGTGCGGCCAACTGCAAGAGTGAGCACCTGCACCTGGTATTGTCCAATGACAACTGATGCTGTACCTCCCAAGCCATGGAATGGAATAATGCCGTATTATTGTATGTATAATAGTACTACCAGGTAGTAGGCCTTGCGCGCCTTACTAGAACATTGGGAGAGTGCATCTCTGTACACACCAAGATTCAGTACCTGGGATATCCCTGTATTTGCGACCCCCCTCCTCCAAGCTCCTTCAGGTCGAATGCAAGGGAGCAGTATTTCTACGCCGACGTCGTGCTTCGTGAGCCTTCATTCGCGAGCTTTCATTTTTTATACCGCTAGACGCATGAATGAAGCAGCACATATGCCTGCTAGCACTTGTATGGATCCCCCCTCCACGACAGCAAAGAGCGGTAGGGCGCTGGCAAGCAGTAGCTTCGGCAGTAGTAGTGCTTGTATGGTATACTAAGTGGCAATGTAGGGCTCGGGTAGAGAGAGAAGCTGGCAAGCACACGCAGCTTATGTCTCTGGGACCGGCGGGCACCTCCTCTGATTGCCAGCTGCTTTTTCAACATCTTGTTTCTTCTTCCCCCCTCACTTCTCTCCATCCGTTAATAACTATTTAATGCGTCATCATTCCCCAGAACCTGTTGCTTGCAATTTACTTCCATAAAAAAAAAGGGCACCATTCTTTCGGCTTATATCCTTCTCCTCCAAGTCTCTTCTCTCTCTCTCTTTCTCTCTCTCCCTATTCTGCGTAGATATTTGGGCAATTTCTCTCTATATCGTCTTCCTTCTTTAGGTGAATTCTCCTTTATTTCTATACCATGCATACTCTTTGGCAAACTCCTCCCTAATAAAAATTCATAGCCAGTGGGTCAACATGCCTAGCAACATGTCAGATGCGCCGGCTCTGCGTGGCGCCAATGGCATTACCCAAGCTCATAGAGATGGAGATCGAGAAATGCAGGAAACCCCTCGTGCGATACAGCCCAGCATTAGCAGCAGGCAGAACAAAGACAACTACACTCCGACTCTTCAGACTTTGAAAGATTTCCTTGCAACATGTCACACCCTAAATCAAGCCACTAAAGCTTTTCTCGACACTCCTCCCCGACGGCAAGATACGCTGCCTTCACTTCAGGGCAAAGTATACCCGCAAAAGATTGTCAAATCCACAAATTTCATGGAGAAGCAAATGGAAGTCTGGCAGCTATTGCTGAGAGACGCAACATCTAGCCTGCAACAGACTATTTTCCCGTCCGCGGAACAAGTCCACGATAAATTCTTCGTCGTGGAGACTGTTGCCGGTGAAAAGAGGCTTTGCCCCTTTGATCGACTTGGTGTTTCGGCTACTGTCCTGACTCTCGTTCGCCAGGTGTTGGGTGACCAAGCACTTAGGGAGACTGTCGGCATAGGAGGAAAGGTTGGCTATACTTCAGCGGGAAGATGCTCTTTCTTGGGAGTTCCCACTGAACCACAGTATCATGACGATCCCTATGAGGACGAAAGATACCGTGGCCTCAGCATTTTCTCTAATATCAACAATGGCCGCCCTCTTTCTGTTGTGGCAATTGAATACAGGCCAAAAGATTTCTCTCTGGATTCAAGCATGCTTGCAGCCTTGGAGGATGGGGTTGTCCCGACATGGGGTAATAACGGCGATAGTTCTTCGCCGGCCGGAGTCATCACAACCATGATTGCTCATTTGTTCAACTACATGGTCGAATCGGGAGTGAACTACGGCTACCTTTACTCCATAGAAGGAATTATTTTCTTGGAAATCCAAAAAGACCCGTCCATCGTTCACTACTTTGTCAGCCTCCCCAGAGACGAGGTGGATAACCACATCGAATCAACGATGCCTTATTCGGCCGTTTCGCAAATTTGTGCCTTTGTCATTCGGGCTGTGCGTGCAAAATCAAGCTGTATGAAGCGAAATGATCAAGCCGATGGGCTTGCTGCTTGGAAGAACGAAATCGTAGGTCGAGAGAACAACATTGACAAGATAGCCATGCAGCTTCAGCAGTGGGGAAATCCAAACGTCTCATCCGTCGCAGGCCACGAGAATCAGGAGAAGATGGATACCGATGCTGACACCAACGAAGATGAAATTGATAACGAGTCATACGACAAGTTCGACGTTGAGATTAGCGAAGAGACCTCTATGAATATTGAAATCAAGATGGACTCTGATCTTATGGAAGAGGACCTACCAGCTGCTGGCGCTGCCCCATTGGATCAACAACAAGATCAAATGGAAGGTCTAACGTCACAGCACGAACATTCTATTCAAAATGACGAAGAGGAAGAAGACAAAGAAAACCAAAACGAGAACGGCCAAGATATTACGCCGGTCAACGATGACTATGATGATGAGATGCATGAAGGCAAAGATGTTGTTGACAATGTTGACCTTGAAAACAACAAAAACGACGACCAAATCTTATGCATCACAAAAGATCGTGTCAAATCTATTGATTCTAAAAAGCGCGAAGATACATACTGCACGCACAAATGCCTCTTGGGAGTAGCGAACGGTACGCCTTTGGACCAGGCATGCCCCAATTTCCGTTTTCACGGAACCAAGCACATCAGCAAGGACGAGTTTTTGGAGCGACTCAAAGATCAGCTTTCCCGAGCAGGAGAGGCAAATGCTCACTGCTCCCCCTTGGAACTATGGGGCTCTATCGGGACTTTGTTCAAGGTGACGCTTGTTGGCTATGGCTATACGTTTGTGACCAAAGCCACCCTGCGAGCGAACTGGGTTTATCTGCACCGCGAAGGCGAAATGTACGGCATGCTAAAGGATATCCAAGGTTCTTGCATACCGGTCTGTCTCGGAATCGTAAGAGTAGATCCGGAATTTTGGCATGAACACAGGCTCCTCAGCCAGTTCATGGTGCTTAGCTGGGCTGGGCTGCCAGTATATGAGAACTTCGACGAGGGGGAGAAGAGTTTGTTTGGTAACTCCGTCTTCAGAGCTTATAGTGAACTGCACAGGGCTGGGCTGCAGCACCGGGATGCGGATCTATCAAACATGCTGTACAATCCCCAGCTGGGCCGAATCATGATTGTGGATTTTCACGGGGCCCGCTTCCACCCTGATAGCTTAGCCGGTTTTGATGCGGACGGTAATGATATGGCTAAACAATCAGAAGATGATGGCGAAGATGATGACGAGGGAGTTCCGTATCAGGCTGATGGCAGCGTCAGCAAAAATGGCGCCAGCGGCGATGGCAGCAGTAACGCTAACGCGAGCGAAACCCTCCAACAAAGCGTCGACAAGGCTGAGTGCTTGCGCAAGGAGTTTGAAGAGGAGTGCAGGCGAGAACTCATACACGCAGTCAATCTCATGGACTACCTCGTTTGGGGCCTTCATGGTCGAAGAAGTTGACTAGGTGGCATTACATATGGCTTTTTCATGGAAACGGGATACCCAGAGTATGGAAATTCGTGCTTTGAGACGCGATCAATCTAGCAAAATAAAGGGTGGCTTTAAAAGAAAAATAAGAAAACGAAGAAAAAGAAAAAATTGAACAAAAGAAAATCTTGTGATAAAAATTTCAAAAAAGAAAAAAAAAAGAAGGAAAAAAGATTTAGGGAAACAAACCTTAGAGTTTGGGGGAAGATGGGAAGCATTATGGGACACACATTACGGGACGAAATTGGAACAATTTGGCGAAAACACGGACAAATGGTTTCTTTTGTCTTTTTGTCTTTTTCCTTTCTATTAAGTTGTATTTATATAACCACTTTTCACATTTGGGTTGGCCAATAAGCCTTGGGTATTGCTAGCAAACAATGCAGGAAAGCCATCATCGGCTCTTACCATTTAATCTTCTTCTTCTTTTGTTGATAGTGGTGGGCGTGAGGCAGGCTGTCTCGTGACTCTGCCAGGAGATACCAATATTCCACACTGTATTTCGGTATTTCGTAGACGCTTTCAAATATCACTGCCTCCACATGTTTTACTTCCCCTTTTCCCAGCTCGCCTTTCTTAATTTCACTTTTACGCAGTAGCATTCGTCTCCACACGTCCATTTTCTCTCTCAGCCGAGTGTCTCTCGTGGTTCTTAAAGACTGCCAGTATGCCCAGGTCGTACCCAACCTTGAGACAACCGGCCGTTACGAAAGCGACCCAGAACAAGCCATGATCTGCCAGTGTACCCGTCAGGAAGGGACCCAAGCTGGCGCCGACCGTCTTGCACACATTGATGACCCCCATGATTGCCGTCCGTTCGCTTGGCTTGATGACGGCAGCTAGGAAGGCCGCCCGGGGAGCGACATCCATGCTTGCGGTGGAGGAACGAAGCCACAGGAAAAGGAGGGAGAGGCGTACGTCGGGGAAGGCGGGAATGAGACTGAGGAATACAGACGAAGGAAGGTGGGTGAAGACCATGGTCTTGATTGGACGCATTAGCAGTTAGTCGGTGCAAGTATGCATATTACAGCATAGAAGATGCGGGTGCATTCGTACCTTGATATTGCCAAATCGTTTGGCCAGGGAAGAGGCGACCAGCATAGAGCAAGCTGAAGTGATGCTTGTCACGAAAAAGATGGACCCTAAGCTACCCTCCTTGATGCCATAGCGCCAGCGGAAGAAATAAGTCACCCAAGACCTACAAGTACGAGCATAGGTTAGCGCATGGCCATCGTAATGCTTTCAAGCGGTGGGGAATGCCGCACTACGTTTAGGAGAGGGAATACTAACATGCTAATAATACCGGAAGCCAAAGAGTCTATAGCAAAAAAGAAACATAGGCTTGTCATCATGGCATAGCCTTCTCTGCTGATATCGGGGAGAAGGCTCAAAAGCCGACTGCGGCCCGCTCGTTGCTCGGTTGCTCCATTGGCGTTGGCACTGCCTAAAAGTGGCGATGCCTCTGTGCTGCCAGCCTCGCTGGATATAGCCATCTTCTTTGTGGTAGAAGCCTTTGCATCGGCCTCGACAGCAGCGCTCAGAAGCAGAGTAAGCGTCAGCTTGATCAGGCCAACGGCAGCATATCCAAGGAAAGCAAGTCGGTAGGCGTCCACATGCTCCCACTGGAGGCTAGTGGAAACGTATTGAATAACCCATCCGCAAGTTATGAGCCCACAGGCCACTCCAGCCTGGCCAAGCAGGCTGTACCATGCATAGACATCGCTTCTGGAAGCAGACTCCGTTAGATGCGCAACCACGCTCTCTTCTATAGCCCGGAAGGGACCAATCTCATTGCCACTATGAAACACGCGTCTGGTTAATTTCAAATACTATTTTCGAATCAGGGAAAAAAGTTGGCTTCGGGGTTCACATGTATACACATGTACACACCTCGGACTGATAACGCCAAATATGGCTGCTGCAAGTAATATCCAATAGTTTTGGCAGAGCGCAAAGGTGACGCCGCTGCCCACCACCATCAAAGCGCCCATGGACAGAATGGCCTTTCTCCCCAGCCCATCTGCGACGATTGTGAGTATGAAGCTGATGCAGACATCGCCAACCAAGGTCAGGGTCATGAACAGGCCGATGTTGGTCTTGGAGATGCCCAGAGCCTGCAGATACGGCACCAAGACGAGTGTCGACCCTCCATAGGCAAAGAGGCGCACAAAACGCTGCAGGCAGAGCAGTTTGACGTCGAGAGGGCTGTGGAAGAGAGACACGAGGCCGAGCTCAGAGAGGACGCGGACAAGGATGCCAGGCTTGGCGGCGGATTCGAGAGACGAGCTCTCCATGGCGAATCTTCCCCCTCTTTGTCTTCTTCTCTTCTTCTCTATTCTTTTCTTGATTCTCGGCTTCCTCTGATTTTATCTTGTCATCATTCCTCTTCTTTTGCCAAATATGATGTTCTTTCTCTCTTTCCCTTCTCTTTCTTGAGTGAATCGAATCTGCTTGGACGGGCCAGCCTGTTCTACTTATAGTGATTCAACCTGGCAGACCGAATAGCCACCCCACTGAAACGAACGGATGGTACCTCGCCGACTCACCCAGTCGCGGTGCAAATGGAGGTACCTCGGTGATAACGGCCCTGCTCCGAGACCCATCCTCCTGCCAGTCCACAGCCACCAGGACATGACCGGCTTAGTGATCACAAATGGGAGGGTTAGGATGAGGAAATTTTCTGCAAAGAGGACAGAAAATGGAGCACGGATGCCTGGACGGTGATGCGTTTTCGGAATTACCACTTTGCAGGTTGAGAGTCTTGTATTCGGCAGTTGGATCGTAAAGGCACTTTCTGCGCGTATAATCTCGGTTTACGTAACCAAGGTATCGATAAGGTCGGTAGGTTGACATTCGAGAAGAGCGCAGCATTTGCTATCTAGTAGAATAAGTAGTTGTGTAGTAGAATGCGCAGCTGGTTTTCTCTTTGTCTTCGAGTGGCTGATAACCTTCTGGCACCCTAGTGTCCGGTAATGGTAACGGTATGGATGGTGCCAAACAAGTGTCCGCCGCTATAAATCCTAAATCCCCAACCACGACTTTCTATTAATATAGCTGAGTTTGCCAGGAGGACAAGCAGCTACTGAAAAACTGGAGAGTTGCAGTAGATGGGAGACTTTTCATTTTTTAGCAGCAAATAACAGCAACATTGGCAAGGTCGACGCAAATATGACTTTCAGAGTGTATGTAGAATGCTGTAATTAGTCTCACATTGGCGGTGGCAAGTCGCCAGCCGTTGGTTGTTAGTCTTGCATGTATGACGTCTGTCTGTGACGTGACGCCAATGTCCGGCTGCACGAACTTGATTTCAACTTGATTTCGTCCAATATTTATTTCACATTTTCCATCCATTTCTTCATACAAAACACTCTTAACGCATCTGTAAATCATCCTTTATTCTAGGGATTCATTGTCTACTACAGCCTCGTTCATACTAAACTATCTAAGGCGCCACCATGGACTTTGTGAATAAATTGACCGGCTCTGGGAATAACTCGGGAAACAGCGCTGGAGAGAGCCTCTCGGAGCAGCAGAGCGGCGGCGGCGGCGGCGGCGGCGGCTTCATGGGCAAAATGAACGACATGGCCGGTGGAGGTGCTCAAGGAGAAAAGGACGAAGATTTTCTTGATAAAGGTTGGTCTCTTAAGGCTAGTACAATCTCTACCTTTTCCATGTACTAATATGCGACTTTTAGGTGTGGACTTTGTTCAAGAGAATTTTCTGGGTCAAGGCGATCAGAGCAATGAATCAGCGGCTGAACAAGCGAAGGACGAGATGATTTCGGATGCTATTCGTGAAAGGTATAAGGATGCTACAGGGAGCGATTTCCCCATCAAAGATAAAGACAAGAAATACGGAACGTAGAAGGGTGGTGAGCATTCAGACTGTCTTTGTTGGTGCAGGGGATTTGAGTTGAAAAAACAATCCGCAAAAAGGAAGGGGGGTAAAAGACTGTGCCTTTTCGTCCACGACGACAAAAAACCAGGTAGTCCGACTCATATATCTATCTCTAAGGAGAGTAAAGAGAAGAATTCATGTCCGCAGCATCCATGCCATAGAACATGACACTTGAAGTTGCCGTTCAATTTTGAATGAGATCCCCAGAATATAAAGCAGCGATCAAGCCAAATGCCATATTGATACTAGAAGATGTCTTCTCTTTGAACGTCCTCTTCAACACACTTTTTCACCCAGTCCCAGACTACATTGTACCACATTACGATATTCTCTGGTTTGGTGACAACATTTCCTTCGTCTGGGAACGTCAAGAGCCGACTGGGAACACTCTGAGCTTGCAAACAATTGAATGCAGTTAGTGCCTCTGTAATTGAACATTGTTTGTCCTTCTCGCCGTGGATAATAAGCGTCGGCGGTGCATTCTTCCAGCCGTAAAAGAAAGTCGACCTAGCCATGTCATTCTCGTATATCGTCTCCGGCTCCGCGTAAGGGTAAGAAGCGTCGAGTTTGTCAAAGTTGTCAAAGACAGGCTCTTTCGGCAAAAAGGACACAGGAGGGTCGATTGTTCCGCTTTGGTAGACTGCACAGCAAAACTACATTTACAAGTCAGTTTCTGACCTGAAATCAGTGCGATGAATCCCATACTAACCTTCTTAGCAGCTTCGTGGCCTAGTACCTTGTTCACAAGATATGCTGAACTGCTGCTTCCCACAATGGTACCCTTTCCACTGTCTATATATGGAATACCTTCAAGGTAATCAATAAGAGCGAGGAGATCTTGAAAAGGCCCCTCTCCTCTCTTATTTTTGATTCCTGCAAATATGTCAGAAACACAACACGAAGCCAATGTCTTTGAGGGGGTTGATATCGACCGACGTACGCCTCACGAAATCTAGCCCATATCCGCTGCTGCCGGTGATATTTGGCAGTACAACAACGTATCCCTGGGTCGCCCAAGCAGCAAAATTGGACTGTTGTGTATAAATTTTAGCGCAATCTTACTTGTCAACATTTTATACGACTACACCTACCATCGTTGACCACTCGTTGTTCCAGGCCATAGCTGGGCTGCCGTGAGGCACCAGCACCCAAGGGTACTTGTGGTTTTCGTCAAAGTCTTTTGGTAGTATCAACCAGCTATGGATGAAATATCCATTGGCCCCTTCAAACCAAGAATCCATCACCATGCTAGAGGAAAGGTTAAACTTGGCTCCGTTCTTGGTTGCCGAAGATACGGTTCTCACAATGCTAGCATCTGAAACTCGAACAATCTGCCACAGGCTGCTGTCAATGAAGTTAGACGATGTTACCAAGAGATGATCCCAGTCCCCATGCCGCAGAGGGTAAAAAGCAGCACAGCTGCTGCCGGCAAAGAAGACTTTCGGCTCAGCTCCGTCTTCTAGCATGAGATGGGAGAGCGCCTGGTGGCCCAAATGGTGGCTCCTCAAGATCACAGAGTCAGAGCCACCGACAAATTCAAAGGCGTTTGGCGGATTCGGGTCATCATCATCAACACAGGTAACAAGGCTGAAGACGTCAAAAGCATCCAGCGACTCAACAGAGCCCAGGTATAGCCGAGTGTTGTAGGGGTCTTCGTATGCCGTGTAGAGGAAGCCAACGGCCGATTCATCTGGCGAAAATCTGACGTTTGTTATCGAAGCGGGCTCAAAGCTGGTGGGTATAAATATTTGCCTTGGCATCGCCTCCGCAGGTAGGGAGAAGGAATCCAGGTGGGCAAAATAGATGGACGTGGCAGGGCTTCCACCCGGCCCCCGCTCTCTCAGATTTCTGGAAGAGAAGACGATGCCATCGCCACAAATGTCAAACTCGTCGCAGGGGTTGTCGGTATACATGCGAGATGGGGCCTCCAAATCTATATCGTCAATCAAGTTATATAGTTGGCCTTGGAGTGCCCAGCAGCCTTCGTGTAGCACTAGCTCGTTGTACCAAAGACTGCACCTATTCGGTCTCCGAGATGCATTCCACTGCGTAGAGCAGTTAGAGTTGGAACACAAAAAGCAATAATTGAACGGGGTTGCAGTGGTAACTCAACTATAGGAATCTCCGTGTCATACAACTTTGCTGAGGATCCCTTCTGGGCAACTTCCTGATTATATAGCCCAGTATCGCCAACAAGGCCGGTGACTACAAACGCGACATTTCCATTGCTCAATTCCTTGAGCTTTAAATTCGACACAGGCGCGTCGATTTCGGCCGCCAGGTAGTGCTCTACAGACACATCTCCGGCATATGCCACCATGACCTGAGTCCGACCCTTGTCGACAAAGCGGAGGTAGATGACATCGAGCTCTGTGGTGGGAATCCACATGGCGTCGTGGACTCCAGCATCGTTGGAAATCTGCTTGGAGTTTCCCGTCTGGAGGTTGAAAACACGCAGCTCGTGGGTTGTCTTGTCGCCAAGGATATGCGTCGAGACGGTATAGAGAGCATGCGTGCCATCTCTGTTTGGAACCGCCGGGCTGCGCCTCGGGTCGCTCAACAGAGCCTCAGCAGTCAGCTTCTGAACTCGAACCATGGCGGATCAGAAGTGAAAAGGAAGTTAAAAAAAAAATCTCAAGTAAAAGATTCTGTTGGTTTAACCCGCGGCTGCAAATGCGAAAAGAGAGCTGAACTTGGCCAGCCAAGGAGTGCTCATTTCTCAAGACCACGCAGTGTTGCGTGCTTCGGCGAGGATTCTATGTCTACGAGATGATGAAACGCGGCGCTGGCCCAGGCAGCATTTTTTTTCCCGGGTGCATCCAATTCGCCGCTCGAGAGAGGGATTGCAGCAAATAGAATCGAGATGACAGACCCCCGCTCTGGGACGCGTTGGCACATGCGTGGCACGACAGAATGGACAGAGGCTTGTAGGGCACTCATGCATTTCTCCAAATACGGATGTAGGATTGCATGGATTCCGACGGGGAGAGAAGCCTCGGTCAGCTCTATTGGACATCAGCCATTGCCTTTCGCTTCCCTTTGTTTGGTTGTCTTGTGGCCATGATCATCCGACACTCACTATTTACTATGCACCTTGTTGCGGTTAGCCAATGGCCAAACGAACTGCTGCTCTTGCATCTTGGGTTGCTCGCAAGTACAAGAATCCAGAGGGCCACCTACATGAGGGCAGTCGGATGATTTTGGGGCTGAGGATGACTGGCAGTAGGTAGTCTTGAAAACGCAGAACAAGGCCCAAATTAGAGGCCGTGTGACGTTTGCCTCAGAGAATACTTCAAAAACACTGAATCAGAGAAGCGTTGCTTTCTCTTTGCGCGGATTGAATTCTCAAGAAACGATTGGGACGGAAAGCACATGGTACAAATTGGAGATACACAGGTACAAGAGGCACTTGCACACGGATAAGGTACCCTTCGCAAATAAGGCAATACTAGAAAGAAACTCTTGATTTAATATCGTATCTATTATTTTTATAAATGGAGAAGAGGGAGGGGGGAGCCAGTTATATGTATGCATTTTCAGTGCAATATTCTTAAGCATGAAGCCTTTGTAGAACGAGGAGCAGATAAAAGAACCTGAGAGCCGACAGAATAGCCCGTTGCTGCCTGCTGATTCTTTTAGAGTGTGTATTGCCTCAAGAACTAATCTCTGCTTCAACCGCCTGCAGCCCGTCTGCACGTATGCTTCTCTACTGCCGTAAAAACCACGGCTAGTGTTTAAATATAAATCATTTTCAAGCAATACAGTGTTCAATTTATTATGGGGATGCTGATAGGCTTATTAACAAACCCTTGAAGAATCTCAATTCTGACCGAGGCTAGCGTTACCATTCGCAGACTCCTGCCATCATCTTTCCGCCACCACCATTCAAAACAATCGCTTTGCTTCCAAAATTACACCAACGCCACTATCAAGTTAGTGGCCACCCAAATGCTCGCTGCTATGATATACCGAGGCACAGCTGCTACTAGGTACTCGGCCGAAAAAGACTCCCTAGTCTAGCCAATATGCCCTAAATTCAACGGGCGGTACAAACACCTCACTATCATTGGGAATAGACAGCCGGGTGCTAACAAAGACGAAACAGGGACCGTCATGACGTTACGCCCGCTCCGGCTTAGACCTCGACGCCATGGCGAGCTGAGAGTCGATCCCCGAGAAAGCACTTTTGCTTCAAACCTCTCGGCCAATTGCCGCGATCGTTGACAGCCCTAAAAGTTTCCGCACCCCATTTCTAGTCTCCGAACTGCCACTACCGGTAAAGAAGAGATTGTTTAATACAAGTATGCCACTAGGAAGCTGTTTCAGAGGCAGAGGGAATCTAGCGATGTTACGCCACTTCGAGCAGAAAGATACAGTATGCCGCCGGTGGTAAAGCTAGCTGGTCCGGTTTCGCTCACCGCGACCGTCGGCGTAGAGTCGACCGATTGCTCTCTCTCCGTCAATCTCCTCTCCCCCGTGGGGACAGTCCGATTGTACGAGAGCCCTTCTTGGCCAATGCCAATCCCAATCTTGAGATACGACAGGCCTGTTTCAAGTCGGCGATAAAAATATCCATCCGCAGCAATGGTAAAACGACAGCCATCATTACTCATGGCTCCTCGTATACAACGGCCAGATAGACGATTATGAGTGCCACTTCTTTTCTCCCTCCCCCCTCGCTCTCCACGCACTAGCAGCGGGCGAACATGAATCGTGTCAGCCGGCAGCTTAACCCTGTTGCTTTTTTGGAAACGGGGAAGAACAGCACTACTGGTACTAGCCATTAAACGCAATGGGACGATGGCGGGCCGATTTAATAATGGATTGGTCCTTTTGCAAGAAATCCACTGGAGCTTCAGGAGAGAAAGGGAAAAAAAAAAAAGTTTATGCATGCAGGTACCAAGAAAGCTAGTGGTAAATAATGCGTCTACTATTTGACATATTGCTCCGCTTGAGGCTCTGCGGACGGCAGATGGGAGCTGAAGATAACGCTCGTCTATCTGAGCAGCCCTGATCGCGGTAGCAATTCTCCACGAACGGTCCGATTCCAAAAATTGCTAGTAATCAGATGACCAATTAACGTATTGAGAACATCACCATATAAACTAAGTTGTTTACTGAGAGAAGAGGTATTATACTAATATATCTGCTATTAAGAGGATGCGCTTATCAAAAGCCCCTCTGCTATCTCCATAAATCGCTATAATGTAGACAGAAATGAATGTAGAGATGCCAAAAAGAAAAAGAAAAAAAAGCTAACCAGTTGTAATATTACATTTCTCATCAAGGCTGTGCGGGTGCCAGCGCTGCATGCAAATCCCATACATATCCTGCCATATCCCCCCCCCCAATGGACATAAGAAATTCTAAAAGCAATGGAGGAAAAAAAAAATAAACTTTTTCTTCTAGATGGCTCTTCTCGTGCTAACGGCGTCCCTTTCCGTGCTGTTGACCGAGGGGCTGCCGCTTGCGACTGGATCGGGGAATCTGATATCTCGGTCCTTGCCTTCTTCGACTTCCACCACCACAGTTGTAACCAGGTCCATTTGGATTCCAGGCCCTCGTAGGGACTCTTGGCTAGAACCTCGGGGTATTCTCCTTTTTTCTTGGTTCCTGATATTGGAAGAGTGTTCAGCCAGGCGTTGCCATGACCACCATCCACCAGTAGTCTTGGGCTCCATCTTCCTCCTTCTTCTGCCTTCACCACCCTGGACCCAGATCATGTTGCCATAACGGCGAGCCTTGGGCGTTTGCAAAAAGGCAATTGTCCCAACGCCTGTATCGGCGGCGTCTAGATCGTACTTGGAGGCAAAGATGATGGAATGGCGAGTTGTTCCGAATAAGACGCAATCGAAAAAGCCGTTGAGGGAGATGAGTGCTCCCGCAAAACAAAAGTATCCCAGCGGGATGTCGGCTCCAGCCATGGACGCCACACGCTCTGTGGCCAGTGGTAACGTACACATGACGTAGATTACCGGGTAGATTAGAAATGCTGGATTGTGATCTGACTGGTGCCCAAGATCTGTGCTGCCATCTGGGTTGGCGGCACGGCGACGGCGGGCCTGTTTACGAAGCGAGATCCATATGCCAATGTAAAGTCCACTGGTCACGCCAAGAGAAATGAAGATCCATAGATAGTGGGTGAGCAAACGGAGACGTTCGTATTCAGAGTTGATCCAGCACTGAGTGAATATACACACGTTAGCAAATCAAAGATGCACAAAACAATGCTGGTCGTAGAGGAATGTTTATCAAAACATAAGGATACAGTAGAATGTTGGCAACATACCCAGGCACCGGCTCGAACAAATAGTCCGCCATGCTCACGTCCGTTGTTTGTAATAGCGATGGGCAGTGTCGAAATGAAATAGACAAACAGCCACACAAGACCGATAGACAAGTACAGCAATCTCTGTGATGGCCGATATCCCTTGACGACGGAAAAGAATGTGTGTATCGCGATGAGGGTGATGAACAGGCTTGATGACAAGTCCCCGGTCGACACGAAGAAGCCTTGAGCCCAGCACGTTTTCGTGTCCACCAAGATGGCATTTCGATTGATCCACGTCGAGTTGAGGGCAAAGGCAATCGATTGATGTAGATCGGCAATGAGCAGATTATAAATGAGAATAAGAAACTGATTTGGCGCGCCTTTCAGTGGCCGGATAGGCGGGCCTGGATCCTGGGGAAGGTTCGCGTCGCCCTTTACGGAGGCGTCTTGAGATTCCCTTGAAGGTGAGTTAAAAACGCCGTCGATTCCGAGGGTGAAATCTGCGGCATGTTGAGAAGCCGATGCCTCGTGGCCTGCTCGGTGAACGTCCTGTTGAGGCTGGTTTTCTTGTTCACCCTCGCCTCGGTGTGTGTATCGGAATCGGTCTTCATTTTCTTCCCGCACGAATAACTGCCAAGCAACAATCTTGTATGTGAGATATATGAAAAGAGTTGCTGCGGAAACGAATGAGATGCAAGATAGCACTGTGATGGCAGTAAGACCGCTGCGGAGTGATGAGGTCAGAGGGCCGAGCGATTGCCCTTCGATAGGCAGCTCCCCTTCCGGCATGGTAAAGGAATAAATAAATGAATCAAAGTCTGACTCCTTGGATAGTAACTAAGAAAAAAGGAGTCTATGATCTTGCTGTGTTGGTGGAAATCGTCGTCGCATATCGATCACCACAAGGAGTTGATGAAATAAATCGATCAGAAAGCAGCCGGGTTGCGAAATGCAGGATGAATGAAATCAGAGTTTAAAATTGGAAAATAAAGAAAGGGAAGAGAAAGCAACAAATGGTCGATAAAAGAGAACGATGACAGTGAAGAGAAGCAAGAAGAAACAAGTTGCTTCAGATCTTCACAGGGAAGAAAGAGTAAGAGATCTCTCCCTCCCTCTCTCTCTCTTTTCTGCTGGTAAGTAGATACCGAAAAATGAGTTGCAAAGTAACAAGAGTCGGTGGGTACTGGGGATTTAATAAGCCGTAGTAAGGATGGAGAAGGAATATAATGGACAACCACCACATGGAGATCTCCATAAATCCTACATAGCGTCGTGGGCTTTGTTAGGGGGGGGGGGGGATTGTTATACGTACCTGTAATACCGTACGGGCAAGTGCGTATTAGTATCATCTGTTGGCGACTTTCCCACTCTGCATTCCCGTCGAATGCCCATGTTATTCCCATCATCCAATGTCGGGACAAGTCTCTCGGCGAGGTGGGGAAGGCATGCCCAGGCTAAGCCTTGCAAAGCATGGTTGTAGGTAAAGACTTGAATCATATAGCCTGCAAAGCTAATCTGGCGCCTTCGGCTTGAAACAGAAGCGTCCAGGGGCGCTGAGACCGTCTGGCATCCACATCGCCTGCAGTAGTTTAAGCCGTGGTGGCCTGGGTCCGAGCTTTTTGTCTTGCTCTCATCTCATATTAGTAGCAGGTATCTGGGTGCAACCACACGAAGCGTTTGCTTTCCTCGGATCAGGTCTTGATAGCCCCGAACTCGCACAATGAATGACAAGGCACGGCTAGATTGTAGCATTGTTAGGTTGGGCCGGCAAGAGGGAGCTCCTCTTTGTAAGAGTTCGCATCCACGACTCCATAGGCCAACAGACGGACGGATAGCCAAGCCAACCCAGCTTCCCGCCACACCTCATAGTTTCCCGTGGCGCCTGAATGGCTCCAAGCACGATCTTTGCCTCGCACCGCGGCAAGCAGCGTCAAGCACATGACCGCAGAATACTGGATATATACTACCACAAACTAGTAGTAGTAAGTAGTTTCTCGTGCTGCTATTTTACGCCTGAACAGGCAAGTATCGTAGCATTGCTCCTGGGTAGCATGGCGTACTACATATGTATGGCATGCATGCGATTCCGCTACAAGATAGCCTATACGAGCGCTCGTCCCTGTTGTTGTTGGCAGGGCCAGTGCTAAAATTCTTCGCCATGGTCCCAGCGCGGCCAATCCAAGCCCATTCTGGAACTCTCTGCAGGCCCAAAGCAGAGTTAGACGGCGTCTCGGCGTTGATTTGACAAGGCCCCGCGGCGCTGTCATTGGCTTCGCAGAGGCAGGGATGCAACCAAACTATGCATGAGAGCGATTCTCAGCGCCCCCGCTAGGATTACTAGACTGGGCAAGCAGCGAAGAGACCAGGGGAGAGACTGCTGCGGGAGCCGCTCTCGCTCACGTGGAAAATGGGAGGAGGCGGTTCTCGCTCTGGCCCACGCCAGGGAGGAACAGCAGCGGAGTCGACGCCAGTGGCGCCCTTCGTTCTCGGTAGGCGGCTCGGCTTTTGGTGTTTGGGAGCCTGTAGCTGTAGCCCGCCATCTGCAGCTTGGCTCGCCGTGCGGAAGAGCCATTAGCCTTTGGTTATGCTGTTATACGCCGTATAGTAGTAGCGTGTAACTCAACGTGCAGTTTCATGCTAGCAGACCAAGTACTAGATTAGTAGTCGCCGATGGGAGTGCAGACTAACACTGACGTCTGGCTTGCTGTCCCTGAGTTGGTTAGGACATACATACTTGTAGATGCTGTATGCACCTGCAGTTGGCTACCACCTAGTTGCAGCCTGCAGGATCGAGCTCGGCCGCACCGTTGACCGTGGCCCTTATTTCGTTAGTATGCAGCGTCCCGGAACGGATGACGAGGTTTGAGCAGGGACCGACTATGTCCGCCGCCTCTCCTCCCCTGGCAATACCTATACAAGTAGCAGCAGTACTGTACTGCTTCTCTGCTGCAGCATGAAGAGGAGCAGTATAGGTAGCCACCTACGCTGCAGATACAGGCGTTTAACCGGCGAGTCTCTCCAGATAAGCGCAATGCGGCGCCCGTAGCAGATGCTATAGCAGTAGTTGGTGGTGGTTAGCACAGCTAGACAACCAGAAGCCTAACGCCTTCCGGGAATCCGCACAACTGACGGCGAGACGAGAAGAAATTCGAGCAGGGGGGCCCGGATAAGCAACCGTGCATGCATTTGGAGTGCAGCTAACCGTGGCTGCGTTCGGAGCCTGTAATTGTGCGAGGGGATTCAGAAATTAGGTTGGCGGGACGTTGACTGAGTCTGGGTCACGAGATTATGCGTGTTGCCTCAGGTAGCAACCTTGTAATATTGAGCCTGCTAACCCAGACAAGACGACATTGCAGTAACAAACCGTGGAAGTGCCCAGGGTGATGGGTGATAGGTACCAGCTGGAACAACAATATCAATGGCGATGCAGGCGAGATTCCATATGAAGGCATCAGACTCCGGCCAATCAGACGGCAACGGCTCGCGATCTCGCTCCTATGGCTTGCCCTGTGGGCTGCCAATCTACGTGTGGCTTGACAGCACCGTCTCCGATCAGTCCAGAGGCGCTTAATGGAGGTTACAGTGGCAATTCTATCTGGTCAGGTCCCGTCAATTTCATCCCATGATTCCCAGATACTACTACCTATGTACGACAGGACGGGCGCAGATCCAAGCTTCGTGCGTCGTATCGTCGCCTCCTCCATTTTAGCCTGACGGACACATTCAACGAACCTAGCACGGCGCTTTCTGCTGGTGATACGAAGCAGCAGTACCTGAATACTACGCAATTTACGCCCGTACTCAACGGCTCAGGATGCTTCCACCCTATCATCAACCGAGGAAGACAAGATCTTCCCAGTCTGTGCGCAACGGTCGTTTCGTTAAGAGGGATTGGCCAAGATACGGCCTTGTACTGTACTACGGGAGGCATTGTGGCTTGGCGGCTGCAAAGGAAGCCTGAGCCAACATTTCTCTTTTTCTTTTTTTCTTTTTTTTCTCTCTCTTTTCACATAAGCAAGGCTACAAAGGCATCTTAGTGTACGATGCGATGCCCTACGCGTATAGCCAAAGGGCCGATATAAGAAGACCTGGATGTGCGGCTGGATGCGGAGCACTAAACTATCGATGAAGGACGGAGGGGACATGAAGCTCACCATGCATGGCATGGCAAACCTGGTCTACCTTATCGTCAACGTAGATATTATCGACCTGCTGGGTACGGGTTAGCAGCCTTGTAGCCTCGGCTCCAGCTTGTGTCGAGTTGGTTAGCAGTGCGACGCCGCATCCGATGGACAGTTGCATCGGCCGTCACAGCCATCGCCGCGAGAGCAAAGAAACAAATACGAAGGACAAATGCATGCTGCAAGTCCCCCCTTATTTCTTTTTCTGCCACTTGCATTGATCGGCCGCAATGCAACGGCACAGGGGGGGTCTTATTTTGTCCCCGCAGTCCAGATCTAGGCTCGACTGGGTCAAGCTGACTGCTTTCGATGCAGCTGGTTGTGGAGTTTCGGATGGGTCGAAGGAAGACAGGGCTTACAACTGAGAGGAGCCGAAGACCCTGTCAGTGTCAGCGGCATCAATGGCGTGGAGAGAGAGAGTGTGTCAATACGGCTATGCCTACTCCGTACTCAGCTTGATGACGATGATAATTGATGGACGACCTGATGCTGGGGATGAGCGGCGGCCCTAACGAAGCAACACCGAAGCTCTGACAGAGAAGTCAGACAGGGGTAATGCAGTCGTGGACGGACAGGGCGATTAGATCGAGAGAGGACGAAATAGCCAACCAAGGGCCAACAGCGTTCAGGCACCGGGCCGTTGGATGACTCTGGTTTTGGTCCCATGAGCAAAGCACACACGGTTGCGGGTGATTGTAACGACCGTCCTCGCAAGGCCTTAATACAGTGTTACATCTGGTAACATGAACACCCTACCAACAACACTGTCAATAACAGCTCAAACAGTTTTGGTCCGCCTGTGGAATCATGCACCAACGTGAGCATTGACCCTTGATGCAGTCAGTCGCACAAATCACCAACTGCACGATGTTTGGCTCTGTTGGGGTCCGTTTCTACGGTTGCATGGACAAAGCTTCCAACTGAAGATTACGACACAGCACAGGCTTTCCCACGTCCAAACTACACGACTCTCGGTGACGTATATGCCTGTATCTGTCTATACCCAGGACGCCTATTAGTACCACCAGTGTTTTATTTGCTTTTTTTTTCCCTCCCCGCTCAGGACACCCCACTCGACCGGGTCCGAATACATGTCCTCGGATTTGGGCCTGCATATTTATAGATCCCAGCCCCCTACCCTAGCGTTGGAGGATCTTAACCAGCAGATTGAATTGCATTCGCCTATCCCTGGGGCAGCCGTTGAACAGCAGCCTGGAATTTAAAAATAAAAGAAGGAAAAAGGGGCCACAAGGCTCGCTGTGGCGCTCGGTTGCGTAGTGACGGCGTCGAGAAGCTTGTATATTTGGCGCGTAAGACTTGTGAGGCGTTACCGTGAACCTTGTAATACTCGGATGGCTAATCCGATGCGGGATGATCTTGGCCGTTGGTATAGTATTTACAAGGTCTAACTACTAAATCGAATAGTAAACCATTCGCTAGATCCATCTAGACTCATTCGCAACAACTAGAGCTTGGCGGTTAGTCGAACGGATGCCCGATCTAATTGCCATTTTCCTCCAGTTCGAGGCAGGAAGAGCAGTCACGCGAACTCGATAGCGAAATTAGACGATAGATCGAGCCAACACCTAACCTATTCTATATGGTCGTAGCAACAACTCGTTTTAGACGCGTCTGTGCAGAAATGATACTACCAGCGCCACGGCGACGGGAAGCAGAAGACTGTTTAATTTCGGATGCAAGGATATTGAGACGATAAGGTCTTCCGGCGCAGTTAGTCTCAACGTTGGATCGATGTTTGTATACCTTCTTTGGGACAAGGACGCGAACAAGGAAAGCTCTCCATCTGGCTAGAGCGATGATTGCATTGCCATGATAGGAATGAAGACAGTTGGTTGCCGTTGAGAGGTACCATGCCATTGGGATAAGGGGGACGGAAGAAATAGGAAAGAAAAAAAGAAAAGAGTGAGGACGTTTGTTGGCAACATCTTGAGCCCGTCAAGTGTTTTCAATAGTCCATTTGTTCCATTCTCGTAGTGAACTGTGTTCAAGTCGGAACCCAAATAATATCGCTTTTCTAATACTACAGAGTATGTTCAAGTTATGGCACATCTTGGCCCTTCATTATAATTACATAGCATGAAATTGCGTCCCTCTCTGCCTTTAAGTCTATCCCAATCCAAAAGCTTTCAACATTTCTTTCACTTTCGTAAATCCCACTTCTTCTTTTTTATTTCTTTAATTACCGCTTTGTAACCTCTTTATCCTCTCTTCCGCCGCACGCGCCCTCCTCTCTCTCTCCAGCCTCATCTTCATCTCGGGCGTCAATCCCCTAGCTTCCTCTTCCCTGCGCTCTTGCGGTGTCTTTGCAATTATAGATGCCATGCCGGCAGTCTTGTTCTTTGCCTTTGTATCTGAGACCTTTGGACCTTCAACGCGAAGTCTCTCCTCCTCGGCCTTCCGCCGATCTGACTCCTTCTTGTCCGCCTCCTGCTTTTCTCGCTCATCGCGACGATCGGCCTCGCTCTTCGTCATGGCTGGCGGCACTTTGGCACTGTCCCAATCCCACTTTGCTTCGCTCAGCTCGGATCGTGCTACTCTAAAGGCATCGCGTGTAGGTCGGTCTCCAGCAAGCTCAAAGGCCGTTTTCCCATCTGCATTCTTATGTAGCGGATTTGCTCCAGCTCGTGTAAGAAGACCCAAAACTAACGGCGCAGAGTTCTGCGAAGCCGCATAGTGTAGGACACGTGGAGTGTGGTAGTTTTGCTCAGGAGGGTAGAATTCAAAGTCTGGGCTAAGATCATTCTTTGTGAGATATGATAAGAGTGCCGGTAACTTGGACCGCCGTACAAAGGCTTGTAGCTGTGACGTATGGAGAAGTGCTGTTTCTTCCTCCTCTGACAGGGCTGGTTTCACCGGCTTAGGGGAGGCCTTGTTTTGTGTCGCCTTGTCTAAGTCTTTCGGTTCGGCCTTTGTTGGGACGATCTCGCGTACTTTTAGTCGAGTCAACTCAATAAAGGATCGCATAAGCTCATTCTGAGTTGCTCTCCTGGTGCTAAAGGGGAATCCCCGTATTCTGGCATCGTTTGCCTGGAGAACCTGTCCTTCATACGGGCCAAACAATGTTCTTCTGTTTGTCGTTCCTGTTGCTCTAATGAATAGCAGCTCTGAAGTGTCCAAAAGGCCCTTCCAATCGCGGAGCAGAGCCCGAATATCCTCGACCAAGGCAGTCTCGTTATATCGACGCAATGAGGAGCCGACAGAGTGCGCCTTTCCCTTGGCATTGTCATTGGCCGACTGAGAGCCACCCTGTTTCCGTCGTGTTGTGTATCTGTGAAAGGTCTTGTGGGCGAGGACCGTGGCCTCCCTGTTCATCGTCGTGCTGCCTGCCTTTCCGGATCGCGGGGCCAGAGAGACGACCATGGCAGCAAAGTGTCCGCCTCCAATCATGCAAAGGAAGAAATGTGGTCCCTTGTATGCGACGGGCGGCAGAGTTCCGTCTTTGGCGGGCTTTGGCATCGCTATGGGCTCGAGCTGCTTCTTCCTGATGACGTCCACCAAATCCGGCTGTCTCTGCTCTTCGTCGGAGAATATGGCTCGATATATGCCAAAGTATGTATTCTCTGGAAGCAAAGGCGAGCTGAACCATATCAGCGGCGGCTTTCCTTTGCCCGGCCGGCCTGCAACTTCGTCGTCATCGCCGCCATCGTTGTTATTTCGCTTCTCTGTTAATCTTGCCTGCTTCTTGAGCAGCGCCGTCAGCGTAGACTCTTGGCGTCCTTCGTCCTCGTCCTCCTCCGTATCTTCCGAGTCGGAGCCTGAGAGCGACTCATCCAGGGCCTCTATCAGCTTTTCGAATTCGGCTTCCGTCACGAGGCTCTGCCCTCGCAGCTTCTGCTTGAGGTTGTAGTGGTGCAAATCGGACTTGATGTGGCTGCGCTGGTCGAGCACAGTAACAAAGGACAGCTTGCACAGAGAACACGTTTGTGAACCGGCGATACCATCGGGCGAGGCTTCCGAGGTCTGTCTGGGAGGCGTCGTGGCTTCGGCAGCGGCGATGGCATCTGCGTCTGGCTTGAGCGTCAAGCCTCCGAGGCTCTCGGGCGGCAGATCGTAGACTAAGCACGAGTCGCAGCTTTTAGCAGACAGTTCACAGAAAAGACGGCGTCGGTGAAGCAGAAACGGGCGTTGTGCGACGCGTTGCGAGCTGATGAATAGCTAAAGAAAAGCAGCGATGCAAAGCAGACTGAAGCTTACCATAGAGCGGCCGTCGCAAGAGCTCGTCTGTTGAGTTTTGCGCCATTGTGCAGTGCCCTGGCCCTGGGATTTTGCTGTGGCTATAAGTCGAAATACTATTTCCGAGTATCAAAGCCGGAGAAAATCAGACTGTAAAGAACGTGTTGATGTGCGATTAAGTATCGTCACGGACTCTGCGGATTGCAACTCCCGTAAAGAGTTGGAGGAATTGCCCCTCCATGACAAACATGGCTGAGTCAACCGGCGACAGAAAACCCCACTATTGAAAATGCGCCTTGCTCTTCTCCATATTATAAGGGAATTATGATTCAGCACCCCGGTTTTACTATCCAGCAACTTGGCCGTCACCTAGCAAAGCAATCAACCAAGTAGAAAAATATTTAATCGAAATATAGTGGACCTGAAAAAAGTACAAGTATAAATGTAGAAGTAGTAGAAGTAGTGGAAGTAGTAGAAGTAGTAGAAGTAGTAGAAGTAGTAGAAGTAGTAGAAGTAGTAGAAGTAGTAGAAGTAGTAGAAGTAGTAGAAGTAGTAGAAGTNAGTAGTAGAAGTAGTAGAAGTAGTAGAAGTAGTAGAAGTAGTAGAAGTAGTAGAAGTAGTAGAAGTAGTAGAAGTAGTAGAAGTAGTAGAAGTAGAAGTTTTTAACTTTAGCTACCTAGTAAAAAGTCGGAGCCAATAGTAATAAAATTCTTAATTGAAACAGGCACCTCTTGGGCAGAATCATCGTATTGCCAGTTGAATTTCATTGTTATAGCCTTTTTAACCTATGGGTGTGTGCTCGGAGGAAGAGGAGGAAACTTTTCGAGTATGAGGTTTGTTCATGGTTAACTATGATCCGGCAATATTTTGTCAGTCTCTCGCAATACAGCGGATGTGAGAAGGAAGGTTCAATACTACGTGGGAGAAGATTGAAGGTGCGTAGGTACCTAGGTAGGTACCTACTTAGTACAGCTGGGGTGCTGGATCATAAAACTGGGGTATTGAGTAACAATTCCCTGCTACGTACTTTAAAGACGGCAGCCTAGTGCGTTGTGCCTGGATCCAGGGTAGTTGCAGTCTCCAATACAATTCTAGAAGCGCATCTCTTGAGTTGTTAGTCACAAAAATGCGCCTATGCGATTTCTTGTTTCTCTGTTCACCGCTTGTCGTATCTTTATTAGCTCTTCTTCTTCTTTTTTTTTTTTTTTTTTTTTTTTCCTCTTTGAGCTTTGTTGAGCTAAGAATCGAGAGAAAGCATTAGTGTCCCAAACAAGTTGAGTCTCATCACTTGTGCGAATTGCACAAACAAGGAAATACCCGCCGGATTTAGTACACATATAGATAATAGATTGAAAGTAGGAACATCTAACAACTATAGTAGTTGCTGCAAGTCCCGGAGCACGTTGTCAAGCTACCAAGACTCTTCCAATTCGATAGACTAACATTATACTATGCAGATAGACCATGCCCATTAATGCTTACATGACTACCAGTATCCACAGCCTTTAGTACTATATAGGTATGCCGGCGCCATATACTACATACGACGATGGATCCTCTAGAGCTCTAACTCGGTAATGGCAGGTCCACGTGCGTAACAAATACATGTACTTCGGCCGCCTTTCACCGAATCCTTTTATTCATTCTAACAAACGTGAGGAGAGGCCCGTTTAGTCTATAGATCGGCATCCGACAGCCGGATTCTGCTCCACCTCGGTGGCACATGCACAAACAGATGCGCGGTATTGGCTCTTTACCCGCAACCGCGTTAGAAGAGGGGAGCGAAAACAAAAGTTCATGCTTCGTTTCGGTCAGAAGAAGCTAGGATAGATCCAAGAAGGGCAATGAAAACCCTGCTAGCAACGCTGCCATTACCACATCGTGTTGCTTCACCGTTGGACCAAAATGGGAGGTGAGCGGTCGAGGCATTGCTGCATGTGCCTTATATATCTATCTGTCTCGGAACCGTCCGCGGCACAGAAAATGCCACCTTGTGTGCCGCCTTTGGGATCATCGCGTCAATAAGCTTGCTGCATGCCCAATATGACTGCCGAGCTTGGCCAAGCTGAAAAGTCGCCCGTTGCGGTGCTAACGCAGGGAGGTAGCAACAGCCTCAAGGGTGCAGATGGAGATGGAGATGCTGCTGCTGTTGTTGCTGTCGCCGATGAGAGAATCAAGAAGCGCCAGTCGCTGTCTGCTATCTTTACCATTGTAGGTTATCACCATTCAACCAAGACTCATCCATCAGCTCCATACTCCGTATATGAAAGAACATTGCGTTGTATAATTCACAAAGAAAAAAAAAAAAAAAAAAAGGCCGTTTAGTAGCAGTAATGCTAACAGTGTCATGGCCAATAGATCGCAGCCGGTGCTGCTCTAATCTCAGATGGATGTGGGTAAACAATTAGCTCCATGATTCTGCTCTCGCTAATAGAGACAACCATTCGCAGATCAAAACAACTTAATGACAATGAGTAATGTTCTTTTTAAGAAAGAATATCCTGCTCAGTATACATCTGTCGTTAGTACTCGCGTATCCAACAGTTTGCTCGTAGGGGCCATTTTGGGCCAACTCTGTATCGGCCTCACATGCGACTATCTTGGGCGAAAGACGGCAATCGTACTCACCACGCTATTGATTGTTCTCGGAGGCATCTTGGCCACTGCTGCTCACGGAGTCACTCCTTTGGGGATGTTCTGGATGCTGACAGTTGCACGAGGCATTGTGGGATTTGGTGTTGGTAAGATATCCACTTACACGCCGTGCAGAATGGGCGTAGACCATCGTGACTAACACGGAACTTACAAACAACAAGGCGGCGAGTATCCGGCTGCAAGCACATCATCCTCCGAAGCTGCAAACGAAAGAGTCCTGGAAAAGCGCGGCACAGTCTTTATACTTGTAACGAACCTACCTCTCAGCCTCGGCGGTCCCCTGGCTGTGTCCATCTTCCTGATTGTGCTTTCGGCCGCTGGCGAGGATCATCTGTCGACAGTATGGCGAGTATGCTTCGGCATTGGCATCCTGCTTCCGTTGTCCGTCTTCTACTTCCGAGTCAAGATGGTCACGTCCAAGCTGTACCGCAAGAGTGCCATCCGGCGCCGTGTGCCCTACGGCCTTGCCCTCCGCTACTACTGGAAGACGCTGATTGGCACTTGCGGTGCCTGGTTCCTCTACGACTTTGTCACTTTTCCCAACGGAGTCTTCTCCGGCACCATCATCTCGTCCGTGGTGGACACGCATGGAGACACGCTACGAAGCACGGCTGAGTGGCAGCTCTTGCTGGGGGCCATTGCTCTGCCCGGCGTCTTTCTCGGTGCGGTGCTTTGCGATAAAGTAGGGAGAAAAAACATCATGATGCTTGGCTTCTCCGGCTACCTCATCTTTGGCCTCATCATCGGCTGTGCCTACGACAAGATTACCAAGATCATTCCCCTCTTTGTGGTCTTTTACGGCCTAATGCAGAGCTCTGGAAACTTCGGGCCCGGAGATATGCTGGGCCTTTTGAGTTCGGAAAGTTATGCTACGAGTGTAAGAGGAACATTTTACGGCCTCAGCGCAGCTCTGGGCAAGACCGGTGCCGCCGTGGGAACGCAGGCCTTTACTCCTATCCAGAACAACTTGGGCAAGCGGTGGACCTTCATCATCGCCGCCATCTGTGGCGTTGTCGGCGTCTTGGTCACCTACTTCTTTGTGCCCAATGTCACTGGCGAAGACTTGGCCGTGCAAGACGAAAAGTTCAAGGCCTATCTGATCGAGCATGGGTGGGAGGGCGAGATGGGCGTGAATGACGATAAAGATGTAGCCGCTGTGGAGGAAGACGAGGAAGTGGCCGCCTCCTCACTCAACGTCGGCGAAAAAGGCGTCAGGGTATAGTAGACTGGACCAGTGGGAAACTGAGAGAGAGGTGTGGGAGGTCCCAGACTACCAGGTTTTTGCTGGCTGTCAGTAGAGTGAATACATGTACTTACAGAATACTGCATGGGCTTGTCTCAGCCGCTGTCTGAGGGCCACAACTCGTGCCGTAATTTTCAAGGCTGAGTCGGCAATTTGCTCGTTGTTTGCCCACATCCTCTTGTAGTATGGATAGAGTAACGGCACTAGACCGAGTATGAGATGGTCAGTTATGCGGTGCAACATAAAATAGTTAGCTCATAACAGAGAAATCTGTCTAGGCTGCGAGCGTATTGCAAGCGTACGCTGTACCGTGCTGATGCGGAGCTGTAGCTACCCGTTGTTTTCTCGTATATACATGTAGATACTGTACCTAGGTGCGGATTGGAACTTGAACGTACTTGTCGACCGATATGAACGCACGGTGGTCGTGATTCTGCAAACGAAGGCTCTTGTTAGACCTTCTGAGCCCGGCTTCAGCGTCGTATCAGAGGCCGCTTCGCTCGTGCCGCTTGTACGTAACAAAAGTGCTTGGCATAAAAAGAAGCAGGGTGGAGCTGGCAACCACCACCGCTGCTGTACTCCATAACAAGTACGTTGCAGCTTCAGCTGGTCGGATGAGTGGCTGCATAGGTACCTGATAGCAACACAGGTAGTCTAGTAAGGGCATGTATGTATGTAGTATCACCAGCAGCTGTCTAGATTGCATGATCTCATAGAGTGCCTACAGCCCCTCTCGCTCTCACAGCTGCAGGGGCTTTATCATTTGTGACACCTTTGCCCAGGGCCGGGTTGAGCCGTCGTTGATATGTAAGATCTTTATCTATAAACACAGGCAAAGATGAGCGCTTACACCTCTGCATTATTGGCCCAAAATCAAAATCGAGATAGCCAGCATGTCAGCATCTCCGTCCCAGAACTTAGTCCGACGCTTGATTTGCGCCGATGCGATCGATCAAGACCCGCATCCAACGTCCCCTCATCGAGGGCCGTGCCGCTTTTGGTGGTGCATGTATTGATTGCGCGATAGTGCCTAGGTATGCATTAGTCCTATGTGTCTATATTGCGGACCGAGCACTGCCTGTATGTACTGGCAGACAATATTAGGTACGAGCGCTGGATAGTATTAGTAGCTGCTTCATAGGAGAGTTTTCTAATGATGATACAGACGGCTTAGATGTTGCTGACAGCTCCTGCTGTCTCTGGCGGCGAGCTCATAGCTGCCAGGCAAGGATCAGCAAAGAGCAAGCTTATTAGGGCAATGAGGGACAACGACTGAAGATACGGCAATTGACGGCGGTGGAGTCGCCATCCGAGTCTCGTAGTGCTGTGCCGTGGTGTTCGGTGTGGAGCGGCACGCATGCGAGAGGACAAGACAGGTCACGATGCATGCTGAGAAGCACAGTCAGCGCCCACACATTTCTCCTTGAGTCCTTGTTTTCCCTCCTCGCCCTTGCCTCTCGCCCTAGCTATTCCCAAAGAGGTGAATTATTGCGGCCACACGCATGTAGCGAAAGAGCTGAGATGGTATCCATTTGCCTACCCAAAGAGTCCTTAGAAGCCATACCCATATGTGGGTGGCGGCAAAAATCCAGGCCGAGGCATAGCAAGAAGGCCGAGGGAGGGCGTTGGGGACTGGGGCGTGACAAGGGAGAGTAAAGAAAAGATGCAGGATGAATTCTCTCTTGTTCGCCCTGCCGTATGAGCAAGGGGTACGACGTTGATAGGTGGGAAAGAGAGACACCAGGACGGCAGATGTCTTGGTGTTCATGCCGGGGCTCGTATTTAATGCTTCGTGTGTGCCCTCGTTGCTCCTCTAGAGAGTTGAGCTATTATCATCATTAAAAATTAAAAGTCCGCAGACGAGTTGTTGTTGTATGTGTCTTCCCTTGGGAATATACAAGGCAGCCAGCTGTGTCTAGTTCTTTCCTGATTCCTCAGGACATCAGCTCCCTTGATCCAGCAGGCCAAGATGTCGGAAAAAGCCACATACAGCCAGTTCGCCTGTATTGGCACAGGATTCTCTGGCATAGCACTGGGGTGCACCATTAAGCGGTGGTATGGGATCACCGACATTCGCCTCTTCGAAAAGAAGAGCGATTTGGGAGGCACATGGCTTGCCAATCAGTATCCAGGTATGTTTATGCCACTGACCTATCTCAGCGGTGGAGTATGAATTGTTTTCCATGTATAATGACATTAATTCTTTTTTCCGTCTAATTAGGATGTGCCTGCGATGTTCCCAGCTTGCTCTACAGCTTCTCTTTTGCTCCTAATCCCAAGTGGAGTAAAATCCTGCCGTCCCACCAAGAGGTCTGGCAGTATCTCGACGATGTAGCGACGCAATATGGCCTCCGCGAGAAGATGAGCTTCAACTCTTGCGTAGAGAGGTGCGAATGGATCGAGCAGTCAGGACGATGGCGCATCACGGGCAGAAACACCATCTCCGACACTTCTTTTGTGCACGAGTGTCAGTTCCTCTTTAGCGGCTCGGGCCTCTTGGTATATCCTCGCAAGCCAGATCTCCCAAACATTGAAAACTTCGACGGCCCTGTATTCCACGCTGCCGAGTGGCGGCACGATGTTGACCTGACAAACAAGAAAGTCGCCCTCATCGGCAATGGCTGCTCAGCTTCACAAATTGTACCCAACATCAAGGATCAGGCAAAGCATGTGACGCAGTTTGTGCGCACCAAACACTGGATTATTCCTCCCGTCCAGGTACCCAACGTGAAGCTATTCCAGTGGATGTTTATGCATATACCAGGGTTTCTCAAACTCACTCGCTTCCTCTTCTTTGTGATTTTGGAAAACGAGATGAGGGGTTTCTACATGACCAAGGCGGCGGCTGCGGTTCGTCGTTCCAATACAGCCGAAGCCGTGCGATATATAAAGAAAAAGGCTCCCGAAAAGTACTACGATAAGCTGATTCCCGATTTCGAGATGGGTTGCAAGCGACGCATTTACGATCCAAACTATCTGACCAGCCTGCACTCGGAGAATGTCACCCTTCGGGACGACGCAATCGAGGAAGTGACACCAACGGGGATTCGCTCCAAGGATGGCTATACCGATATTGACGTTATCGTGTTCGCCAGTGGCTATGAAACAAACAGCTTTTGCACAAATATTGACATTGTCGGCCGGCAAGGCGTGACGGCAGAGGAGCACTGGAAATCTCTAGGCGGGCCAGGGGCGTACAACACTACGTCTCTCAGCGGCTTCCCAAATCTCTTTCTGATACTCGGTGAGGCTTGGATTTCTTTCATCTATTTCTGTTGCGTATATATTGTCTTCATCTAACCGAGATGCCTCACAGGACCAAACAGCGCCACAGGCCACACGTCGACAATCATGGCTGTTGAAAACTCCATCAACTACGCTCTCCGGCTGATCAAGCCCATCCTTCAAGGCAAAGCTATGGCTGTAGATGTCAGTCTCGACGCAGAGAAACAGTACATTGACCAGATCCAGACCGACCTCCAACAAACCGTCTGGCTTTCCGGCGGGTGCAACAACTGGTATAACAGGGCTCAGGATGGATCCAGGCATAATGGGATGTCATATCCCTACTCACAGCCCTACTTCTGGTACCGATGTCTATTCCCGATATACAAGGATTTTCAATACGATGTGAGCCTAGGCTTTCTCTCTTTTCTTTTTGTCCTCCACAAAGAGATAATCTTCTAACAAGTCGTGCCAGCCTCCGAAGAATAAGAGTCCACCTCGCGGAAACATTTGGAGGGAAGCGGTCCGATATTCAATCTTGGCCGCCGCGTCCCTGTCGGGCTTGAGCTTGATCATGTCTAGCACAAAGTCTGGCTGGGATTTTCCAAGGTCTGTGGAATTCCTGAAAGCCCAGGTAGGCGTGCTGCAAAATAGCCTCGTGGAATACGTCAAACAATAGGAAAAAAGGGGACGAAGCATAATTGGTAGTACTACAGGGGAGGGGAGGTACTTGGCGATTACTCGAGATTGATTCTAGCGTTGCAAATCATGACAACATTCACACAGATCCCTACATTGTTCGTACAACTACCTGCTCCGTACTCACTGTGGCATTGCCACACAGCTCATAGTATTATTGACTTGTAATACCACCATCAAGGTAGGTATCACAACCATCATCTCCGACAAGGCTCGCGGCGGCGGCTATCTGTACGTGCCCGCCTAATCCTTCGCACCTCACATAATATTGGCCCGAGAATTACGTACTCCATTGCTTTGTGCGGCTGCCAATAGGTAGTAGACGCGCCGGCAATGGTAGTATTACTGTTTGCTTGAATATCCGCCCGGCAGCCTACATGCACATACACATACACTTTGCTGTGAAACATTGCTTGTCCAGGCACCGGCGAATATCCAGTCGGCCGACAATCAGGGGAGAATTCGAGTGGCATCGTGAATGCGGTGACTCGGCAACCATTGGGCACCGCTTGGGTGCTTATCAGTTGTTTGCCATTTTCATTCCTTTTTTTCCCGGGTGAAACCTGGACTGACTAAACATGATCAGAAGAGAACTGAAAAGATACCACGTCAATCCCTACTAGTCGACTGCCTTGCCTACACTAGGCATGCATGTCTTAGTGGCTTCGGGCAGCCTTGGCCGGCTGAGTTGATGTTTGCTGCTGTTTGCTTTGCGGCTCGCCTGGCATTCAGCTTCAGCTTCAGCTCAGAGGATCACGGCAGCGCGGGTTTGGCCTACCGATGACGACGTCGCCCAGAGAGCAGACAGATCTCCTGGCCGGTAATAATCGGTTTTCAAGCCTCTTTTTTTTTTTGCCCCCTCGGGCTTGATTTACATCAATCAGCCATGTGCGTGACAAGAGCCAGGGGGACGGAGCCGCGAGGGGCCATGTCCAATCACCACGACGCCCAGCTCCAGTTTGCGTAACAATGGCTGTGAGTGATGGCGCTCACGAGGACGGCTACATGATGCTGTGGCCGTCCTGAGCCACCAAAAACTCCTGAGCTTCTGAGACACTGCCTTCTCCCCCCCACGATTAGCTGGCTGGCCTGTCGATGCTCCACTGTCTCTGTGTTGAGGCCTGCTGGATCTTGCAGAGAGAGCCGGGCCCTGGCTGGGCGATCGAGCAGGAGATGGGATGTTCTTTCTCGTCAGTGTTTTTCGCCTCGTTCTCCCCTTCTCTTTGTTTCCACCCCGTGAGCTTTTCAGGTATAAGTAGCAAACGTCTATTTGCGTTGCTTGTCACTCTTAACTTCAACTTCAACTCATCTCGACTTTGCACTTCCATTTTCCCTCTTCCAGACACGCTGCGCATCACTTTACCGTTTACCTCCTTCATACTGTCAAACAGCTACCTTTCGGCCCACCCTCTTTTCTTTCTACCCCAGATCTCTGCGTGTGCAGGTCCAATCCAATCCAAGGCTTTGTGCGTCACGATAAACGCAGAGTCACTAGCACTAACACGAACACTAACTAACCAGACACTGCAAGATAGTTTCCTCATAGTAGCGCTGGTAATTGATACACTTGTTGAGGCATGGTATCACATAGGAAGAGGTCAAAGACCGGCGGCCGCCAGAACCCCAATGCTGCTCGCAAAACTCCGCAAAAGCCCGAGCTGCAGCGGCTGCCCAAGCCTCCTCGTCTCACCTGTGTAAGTTGTCGCAGTATCGGAGTGCGGTGCAACGGCGATAGGCCATGCTCCCACTGTGAGGGATGGCTGAAGTCGGATTGTGTCTATGAAGACCCGATGACTAGTTATCCAACCATATACAAGTAAGTTTCGATCTCTGGCATCTCTGACACCATCAATGAGAGCATGCACAGGTGAGACTAAAAATAAAACAAAAGAAGCTGACAAAGTTTGTCATGATTCAGAGTGAAGGGGAAAAACGTACCTCAACAGTCCAATCAGCACAAGGTACATGGCAACGACGACACCAACAAAGCCATCGATCGGGCCTCTGGCCCGAACACACATAAATCTGGAGAGCCTGACGAACAAGGATTCAGAAAACAGCTGGACAAGTTGAACGAAGCACACTTTCTCCGTTCAAAGGCATCATGCCCTGGGGAGTTATGTTCGAGCCCTTTGAGCCAGAATGCTCCACCACCGACAGGTGTAGATGCTTGGGCATCGACAAACGCTACATGTACTCTTCAACCAGCCAGCACGGGTGTTTTGGAATCAATGGATCCTCTTCCGATGACAGACGATTCTTCGGAGCCGACAGTTACTTCGGCCATGATGCCACAACCGCCATCTGCTTTTCCCCCGAGTAATAATGATCCTTCTACTGTGGGCCTTGATTCTCCTCCTGCGTCTTTACCTCTTGCTTCTCTCCCTCCTCCTCTCCCTCCTCCTCCTCCTCTTATAAACAATGCCTGCCAGCCAAAGTTGCTTGGAGAAGTAAAGCAAACATGTTCTCGCCCGTCGTCTGTCGAAAGAGGGGAGGAAGAGATTCCCAATGTGCCAAAATATGCGTGTCATTTGATTGACAAGAACACTGGATCCCTCAAACAAGATCAAAAGGTTGCAGTTGTCGGCATGTTGAGACAACTTCGCTCGGCCCTCAAGGATGTCAAGGCAGCAGACAAAAAACCGCACAAGCCCATCATGCCCCCGTACGAGCTGAGTCTCTATCTTCTACGAGTCTACCACAGAGAAGTCTGCTACTTGTTTCCGTTTATCTGCTTCTCGACCTTTATGCGCGCTTATCGCAGCTTGAATAGTGATGATGGCGCCGCCACCGGGCATTTCACGTCCGCCTTGTTTGGCCTCGGAGGCTCAGGGGAGGAGTCGAGCACTCACCCACTCATGTTTCGCTGCGCCCTCTTTACGATGCTGTCCCATGCGGCCAGGTTCTCCCAGATGAAGGAAAAGGATAGAACGTTCCTTTCGCGCGCGTTTTGGGAATGCGCCTGTGCACATCTCACCCCGGCTCTTGTCAAGGAAAACAGCCTGGCTGCCGTGCAAACTTTTCTCATCATCGCCGTGTCCTTTAACAGCACTCGTTTCTCAGGGGATGAACGCAGGATTCCCATTGAAATCGCACATCGCCTTGCACAACACATGAGGCTGGATGATGTCAACGATGGGGTTATGAGGTCTCCTGAAGAAAAGGAGACACGCATGAAGGCATGGTACGGATGTGTTATGATGACTTCGTAAGAAAAGACCTTCTCCTCCTTCCTCTTGCTTCTTGAACTAACAATCGAACATTTCCAGGTTCGTTCAAACTGCCGTCAACTTTCGTTTACCGCTGTCTTCTAGGACTGGTACCAAGGCTCTTGAATCTGCAGATCAAACACCCCCTGACATTATACCCTTTAGCTTCTTCACCGGCTGTGTTGCTCGCTGTGAGGAGCTGGAGAAGATCCTCAAGAATATGCCCAAGGCCCGCAGCCACATCTTTCCCAAAGAATTCAGCAGTCGCTATTCCCATGGTCTTGCTGAGTTGCTCGAGATGTTTGCCAAGTTCCTGTCCGTGCTGCCGGTGGCACTCGATTGGACTACCATGGGAATACCCTCGTTAGAGGTTGACGCCATTGAGTCTGTCGACACGCAAAAGGTAAACTTGGAAGCGGCAGACTTGCAAATACCAGGTTTGGAAATCTTAGACTCCAACACTGCAGACTCTCAAACCATAGACTCACAGGCAGAAAACTCACAGGCCGCGGCTTGTAATACTAGGTCAGATTACCCCTATAGAACAAAGTATACTCCTCTTTTTTCCCCTCTTCTTCTTCTCCTTCTTCTTCTCCTTCTTCTTCTCCTTCTTCTTCTCCTTCCGCAAAAATGAACAGTCGCACAAAGGCAGTAATAACTAATCCTTGTGTGGTTAAAATAGCTTCATGTTCATTCGTTCCATGCTCTTTAGCCCAATCTTCATGGAGGCGGGCATACAAGAATGCCTTGCATCCGGTGAAGACATCTCTACGCTGAACACTGTAGCGGAGCAAAAGGCTAGATTTTGTGCTATACAGTGCCTTAAAAATGCGATCCATTTACTCAATTATATGCACAAAAGAAGTATGCCCAGGGCACGCAGTCGGGAGCCGTGGTGGTGGGATCCATACCGTGAGTTATTACTGGTCCTTGTCCACTCTTCTTCCATCCTCCTCCTGTTCCTCCTTTTCTGAAAAAAAATTTTTTTTTTCTCTTTTGACGTGTTGGCTAAAAAAAGAATACATCTGATAGACGTGGGCACTGTGGGCCTCATCATCATCATGGCCCAAACGTCCGAATCTCTGTGGACTTCCTTTGACGTGACTCTTCTCAAGCAGGCTTGGAAGTACTGCCAGGAACTGCTTATTTTTGACAGAACCAACAGCAGCTTCAAGCGAGACGTTGTTGAGTTCTTGTGGAAGGTCAATGGCGGCATTAGCAAGGGCCGCGTCTTGGCCAACGAGTACTTTATGATCCCAGAGCCTCCATCCGCGACAGAGAGAGGAGACAAGGCTGGTTTCAGGACCTGGACTTTTGACGTGGATCCTTCGCGCCTGGAAGCCGATGGCATCATCAGAATTCCATACTCCGTGGCCCAGAACTCCCAAACTCTGCCGGATGAGGATTACATGGACATAGAGATCAGTCCACGCACGAGGGTTGAGGATGTGCTCGTCATGCCCCAAGCATCAGCGGATTGGAGCAATCAGGCTGGTACGGCCCTTCGTGCGGAGACGGCGGCGATGAGCGTCTCCAATGCTTTCAATGGCCGGCCGTCTTTGACTGCCAGCGTGGATACGGACTTTTCGTTTACCCCGGGCGCGGATTTGGACTTTGCCTTCACTCCAGGCATGATGGACATGGATTTCGCCTTGGATCCAAACGCGGATAGCAGCTTTGCTCAGCCGAACTCGTCTTCCGGCACGCCCTTTAGCCCATCAAGATGGGATACAGGTAGGAGCTGCCATAGAACGGCGTCGGCATCGGCCCCCAGCTCCTTGATGCCCTTCTCCCAGGCCCAGTGGACTGCTTGCTATGATCCGACGACGGCACCAGCCTCAAGCATGCCGTTCAGCCGGCCGTCATGGACTGCTGGCATGGCATATAGCCAACCAAGACAGGCTCCTGGCATGCCCTCTGGCGCTCCTCCTTTGAAAGTTATGCATTTCAACCCGACCATGTCTTCCGATCAAAGACAGCCGACGTTTAGTAGGGACACTCCCAACACTCCCAGCCAACCACCTGTGGGCTACACCTCCTCTGCCAGTGCTGCTTTTCATGGCGGAAACATATTCCTGAATGGACTCACGAGATGAGAATAGATGGAGCCTAAGGGTGAGGATGCTGGCGTTGGTGTTGGTGCTGACATGTTTGGTAGGATTGGACATGGAATAATATCACGTACATGGTTGTATATATGAACATGAGTTTGGATATGTGAATAAGGTAGGTATGGTGACAAAAAGTTGAGTATCAGAATTATGGTTGTTTTTGTCGGATTTGTCTTCATACATATATGCATATATTTAGAAGTTTATAAGTCTATATTGCCTTTGTTGTTTGTTATTGTACATTTTCCGTCTTTAGCATGATGCGGCCGTTGCATCTTCTTGTCGTCCCGCATAGTCGTATGCTCATATCGTGCCTTGCCCTGTCGTGTCATACCATGCCATATGTCTATTTACTTCTCCTCTTTATGTGCTGTTCTCTTTTCCATTCCTTCTTATTTAGTAGCGCTGCTTGCCCGTGCCCGACACAAGGAGCACCACGCTGCCCAGCTGCCGAATCACATCCTCCTGGTTCACATCGTGCGTGTCTTCCACCTCTCCCCACTGCTCGGCCTGCCAGGCCACTTCCAGGCCCGTAGCCTCGGAGGCATCCTCGGCACCAAATTGTCCTGCTTGCACAACGCGGCCGGTGCCAACGGGACCCTCGCTCCACTCGGCGACGATTCTGGCGGCGGCAACGAAGCTCTTGCCAGCAAGCACAGCCCTCTCCAGGCCGGCAATCTCCCAGGCGTCGAGGCCCATGACCCATCCCTGCACCACCTCGCGGACGCCCTCGGCCTGCTGCTTGGGCATGATGGAGTGGCCGTCCAGCACGGGCTCAATGGTAATGCCCGGCCACACGTGCGTCGTCAGGAAGCCGACCGTCTCCTGGGCGGCCTTCTTCTGCACGTCTCGGAGGTCCTCGCCGGCATCGTTTCTCCTATCGTGGGGGCCGGCGGGAGGAGCCCAGCACAGCAGCGAGTCGGTGTCGAGATAGCGCAGGACGGTCTGCGTGATGCTGGAGCGGATCTTGGCGGCTTCGGGGACACTCGGTGCGGCGTCGTCGTCGAGGATGTCGAGCGCGCGGCAGATGAGGCTGGTGAGGGGGATAAGGTGCTGCTTGGTGGCTTGCTGGGCGGACGTCAAGATGTCCCATTCGAGGGCTAGGGCAGAGGCGAGATTCGGCTTGGAGAGCGGCACGCGGATGATGGCCTTTGTGTGAGGGTGTCGCAGGGGGCGGGCGTCGAGATGGACTTGCAGGGCGCCTGTTTTGGGAGGGGAAGAGTTAGCGGCCAAAGATCAAACCGGTCATGAGAAGATCTATGTGATCCGGGAGAGAAAAGAAAGAAGGAGAAAAGAACAAGAAAAAAAAAAAAAAAAAAAAGGAAGATGTGCTACTCACCGTCGACTTCTCGCACGCTGACCTCCTTCCAGAACCTCCTGGCCGCCCCGGGATTCGCCTTGCCTTCCTGCGCGCTTCGGATCTCCTTTGCCGTCTTCAGCAGCTCGGCGTGCTTCCGGCGTCGCTCCAGGCGCTCGCTGGCATTCCGCGCAGCCGGCGTCGGCGGCTCTGGAGGAGGCCCCGTGCCGACGATGGGAGCAACGTTGGCGGTCCTGGCGATGCTCTGGTGAAGGGGCCGGATGTGCTGCGGCTGCGGACGGGGCAGCGCCCGAGGCACCGCGAGCGATATTCGGGAGGGAACTTTCATAGCCGTGGATTTGACGTTGAGTTGGTTCGGATTGAGCAGGATGCAAAGAAAAGGACAAAGGGGTGGAATTAGACGGAAGTTTTGAAAAGTGGTTGATCTATTCCATTCTACGCTGCAAAGGAGAGACGAAAAAACGGTAGTGCAAGTCGGCCATTGCATCATACGGTACGCATCGGCACAAGTTCGGCTCGTCCTTTTCTCTATTCTGCTCGCACGGAGAGGCGCCTTGCAATTGGCAACGCCCTGCCGCCCTGCTCATGCTAAAATTTATACAAAAATACACATGAGGACAAAATGTCGTAAATGCTTCGAATCTCAAGCCTCTATTTTGAATCCCTCTGTGAATGCTCGTCCAAATAACCTTGATAAGTGGGCGGGCGGCTTGGACTGCAAGGACAAAGAGGATTCCTTAGCGGCTACCAACCTAAGGGACCTGGTGACGTAGAGACGTTCAATGGGCACTAATGCAGCAAGCAATGGCTGCTTTCTCTAGGTACTTAATTGAGCGTGTTTCATTTATAATGGACATGCATCAGACAACGCTGCCAATGTCCTTTGGGCGGCCAAGGTGCATTCAGTGGCATGTATTGGTGGCTCAATGGCACTGAATAGGGCTTCTCTAGGCATCTGCTAGGGAGAGGTACCTGCCAAGCGCGGGCGAATAGAAGCCCGATAAAGAAGAAGCAACTGATGTTATTCTTCTCCGTCCTTCATAGTGCAGCATCGAATGCAAACATCCGTCTCCAACACGATCTCTCCAATTATTGCACCCAAGCTTGCCTTATTCTTAACTGACTTTTCTCTTGATCATTTGCACGGCAGAAAATCACACACTGCGTCTAGTCAAAATCTCGGCACATCGCTCTACGCCGCCGCTGCTCCTGAAAACTGCTCTCTTGGAAAGCTTGTCATGCCAGATAATCTGGTGGACCAATCATTCTACAGACGGATAACTTGTTGCGTAGATACATCTGAGCGTCACATTCAGCCTCGAAAAAGAATACGCGTAGCCAGGAGCAGTTGAACGAAATCATCGACGTCAATCCCGCTCCCAAAAGCAACAGTCGCCCCACTGGGCTATATCGAAGCATGGGCAGGCATAGGAAGCAACAGATATCGCCCGCCCAAGATGAGGGAGGCTATCGTTGAAGGACGGAGGAATGCTGAAAGGTGCCAGCAGAAAAGAGAGCATCCGTTGGACTCTTCGGAAACGACCCCGCCGCCTACAACACAGTCTTGAACCACTGCTTCATCCGGATGGTATCCTCACCAATATTTCCAAAGAATCCCTCCACCACCAGAAAATCATGGGCTGCCTTGGGATTGCTCTCGAGAGTCACCTCTACGCCTGTATTCGAGGCTGTCACTGTCTTTGCCATCAGCTTACCCTGATCAGCCAGAATCTCCCTATCACCGACCGTGATGTGAATCTTCCTGACAACGCTGCCGAGCTCATTTAGCCACTGTCCTTTGTATTCAAATGGCTCCGCCCAACTGTCTTGACCATCTGTATTTGTGTCCGTCTCCCCTCCACGGGCCCGAATATCGCTATCAAGAGAGCGCAAGACGGCGACTGAAACCATATCATACCGATCATTTTCCTGAAATGAGGCGGCAGACGTGTCCTTACCAAGCCACGGCGATATGAGAAAGGCGGCCGACAGAGGCTCTTGTAATGCGATGCGGGGGACCTCAGCATGGGGTTCGACAAGGTGATGGAGCAGCTGTACCGTCAGATTCCCACCAGCAGAGTCGCCCCCTACGACAATATCCTTGGCACTGAAGCCTGCGTTGATGAGTTCGGAGAGAGCGGCGGCGGCCTGACGGAGCTGCACGGGGGCTCTCCAAGTGGGAGCGAGTGAATACTGCAAAAACGCCACGGCTACTTCAGTCTCTAATTCTACCCCCGAGAGCACGTATGAGTTCCAGACACATTCGAAATGGCCAGCTACGCTCGGCAACCTGAAACCTCCGCCGTGGAGGTACAGCACTATCTTGCGGGCCTTGTGGCGGTTTCCAACCCACAGGATGCTCGAATGGCCATCGTCAAGAGGCTGTATGTCGCACCGGAGCCGCTCTTTAAGCAATGGGTCCTTGGTAAGTCTCTCTTTTTGCCGGATCCATGCCCTATAAGCTTCTTCCGTAGACGGAAGTATTGTTTGAGCAAAACGGCCTTCAAGCGTGCTAAACAAGGTCCTGAACAAGGCGCAGCCTGCATAGTATCGAAGACTCAGTCCATTCTGGAAGGCGTATAATAGCAGGCGGGTGAGATCGAGCATGAGCGAATAGGGGCCTGTCAGTGGGGATAGTATTTCCCGTTAGCACTAGTGTTCGTCGGCAGTTCTGCATAGTCGTGATACTGCTCGCGGTTCTAGTATGCACTATCCACCGGCATTTGCAGCCCCTCTCCCCCTATTTCAAAGATCGACTCACTGACAAATAGCAAAATCCCCATCAACTGTATCTTTTCGCCAATGGAGAGGCGAGGTTTCACGGAGGCATCCTTGCATCCGGTTAGTTACCAACAAATATTATATATTTTCGATTCCTCTTACCATCTAACGCGGGTGGGTGGGCGAACTGACAGATCCTCCAAGGCTTTCAAGTCCAACACCAGCCGTATGGATGGTGATACTAATTTTGAGGAGGGAGAGGGTTCTATACAGGTCGAAGAGTGAGCCGTAAGTCGGCCATCTTATATTCTTCATGTGTCTTGCTTTTGTTGCAACCGCTGCTATAACTATTGGCCCTAGAAGCGCTTTGTCTCACTTGACTCGAGCAAACACCCTGCTGGCCAATGTCTTGCCAAGATGTCGAGTCTGCGTCTCCACTTCTCCCGTCTAGGTTGCTTTGCATGTACAAACTAGGCTTTTCATCTCGAAAGATAATTCCGCACGTTCCAGTCAGAAACCACACGCCTACCTCCTAGGTGTTCTCTGCTTTTGAGCTCTCGTGGAGATAGATGGGTGGAACACAGGTCTGATAGAGGCAACACAAGTTGCAACAACCCTGTCATATTGAGGATTTAACGTTGCCAGCGGAGCGGCCTCAGCCCTTTCTGGCGGCCGGCATGGGGTCGGTCACTACCTCATGCACAAATCCCCTAGCGCACTCCATACTATGGATGGCATCTCGGGCAAGGGTTTATTTCCGACATGTCGCAGATCCGGAGACCATGTAAAGAGCGTTTACGGGGTGCTCAATGTACTGTACTACAGTATGTAGGTATATGCACCACTACCCTCGCTAACTTGTCATGGACGACGGAACCAATCCCCCTTCATCCTGGCATAATATGGTCCGTGTCAGATTCCCTGCTTGATCATATCGTACGATTAATAGAAGACTACGAGCCGTAAATGCATAAATACTGCAGCTTTGGCGCAACATTCAATGCGAAGAGAGAAGATGCAGTGTTGCGCCGAGACAGTCGTATCCCCCCTCGCATAACAAGCCTCTTCTACCACGAATATCTATCTATACACAAAATCATGTTTTCGTCAAGGGAGGGAGTGACTATCGACTCCATAGCCGCTCCTCTGAGCCGCTTGCTACTCAATCCTATCCTCACAGTGCCCACAGCCCTGGCCCTGTCCTTGTCGAGCTCGAGCATCCACTCTTGGGTGTCGTCCAACCCCAGCGGGACTCGAATTCAGACGCTGACCTCTCTCTTCGCAGTAGCAAGCGTAGCGCTGTCCCTCAACTCATATCTAGACAGGCAGTTTGCCAACAACTGGGTATCAGACAAGACATGGAACTGGGACGAGGAGATTGTTGTTGTCACGGGAGGCAGCGGCGGCATTGGCGCCAGCATATGCAAGGGCCTTCTCGCTCGAAATTCTCGCACCCGAATCGTGGTCGTCGACTACGCTCCACTCGGCTGGAAGCCTGAGCAGGAGGGCGTCCGACTGTCGTACTACCATTGCGACTTGAGTGACACAAGTGCCTTGAGAGCCACATGTGAGCGCATCCGAAACGAGGTCGGCCATCCGACGGTGTTATTCAACAACGCCGGCCTGGTCCGCGGGGCGAGCGTCATGGAAGGGTCGTACGGCGATGTCGAGGCAACAGTGAGGACGAATCTGATCGCGCCGATGCTGCTCGTCAAGGAGTTTATCCCAGAGATGGTTAAGCGTGACCATGGCCATATTCTGCACACGGGAAGTCTGAGCTGCGTAACACCGCCAGCCCTAGTTGCAGACTATTCAGCTACAAAGGCCGGATTGGTGGCCATGCATGAGGTGAGCGGGCTTGGCTACAATACCAATCCCAAAAGAAACAGCGCATGTGAGCTAACGTTCAGCTCATCAATCTCCGTTGTGAGCGCATTAGTCTCTGCAGTTGGAACTCAAAACGGTTTACAAGGCTCCACGTGTGCGCCTTACCATGGGAATCTTTTGCTTTATCCGCACGCCGCTCATCGCCGGAGACATGAACGTTCCAAACTTCCTGTTGCCACTGCTCCATGTTGACAGCGTCGGCGAGTCCTTGGTAAATGCCGCGTACAGCGGCTATGGATCCACCATCTACATGCCCAGCATTGTCAACAGACTCGCAGCAATATTGGTGAGTAGCTTTGGGCAGAGTTTGCACCCTTTCTACTATTCCGCAACCCGGTCTGGACAGGGCTTGATTACGACGATAAAGAGGCTAATCATTCTGTTTCTTCCAACTTTAGAGAGCTGGTCCCGAATGGATCTTCCGGCTTGTACGAGAAGGCACGGCCGCGTTCCGAATAGATTTCCGGGGCCGGCACCAAGTCGATGCAGTGACTGGCAAGCTCCTAAAGGCGTAAAGTAGCACGGGTACCTTTGTGATTCGAAATCGAGAAGACGATCATTTTTCTGCCCGAAGATCCATTGTAAAAGCCATCGAGAATTTCGTAGTTGGCATGAGCAAAACTGGGGGCTCTTCATGTAGCGTGATATACAATCAATGCCATTTGGTGGAATTGCAGGCATCCTATTCCCATCGAGATTCCACTCAGATCCAATCGAGATCCCATCAAGTCCCGCAGTATCCCAATACTACTACCTAGTAGGTACTTGTTGAGTAATACATAGTAGTAGTTAGTAGTTGAGAAGACAGAGCCTGGGGCCGCGCTACCCGTTCAGTCGCCACGCCGCGGTAAATGCCGGCCGGTTTTCCGAGTCTGGCGTTTGGGCTGGGCTCCCCAGCAATCCGTCTGTTGCCATGCGGCCTGTCCCGGGTGGCTTCTGTGGAGTGCAGATGCTGGAGAAATCGTTGGTTCACCAGCGTGGTGTGAGAATGGAAATTTGCTTGACATTTACGTCAGATCTGTATTTTCTGTGTTTTCTTGTCAACCCACGTCTCTTGTTAAATGTTGAAGAACAGCACAAGTCCAGTTGTTCATCAGATGACCTGCAAATCGTTGATGGGGAGTGAATGCAAGTTAAAGTTCTTTCACTCCAGTCCATGCACCAATTCCATCTGATGGAACTTGTGGCTTGAGTTTGAAGAACAGGCAGTTGAGTTCGAATGGGCAGACTTCACGCACACCTTGGCGTACATATATAGCCGGGTGCCATCAAAGGTATGTTAGTAGAACCGCTCGTGAGAGTCCAAAGCACGCATACTATTTAGCATTTTAGCTGTTGAAAGGTTTCGAAAGATTTTCCAGGAATTTTTCATCCATCGGGAACGAAAGCTGTGAGACTGAAGATGATAGCTCGTCAACAGAGCATCCGACAAAGTTTGGCTTAAGATCGTCAGGTCTCAATGGCGCCGCCTTCTCTATCCAATCACGCATTTCCAGTCACTACCCCGTGTGCAAGTCATCAAATAGCAAACTCGTTTTGCGTCTTGCTCAGTAGCTTTGCTCGTATAAGCTGTATTACATACTTCGTAGACGGTAATACCTGCCGAAGGGGGGGCCTAATGGATCCACTATTCACAGATGCGGAAGAAGAATGGAATGTCAGAAATAAAATAAAATAAAAAGGCAACTCAAAGTAAGAAGCGAGGCCTCTCTGTAGTCGTGCCATGTGCGTCATCATGATTATTCATCAATTGTCGGATTCGGCTTGCGCGTCGCGGGCGCTCCTTGGTTCATACGAATTGAATTATTTTGTTATGTTGTTGCAAAAAGGAGCAATCTGCCTGGAAAAAGTAATCCGCATCTTTCGCAAACAAATACTTAATCCACCGCTTAAGCATTTCCTGGATCCGTGCGCGCAAGTGCAAAGCGGCCAGGCCGTCGCCACCGGGTTGCGATTCATTGAAATGTGACGAATGGAGAGCAACTTATTCTGACTCGTGGGCGCTCATATATCCATTTGATGGAGAGTAAATCTTGGCAATAGCAACAGCAGTGTGGTTATTATAAGATGGGAAAATAGCCAGCTGAAACGGCGCCAGCCGAACGGTCTCAGATTGACAATTGGCGTCCATCTTTCGCATCAGTTGATCCTCAGCCGGTAAACAAGCGGACAGCGGCCAAGTGGAACACCTGTGGAGCTCATATTGCGGGCAACCTTGCAGTTCGGCTACAGCTTTGATAGCTCTTTCTGGCAGCAGCTGTCAAAGGTTGCCATAATCCGCGCCAGCTCCATGCATAAAGAAAATTGCCGTCTTAGTATGGCTGCTCATAGCTCGCGCCAATCATCTGCAAACTTCAGGGGAAAGGCTTAAGGACTAATCACCGCCGCCTGCCACTCTGTGCGAAGAGGGAGTTGGCAGCATGTCAAGATGACGCGAGAGGCTCCCCAGAAGCAAGCAGAGTGGACAGCGCCACCCCATCCCAAAGATCCGAAAACCCCGCCAAACCAGGCATCAGATGCTAAGTTTGGAGGCCCCATAATAGTATTACCAGCTCCAGCTCTGTTTCTCTGCTCCGTTCATAAGCGTAAAGAGCCTTTGGTACTTGAAAGCATTGCTAGAGAACCCAAGAATAAGGTGGGATCCCTCCCTTGGGTATGTGCTTGTGCCGAATGAATAGGAGAGTGGCCACAGCCGCTTGATCCGCCTGGCACTAGCAACTGGCTGATCCATGAGGCGGCCAAGCGCACCGGAGCAATAATGAGCAGAACTAGTGGCCATCCGAGTCTAGCGCTGAAGCCGCAAGCTGCGCCGCGTGGCTCCATCTCAGCTTGGCCATCAGCTCCTCCGGGAAGCTGCCAGGGCTTTTTCTGTATTTTTCCCTTGGTATGGAGCAAACCATGACAAGATGGCTTTCGCCGATAATGGCTAGGAGAAGGCAAACGAGGATGAGGCGGAAACTTATACAAAGAAGCAGTCCGAGCCTCTCTTGTCCTTGTCGTCCACCCTGGTCACTTCTCCCCCACTAGCAGTGAGATCGCGCCAAGATCTTTGTCAATCACTGTTGATTGATCGGCTTGCCTTCTTTGCCGGGATTTCAGCCTCTGCTTTTCCTCTTCTTTCTGCCTCTTTCTTTTCCTCCCCCCTCCTGTTCCCGCTGTCCATCGAAGCCAATATATTTCAGACGAGAGCCAGAGAGAGGGCGGGAGACGACAGCAAAGCTCGCGTTGCATCATGAGGTCGACGACGACGCGCTCAGCTCTTGCGCTGCTGGTCGCAGCCCAGTATGCCGAAGCTGCCGATGCAATGTTCCCACGGGCAGAATCTGGAGATGGCTATTTGTCGATTCCCGTGGGAACCATCCAGCGGCCACACAAGGTTGGCAAGAGAAGCGCTATTGATGCGGTGCTGGAGAATATGGATTTCTTTTATGCCATTGAAAGTAAGTTCTGTTGCGAAAAAGAAAGAGAAAATAGAATATGTGATTTTGGGCATTAGCTGGGAAGCTGTTGTCACTGCGGCTCTGGAAGGGGGCAGTTTCTGCTTGCTTGAACATCATCAACCCTGTCTTAGATCCGACCTTTCTTCTCACTTATGCTTGCTGTCCTCCCTGCGCCTCTCTAAACGGCCCAGAATACTGACGTGAATTTCTAAATATCAGTTGGCCTGGGAACTCCTCCTCAGAACGTAACCGTTCTCGTCGATACTGGATCCAGCGAGCTCTGGGTCAACCCAGACTGTTCAAACGCACCATCCATGCAGCAAGAGCAGCAGTGTCGGACTCTGGGTCAATACAACCCCAGGAAATCGAAAACGCCGCCTGTTGGCCCGTTTGGGAGCGAGGAAATCAATTACGGCGATCCGTCAGACTCTTCCACCCAGACCTCCGTCGATATCACCTATTACGCCGACGTCATAAGCTTTGGCAAAAGCCAGGTCAAGAATCAAACCTTTGGCGTTGTCACATCCAGTCAGGGCCAGGCGCAGGGCATCATGGGCCTGGCCCCAGATGTTCAAGGAGGATTTCCTGGCGACGAGCCGTATAGCCTGTTGCTCAACACGATGGCTGACCAGGGAGTCATTGCAAGCCGTGTCTTTTCCCTCGATCTGCGACACGCGAGCTCTCAGACGGGGGCCATCATCTACGGCGGCCTAGATCGCAGCAAGTACATTGGATCTTTAGAGGCACGACCCATTGTGCCTGGTATCCAGGGCGAGACCCGCCTAGCCGTCAATCTCACTACACTGGGCGTTACCATTGATCAGTCGCAGAGCTTCAAGCTCGGGGCTTCCGACACAAATGTGATGCTAGACTCCGGAACGTCGCTCACCCGTATGCACTCGGCTGTTGCTTTACCCATACTTGACGCATTGGGTGCTCAAGACGATGGCGAAGGTTATTTCTATGTGCCGTGCTCGACTCGTAATGCCGGTGGCAGTGTTGATTTCGGGTTTGGCAACAAGACGGTCCGCGTCGACTTCAGCGACTTTATCCTTTCCTCGGGTGAAAGCTCAGGCGATGACTCAACTGACGATGACAACTCGCTGTGCTATGTCGGCCTTGTCCTTACTACTGACCAGCAGATTTTGGGAGACACCGTGTTGAGGGCCGGATACTTTGTTTTTGACTGGGACAATAAACAAGTCCACATTGCCCAGGCAGCCGACTGTGGAAGCAGTGATATTGTTGTAGTCGGCAAAGGAGCCAACGCTGTGCCCAACGTTGAAGGCAACTGTAACGCCAACGCCGCCACTTTTACAGGCACAGGCGGTCCTACGGTGAGTAGCAGCAGTGACCGGTCGCAAAAGCCATTTCCCCCTCTCTCCTGCTTTTCAGTCAGATAGCAAATAACTAATCACATCTTTTTGTTGTTCCAGGCCACAATAGCGACCACCCACAGTAGTCCAACCGGAACGATCACGACTGTATTTACTGTGACCTCGTGTCCAGTATTCGACATTGGATGCAAAACCGGAGTCGTCACAACCCAAACCATTGGGCAGGCCGAGGCCACGGCCGAACCTAGTGCCACCAGCACCGGGGGTGGCTCCGGCAGTGGTGGAGGCGATGAAGATGGTGGTGTGCGGCCGCAGGCTTTGACATGGGTATTTGTTGTGCTGGGAACTTTGGCTTTGGTTGTCAATATTGCATAGAGAGCCGTTCGCGGAGTCTTTTGTTTTGCCCCCACCCCCTCCCCCTGTTGCTGCTTATTTATATCCCCTCTGCTTTGCATATAGTTGTATATACGGACGGGCTGTGCGGCCGTTAATTTTTGGTTAGTGTCTGTATAGATGACTTGCATACCTACATACTGTATGCCTGTGCTCCATATGCCAACGAAAAAAGGGAACTTATCTGGGCTTACTTGGAAGTGGTAACTACTGGTAGCAGCAGCACTGCCACTTTCGCCTGTTACCAGCTGCTTAACCATATGAATTGTTTCACGCAGACAATGCGAGCCCAACCACCAGCATTTTCCTCAATACTACCGCGTTGTAGAGGCATGATGTGTCACTGTCATGTTGGAAACCGTCGAATGAAGATTGAAGCGGGGCCATGAAGATAAAGTCCAGACTCGGGGGGGACAGTCCCACAGAAAAGCTGTCAGAAAGGCCGGAAAAGACTGTTGTCTTATCGGAACGGCTCCGTGTCAGCGGAGACCTATTTCGTCGGAACGAAGAGCACCTGTAGGAAAAGTTGCGGAACACTCACCATCCGTTGACGCTTCTTTCTACCCTCGGTTAAATCGCCTAGTTGAGGTCGTCAGTGATTGTCGTCGAGAATCCGAGCGTCCGAGTGATGCAGCTCGTTTCGGAGGCTCGGACTGGAGAAATGCCTGCGACGGCTTGCCAGGTCGGCAACGCAGTAGTGGACAGGCCCAGCCTGCACTTGGCGGAGTAATCTGGGGTAATAGTCTGGAGAGCACGTAGTCGAGAGTCCAGTTGCTAAACGCTAGTCCATCACTAGCATTGATTCTCCGCACCGTAGGGCCTGAACTGTTGGAGTAGCGTGGCTCTGCCGTTGCGGAGAAGCAACCGAAAACTGAATCGCGCCAGCCGCCTGGAAGAGACGCTCGGGTTCTCTTGTTGCTGATCAGAACTGGCGGAGAGGCGGTTTTATGGCAAGAAGAAGAAGAGCAAGAAGAAGAGGAGAAGGAGGAGAAAGAAACACAAGAAATGCCAAACCAGTATATGCACTTGTTTATGAAAGGCATATTTTCGATTGGGTGCTTGCAGGAGTAGTAATGTGCAATGGATTCGTGATACCGTCACAGCGGTCGAGGGGGAAAAGAAAAATCCGGGCGCTAATTAATTCCTGCCCAGAAGGCTCCGTTGGCGCGGGTGCTGCAGTTACAGCACGTTGTGGCGGCGTCAGGGGAGTACCCGCAATAGCCGATGTCGACTCCCGAGTGGAGATGCCGTCGATATAATTGACCTCGGATCAACGAGGTTAAACCAAAGCTGACGGCTTTGCCCCAGCCCGTCAGCGATGTCTCTTTTTCGTCTCGACTTGTGCAAGGAGTGAGCCATTCCCAGTTCTCAGTTCTCATATATTCTCGCCTCTTTCTGTCTTCTTTCTGTCCTTCTTGTTTCCCCTCCAGTCTCCCCGGCTAATTTCTGTTCATGCCCCTCTTCTGTTTTTCCCTTCACGTTTCTGCATAAACAGCTCTAGATAGAAGAAAAAGGACACATTAATCGCCATGGTCTTCACACCGCCATCATATGTCCCCCAATTGCCAGGTTTGTCTCTTTTTTTGCACACGCGCCAGAGCAGAAACTGCTGTCTCTGAACTCAACTCCACCCGGAAACAAGCTCACTCGTGGGGGACAGATATTCCGGATTCCATCACCATTGAAGAGTTCCTACGTGATGAGAAGCACGGCAGGCTCCTCCCGCTGGCCAAGTCCAGAAACCCGTACACATGTGGCCTCACGGGCAAGACCTACACCGCCGTCCAGGTAGCTGAGCGGACAGACCTGCTGGCGCGCGCGATTGGCAAGCGATTGGGCTTCAACCTTCACGAGGAAACCGAGTGGGAGAGAGTTGTCGCGATATACTCAGTCAACGCGGTACGCTAAAAGCCGAGCCCACATCTCCGAAACCAAGCCAAAGTGTTGGTCTTCAAGCTGCGAGTCTAACGAGACATATGGTTCTCTTCCTTTTCCAGATCGACTATCTTCCCTTTACCCACGCCATCCACCGCCTGTCCGGCATCGTCACGCCAGCCAGCGCCGCCTACTCTGCGCAAGAGCTCGAGCACCAGCTCCGTACATCGGGAGCCAAGGCCGTATTCACCTGCACCCCCCTGCTTGACAATGCGCTCAAGGCCGCCGACGCCGTGGGAATCCCCCGAGACCGCATCTTCATAGTGCCCGTTTCGGGCTTCGACAATCCCGCGCCATATGTGACCATTGACGATTTGGTTGCTGAAGGCAGCAAGCTGCCGCCGCTGAAGCCTCTTCATTGGATCAAGGGGCAGGGCGCAAGACAGACAGCCTATCTTTGCTATTCCAGCGGCACTTCTGGCATGCCGGTAAGTGGGAGTTGTTTTGTTGATCCCTACCCATGTAACAGAAAGCTCGCAAGCTTAAGAGTACTTGCTGGTTGTTTGGAACGTCGTATTTGAAGCTAACAAAAGGCCGCTGTCAAGAAAGCCGTCATGATTTCCCACGCCAACGTAATTGCCAACGTCCTCCAGGTCTTCCACTTTGAGAGCATCCCCCGCAAACAAATCAGCGTCGAGACGCAGAATTACCTTGGAGTGTTGCCGTTTTCACACATATACGCGCTTGTTCTCGTCTGTACCCTCGGCCAGTTCCGCGGCGATCAAGCCATTGTGCTGCCAAAGTACAACTTTGACGATCTACTCGGCGCCACCCAGCGCTTTGGCATTGAGCAGCTGTTCGTCGTCCCGCCGATGCTCATCCACGTCATCAGTAACCCTGACAAGGTCGCCAAGTACAATCTCAGCAGCGTGCGCTTCGTCTACTGCGGCGCAGCTCCGCTAGGTCCCGAAGTTGTCGACTCGTTGCTCAAGATGTTCCCGAAATGGCGTATTGGCCAAGGCTATGGCATGACGGAATGTTCGCCCACCGTCTGCACGACAAGCGAGCTGGACGTGCTTTCAGGTTCATCTGGCTCTCTGCTACCAGGGAAGCGGGCCAAGCTCATCGATCTCGAGGGCAAAGAAGTCACCACTTACGACACTCCGGGAGAGCTGTTGGTTCAATCGCCGGCCGTCGTCCTGGGATACTTGAACAATGAAAAGGCCAATGCCGAGACATTTCTCCATCACGAAGATGGCCGCTGGCTGCGAACAGGGGACGAAGTCATCATACGAAAGTCGGCACAGGGCCACGAGCACATTATTGTCGTCGATCGCATCAAGGAGCTGATCAAGACCAAGGTGCGTCGAACAAAGCAAATTAACCAAACTCTTCACTACCTAGGCATTACTAACATAATACAGGGCCATCAAGTTGCTCCAGCAGAACTAGAAGCCCACCTCCTCAGCCATCCCTATGTCTCCGACTGCGCCGTCATCCCCGTCCATGACACTTACGCCGGCGAGGTGCCCAAAGCCTACGTCGTCAAATCCGACACCGAATGCAGTGGCAAATCCGACAAGGACATTGAGGCCGCCGTCCAAAAGCACGTCAAGGAGCACAAGGCCAAGCACAAGTGGCTCGCTGGCGGCATCGAGTTCATTGACGCCATTCCCAAGAGCCCCAGCGGCAAGATTCTACGGCGCCTGCTGCGAGACAAGGAGAAGAAGGCAAGGCAGGCCAATGGAGCGAAACTATGATTGGAAGAGTTGGCAAAAAAAGATTTTTAGTGACTTAGGAGCTACAGCTGTCCATTCTATGTTACGTGCTGCCTATACTGATTGGATTAGTGTACTGGTTGATTGAATTAGTTTCGGATATCTGTGCCCTCAGTTCTGGGCAGAACGCAAAGATAGATGGCATGTAACTCGCGATTTACAGATTTTGGATACCCATCAACAAAATACACAAAAAGAAAACATTATAAAGGGGATGCTACTCATGTCCGAACTATACTAGACGAAGCACACAATAAGATTTATTTTTCAACAAACAAATATTCAAGCTCTACTACAAAGACACAGCACAAACAACACATGAAGCCAGAGGGGAAAAAGAGGCGATTCAATTCGTCTGTGGTAGAACTTTCATTAGAAGCAAAATCTTCATCCATTGGCGACTCTTCACCGGAAGTCATATCTTCATCCGAGCATGGGCTTTCACCAGAAGTAAAATCTTCATACGCCATCATCTGATTCTCATGGTTGTCGCACTCGTTGACATCAATATTGGATGCCATTTAAATGCATACATTGTTTGTTAGCAAATGAGGTAAAGGAAAGAATATGCACTTAGGTTTTGATAAACTATGGTAGTTTAGTGACGTCCTAGAAGAAGATAAATTATAGTAGTTAAAAGCTTAAATAACTATAATTTAAAAAAAAAAAGAAGAAAAAAGGGGAGAGAAAATATTTATAAAGTAGTAAAGAGTAAAAAAAAAAAGATTCAAAAGGAGAGAAGATATATAAATGCGACAGAGAATAAACGCGGTGAACGCGGCTGGGCGCTTATCTTTATTCCGCGACGCTTTGCTTGTAACAATGATTTTAGATCAAATGCTGGTAAATCTTCAGGGAGTTCTGCAAAAGATAGGAGCACTTTCTTATCTAGCTTTAATGTTTTCTTTTTATTCAGGTTTATCGCCCACAGTATCGTTTTAAGTCGACACCTAATAAATATCATGGACCTTTTCAACTATTTGCGAAACCTCAACGATTTATTTATGAACACATGATTGAGTGAAGTAGAAAGAACATAACTAGACGAAGCACACAATAAGATATATTTTTCAACAAACAAATATTCAAGCTCTACTACAAAGACACAGCACAAAAAACACATGAAGCAGAGGGAAAAAAGAGACGAGTCAATGTTTCCAAAATGTTCATAGCCTTGGCAGCAGCCAAACGGCGAATGAATCTCATATCGATATTAATATTAAGTTGCCACAAACAGCCAGTCCAGCCAGGTGTACCAAATGTTTCTCCATGCATTGCCCTTTTTCATTGCGTTGCGCGTGACCAAAGTACCCCCCAGCTGTCCTGCCCGTATTGTGTTCGTAAGGATCGTAAGAATGATACTTGCCCTGCCGTATGAGGGTCTTTTTTTAACCGCTATAATCGAAAAGTCCTGTTCCGTATACACATACATTCCCCTCCATTCTACCACTTCAAGTGAATTAATACATACTGCACGCGCCCTCCCAGAGGCACTGGAAATTGAAAAAGCAACATAGTCCCAAAAACGATTCCAAAGGGAAAAAAAAAAAATTATTTATTTTAAAACCGGGAGAGCATCCTCTACCTGTACACTGTTTTACAAAGCAGCAACAGCGGCCATGATGGCGAAGCCCAGGCCCATACCGGCGCCGAGGCGGCCAGCTCCGTTGACAATGGGGATGCCAGTGCTAACGGGAGGGATGGGAATGCCAGTGCCGGTGCCGGTGGCGGCAGGGGGGGCCGCAACAGGAGGAGTAACCAGAGTTGGGGCAGCGCCAGGGGCACTCTCAACGGGGGCAGCAGGGGCACTGGCGGCGGGAGCACTCTCGACAGGAGCAGTGACTGCGGGGGCAGACTGCGCAGGAGGAACATAGCTGGGCTGAGGAGCGGCAGTGATGCTGACCTGGGGGACGGTGATGGCAGTTGAGACGTAGACAGTGGTGCTGCTGCCGGTGATGGTGCTGCCGGCAGAGACACAAGGCTCGGTGACAGTGGTGGCAACGGTAATAGTCGTGTAGTCGGTGGGGACAGCGTAGGGAGTGCCAGTCACGGTGATGATGGAGGTGATGGTCTCAGCGCCGGTAGCAACAGCAGGGTTGGAACTGGCGTAGCCAGCGCAGACACCCTGGAAGAAGACAATGGCGGCAGCGACATCGTCATCGTTCTGGCCGTTGGCGTAGATGCAGTCGAAGACCTTGGTGACGAGGTCCTTGCTGGGGCAGTAGCAAGAAGCATCGGCGTTGTTCTTGCAGTTGGGGACAAGAGGCAGCCAGGTGTTGATGCACTTGGGCAGGACATCGGGGCAAGGAAGGCCAGAGTCGGCAGGGGGGGAGCCAGAGCCAGTGCCAGAGGCAGGCTGAGTAGCGGCGGCGGCTCCGGAGGTCTGCTGAGGAGGAGCACCAGCGGTGATGGTAGCGGTGACGGGGCAGATGGTGGTGCTGACAGCAACAGTCACGGTGGTGACGACGGGCTTGTCGGTTCTGGCCGGGCAGTTGGTAATCTCGGGAGCACAGCTGGTGATGGTGTGGACGCTGGTAGTGAAGACGGTAGAGGTGCTCTGGAAGACGGTGGTGTAGACAGACTGGGTGGCGGGAGCAGTGGTTCCAGCAGGAGTAGTCTCGACAGCGGCAGTGGTGGTTCCAGCAGGAGTAGTCTCGACAGCAGCAGTGGTGGTTCCAGCGGGAGCAGTCTCGGTCTCAGTCTCGGTGCAATCAGTCTCGGTCTCAGTCTCGACGCTAGCAGGAGCAGTGGTGGTCTCGGCGCCAGCGGGAGCAGTAGTAGTTCCGCCGGGGATGATGGAGGTGCTCACAACAACGTCGGTGGTTCCAGTGGGAGGAGTGTTGCCATAGGGAGTGGTTGTGGCGGGAGCAGTCTCAGCAGGAGCAGTGGTAGTCTCAGCGCCAGCAGGGGCAGTGGTGGTTCCAGCAGGAGCAGTAGTCGTCTCGGCACCGGCGGGAGCAGTCGTTGTCTCGCCATAGGGAGGCAGAGAGTAGCCGGGCTTGGAGTGCGAGTGGTGGTGAGATCCTCCAGAGGGGGGAGTGTAGGCGGGCTGAGAGTGAGGGGGCTTGGAGTGGTGGGAGGGAGGAGTGTAGGCGGGCTGCGTGTAGGCAGGCTGCGAGTGGGATGGCGGAGGAGCATTGTTGCCGCAGTCCCAGCCGATGTGGTGGACCTTGGTCTTGCAAGACGACTTGCCGCTGTTGGGGTAGACAATGGTCACGGACTTGGCACCACCGCACTGGGTGTTCTTGACCGTGGTTCCCTGGGACGAGCACTGAGCAGAGTGCTTGCAGGTAGAGCCATCGGGCATGCCGTAGTGGAACTCGAGACGACAGTCAAACTCGGGGGAGATGGAGAAGGTGTCGACAGAGAAGTGTCCAGTGCCCTCGCCAGCGGTGATGCACGGAGAGGTCTCCTTCTCGGCAGTGCAGGAGCCGACGATGGAGCGGCCGGTAGAGCCAAAGGAGCGAGCACTCAGGAGGTTGTCACGCTTGCTGAAGTCGTTCTCGCAGGACCAGCCGCTGAAGTCGAATCCACCAAACTGTCCGAGTTGGCCGATGGGGAAGTTGCCAAAGTTCCAGCCACCCTGCATGTCGGGGTTGCACTGGTTGTTGGTGTTTCCGGGGCAGCTATAGGCCGCGGCCTGAGTCCAGGAGCTTCCAAGGTGGAACTAGATGATGAGATATAACAGTCAGCCATCTGCATAGGTATACGTAGGTGTAGGTATACATGAGACAGAAGAAGAAGGATGTCGAGTATCTTACAGTGGCAGCAACTTGCTCCACGCCGGCCGCAGCCAGGAGAGCATAGGCAGCAGTCTTCATGGTGAAGTAGTAAACGACAGGAGATCGCGATCAAGCGTCTAGAAACCGAAAAACGATGGATGAAGAATATGAATATCGATATGAAATGCTCTTGTTGAGTAGTTGTAGTTGCGTGTAGCAGTGGTTTGAGGGATGCAAAGATAACGAATGACTTTGACCCAAAATGAGAGACTGGTGAGATTAGGAAAAAGGGACGAAGAAAAGAAAGGAAAATAACGACACAAGGACTGATGAAGCTTCAAAATCGAGCAAGCAGCAAAGGACGGGCCGAGGGCATATCTATATACCCATCGATATACTGCAGCAGAGCCCTCTGCCGGAGACGCTTTCATGCTTGGGCGCTTGACCAAGCAGGCGCAAAGCCTCGCCCCCCTGCAGCCCGGGAAAGGTCGAGGCAAGAGACCAGATCCCTGTCGCGCCCCATCGTGAAGCGCCGGGAAGCAGGTTGAGGCAATCTCGAGTCAGCGCGTGCGAGAAGCGGCCTTCAGGCACGGAGTGCTGTTCCTGCGCTGGATGGAGGTTCTGGGCGGGACTTTGGTGGTGGTGGTGGTGGTGGTGGCGCCCGTGACAGGCGGGACCTCGGCGGCGGGTACAGCGCAGGTACCAGCGCGGCGCGGCGCACTCGGATTGGGTACTGGGCAGCTACACGGGGGCGAGTCTCGCTCCAGAATCCGTGCCAAGACGTTCCAGGGGCGCATGGATGGCTCGCTGCCGAAACGGCTCCATGGCCCCAGGGGCTGCGCTACAGCGTTCTTGGCAGGCACGCGGCGCTCTTAGTGGTCGCTGAAGCAGCCCCTCGCAGGAGCCTTTTCAGGTACGGGTGGATGGGCTGGTAGCGGACGTTACAGGTTGCTGGACGCACGCAGAGCGGTACTGGCTGAGCATTGAAGCACCTGAGCAGTCGTAGTGCTAGCATTAGTGGACGTGCGGCTTCCCACTCACACGCAGCGCAATCAGTCCACCTATGGGCTCACATCCACGGCTATTACATGAGGATGCAAAATGCCAAGGACGCCAGAGATTGTGGGAGGATTTGCAAGGGAAAGAAAATTAGTAGTAGTGGATTGTAAGTAAATACATAGACAGACAGACAGTCAAGGTACTAGAGGTATCTACAAGCAGGGACTAAGAGAAGGGCACGAAATCGATAGGTCGTCAATGCAAGATTGTCTTCATTCGCTGCGTCTCTTTGCCGCATTAGCATTCGCGTGAGCATTGCCGTTTACGTGCCCGAGAGCCAATCAAGCCAAGGCTCGCTCTAGCGAACCGCCATGCTCCAATCTCCCCTAAAATAGCCAATATTCATGCACGAGCCCTCAAGCCTCACCTGCAGGGCCGGCCGCATCTGGGGCCACCGCACACAGCGCCTAAGCTTGCAGACAAGTCTAACCCGCGAGCCTAATGCCCAGCCGGGTTAAAGCAGCCTGGACCCCTGGATGGGCGCACTTGCACCTGCAGCAGCGCCTGATGCGCGGGAAAGGAAGATTTAGAATAAAATGAACGATGCAGGCGGTGTTTGATTATTTACCTAATACTAGCACTGCTGCAGTAGTACTAGCAGTAGCATTACGCCACCGTCACAAAGGGTTTGAGCAAAAGAAAATTTTTAAAAATAAAAATAAGCAAAAGGCTGGTAAAACACAAGTAGCACCTACTAAGGCAAACAATGAAACACGAGCAGCTGGCAGAATCATGGCCAGTAAACACACTGCGGCCAGCTAATATTAGACATCTTGCACGCACTTGCCTACATACCATCTTCTTTTTCTCTCACTGCTCCTGCTTCAGGTTGGCCGGCGCTTTTTCCTGCGCTAAACTCAATCAATGTCTCTCTACCGCGCCATTTGCGTGACTTCCCTGTGACACTCCTGCCGACCTTTTTTTTTTTTTTCTCTCTTTTCTTTTTTTTTTTTTTTTTTTTTTTTTTTCCGGCTCTCGATTCTTTTCGATTCTTTTTTGGCAGCCCACCGTTTCATTTATTTTTATCTCCGTCATCCGTTCGTGAGACACGCCCAGACCGGCAAAGATCGCCGAGCCCGCACAGACACGATCTCTACTCTGGACCTCTCTGCTTTGCTTTGCTCTACTTTACTTTGCTTACACCCACCCTTGCATATATGCATGTGCCCTACTCTGTGATGCTTAGTACAGCACATGCTCCATACTTGTGCCTTGTGCTCTCATCCCAGCTTGGACCGGCAAACGACAAGCCGCTATAACGCAGATGGCGGCGCTTGGCAGGTCTGTAATATTGTCCGAGAGTTCATGTGCTGGTGCTGCAGATGGAATCGGTCCCCCCCCATCGTCTACCCCTGGCTAACAGAGGTGCCAGATTCCACGCTATCCACGAACCGCTATCCCAAACGCAGACGCCGTCCTATCTGCTCGTCCCCATTCTGTCCAGAGCCATCGCTTAATCAGTGCTCGTGCCTGGCCTTTATCGACCAGTTCATCCCGTGCCATGCTCCTCCTAGCCTTGCCACCGGAATATTCCCCATGGCCCAGCTAGCCTCTCGCAGTTGGTGGACGGAAGCCTCCTTCAACACTGCCCCCGCCACCAAACCCCTGCTGTCGAATTGACCAGACCACGGGAAAAGGCACTTCCCCCCTGTTTGTTAGCGGACGAAAATCTCCAAGCGATGTTTGGCGGTCCCGTTTGCACACGGCAGGCCTGTCTGCTTGCGAGCAATTCAACTTATACAACGTAGATACCCGCGCAAGATATCCATACCCAGCACTTCGGACTTCGGGTAGTGCTGTGCAACACTGGGGGAGCAGAACCACGAAATTCGCTAATATCCTGCTAGTGCTCGTCCACACGAAGTAGATCCAGTAGGGCTGGTACTACTTGTACACAGCTTCTGCCGCTGGTTACCACTCTATACTGCTTTGGTCGTCTTTCCCTGCCCTAATTCGGCTACTACATCCCTTAAGCCAAATCTCTCCTTTGCCGTTCTTGGCCAATATAATGCTTGCTACTCTGGGACAAGCGTGTATAATTTCCGTACAGTGCTCCGAATTGACAAACTAACACGAATGACATATGATAAGAGCGGTCACCCGAGCTTTGATAGTACAAAATGCAGATATGCCAAAAGCACGGAGCAATTACCTCTTCGCTTAAAGGAGGAAGTCGAAAAAAGAACTCCATCACCTGAAGCTCCCTCTGTTTACCGCAGCCAGGTCAGTAGGATAATTTCCTTTGATCCTTGCTGCATCTTGCTGGATCCCAGACGAGCTGAAAAGGCTGTCAAACTACGATACAAAGAGTCCCGTGTACGGTAGTTCAGCCAATCTTCAGCTCCAGTCAGTTTCAGCTTCCGGCGGGTGCCAGATGCATTGACTGTTGGTGACGTCTGACAGAAGAAAGAGAAAGCTAGCTCCAAGCTCTGGCCCCCGTGAGCTTACCCACTTGTCAATTTTCAAGTCATAGGACAATACTGTAGTCCTAAAGATGCTGTCAACGCAGAATATGTTTCCTTACTAGTTGAAGCACAACAGTTCCTACTTGTACTTGCTGCGGGTTGCGGAGAAGCAGTGAAATCAGTTTATGCCGGGTGACGCTCCACAATGCACGCTCAGGTCTAGAGTGCTCTCCAACACTTTGGCATATACAATATTCCACTGCTGCAAGTATTGTATTAATGGCGTCTACTTCATAAAAATTACTACTATTTCTCTCCTCTACAGTTTTGTTCAAGTTACGGATCGACAGTTGTCCATCATCGGCTCTCTCCGAGATAGTCGCTTTGTGAATCCACCAGAGAGGTCCGCACCCATGGCAGTGCTACTGGTGATCTTCCAGCAAAATTCCGTATACGGAGTAGCTATAACGAACTACTGACATAGAATTTATGTATGTACCATCGGTTACTAACAACGAGTAGGTACTTAAGATACCGTAACAGGCTATTTTATGCCATTGTCCCTACATAGTAATTCGTATGAGGTTTTCCGTCGCTCACCTCCGTGGTAGTACCGTCCTTGGATTCTGAGAATTCCCGCAGCATGGCCTGCCAAGATCATGTCGACCTAGTCCCGGCAGCAGAATATCCGCGACAAGGCCGGACCTCATGGATCCTAGTTGGGTCGCCAAGCAAGAAGCTCGTTTTTTTGACTGTGCTGCATACTATATAGCTGCTAGTAAGTACTAGCAAGCTCACTATTAACCGGCTATCGATTAACAGTGGAGATAGAACCAGGATGCCATGTTACTCTTCCAACTTTTTCTCTCTTGGAGTACACGGGGCTGCTCTTACAGGTAGTTGCTCCGTATGCTGCAAGTTCAAGTATGTATGCCAGCAGGACAGCGAGCTTTCGTGCTCACCATCTCAAAACGACACGCTGCGAACACGCAACCATCAAGCCCAAGCTCCGTCTGGCTACAATGGTGGCAATATCCGCTCCGAGTGCAATAATTGAAGTCTCTTTTCGCCTGCAGCCTGGCGAGTACTCTTTTCAAATGTATGAACTCGTACACTGATCGGTAATCTCGACATTGTGCCATTGGAAAAAGTGCGCATGGTGTGATGTCCGAATCACACGGCTCACTAATTAAGAATGATTCCATACTATGCATGCAACCTGCTGTCTAAATGCTTGTCTTCGCACGGCCGCCCGGTAGGACAGACTTCTATTTTGAGGCGCTAGTCGACTGGTGAGGTAGTTTGGCATCGACAAAGTGTGCTGTTTCAATTTTCAATACGAGGATAACCTGAAGCAGCCATCCGATCGAACGGAGGTGGCGAAGCCCAACCCCATCCATGCGTCGTTGCGTCCGGCCCCACAGGGTCGTTCTGCCGTTCTGATGGGTCGCATTCAGGCACGCACAGTTAGCTCAACCGGCTACCCTCTTGAGCCGCGGTGTCTTGCCAGCCTCATCGGGTGTGGTGGTCTTGACGAGGTGGTATATTTCGATGAAGCTAGAATAGCACGCCTCATGCCTACCCTAGGGCGCCAGTTAGGCGATACAAAAATCAATCAATCAATGAATCAATCAGGCACCACGGCAGATTTTCAGGGCTTTCGGCCGTTTCTGAAGAACAACCCGACCACTAGTATGGCCCTCGCAGTCGGCAGGCCTACTTCCATTAATTATTTGAGCTTGCATTGCAATGAAATTACAACACAAACTGGGAGGTGCGTCAGACATTGAATATCAGTGGGACTAATTGCTCCGCAAGGAGAGTGTTCTTTTTGTGTGACATCTTCTTTGCAACACACGGCAACCATGACAACCACAATAGATGGATGCATCGTGAAGGATTATCGGCTCTAATTGACAGCCAAGTCGTATGTGGTTTCGAGAGAATTGGCGTAGGCGCGACTGACTGGCCACCGCCCCTCACGCCGACAACGAGGCGACAGATCATCAGGCGACACAAATTTTTTGCAGATTGTGTAAAAGTCCAATGTCTCCCGTTATTTGCTGTGGCCAGTATAAATGCCGCAGATTGAAATGCCGTCTGGCCTGCCGGTGTTAATTACTCGTCGAGATCGCCGATCATGCATGTGCATAACTGCCTGGGAAGTCATCGAGCCGTTCTCAGCCTTGTGGAAGCATTTTCACTGTAAGGCTGAAAAGAGTGGGTTAGCTGATTGAGGTTTGATGACTATTGAATGTGTATTAACAGTTGTTTTTCCCCTGGGGTTTGCTCTCCTTCGAACATGTCTCTTGACTACGCTGAATTCATAGAAACAATCAGGAAGCAGGTGATCTCACAGTCACAATCTCACCAAACATGATGCCGGGCGTTCTCTGTATACAGTGTAACATCCATTCTGCCGATTCCTCCTGTTTCCCCGAGAGTATTCTGCGAACTCGAGACAATACCATCATTAACCTATGAAGCCCGTAAGTCCAAGTCAAGGCTGAACGCGTCTTTTATGAAGGGCACTGTAGCACAGCCCTCACGAAGCTTTTGGACCGCCAATTTTGCTCCATCATTCAACATTAGGCAGGCGGATAAAATACTGGCTTGCGTATCATCGTCATTTGTGTCTCTACCCAGTTTCTCTGATATCGCCAACGCTTCTTCTATGAGCTCTGAGTCGGTATCAATCTGGTCATGGAGGAGATGCTCCGAAACTGTCAAGTTGTTTGCAATCAGGATTACGAGTGCAGCTTGATGTGTGCAAGCAATACCCCTAAGTTCCCTCGGTCAGTCTGCAATTCAGATACACCATCCTATTCAAGTGGACCTACCACAATGTCGCCGCTTGATCATGACCGACACATTGGCAGAGGCTCAGACATGATCTCGCGGCCACTACAAAGCTGGACCAATTGGTCGGCAGCAGTCTTGTATTAGATTGTAGACTTGACATGACATTTGAGGCAGTGCCGTCTATCAGTCCGTCTCGAAACGCCATCAGGCGGTCTATCCAAGCTCCATTTCGAGCGTACAGTCGATGTGACATGAAGAGGCATAGATAATACGCGAGGTGCAACGACACAAAATGCCTCAAAATGTTTTCTGGCATATGTGTAGAAAGATCTTCGACACGACAGCCTTGCGGCACAGAACTCCGCCATCCGTCAAGCAGTTGCGTTAGTCGGTCAGTAGCGGCTTCATGCTGGCTGGACAAACGTGTATTACGCGCTCGCACCGAGTAGGTGAGGTCATACATCTGCCCTTGAATGCGAGCCAGCAGAATCCGAAGCCTGAATATGTTTGCAGCCTTGCTTCCGTCACCCTGCAAAGTCAAACCATCTGCTGTATAGCTGGGTAGTGCTGACGGGGGGATATCTACCTCCATGTCGTAATCTTGCAGTCCATAGGGTTCAGTCGTGCGCATAGAGATATCTCTATCGAGAATGTATGTAATCCACAGTAGCTTTTCCTTCTGGGCCGCCAATCCAGTGTCCGTGTCGTTACGCCCCTCCCGAATGTGTAATTTAAGCCGATGTACTAATCTCACGGCTGTCCCAATCAGCACGCAGGCAGGATGAGGGCGAGGAGTGGCGAGGAAAAGAATTACAAGTGCTAACACAACTTGTAGACCTTGTATATCTTTATCTCTAATAACAAGATGGTTTAGTACGGATTGGGCGTTTTTAATGCATTCTGATGATAGTTGGTTACTGTGGGCTGTGGCCGCGTTTGGTGCCTGCTGAAGGCTTAAGGCGAGGACGACGTTTATCGACGCCCATGAAACATAATCTTGATTATTTTTCGATTGGTACCAACTTTCTAACATTTGCAGGAATGATTGCTGATGGAAGAGAGGCATCGCCGGGTTATAATTGGCAAAATAGCTATCTGCCAGAGCATACACCAAGTCTCTTCGTGGCAGGGCGAATTGACCTTGGCTCTCAGATCGAGACATCGAAGCCGTGAAGATAGTCGAGCCACTCGTCACAGTGTGCACTGGAGATGAAAGTTCTTGGATATTCTCGGGATGTTCTTGTCCGATACTTTCCCATAGTGAATCCGGGTGAGTTGAATTGTTGTGAAGAGAGCTTTCTATCGCCGCTAAACGACTCTCAATGTCAGCAAAGCGACGGTTGTGTGATCTGTACTCGACCACGTCAGGTACATTACAAAGCGTTATCTCACTGGCGTTACTTACACGTCCTGCGTCTTGGAAATCAGTTTCTTCGCAACAAGTCCCGGAGTCCGAGTACATGACAGGTCTCGGATGGCGCAAGTCGAACATGTTGGGATAGCGGCATCACATCGAATCTTTCTACGGATGCATGCATCGCACGCCTTAAATATAAGTAAGTACAAAGATCTAATTAGCGCTGAATGGCCAGGCTGTTTGTAACTTTACCTTTCTTCTGGTGTTCTGAGCGCCTGGCTGGCCCATGCCGGTCCGGAAAGCAGTCCAGCTTGCTAAGCCGGTGAAAGGAAAAGGACGAATATTCAAAACAGTAGTCTAAAAAGCTACCTTTAGCAAAAGCAAATGACGGAACACATGGGGAACGATGCATTCGGCGCCGGAGAAGAGCAGGACACACGGGGTTCCGCGCGGACTTTATCACGCCAGCCATGTGAGCGGATCCGAGCGGAGTTCCGGTTGACAAATCAAACTTTCAGACGGATTCTACAAATCTCATACAGCAGTGCGCTACTACTGTATAGAGAGAGAGAGCTATGTATATTATTATGCATGCCGTTTCTCTGCGTATTGCTTTACATGGCCACTCCAGCCAGACCGACCGTAAGTAACTTCAAGTCGCGAATCTCGTCAGCCCGCTGGAGTAGCTCAGGAACATCCCAATTAGCCCAAACAAACTTTCCTTTCAAGAATCTCGCCTCTTTTGAAGCGAGCCATACACAGAAATGCCCTGGTAATTCCACTATCAACGACAATATTAGTCCAAGGCAGCGTCTAAGGGTATCGATATCGTCATGAAAGACCTTGTCTGCAACCTACCTTCATCCTGGCCCTTCACCTTGGAATCTGGGCCGAAAATTTCCGTCGCAATTATCCCAGGATGAATATTGACAACGTGTAACTCGGGGTTCTCTGCAGCAAAATACTCAACCATTTTAAGCTGCGCCGTCTTACTCGCCGCATATGCCGACATGCCAGGCATTGGCTGAGTGTGAGTAAGGCCGGCTGATATGTTAAGCAGGATCGGGTCGGCGCCTGCGAGGGGCATGAATGCCTGAATAGCATTAAGCGAGGTGAGGACATTCATCTCAAATGCCTTCATAAAGGTGGCTGCGTTGTATTTCGCCACCGGCTCTATTGGTGACAAGGCTCCTGCATTATTTACAAAGATGTCGATTTTGCCCACTGCCTCTGCAATTTCCGCAAGTGCATCATCCACCTGTTTACGATCCGATAGATCTGCTGCTCGATAGAGGATTTGGGTATGAGGCTGTGCTGCAGATGATATCGCAACGACGCTGCTTTTTAGCTTGTCCACCCGCCTTCCAAGAATGGTGATGCTCTCTGCTCCGGCTTCTGCGAATGCAATGGCAACGGCTTTCCCAATGCCCGTCCCGGCACCAGTGACGACGACATTCTTGCCAGTAGCGGAGAGATCGCTACGACTGGGGGCGATGTCTGAATATGGCCCTGTGTGCCATTTGGTGGAGGAGACCCATTTTGGGAGCTTGAGGTTACTGATGTCGTCCATGGCTGGCCTTTTGTGAAGAGTGTATTGGATGTTAATTATGAGATACTAGTAGTTAGACAAAGAAGTGAAGGCTTCTTTTGTAATGTTCACGACTGAATGGAGAGGGCAAGGTCTCAACTATTTATAACAACGCATCTTAGTGCTGCCTCCAAAGTGCCGCAAACTGTTGCCCCTGGGTTTGCAATTGTCTTGTTCACGAACGCGGAGCCAATTAGTATTCATGACAACCAAAGTCGTTGATGGCAAAAGGTACGCGAAGACCTGAGGGCCTTGCACGGAGTCCGGCGGATCTGGTCAACGTCCAGACAGAGGTCCGGGCTCCGGCCGGACTACCAGGCATTGATGCTGAATAAATCTAAAAAGGGCAAAAAGGGCCTTCTCCACCCCCGCATGATCGCCGCCATACGCCCCATCTGCCATGGACCAACGCCGACCTGTGGTTGGTTGGCGCAAAACAAGGCTGGCAGGGACTGCCGTCCCCCACGCAGAACTAGCAAACCCGGGCCTTTACGAGTGCAACGACAAGCTTCAATATTAGTCGTCGGTCACGGTCCGATATGGATCGAATCTTCAGGCACCAATAGACTACCTGCTCCTTAAGGTGCGAGCATGGACTAGGCAACAGCAACACCACAAGGATTCGGTCCGATTTTCGTAAAGTAAGTGTGAGGAGAATATCTACCAGGAAGAAGATGGTGCAATCCGCTCAGATTCCATGGTTGGCCTGATGAGCAGCGGCAGACCAAGCACCAACTCCCCATGTCGTCTTCATTCATTCGCTTCTGCCCATCAAATGCCGCATACCATTCGAACCCGTCGTAAAAACTGTGGCTATTTAGACCGGTCCGAAAGGTAGGCAGCTCAGCTTTGTCCCATGGCCGTGCCCGCGACAAGTTGATCGTTACATGGGTTTGCGTCCAACATGCGGATCGCCACAGTGAAGGATCAAAACTTGACGTACCTATAAAGGGTCGCCTACGCGGGCACTTTCTGCCCTGTAGGCGATTCGAATCTGGCTTCCAATCAACCCCTATGTGGCTCTCAGTATAAGATAGATATTCCACTTACAAGCTACGATGCATACTTCGCATCTTATTGCGACACTTGCGACAGTGTTCAAGGTTGCCGCCGGTGACTACCTGGCAAATGTCAATGACACGACTGCTGTGAATTCGCAGAGCTCGTGCCCTGGTTACAAGGTTACCAGGATCCGCTCCAATTCACTTGGAGTCGAGGCAACCCTGACTCTCGCCGGAAGTGCGTGCAATTCTTACGGGACTGATATTGAGAAACTCAAGCTCTCCGTTGCCTACCAAGATGAACATCGTCTAGCTGTTAGCATCGAACCAGCGGAAATGGTCCGTAACAATTACGCCATATTTGACTCAACCGTGTGCTGCCGATTCCGCGCAGAGGTTAACATTGATGACATTAGGCCAACAGCCTGCCTGGCCAGTATGACCTGCCAGAATCTATCCTTTCCAAACCCTCGGGAAATGTCGAGAGCGGGGCATCAAACCTCCAGTTCGTCTGGGGGGACGAGCCTAGCTTCTGGTTTCAAGTCCGGCGCCGAGCAACTGGAGATGTGCTCATCAGCACCAAAGGGACTAAGCTAGTCTTTCAAAACCAGTTCATCGAGTTCGTAACCTCTCTTCCTACCAATCACAACATCACCGGCATGGGTGAGCAGGTTGCCCCCCTGCGTCACCTGCCCGGTTACGTTGCGACTTATTGGAACGTGGATCCAGCAAACCCCTGGTACCGTAACGAATATGGCAGCCACCCAATCTACCTCGACACAAGGTTCTATTCTCCCACGGATGCCGAGCAGACCAAGGGTTATACCCATGGGGTATTCTGGCGTAATGCCCACGGCCTGGAATCAATCTTGGGCACTCAGAATCTTACGTGGAGGGCTATCGGAGGAAGCATCGACCTGTACATCATGGATGGCCCTAAACCTACGGATGTCATATCACAATACCTTAACCACGTGGCGGGCCTTCCTGCCATGCAGCAATACTGGACTCTTGGTTACCATCAGAGCGCCTGGGGAATGCATGATTGGGGCGTCGTTCAGAACAGCATTGACGAGTTTGCTAAGAACAACATCCCATTGGAAACCATGTGGGTCGACATTGACTACATGCACAACAATCAAGACTTTAGTATGGACCCGGATAGGTTTTCTCCCGAGCAAGGCAAGGCAATACTTGGTCGGCTGCACGCCAACGGTCAACATTTTGTCCCCATCATCGACGCTGGCATCTACTACCCTCCGGCCAACGAATCCGAAAACACTCCCTATTCTCGTGGCCATGAGCGCGATGTGTTCATCAAGAACCCCGACGGTTCAGAATACGTTGGTCAACATTGGCCAGGCCCCGTAGTCTGGGCTGATTTCCATAACCCGGCAGCTACAGATTGGTGGGCTGGTGAATTCTCCCGTCTGCACGAGATGCTCGACTTTGACGGCATTTGGATAGACTTGAACGAGCCCGCGAGTCAATGTGATGGGAGCTGTGGCAACCCTCCGGCGAAGTCGACGACGGGTCAAGCAGACAGCAGGAACTTGGACAACCCCCCTTACAAGATATACAACGTAAAAGACGGGCTTGGCGAAGGGACAATGGCAATGAATGCTACGCACTCGGACGGTGTCGTCGCCTACGATGTGCACAATGCCTTTGGCCATTCCATCCTTCACGCCACCAACATTGCCCTGTCAAGACTCAGCCCCAAACGCCCGTTCATCATCGGACGGTCGACCTTTGCTGGCTCCGGGCAGTACGCCGGTCACTGGGGCGGCGACAATTTCGCCGCCTGGGACAACATGGCTGTCTCAATTCCCATGGGCATCAAAATGTCCATCTACGGCATTCCCATGTACGGTGTCGACACGTGTGGCTTTTTTTGGGATGTGAGCACCGAGCTATGCGGTCGATGGATGCAACTCTCCGCGTTTTTCCCCTTCTACCGAAACCACTACTCATCTGGCAGTCTCCCTCATGAGCCATGGAGTAAGTTACGCATCGCATACACTCTTGGATGCACAGGGACCTAATCAATTACATCTATAGGATGGGCTGACGTCGCCCAATATTCGCGGGATGCAATCGCTATTCGGTATTCATTGCTCCCTTACATGTATACGTTGTTCCACCACGCTTCGACAGCAGGTGACACTGTCCTACGTGCGCTCTCCTGGGAGTTCCCCGATGACCCCTCCGTCGTCGCTGTTGACACACAAATGATGCTTGGTCCGGCTGTCATGGTGTTGCCCGTTCTCACTCAAGGCGCAACTTCTGTCAGTGGTGTCTTCCCAGGCAAGGAACCTTGGTATGACTGGTATGAGCGCAAGGCTGTCCCATCTGAGTGGCAAGGCTCTAAGGCTACCGTATCGGCCCCGCAAGGTCATATACCAGTGTACATTCGCGGAGGGAGCATCCTTCCGCTACAGCAGCCTGGTAATACCACGAGGGATAGCCGGCGGAACCCTTGGGATGTGCTCGTGGCCCTCGACCAGCATGGCGAGGCATCAGGAAATTTGTACTTGGATGACGGAGAGAGCGCCGATCAACCTGCAACGAAAAAGGTGCTCTTGGAAGCTGGGTCGCGCAGCCTCACCATTGATGTGAAGGGAAATTTTGAGGCCCAGGATGGCGTGACCCCGCTGGCCAGCATCAGTATCATGGGTGTTCCTTCGCTCCAAGCCAAACCCAAATTCAACGGCAAGGTCGCCAAGTCATACAGCTACGATTCTGACAAGAAAATGTTAAACGTCTTCAATTTGGAGCAGTCGACAACTGGTGGAGCTTGGCGGCGTGCCTGGACTTTAACATGGTAGGAAGGGCGCATCAAGCTCTCGTACATAGACATACATAGACAAGCCTATTCTGATCTCTATCGTTATGCTATGGTTCTCTTGGGGGCGATTGTGGATGCTGTGGCAAATTGCCTGGCTCGACGATCAAACTCACCAGAGCTGTACGGACCAGGCCGGTCAAAGACCCAGAATTCTATTGTCATGCCTTATGTGGTGAAGGCCTCATATTGTCGCGTTACGCGGTTCCAATTATCTAAAATTATCACACGAGGGAAGCAGCACTCAATGATTGAAAATCTTCTTGCCTCTCTTTATCCTTACTGTTTCACTGGCCCTTTATGTAACGGTCTAGCAAGTATATTGACAATTGACTAGATGATTCTAACGAATATCCAAAGCTGAAGAAGAAAGAGAAAGTAAAACAAGAAAAGGAGAGCTCGAGGAGGGCCCAGGAATGACCTGACAAGTGGTGCATAGATACAGAACAGTAGCTCCCTGGAGCAGATGGAGGAAGCAGTTCTGGCTGGAACAGTTTAATATCTAGAAGTGAAAGATAGAAGCATTTATGTGTTAGTGGAACACTGCATACTTGCCCTGGAGCGCCGCTGAATTGTGTATAGTATTACAAAGAATGTTCTCGATACTCGGAACGGAACTCCGGCTTGGGTAGATATGATATTAGTGCTTAATCATGCCAAGTGTAATGAGAATTTTCCAATGACTAATCACAAGTGTTCCGGAATTCCTATGGCCTTTCCTTCTTCCATATTTTGGAGTATTCTTATCCAATGCTTTCCAATGTTTGCGTCCTGGGCATGTCTAATCAATGGTCGTAGTCTTCCAATTGAAATTATTCACGCAGGTTGCTCTGCCTCGGACGGAGTATTTAAGACGGACCATTCCCAAAAGTGGTGTATAGAACTCACAGAAGATTGAGTCTTCGCTCATGGCACTATTAACCGCCGGGAAACAAAGCAGTCATCATGAAACTAATAATTTCCCCCCTATGCATCTCCCTCATGGTGCATTTCAGTCTAGCTATACCAGCAACTTTGACTGAGCACTCTTTGAACTTTATCGCAAACTTTTCTGATCAGCCTCAACCATTTACTGTGAAAGTGCACGACTCGTTCCTCCTTGAGACGAAGGCAAAGGCGGCGTTAACACGTATCACTTCTCAAGTCGATGGCATGGCATTTGCGGATGGCGTTCCTGCGAACAATGTCAGTGATTGGGCTCGCCACTGGTCGACAGTGTATGATTGGCGCAAAGTTGAGCATGAGCTGAATAGCAAATTCCGCCACTTCACCACCACTGTCCAAGCCGGTGACAACTACACGTACCCTGTGCCTTTGCATTTTATCCATCATCGATCCCCACGGCATGATGCTATTCCCCTACTGTTTCTCCATGGGTGGCCAGGAACATTTCACGAGGTTGGAAATATTGTGGATTTGCTGACGAATCCACCGAACACGTCTCTCCCGGCGTTCCATGTTGTCGCTCCCGATCTGCCAGGCTTTGGATTTTCTCCAGCACCTACGCATGCTGGGTTGGGATTGCGGGAGATGGGTCAGAGCTTCAACAGCCTGATGATGCAACTGAATTACAGTCGGTACGTTGGTCAGGGAGGCGATATCGGCAGCCATATCTTACGACTTATGGCGGCCGACTTCCCAGTATCTTTGGTTTCGATGCTATCCAATCTCTTCAGTGTCTCCCCGAATGCCACTGATCTTGAGCGATACGCTAAACATGAGACATCACCAGACGAGACCGCTCAGATCAGTCTCCTCAATAATCCGGATTTCTCTTGGACTAAAGCATATTGGGATATTGAAGCTTCCGCTCCGCTCCAAGTGTCTATCAGTCTCACAGATAGCCCTGTTGGGTGGATGGCTTGGCAGTACATGGGCATGAGAATGCTCAGCCCGGGGTATGACTGGGGAGTTGACGAGCTTATCACTTGGTCTATGCTGAACTACATCCAAGGTCCCTATGGGGGTATAAGGTCTTACAAGGAAGCAAAGCGGGTAACTCTACTTGTTCCAGTATTTTGAGAAATGTCTTAAGAGTTATACATGCTGACAACCGTTTAGGAAGGTGTCCTTGACGGCAACTTCCCATACGTCGCTCAACCAGTAGGAGTTGTCCAGTATTTTGGCGACGCCGCCTACTACACGGTATGTAGGCCTGGCAACCTATGTCTTGAATGACAGTTGTAGCATATGCCGACAGAGGTGCTAATAATAGACAGCCTTTAGAATGGACTCAGCGGCAAGGAAATGTTTCATTTTACAGCAGAAAGGCCCCTCAAGTTATCGGTGGTCACTTTCCAGCATACATCAACCCTCGTGCTCTTGCTGAGGACTGTTGGGCCTTCTGGGGGAACGAGTCTCGATCTGGATCCGGTATATTTCGTATGGAGTAATCCCTTCAATGGCACAGGCTAGCTTCAGAATGCTCCAAAGTGAGGGCGTTAGTTAGGCCTGGGACTGTTTTTACTTGGTAGAATTCAACTTCTGTCAAAATATGTCTTCCGGGGCACACGAGCGCACAACCACCAGTGATCATGCGCTAAAAATTGCATCAATGGATAGCCAATACTCAACTGTAATAGCTGCAGCAGTATTGTTACCAATTCCATTCGATGCAGCGATTTTTTTCTTAGTTGAAGACAAATTTAGGGTGTCAAATTCGCAAATGGGTTCGTCCATCACACCCCAGTTCGCGAGGCGCTTTTTAGCTCCCGCGTGGTTCCCGCAAGGCTCCAACGTCAGAGACCAGTAAGAGTCCGTTTAAACGACTTCAAATCCTTGTCAGTTATCCACCAAGCTACATAGTAAGTCGATGCGACCCGGCAGTGCTAAAAATGAATGCTTAATTAAGAATTACCCTGTAACTGCTGCTTTTCAATACCCTATGAGTTACCGCTTCCAGTCAAACGCTGCGATGTTTCACTCGTTCTGCGTCCAGAGTCTTGTCCATCGCCAAATGGTCTAGCTGCGAAGAGTCTGCCTCGTGCATTTCCACCTCTGCCCTCAGTATTCCATGCCTTGTGAATAGAAAGCAAGGCATCGTTATTAGAAGGATACGATGTACCATAAACATGAACGTTTCCGCCACTGGCTTTTTGTGGTGTATTCTCCGGCAAGGTTACGTGACCTTTTTTACTCCCATTCTCCCTTGCTCCCAAATAGGTTGCAATTGATAGTAACGAAGATCAAGGTGTCATTTACTTTCCCAGCTAATCATGCGCCAGTCTTTAGAATTGCTGTTTGCTTCTCCAATAACCGTACCCGAAAATACATCCACGATAATTAGGTATGGTTACTCTAGGCTGGGCACTACCACCGCATCAACATTTTGTAGAGGGGGCGAAAGATTAACCATACAATTCTGACAATCAGGAACACGTGCATGCTTATTTGAATCTCTTCTTCGAGCGTAATTTTGTCAATACGCTCTAAAGAGACCGCTTGCAGTTTGAAAGAATTCACGTTTATTCCCCACGAGTATGTTGCCGTTTTAAGCTATCAAACAAGGTCAAACGGGCTATCCCATACGTCGACTAACCAGGATCAAAGATGGAATCATAACGAAGCTCTTAGCCGCAATTCTATTCCCGATTCTGCTGATATCTGCGCAGGTGAAGATTACTGCAATCCCCTTTGCCACCCAAGACCCATCGTCGTCGCCGACTCGCAAAGATATCCCAGCAAGCCCTAGATTACTCTAAGAGACGAAGAAATCAAACGAACGAGTCCATTCAGCACGAGCGGTATGCACCATGCTCGGACCTACAGAATATTCTTTTATCTCTTCAAATCATCTGACGACATTGCTCATTATAGGCGACGTCAGAACGAGCTATACCAGTCAGAGAATTGGCTATTACGCTACCGCCCCGGCTGTCACTATTTTGAATGCTGTCTCCCTGCTGACTATCTATTCTACTAAGAGGGCACGATCCCAGCATGCCGCCTATATCAGACTATTTCCTTGAATTATACACATTTTATTAGTTAAGTTGGCGTATCATACCGCAGAGAATTCATCGCCGCCCACTAGACAACTATCCATCGTATGAGGCAATAGAGAGGATAAATGAAACAGGAGATATAAACTGGAGAAGGGAAGAAAAAAAAAAAAGAGAATTGAAGCATCTTGCAGCAAAGCCCGGCGTACGACTGTGCACAACTTTCGATTTATTACAATGTTAGGCCTGCTGCGCATACTCCATTCGCAGACTCGTCGGCCATATATCCAAGCGCATTTCTCGATACCTCTAACGTGTATTCGTCGGATAAGAAATGGGAGGTATGAAATTTTCCAAAAAAAAAAAAAAAAAAAAAAAAAAAAGGTAGGAAATGCTCAGCGGCGTTGAGCATTATGCAATGGTAGGTTACCATACTGAATTACAAGCCAATGGGGCTCCAATATTGTGATAATCCCAGTGTGCTAGGTAGCAGATCGCAGATTATAGCTATACAATGGTATTCTTTCAATTTGACAACGTCACTCACCTTGTGGTGCTGTGGTGCTGATCCATCTCGGATTAACGGGCCGTTCTGGAACTCAGACGATTTCTGGCATTCTCGATGGGCTGCATTCGACAACCAAGGAGCAAGTTTGCAACACAGCGCAGGAATCTTGGTTACGCTTATGCGAGGTTGTACGGCCATTTACCCAAGCCATTGGCCGGGCACTGGCCAACGCATCTTGCATTCGTTAGCAGTGCGTCTAATCATCGGTTTGATAATATTTTGCCAAATGTCTATCAACGCTAGCCCCTTGTCAGATGTGGCGCGGCCGTTGTTACCGTTTTCTGGGTTGGTAACGCAAGAGCTTGCAAGCGTTACCCAAGTGCTCTGCTGGATAGCATCTTGAACGGGTCTCGTGGGCCATATAAATAGGCTACTCATTCGAGAATCAACGCCTTGTTCGATGTCGTCAAGCTTCTGACAAGCCTCAGCAACAACAACAACTGCAACAACAACACGCTAGTCTCGTCAATATTGTGAACGCAAGGGCAGCAGTAAACTTCGCTGCACCACCAAATTGTACAAGCATGCCTTGGTCCAGCTATTATGGCCGAGGTGACTTGTCTTCCTCAAATCCAAGTTGATCATACTGCTTTACTAAATTTTCAAGCCGCGCGCCATCGGGATCTGCCTCTTTGCTTCCCATTGTCAGAGGATAATGAGATTGAGCGTATTGTACCAGTAGAGGCTCTTCAGGGGTAAGCGGGTCCCAATCTACATGATTCTGCAGGAGCTCCAAATCTTTGGGCTCAAGTCGGTCCCGCAACAGTCGGTAAATGACTGATGTAAGGTGGATGTGCTGGCCCTGGTCATACAGCCCTTTGAGACTCAAAATAATTGTCGATCTCAGAGACCTGGCAGTGCTCGTTTCATGGGCAGGGGTTGTTTTCAGCGCGTCCATGGCGGCGCCAGCTACGAATGATAGGTGAATCGTCAAGAAGGAGTCGCTGTATTCGAAGCTGTGGCGGATATAGTAAAGCCGCGTAATGGTCTCGAGACGGGCGGCTGCATGAGAAGCAGTACTATAGGCTGTTTCTTTCTTGATTGTTGACGGCTCGGAGATGCCAATTTGCTTTGAAGAAAACAGGATTGTGGCTAAATAAAGCTCCATACTTGACCAGTAATCATGTCAGCTTTCTCGACTGCAGTCACCGGCTTGATCGAAGCAAGCAAGAGAGGAAGGGGGAGGGATGGAGAGGGACGGAGAGAACTGTATCCTAAAAACGGAGAGCAAGAAAAAGCTTACTGCAATTTGAGCTGCCATGGGAAGACAATATTTTGAGGAGAGAGAGCGTCAGGCAGTTCCGAGAACCACTTCTCTAGCCTCGAAAATATAGCCAAGACTGGCTCTAGAGAATCTTCGGGATATGGAGTCTGGCTATAGCCAATTGTGGCCATGTCGTGGATGATTGCACGCAAACCAGATACTGCTTTGAAGTGTTGCCCGCATTGTGCCGGGACGAGCGTCGAACTTAGTGGGTACTTGAGCATGAAGTCTCCATACCAAAACGGATGCCTCTCTGGATCAGGCAGCGGTACGGCTGGCGGATCTGGAATCAGAGGAGCCCGATAGTAGTAGTACGACTGTATACTGTCGTTGAGATGCGAGGCAGCGTATTAGTGGGCGGCTAGGTAGGCATGATCGACGAGGGATATGACGAGACAAAACATACCACTGCCAGTCGAAAAGAGCCCATGCAGAAAAAACCCGGGCATGAAACATCCTTTCATTGTCTATTGTTGCATGATCACCAAACAGATCCAGTTGCTGGGCCTTTTGGAGAGCATGGTTTAGATAGACTTCGCCGATTTTATCCATGCCATTGTGGCTGTAGACGAGATTCAAGAGAGTGGCTGCCTGTACGGTAACCAGGTCTACTCTGATATTTTCCAACTCCCACAGGCGTATCGCTTCGGCCAAGAAGCGATATCTGAGGCTCTGAGGGACCCAAAATTGCTCACGGTTAGGTATGCCCATGTGGCAGTGCTGCAGACCAATCAGCTCATCTGCACTTTACCCGTCCAATCTTTCGGAGTTGGCCCCCATCTACTTACACAAGCCTCTGCTAACAAGGCATTGACGAGGAGTGATGAGCAAAATCGTTTGTCATTGTTGATCATGGCCTGTAAAAAGATGTCTTTGTGAAATACAGGAAAGGTCGGGTACTCGTGTAGAAAATAAGCACGCAATAGTGCTCGCATTAGGCGGTCGTCAGCGATTACTGCGGTCCATTTGGAGGGTTTAACAAGATCGATCAGAGGATCGATCACTTCAGCGGCATGGTATGGTCGCATGTACACATTGTGGTGTCGGCCCAGTTGCGTGTCTGCCGAGGATGAAGCAGAACCTCCATCGCTGCTTTCATCATCAGGCCGGAGGAACACAGTCTCGTATAGCACTGACTTGAGGTACTGGTTATCCGGCGTTTGAAGGCGGATTGGCATAGTGGGGAGATAGGGGAACTGATAGCGTCTCCGGGTCTCTGGAACAACGGCGAGCTGGAATACAAAGTCGCACTCTTTCATCTGCTTCAAGAGGTATTTGGGATCTACACCTTGGCGTACGAGGTTGAACATGTTCATCGCATCTTTATCCGAGCAGCTTTGAAGGGTGGAGAAGATCTCTTGAAAAGAAGTGGTTTTTTCATTTTCCTCCATGCATCTGCGCTTCAATGCGGCCGTGAAGTTTTCTCCACGATATGCCGAAGGGTACTGGCACATTAACTCACGGCTTTCGCAGCTTGAACAGCGCGGCCGAGTTCCATCGCACTTTCGAGAATTAGCATCTTCAACTAAACACCCGAAACCTGCGGCACGTGGCTGTAGCAAACCTTGCGGCGTGGGTTTGGTTGCCATACCTTAATTTTCCGCTTACGGCAAGACTCGCAGGCAACGTTGATGGTCTTTCTCATGGGCCGAATCGCCGCATCTGGTGGCCTAGAGCTGGGGGTGGGTATGGTCCCCGTCCCGGTCTCTGTCAGGAATGTGATATCGTTGACGATGGGCAGAGGCTTTGCAGCAAGCCGACGATATTTGTTCGGCGGCGAACCGCGGCCCGACATTGTCCAAGGGTGAGACAATTCCAATGCTACGGTACAGGCTCCGCTGATGGTTATGATTATATTCGGACAGCGAAGCAGAGGAAGGAGGAGGCTGAGGAGGAGGAAGAGGAGGAGGAGGAGGAGGAGGAGGCGGAGAATATATCGTATTGTGAACGAATTATATACGCCAATGATGCTCCTTGCTAGGCTTTGCCAGGACTCGGGGTCTTTCGCCGCTCTCTCCCTGATTTTGCGGCAGCGATGATCTGAGTGGGCTAGCCTGGAGGACGGAACCGCATCCGCCCGCGGCCCCTCTTAGGCGAAGTCTCTTATTGGCCCTGCCTGCAAGGAAAATCATAAGGTGTCTTAACTATCTCACTCTGACTTGTTGAGATGTGACGGTCATGCGTCGCCCGCAGCAACCAGGTAAAAATTGGTACGATAACTAGACAAAGAAGGAAAAGAGCAAATCATGCCCATTAGAGCATAAGAGGAAGGCCGTGCTTCTGTCGGTACCGAAGGATCCCAATCATCTGCTGTCTCCTGAGGTGGATGGACATCCAGCAGCAGCTGACTCCATATGGATGATGGACAGGTGCTGTCTAGCCTTGCTGCCTTGCCTTCTCGCAATGCGAGACATTTTACGCCTGAGCTTGGTTGCTGGCCGCCTTAGCCTTGGGGCTTAGCTAGTGTGCTCCATCTATGCTATATTGCTAGATCATGAACCGTGTGGGCCGCGGCGCTTTGACAACCATACTAGTGGATAGTCACCCATGGGGCTGGATTCGGTGTGCCAGAGGCGAATTTGATACGAGAGGGCCAGCAGAAAAGAAAAAGGAAAGGAAAATAAGGGGAAAAGGAAAAAATAAGAAACGAAACGAAACAAAAAGAAATGAAAAGTATTGATCACGTTGACACTTTTGGGCCACACTTTCCAGTTCTAGAACTTGCCCACATAGGCGTTGAAGTTGTAGGTCTGACACGAGTTGGTGATATCCTTGGCGCTCTGGCCGCCGAGGATCTGTTTGCCGCCGCGAGAGACGGAGAACGACTGTTTTCCAACGCCCATGGTGAAGTTGAAAACGTGTATTCCGGCATCAGCATTGACGGTGATGGGTGCCGCATTTCCACTTGTGACAGTCAGTTGCGCAGGTTGTGTGAGCAAAGTGCTGACAAAAACAAGATCATGCATCAACTCGGCTCCTCGAGGAATGCCCAATGAGTCGTTGCTACATTGGGTGCCGTGCGGAGTCGTACGGTACCAGTAGACAATTTCATCCGCGCTCACTGTTGGAGAAGACGCACCAGCTTTGTACGCAGCAATGTATGGCTTGTAAATATCGCGCCAGGCGTCATGAGGGAACCCTTTGGCCCATTGGGAGGACCCATCATCGCTATGATTGGGCTCTGAGCCGCTGTATAGAGCACTGTACATCAGTAATGCTCATTATGGATTGGGAAAGAAAAGAAGTGAGGGGGGCAAAGAGAATTCCCGGCGCTGGCTTACGAAATATAGTGGCTTTCGCCAAAGTCTGTAGTTATAAGTGGTTGTTAGCGAGTCTTGATAGAAAATACTATCCTTATGCTGAGCAGATGAGCGTATACTAACCATTCCACGTTATGATTTCAACGAGAGCGGGATTCATGTCAAGAATCTGTTGCCATCGACGGACTGGCTGCTCTTCACATATGAATACCCAATTCTTCGTATTGAAATGAGTTGAAAACCATGGCGAAACGGCTGTTGAAGGCGACATCAGTCCTTATTCTGAGGCTGGGAGATTTCTCTGCAACTTACGTGCCATGTAGGGTCGACCATTAAGGCCTTGTATGTATCTCAAGTCCCACACAGTCGTCATTGGCCCGTCAATTACGCTGTTTCCGCCATCTGTAGGCCAAGCATACCACGAAAAGGCCCCGTCAATGCCATATTGGGAGCTTACGCTTCCAACTGAAGCAGGGTCCTGCATATTAGGAATCACCGTCAGCTTCTGGCTGCCCAAAGCGCTCTTTACGGCATTCCAATTAAAGGAATCGCCCACAAAGGTGCTCACGAGAGCGCCTCCGTTGAATATTGCTTGAGCTGGATGAGCAGCGTATTTCCCGACAAAGCTCGTGATATTTCCAGTGTCGCCATTGGACCAATACGCAAAGTCAAAGGAAATGAACATCTTGAAATTGAGCTGCTGGGCCGCTGTATATGCATTATCCAGCTGCTTTGGCGTATAGCTATCCACCCAAGGAGGAGCACAGTTCAGAGCGAAACCATCAATACCAATAGCTTGGGCTTGCTGGATCTCGTTTACCCAGTCTTGAACAGTGAAATTCTCGACGATTCCAACCTTTGCATCACAGCGTCAACTTGCATGTCTCTCAACGAAAGAGAGGGAGTTGTACCATGAAATGAGCAAAGACTGGTTTGAAGCTCTGTTCGTCGGCAAAGGTCAGAGTATTTACCAATATCGCCGAAACGGCTGCAAGCCAGCCAGCCAACTTTGGTGCCATTGCGGTTAGGAGTATTTCTCTCGGGTGGCGTTTTAAATCAATCAATCTTGGTACCAGGCTAAGATACTTTTCAGCTCATAGAGTTTTTTTCAGTTTCCTCTAGTTGTAATGTTACGTCTATATATATAGTCAGTCTCATTGCATAGTCCGCCAGCCTTGGAGGCCGGCTTTTGTGCCAGGAGTACGCCCAAGTTTTGCTGCAAGTCGAAAATACTACATGCCTTTCTAGGATAGACTCATCACAGAAGCCGGATTTAGTTCTGCGGGGTTGTGGACAACGATGGCATCCAGTTGATCAAGCCATGGTGTAGACACCCGGCGATTTCTCTGACTGGAAACGAGTTGCTGCATTGGCATAAGTGCAATGCACATCGCCCTCATCAAAATAAGCTTGATAAAAACCTTTGAAGGGTTAAGCCCATTGGAAAAGCCTATTCTTGTCGAATGGAGCTAGCATACTCATGTTGCTTTTACTAAGAACCAGGTGTCGAGTTTCTTCTCACGGACGAAACTGGCAGCCATCCGTCCACCAATGTAACACCACTTGTTGCTCATCGGCCCGATGAACTGCATTTTCGGCACAGGTATCATATTGGAACTCGGATTTGACTGTAACGCCAAGGGAAATGGAAATATCCGTCGTGTGATGAGAAGTGAGTAGTAGGGTATAGATGCTTCTCCCCGCGTAATAAAAAAACGAGGGCACCTGGAAGAATGCCGCCTCATAAAGCCTCTTCCCAAATGGATCATCGGCGGGGTCATAGCCAATCAGAAAATTCGGTTATGCAAGTCTGTCGTCTGTTGCTATACAATCAGTGCCACGCCGAGTGTAGTCGCCCAGCGACTGAAATGCGTTTAGTGTACGCCTGTGGTCGACGACTCACACGATTCACTCTGAATGGCTGTACCAATGAGCACAATAATGAACCAGACAGCAATGATTTGATAATGACGGATCATTTCGTCAGCATCGGCTTCTACCCTTCTGCAGCAGCAACTGATCGCCAAACGCTGCATGATAGCGTCAAGTGGTGAGGAGTTGGAGGAACGTCGCGCTAGTCTCGTATATCCGGGGATTAGTATACAATGCCTAGACCCGCGCCCTCCGCATGTAGCGTTGCTCTCACCCTACATGTACTCGTCAGCTCGAACTGAATATGTTGTTCCAGCGGCCTTGAAGTGCTTGGCGAAGGCAAAATTCACCACGGCTGGAGCATCTCGTGTAGGTCTTTTCAGGCAAGCGGTGCAATGAGCTCTTTACGAATCGATTCGCTCGCGCAAACCAGCCTTCTTCGATGTCCCTGGGATGTTCTCTGAACAAACAGTGGGTGGAGTTGCGAGTTGCTTCGATATCTCTTCATATTTCTTTATTAGCTTGTTTGTTCGACCTAATCAGGAGAGGCAGTCTCTTACAACAGCTTCGCAAGGCTAGTTGGATAAGCAATACATTCTTGATAGCTTCTTTCGGTCATCCATTCTGTGGCAATTCTCAGAAATTTGGTAACTAGGATCCGATCCTTATAGTCGGCTAAACGTATTCTTCAACAGGATCGGGCTTTCTGGGGAAAAGAAGTGTGCTCTGTTGTGATTTGGTTCCATTCAATCTCCCTCTCCATCACATTACGTATATGTGTAATTTCCCTTGTATTATCATTCATTCGGCCGTTCGGTTCGCTTTGGTTCGTTTCGGTCGCCCTACACTCCTCTCACGGCGAGATAGGCTCAGCCACGGCGATGTTAGATGATGAAGTAGTAAAGAAGAGAAAAGAAGAAGTGGGGGAAGTAAAGCAAAAAGAACCTCGTACAAAGTCTCTGGGCAAAATAATTGGAAATGTCAAGACGGCGAAAAGGCCAGCCGGGGGGCGGGGCGAAGGGGTGAAGTCGTTCCTTCCCAGCTGCTGCGCCCAGCTAATATTACTCGTAATTACGGAAGGTTGCCTCGTGGCAGCTGTTTGGAAGGAGCAATGATGAAACGGGCCTAGACAACGCAGGGCAGTCAAATTGCGTAGAAATCTGGTTCGGGGGAGGCAAGTGAACGCAGACGTTGGCAGAATGAGCCTCTTCCCCCGCCACCATCAAGAAAAAGCTGAGTCCGAGGATAAAAGATATTATAGGCTATATACGCCGTCATAATCCATTGTTCACCATAAAATTGTCTTTGGCAGCTGACAGCGTCTCATAACGCCGACGCTGGTCTTGATACATTGCCAGACATCTCGGAGGCAGAAGCAAGGCCTCAACAGCATGTCTACTCCAGAGAGCAACCTGTTCCCCACACGCAACGAGCTCGACACATCTGAGGTGCGGAGAGACTGAGTTACGATGTGAAGATATGGAGATAGAACTAGTGGTAGACTAGTATTTCGTGATGGATCTCGGGAGGCGCCGAGATAGCGTGTGGTCCAAGGGCCCCAGAGTCTAAAAGCCCACAGAACCAGAGACTTGAGTCAATCAACTACTTTGTAAATCCAAGGCTCCCTTTGACCTTTGCACAGAGTGATTGATGTATTCGTAACAAAGACCCATAAAGAAAGCATTGAGCTCAAGAAAAACCCTTGTTGGCGATGTAGTCAAAGATACATGTGCCAAGGCTTGAGCCAATTATCGAGTTGCATTTCAGAGGACTATGCTGTGGCTTGTGAAGGCATCATAACCAATGTAAACACAGCTTTTAGAGATGCTCATAACAAATTTCTACAGATTATGCTATATGGCTAATCACACCTCAGGGTATAATTAACAGCATGTTACTGGTGTATAGTCAAGTCTACTTGAAGCCACGGTCACAGACGCAAACGCGAATAAAAAAAAAGTTCCGATGCTAATGGCCCACAGTATTTAGCAAGGAATGGTATATTTAGCGAACTGAAGATTGACTATAAAGCACGCGAAGCAAAAGATATGCTTTGCCAATTAGAAGATGTCAAGGGGGATAAGATGAATATTGAAGGAGATGCTATGCGAGAAGTAGCTATATATCGGCTTCTCTGAATGCGGCATCTGGGCAATATAAATTATGGTACAAAGCAATGGAATGCATGTATTCATACATGTTCCACGGTTTTCGCAACTCTTTCCACTCCCAGGACAGAAATTAGCAGCGGCCGTGTCTCTAATCTAAGATTGGCGGCGGAGATTTGGTGGGGAGGGGCAGTTGTGACTAGCAATGAAGCCCAAGAAAGCCAATGGCGATTAAGGCGTCTCCTAGCCATGTCACTCAGCCCACAACAACGAGAAGCATATGAAACAGCTATAAGTACTACCTAGATATGCAATGATAGATTGTTAATTAATTCTACCATCAACGCTATAAATGCCAATTGAAGCTCAACTCGCGGCAGCTTTTGGCATCAACCATCCAAGGCCGACGGGCCATCCTCGGCAAATCAGCCTTGGGTCACGTGACCGCATACAATGGCCTCCGCCGCTATCCCTGAGCCTAACGTGTCTACGTGGTGGTTCTGAGGGAAGTCGGCCAAACCGCCACGAGTCCAACCACGAATATCCTCCAGACCAAATCTCGCCCAGCATGAGTTACGGCAAAAAAGACGAGGATGCCGACCTGGGCCTGGTCAAGGTGGACCGCACACAAGTCTTCCAAGAAGGTACCAATTCGCCCGCAAACGCAGCTTCATCTCCATTCTCCTCACCCCACCGAGCAAGGTGGCCAGACTGATGCTAACTCGGCGGCGCAACAGCTCGATTGTTCAACAGCTCGCCAATCCAGCCCCGACGATGCCGCATCCTGTTAACCAAGATTGCCCTGCTCCTCTACAGGGGAGAGACCTTCCCCACGAAGGAGGCCACCACCCTCTTCTTCGGCATCTCGAAGCTCTTCCAGAACAAAGATGCTAGTCTGCGACAGATGGTGCTCCTGATCATCAAGGAGCTAGCCAATTCGGCCGAGGATATTATCATGGTTACCAGCACCGTAATGAAGGATACCGGAGGCGGCAGCGACGCAATCTACAGACCCAATGCCATTCGTGCTCTGTGCCGAATCATCGACGTAGGTGGAAATGTTGCGCCATTCGAGCTCCTGACCGCGAGTTGCTAACAACGAGGGGATGGAATTGGTGAATACAGGCTACGACCGTCCAAGCCATCGAACGAGTCATGAAGACCGCTATTGTCGACAAGAACCCTTCCGTGTCCTCGGCGGCGCTCGTTTCGTCCTACCATCTGCTACCGATTGCTAGGGACGTCGTTCGGCGATGGCAGAGCGAGACCCAGGAGGCGGCCGCTTCTTCCAAGTCCTCGGGTGGATTCTCTCTGGGTTTCTCTACCTCTAGCAGCTCCATGCCCATGAACAGCTCTACAATGGCACAGTACCATGCCATTGGCCTCTTGTACCAGATGCGCTCGCACGACCGCATGGCCCTGGTCAAGATGGTTCAGCAGTTTGGCGCTGCCGGGGCTGTCAAGAGCCCCGCCGCCACTGTGATGCTTGTTCGACTGGCTGCGCAGCTCGCAGAGGAGGACCCCTCTCTCCGACGACCCATGATGCAGCTTCTCGACGGCTGGCTGCGACACAAGAGCGAGATGGTCAACTTTGAGGCTGCCAAGGCCATCTGCGACATGCGCGATGTCACCGACGCCGAGGTCAACCAGGCTGTTCACGTCCTGCAGCTGTTCCTCACCTCGCCCCGCGCAGTCACCAAGTTTGCTGCTCTGCGAATCCTGCACAGCTTCGCCTCGTTCAACCCCACCGCTGTGAGCGTCTGCAACACCGACATTGAGCTCCTCATCTCCAACTCCAACCGGTCCATTGCTACCTTTGCCATCACCACACTGCTCAAGACCGGCAATGAGGCTAGCGTGGACAGATTGATGAAGCAGATTTCGGGCTTCATGTCTGAGATCACCGACGAGTTCAAGATCACCATTGTCGAAGCCATTCGTACATTGTGCTTGAAGTTCCCCAGCAAGCAGGCCGGTATGCTGACCTTCCTCAGCGGCATTCTCCGTGACGAAGGTGGCTTCGAGTTCAAGCGTGCTGT